AGATTCAAACAACGTGATCTGTGCCACGGGTCGAATTTCATAACATGGGGAAGCAGGATACAGACACAATGCTAGTACGCATAGCAGCACGAGGCCAAGTCGTGAAATATACTTCGTAATGAGCTTTGCCAGTGTTACCCGAATAATTTAATTTTTGCAGTGGTTCACATTCACATCTCATCTAGGCTAAACAGGACCTTGCTGATCGCACGGGAAGAGACCGGGGTTCAAGTGGGTCTGATTGGATGCTCGTGCCTGAGGAACACTTAGATGGGAAAACGGCATGCGGATGGTCTTAGTGCCGAACATCCGATGCTCTTCAGGCCGTTCTGCTTAGATTGGTAATATCGTTCGAGCCCGCTTGATGCATGTCGATCTGCTGATCCGTATTGAGGGGGTGTGGGAGGAGGTTCCCGCTGTGAATCAGTAATGAGTATCGCTGAGAAGAGGAGAACCTTGAAGGAGACCATAAGGTTAAATAGGAAGGCTGGAAACCCGGTAGCATTGATCTAGCTCCTAAAGCTAACGGGTTACAGAGGGCAATACTTGCAATGAACGGAGTATGTACGCTCGTCTTTCCCCACACTCAAGAGCGGGCAGCTGCATATGCCTATGTCACACCGCATGATCTTGTAGCACCCAAAGTACCGATTCTGTGGTACACGAAAGTAAAATGAATATCACGTTCGAGGTGACTAGTCTACGTAAATGCAGCTATAGAGTAGAGGAGGGGTAGAGGGAGCAAGGGCGTAAAAGTCATTCGGCCGACCAGTCGAAATCGGACTTTTCTTAGATCGAACACGATAGTTGGTTAATATGGCATGGATGTGTCATATGACTGCTCCGATGAAATCACCAGAAAAAAAAGGGCCCGGGCTTTGTATCCCACAAAAGAGGAAATGAGCACGAAATGATTTCGGGTTACACTTTTGGACTCGGCGGATGTGCGTGGTTGGAGGTGCGTGTGCGTTGGATCCCCAGTGTTGTCCGGAAGGCCGCGGAAGCCGATTCCATCACGTCCAATCGCGGCGCGGAGAAGACTATCATGCTGGCAAGTGAGGACGGATCCGATTCGGACCCGCTCGCTTGGGCTTTTGGCTAGCGGTCATCCTTACTAATCCTTTCTTTTAGTTAGCTAGTTAACTAACTACTGTTGCTAACTAACTACTCCGTACTGTAGGGCATAGACGACCTGACCGCTATCGAAAGAAAGTCCTGTTCTACCCAATATTCCCGCGATAATGCCCGAAAGATAGACCAGGCTAGGCACTGCCGTGGACTTGGAATAAGAGGGTTAAGACCGGATACGAGAGACAGTGGGAGCTTCATTGCGGCGATTGCTTCAAAATCCCTGGGACATAAGGAATGATAGTCAGATTAACCTCAATAGAGATGAATCATGGTGTGCCACACCAAGCTTGTCCGCATTTATCTATTGTGACCTAAGTAGGAATCTTGTGAATAGGACTTCCACAACGCCCAGCAGCTGCCGTCATGCCCTAGAAGTTGAGAATTCTTGATGGTTACTATTACCAGACCCATAGGTTCTACTAATATTCATCAATGTGTCTCCAAGGCTTTAAAGGCCGTCTCCTAAACCAAAAGATCATAGTGGTATAAAATGTTAAAACGCGGGTAGTGAGCCCGTACGGTAGAGCATAGAATTGAGCATATATCTAGGCGTACTTGATAGAGTTAGCAGAGTTCATGACGTTGATAATAGTTGTGAAGTTGGCAGAGATAGTAATATTCAGAGAAACGACAGATTTGGTGAAGTTGGCCATAATAGCAGTAGTTCCACGGGGCAATGCAAACTAATCGTTCTAGGCAATTGAGGACGTCTGGTCTTTGCTGTTGATTTCAATGAAAACAGCCTTTCAGCCGACGATAATGGAATTTGGCAAGCATCTGAATCTTGAATCTGGAGTTTCGTGTCGTAATTCTAGATAGCCTTCTAGATCTATACCGCTCAAATTCGTCTCAAACCACAATGCTTGATGGGCCTCTAGGCTAGAAGAGGATTGGCCTCTTTCCCCGCCTTTCCTTCCACATCTTACAAACCAACCAATAGCGACAAGAAGACGTATAGTACCTGAGAGACGTTCATGCATATCTCACGGGGTGGCAAATCGAAACCCAATCGACAATATATTCGTAGAATGCGATTAATTCGACGTCCATTCGACCGACATGTTGAACCTTACGAAAGACCCATATATGCCCCGTGAAACAGTTGAATCCTATCAAACCCATTTTTTCAAGTTAAGTCATGTGGAATTAGAAGTTTGGAAAGTTTCCAGAGCCCGTGGAATCGAAGCGGGGAAAACACTATATCCAGAGCGCTAACGCTAAGAGCCGCACACACTTGCAACGAACTGCGGGTCCCGAACACACAAATAAGGAAAGGCTGTCGAAGACTATCACCTTCTAATTGATAGATACAATAAAAATGAGAAGGTCAAAGATGGATTAAATTAGATATATAGGTACTAGGGCTGATCTCCTGCTGATCAGCATGACAGCACACTGAATACTGCAATACAGCCACACAATTGAAAAGACGATCGGTCTCTTTGAGAACTATATCAAAAATATACTATCAGATATATATAACCGAAACCGCCAATAGCGGAAATGATCGCAAAGTGACTCTATAGTGCAAAATGCAAGAGTGGCTTAAAGATCACGTCAGGCAGACCGCATCTCATTCGACAACCCCATCCACACGGCTTTTAAAATGTTAACAGCTTACGGGACGATGGAAATATCGAGATCCAACTTTATTTGCACCCGCGAAATGAAATCAGATACCTCGGAGATTCCCAAAGTATAGTTTATGTAACAAGTATAAGACCGACCCGGGGCTGGACTGCCTATGTATTTATTGGGCACTGGGTACGACTTCCAAGGGCAATAGGCTGTAATGTCACTCGGACACTGACCCTCAGACGATTGGAATACCCACGCCTACTTGATGTCCATTACAATAGCCGCTTGGCCTATCCCAATTGAGTGGCATAGTGCGTAGGTGAGTTGGTCGTCCAAGTTGAGCTGGAAGGCCGAAGCAGCCATTACTAAGCGGCACTCAGATGATCTTCTGGCGCCTGAGGCCAAGAGGCTTATTCGAGATAGTTGCACGACGGCTGTCTTGGGGCTATACAGCTGACTATGACCGAGAGACATATCGTTATTCAATATACGTCCGGTGCCCTGTTAAATGCAGACTGACAGTTGGGTTCATTAGCTGTGAGTGCATTTACTGATCGCCCTCAATATTATTGGCCAGTGCGGAAGCTGATTGATCATCATCAGTAAATTGTAATATGGTCATGATTATGTGCGATTTGCTCCATTTTACTACGTATGCATCCCCGCATGAGGTGCCCGACAATCATCTCGGACACGAGGCCGTTTCGCTCGGAGATAACGTCATCCAGCACCCTCGATGATCCATATTTCACGACAAGCCTGGGCCTTTCGAACATGCAGGTGGACATGTCTCGACCTAAGCCTTCGTCCACCTGGGAGCCGTATGCAAAATGCTCGTGCGAAGAAGACAAAGCCCTATGCAGTATGCTGGCATGGTCTGATCCTTCCCCACCGTCTAGCTAGCTCATGACTCATGGCATCGTGACCCCGTGCATGGCCTTCCCAGCCACTAAATGCGGCCATCTGGTCACCTTGCGATGTTCAGAGCTGGATGTGGCCCGACCGGGGCCCATCGGGAGTTGGCGGTGCGCTAAAGCCCCCCCCCACTCTCAGGCGGGCAACTCAAAAATGCGGCTCGGAAGGAAAGGCACGCAAGGCCGAGACAGGGATTATCAAAGGGCGTTGGCTATGCCGGGGGTCCGATGGCTGCTGACCGAAGTGGGGGCTGGGCACTAGGCTGAGCTACATCCTGTAGTTGTGGTAGGAGATCGCTACCCGGGATCGACTAGAGCATTCGGACAAAGACTTAGATTACTTCGTAGACTGGCTCGAGTAGGTAGGGTTTGACGGAGATGATTGGGTGGATATGATTCCAGAGCGATTGTCTGATCTTCAACGATCTTCAACGGAGCAACGGACTTAGAAGAGGATCTTCGGATATGTGTTCATTAGGACCAGACTTACACTGGCAAGGCTGCGAGTCTTGACCTGAATCTGGAAGCAAGTAGAACGTGTCTATGATCAAGTTCTATGATCTACGAGAATCTTGTAGCCTTGATTCAGCCGTCACAAGCCCAAAAATACTTACAATTCGGTCCTGGCGGTGAAAGCAAATGCCTAACGGGGAAACGATCGACTACGTCATAGGAAACTCGGCGCTTATGCAGTGAATGCACAAGTCCTTGCAAGGACATAGCCAAAAGTCTATTGCAGCTCAGGGAACTAGGGAATCCACTAAGAGGCACGCCCTTCTTTACGTTTGATTATTCGTCCATTGCCCCCATCTTAGAAATTTTTGTATTTCCGACGGCCCATACCATGGAAATGAGGTCACTCAGGGCCCAGTTCGCTGGGATCGATGCCGATGGAGCTGACTCTGAAGAGTTTAGATCCCGGACCATCCGAACCGACAATTTTTTAATTTTCGCTGCTCCATTTTCTTATTGGTTTCTCTTGGCACGCCAAGACCTCCCCGGCCCAGTCGAAAAGTCCTTAATGCAATGCAGGACTGCAGATTCATGCTAGCGCTCCCTGTGGTCACAGTCGAGCGAGGATGCATGAAGGTAAAGAAGGAAGGGAGGACAAATAGAGGTGCTACTCAACCATAGTTACTTATGAAGTATATAGTGTAGACATCGACGGGGACTAGGATCCGTCCAGTGCAATACAGGAATGGCAAAATCGGATCAAGTTCGTTGAATCATCAGGAACGGGTCCCGGAAGGCCAAGGAAGAGAAAGGAGCAGGAAGAGAAAACGAGTGGAAAGAGAAAGGGCGGAGAGGGTCGTGCTAACGCGGGAGCTTCCTTTTTACTGCCACGCACCCTCGGCGACCGCAGCTGTTATCCCCGTCGTCCCGAAGCCATTGGAAACCAGCGCCGGCGAGCAAAAAATAAAAAAATTAAAAAATAAAAAAAAAGGAATTCGACCAAGTAATTTTGAACGATTCCTTAATCAAATCTAGTCATAATGCGACATTCCTTCCCTTTCCTTCCGCATTATTAATGCGCCGTCCACCCTGCCAGGCTACAGCGACTCTTTTATACCTCCTTCCACGCCAGCCTTATACTTGCCCTTCAGCCCTACCACTTTCCTTCTTCACGTCACCACCACCACCTCTCCAGTTCTCTCCCACGCCCGGCCCAACCCAGGACACATCTCTGAGTTCATCGCGTGGAACCCGTATCCTCGGTTGACAGCTCCGTTTGACTCAGCAAAGAAAATCGGGGTTCGGACGGAGAGAGCTCCCTTTGGGTTTTGGCAGTGACGTTACGTCACGATTCGATACAGTCTCGAGCTCGTGCTGACAGCTTTCTACACCTTTCATTCTTCTCTCCTCTTTTCTGGGGTAACGACGGTGCTCGCCTGTTCTCTATCGAAGTAGTACATAATTCCAACACAGAGAGCTCCACGATTATTCTCCCTTGAGCCCGATGCGGCCGTTAGCTACCCGCGCTGCCTTTGTGGCAGTCTTCCTCGCGTGCCTTGCAACGGCAGTTGCACACGGAGACGATGAGCATACGGACATGAACATGGATATGAGCATGGATATGACTTCCGCGGCTACCGCGACCCCGGCGCCTACGGCGCATGCGAATAGCGAGGGTCCCATGAGCTACTTTGCGTATGGGAAGCACTCGGGCGCCATCATGGCGCATATTGCGCTGATGATGCTTGGTTGGTGCATTGTTCTGCCAGCAGGTAAGTTGGTCCGAGCAAGCTAATTCAACGTAAGGTGTGAGCGCAGCTATTAACCGGTTTGCGACAGCTGTGATGCTTAGCATTGGACGCTCGCGACTTGCGCTTCCGTCGCAATTCCTCTTCCTGTTGGTCAATGCATTCGGTTTGTTGCTCGGCATTGTCTACAACAGTCAGACTCCTGATCTTTACGCGAACAACGCGCATCACAAGATTGGATGGATCGTGACGTGGGTGATCAGCGCTCAGGTCATTCTGGCTCTGATCTTTGCTTATGCCGGTCGCGGCGAGTCCGAGTCAAACCATACCTCCTATGAACACGCTTCATTCTTGCCTGTCGCGACAGAGGATCATGAGCACCACACATTCCCGACGGGGCCCATGCACGCGTACCGCTGGTCCAGAGACAGTGGCCAAGGTACCGAGCCCAACTCACCTAGCCACAGCGTCGGATCACCCTCTTTCGAGTCGCCTTCTGAATGCGACGGCTTTGAGAAGCCGGAGGAAGACCTTCCGGCAGAGCCGGCTGCTCCGCGGGGGTGGTTGCACAGCACTTTTGTGGACCGTTTCCTGGCGAATCGTGTTCCAGGAATGGTCTCCAACCGTGTACTGCGCATCTTCAATGGGGTGTACAACGTGATTGATCGCATTATCCTGCCATTCGGGTTCATTGCCATCGCCACGGGTGCTGTGACCTATGGCGGTATCATGCGGGAACGCGAAATTTTCAACGGTTTGGCTCACTTCATCAAGGGTGGCATCTTTTTCTGGTATGGTGTCCTGACCCTGGGCCGCTATGTGGGCTGCTGGGCCGATCTGGGATGGGCGTGGAACAAGAAGCCTCCCGCGTCCGTGGTTGGCTGGAAGTCCAAGGTCCCCTCTGGCGAATTCACCGAGTCCTTTGTGATCTGGTTGTATGGTGTCACCAACGTGTTCCTCGAGCATCTTTCCAGTGCAGGTCATGCTTGGTCGTCGACTGACCTAGAGCACGTCTCTATCTCCATCATGTTCTTTGGTGGTGGTTTGGTAAGGATTGACAGAGCCACAGATTCCTGCAAATCATGCTAATAGTTCCATTAGGCTGGTATGCTCTTCGAATCCTCGCGTATTCGCGAAGCTCTCAATAACACCATCCTTCGATCACCCGCACACAACACCCGCGACGAGAATTGGGACGTTCCCCGATCACAGGGTGTACCTCTCAACCCGATGCCGGCTCTGATCATCCTCCTGCTGGGTATGATGATGGGTTCGCACCACCAAACCAGCATGACCTCGACCATGGTGCACAAGCAGTGGGGCAACATGCTCGTGGGCTTTGCGCTGGCTCGCGGTATGACTTACGTGCTGCTGTTCCTGCGCCCACCTACCTCGTACTTGCCTGCCCGCCCGCCGACTGAGATCGTCGCGGCATTCTGTCTGATGGCGGGCGGTCTCATCTTCATGCTGAGCACGCGCAATGTGATCGAGGCCATGGAATACTATGATGTGGATGCGATGTTCACCTTCACGGTGGGCATGGGATTCACTGCATTCGTCATGGCGCTGGAGATTCTCTTCATCGCCTTGAAGGCGTGGGCTGTGAAGCGTGAGCACCGTCCTCAGCTGGGATACCGCTTCCCGTGAACACTCCCCTCATGCACGGCGTACTGGCTGTGATTATGATTTATTGTTTATTTTTTTATTTTGATACCCCCTTACACCTGGGTGATGGATTTTGATTTGAATATGGATATGGATATGAAGTGTGGATGAACTGAATGTGGTGGTTAATGTTTCTCATATTTATGAATATGCCAAAAGGGGATGACGGTGCAGACGTGATGTGATCGGAAACGTTTCTCACTGGTGCCAGAGTCCCCTTGACGGAAGGGGGACTGGTGGTCGGAAATTTTCCGAAACTTAACGATCGGAATGAATGCTAATGGAATTTAATGAGGCAGTGATCCTGATACATGGGCGAGTGACTGGGAAGTTGAGAGCTCTTTCGCAGGTGTCCAGTATAGGTATCGCTCAAGAGATATGGATTGAATGTACGATGTAGTTATACAATGACAGCGTTTCAAACCCTGAAAACGGTTTAACGTAGGGAGTAGGTATGACGTCCCGCGCTCAGCTGTGGTACCGGGCCGTGGTTATCATTAGTAAACCCCAGTTTATGCTTATCCCTTCTCTGGCATTTGGCTAGAATTTAGCCCTTAGCCGACTCCGGAGCTAAACAGTCCTTAAAGCCGGGGTCCGCGTGCCGAGTACCGAACCCGTTGGGTTTTGGCGTCGAGACTGTACCTGTGATGTGATTCCGATTCAATTGGAATTGGATCGAGGTAAACGAGTGAAATATTACAATTCTTTGTGGGTACTCCTTTAACGGAAGATATCGACCTCGTCCCATTGATCGATGTAGTACGTGTGCTTCTCTGTACCACGACCGCGATGCAGTGACACTATCGATGCCGAGGGGCAAGTGGAGATCGGCAACCAAATTGAGGGGTTGAAAAATCCTCAATAACGCAGGAGCTTGTGTCATCGGACCCTATGATTGGACGGATTCGAAGCGATGATGGAGGAACGCAGAAGCATAATGGGACCCTCTCGTGGCCGTTGGAGGGGCAGCGCTTGAGATTTGATTGCTGTTCTTTTTAATCCCCGAATCCCCATCCTTCTTCACTTTCAGTTATCTGCGAACTTCTGTGTTGTTTTCTTTCCCTTTTGGAGATATCCCAGACAAGTCATCTTCCACGACCTTCATCATGGCTTCCAACCCCCCTGCCGCCTGCTGCGCTACTGGCTTCAAGCATGAGGGCACCCCCGTTGGCGAGGTGAAGAACATCGACGGAGGTAAGAACGAGTTCTCTCCGACCTCTACCTGCTTGGGCAAGAAACGCAGAGCTAACCGCTGCCTATTTGCCCCTCATAGTCGACACCTACATCACCTACCCCAAGGACAACAAGACCCCCGAGAAGGCCATCGTCTTCCTCACCGACATCTTCGGCATCTTCCCCAACTCCCAGCTCCTCGCCGATGAGTTCGCCAAGAACGGCTACCTGACCGTCATCCCGGATCTGTTCCAGGGTGACCAGATTAGCGTCGCCGACATGGAGTCCGGCAAGGCCGATCTCCCCGCTTGGTTGCCCAAGCACCAGCCCGCCAACGTCGACCCCGTCGTCGAGGCTTCAATCAAGTACGTCCGTGAGACCTTGGGCGTGAAGAAGGTCGGCGCCGTTGGTTACTGCTTTGGTGCTAAGGTATGTTGGGAAACCGTTTCTGATGACCAGTCAATTATGGCGTTTTGACGAGTGATTCTAACACGCGCCGTGCTTCTAGTACGTCACCCGCTTCCTGAAGACCGACAAGGTCGATGTTGGTTTCGCTGCCCACCCCTCCTTCATCACTCACGAGGAGCTTGGCGCTATTCAGGGCCCCTTCTCCATTGCCGCTGCCGGTAGGTTTTCCCCTTCCCCACCTACACTTTTCCCCTTCCATCCCACATGTAATGGGCATGTTATTGATACTCTTTCTACAGAGACCGATTCCATCTTCACCACCCAACTCCGCCACGAGTCCGAGGACACCCTGATCAAGGCCGGTCACCCCTGGCAGATCAACCTCTTCAGCGGCGTCTCCCACGGCTTCGCCGTCCGCGGTGATCTGAACGTGAAGATCCAGAAGTGGGCTAAGGAGCAAGCCTTCGTCCAGGCCGTTGCCTGGTTCAACCAGTACCTGTAAGGAAATAGAATCCATGCTGGTTTAGATAATTGGGCGCCGGTCTCTTTGTCTTGCATACTTCCCTTTTGGCCTGGGGCACTTGGGCTGATTGGTTTCGTAGAGATGGGGCTGGTGATTCTGAAATGCATGCCAAGTTATGAGAAAATGGAATATCATCGTTTTTGAGAATTGGATATAAGAAGTTTTTGAAATATGTTGCAATTGATGTCTATAATCTATTCAAAACACGCTTTTCGTAGGTCATCTTCACGTGAAACGCTGTTAAATCACCCATGCTGAACAAGGTCAGAACTGATTGATGTGGGAGTGGGAGTGGAGTGAATTACTCCGATCAATGGAAATATATGGGTATTGACAAATATTTGATCTGCCTGTCACTCTACTCGGGAGAGCCACAGGTGAAGACACCGCGTACGGTGCCGGCCCTGTACTTATTGATCTATTTCTGGATTAGTAGTGTGCCGAGTTGACGGACCAAGGGTGCGGGGCAGGAACTTACAATATCATCGACGCTGGCATATGTTCCAGCCACAAGTGTAATCATACCGATCAAGAAGACACCCAAGTTGACAAGTCCAAGCATAATGTTCTTAGGCTCACTCCACTTGCCCTTCTTGAGGAGCAAGGCCCACATCATAGGAGGGAAGTAAAAGGTAAATCCAGAGATGAACAGCGACGAAGAGATGGACAGCAGGTCATTGAAGAAGGGAATGACCTCAGCAATGATAAATGCAATAATCGTGCCAGCAGTAATAACAGCAAGCCACGTCAACCAACCCATCTTAGTATTGATGAAGCGGATGTGAGAATTAGCAAAGATGCGGCCATGGACGAGACGTCCAAACACGACGGTGTTAATAGAACCACTGATAAAGATCACGGGCAGGGCAATGCCAAAGGCAATCCGCTTCATCAAGCTACCGGCCGAGAGAAGCGCAGGACTTCCCACATCCTGGCCGACGAAAGCGTAGATCAAGGCACCGGCAAGGGTATAGATAACAATCTCCGTGATGCCGAGAGCCCAGATAGACTTGACGTAGTCGCGAGGAGTGTGCATTTCATCCATGAAGGAGAATTGGCAAAGGGCGAAGCTATACGCGAAAATGATATTCGACAGAGCCACGAATGCCTCGGAGAAGGTGACATTCTCCTTGGGCCAAGCGGACCAGTTCACCCCAGAGAGACCGCCAGGGGAGTGGTGCGCATCGACACCCGTGGCGATGACGGTAATACCAATGGCGAGAATAATCGAGGCAAAGTCGACATAACCGAGGATGGCCATCTCGGTGAAGCTAGGGGGGATGGCGAGTAATAGGAGAATAATCGCAGAAACGACACCGAACACCACGGAGCAGACGTCGCTTTTGGTAATATTCAAGAATGCGATAGTCCCAGTCAGGCAGTGAGAGCCAGTAAGGAAGAGGAGTTGGAGAGCAAGCATCCCAGTCATCAATTCATAACCGAACCGGGGGCATCCAAGACGCGCTCCCATCAATCGACCGGTGTCCGCATAACTGGTGATCTCAGGGAAGGCAAGCTTGACCTGTCCAATAATATGACTGGTGTAAATGGCAACTAGGCCAAGTCCAACGGTACATATCACGCCAGCAACCATACCGAGTGTAGCGAACGTAGAAGGGATTGACAAGCTGCCCAATGCAATGGCCTCGACGATAAGCACGACAGTGAGACGCTTCCAGCCGAGGCGGCTGAACTTCTGAATACCAGACTCGTAGACATGTCGGTCGGCCTCGCTCATGTATCCGAGTTTAATATCTCTCTCGTCCAGTGGCGGAATTGGTTGGACCTTGCGCTCCTCCGCGTTAGCGCCCGCGTTGGCATTGCCATTGGCGGATATCTCGTCGTGGTTCATGATGGCAAGATGCTGCGTTGAGCAGAGTAGATGCGAGCAGGAAAGGTGACAGGTAAGCCCAAATATGCTCGGAGATCAGGGTATTCCACACAAGAAGAAAAGCTGACGCTTAAATACGGGCAATTCCGGGAGATTCTTCGGCCAACGAGATTCCCCCAGTTATATGCTAATCCACTTAGGATACCCCCAAAAAAGACCTTCCCAAGGCGTCACTAGGCCCTTGTCGATCGGACAATCAAGCAGAATAGAGCGAGCAGGAATGGGGGGAATTGGGAGTTCCTGAGGGGTTACGAGGGGAAAAAAGAAGAAGCTTAAACTTGATCTGGGGCACGCGGTCGGGGTGTTATGTAAAGAGAATTCAGAAAGTGCTCGAAAATCGGACGATGACTGCATTTGGTCGAGAAGAGGCATGCCCTAATCCTGGATGAGACCCACCGAGCCCGATGATAGCCTTCGGTGGATCTCCACTTCCCACTTGCGAACCCGAAACGCCGAGTGGTGGAGCCTTGGAGTCTTTTTTACGCCACTTAGAACGATTAAGAAGACGTCTGATTATGTTGATATTACATGATTCGGTTTGTCCACCGAACATGAACCTGGGGGGCGCTATGCGGGGATGCCCCAGGACTGACCGGGCTATAGCCAAGGTATCGTATTGGGGAAATAATCCTGTCTCATCGTTTCGCAACGAGAAAGTATAGAGAGGAAGAGGCTTATGAACGGCCAAGTTCCGAGAGGCACGGGAAGTCAATTGCGTAAGATTTGATGGGCTAACCTTCAGCATTCTGTTCGAGGGCTTGGCCCACTGACACTCTTGCAAGAGACAAGTCTCATTGCAAAGGTGCCAAAGCCAACAATCGAATAAGTGTCACATCATACTATCAAATATGATCATGGTGGAAGCTCCGTTGGCCGTTGTTTTACATGCAACCCCAGCCCACTCGTATCGTTAAAAGTCTAGCGCATGGCAGGGTGGAAAAAAAGTGCTGGCAAGATCTCTGACCACGTTGCCCACGCCCCACCTATCGCTCAACAATCACGTTAGGAGAATACGAGCTTATGTTTGGTAATTACCTCCGGGTGGGCATAGACCAATTTGGGGTAAGTTCATATCATTATTATCAATATGATCGTGTAAACGAGTAGCTGCATCTAAGACAATCAAGAGAGAATTCTTTTCTTTCCAAAATTCTGCTACCGGCGCATTCACGTAGTGATGCTGGACATTTATGATAAGGACAAAACTGATATAGGTAGATTTGAAATGACTCTTGGTAGCCAAAAGCTGAATGAGAACGATGGTGTTAGCGTGCTTCATGCTTGCCAAAACAAGCAATGCCAGACACCACTCAGCACCGACTGTCTTACTGGACACGGCCATCCCAGTGGTTTTCCTCCTTTAAATCAAGCAAGTCCGTAATATCTTGCTCTTTGAGCCAGTCCTTAAACGATGGGTTTTGCATACGCTTCTTGAGCTGACTGGGCTCGATAACATTCTTCAGTCCCGCGCAATAGCCATATTCGCTAATAAAAGCAGGGCCTTGGAGAATTTCCAAGGGAATTCCCATCTTCTGATTCATCTCTTCCATGCTCATCGAGATCAAATCAACGTCCTTTCCCAGCGCATTGGACCAAACATCTGTGATTTGTTGGAGGCTCAGGTAGTCGTCATACGCGAGAAGCTTTGTTCCGGCCTCTTCATCCTCTACCAAAGCTCGAACAAAGGGTCCCGTCGACTCAGCGGTATTGATGATCGGCATCATGGTCTCTTTCTTTGCTGGAATGATGGAAACGAATCCCCCGCTTTCTGGTTGGAATTTGGGACAGAGGAAAGGGTTGGTGATGTAGGCACCGATGTAAATGAAAGAAATCTTCTTGGCCAAGTTGGGCTGGGCTTGAATGTACTCGGCAATGTATGCTTTAGTCTCCCAGTGGTATGACTGCGAATACTTTCCACCGGAAGCGGCTTTCATAGGACCAAGCGCAGAGTAAACGAATCGCTCCAAGGTCGGGATAGTTGCAGCCACATCGGCGGCGTTCTTTCCGTGAGAAACCTCCACATCGTAGCCCTTTTTGGTACTGGTAAGAGGATCAATACCTGCCGCGAGTGCTTTGCGATATGGGAGCCAAAAGTCCGTATTGAGAAAGATTGTATGGACGCCGTTGAATGCTTGGTGAAGAGATTCTCTGTCTTCCAGGTCTGCTTTGACGACTTCAGCACCTAACTTGGACAGTTCGGTGGCTTTCTTGGATTTTGGATCTCGAGTCAGGCATCGGACGGACCAGTCGGAAAGGTTCAAGAATGTACGGGCAACAGACGAGCCTTGGGTGCCAGTTGCGCCTACAACGGCAATGATCTTCTTCGTATTGGTCGTCATTTTTGCTGCCTGTGACTGACTTTCGTATCCCATGAAAGTTGAATAGTATGATTGAATGTAGTCCTGTAGTTAATTTTTTTTAAAGAACTACGGCCATTTTATAGTCTAGGAGATCTGGACATACGAAGTCAACGGCTCAAGTGGCAGAGTATAGACAGCCCCGTCTGATTGGCTCCAAAGCGTAAGCCACGAGTAAGCCAGCCGTCGAGGGATCCTCGCTTTTCCTCTTTGGGCTCTCCCCACTTATTACCGCCCGTCGGGCCGGAGTTAAGCACCTCAACCTTTCGAGGGCGACTCTCGTGCTCTGCAACAGTTCCATCGCAGCATGAATTATGGATATTTGCAGGGAAAACGAGGCCTTGGCCTCTAGTCTGCAGTCCGAGTCCATGGCGGATCCTGAACGCTCCAGCGCATCACCACCCTCCTATGTACAAGTCAAACGCCGGTGCGAAGCTCACACCAAAGCCACTCGAGTCAAGAAGCGAATAGTTACTGCGGCTAGGAGAGAGCAGAACAAAATTGCTCAGCGGGCCTATCGTACGTCCTTATAATCGATCGCCACTATGTAGTCCTGGTTGTTAACTGCTGCCAAAAGGAGAGAGACAAAAGGGCAATCGAAAGTCCAATTTTGCTCCTTGCGGAAAAATTAGAAGCATTGCTCCTCGACCGTCACCGGGTTCGTTGTCATCTAGCTCATCTGATCTCCAGATAAGTTTGGATGCACCCATCTCGAACTGCCAAGTGAAGACTGCCTTGATAGACAATGCAGAGACTACCCCAGGTAAAGCGCTAGTCCGAGTCGCTGATCCACTCTCAAACACTCTCCAAACTACACGAGACACCATTTGGCTGGCGATTCTCAACAATGCCCTGTGTCTGGGCTTTGATCTCGAAAAGCTTGCAGACTGTAGCACACCCTACATGTCACCATTCTACAGGCCTATCACACCGAAAGATACCCCTCGAGATGTGGTCGCTTCCACCCTCGATACTTCACTCCCCATACCTCTGCAACCGACAATGGCGCAAATACTGATTCCACATCATGCCAGCCTGGATCTGATACCTTTGCCATTACTTCGCGAGCGCACTATCATGATGACGTTTGCTATGCCCGACATCTTTAATCTGTGGGATCTCAAATTGGATATCTATACTCGACATGCTCTTATCTGTCGAGGATATGTGGAAAATGGAGCTTGTCATCCTTGGGACTCGAGAAGTTGGGAAGCCAAGCCCTGGTTTATGCAGAAATGGAGTATGGCCGTCGAGGGCTGATCTTGCGGATGTTATCTTGAGTCGTAAATTGGGGATGAGACGGATTATCTCTCCTGAGCTCCTTAAGTTCATGTTCGCCATGTTCGCGACGTAAGAAGATGACGTCCGAGGCGCGAACGATGGAAAATAAAAAATAAAACACGAAGGGCGTCGAGGAGAGGCTTCATCTAAGTATTGGGGGAAATAATTCAAGGCTGTCGCGCTGTCTAGAGCCATCGAGGTACGTATCGAACAAGGAAGCAGCTCTTCTGGGCCGTCTGCGACGTTGCTACGAAGCTTCTGTGGAGTAAGAGCGGATGGCTATGGGCTCGTTTGGATGTGGCTCAACATAGCCATCTATAGGCCCCCTATCCCCGAGCCTTTTGACTGGAGCTTTAGCACCAGATACCACTAGATGCACGAGATGTAACCCCGGATGTCGAATCTCCTAATTTTGATGGAAATAAGTACTAAGCCTCTATTCCTATTTGATGCAAAGGAGTCGGTCCCACGCCGACCGGAGTTTTCTAACATGAAACTTTTCTACATATAACTTCACAATGCTAAACTTTTGAGGTAGTAAGTAGGCAATTTAGACACAAACGGTTGCTGGCACAGTCACGCTGTACGGTCAGTAAGAGCCGCCGTCCGGAAATTGAAGAAGAGTTCTACAAAATTTGATAATGGAGAAGCTCGGCGACTATTTCGGCTCGCCTCTACTGTCAGATGAGCGACTTTGTGGTCGATATGATTCAAAAAAAATCTGTTCTTCCTACATGGCCAGGCTTTGAGAAATTCAACGATCAAGTAGTGCGAATTATATATCAATACAGCCGCCGCTCGTTGTTCATGGCGGCACTGTTTCCTGGATGCCCTCATTAAGCCTCATCCCTCTGAATGTGACAGGTCAGCGACCAGATACTGAATTGAACGAACAGCCTTACCCAATATGGAAGAGGGCAGTCCAAGGCTGATGGGATGCTGCGCGTTCGAAACACGCCCCGTGCACACAAAAGTACCGATTGCCCACGCATTGTACTCCCTGGCTGATATCCAACGGGGCGAAACGTTTGTAGGCTTCACACCGGAAGATCAAGACTTAACACAAAGAAGCTACTCAACAAAGCTCCTCGTATTGTTACAAGATAATGATTATGATGGTAAGTAAGCACTGTTTTGAGAGAACAAGGAATGAAGGAGTCTTTCAACCGGACAATGCCCTGAATTTGGGCGCCAAATGAGCGGTCGAATCTCGATCCCAGTCAGTCGCCCCTGTTGGTCGGCCTTATTTTAAGAACCTTTTAAGACGTAAGCTCCTAGAGGGATTGGGTTAGCTGATACTTTAGCGTAGAAAATGATAGGTAGGGACCGGCAGATAACATTGCTTTTTGCATTAGCTGACCATGGGGGGTTGTTGGCTCCCCTGCGCCCCGCTGGGGACCGATGGGAAATGATTTGACTGAGGGAACTGCCCAGATCAGAAGGCGCCAGCTCTTTGCCTGCCATACCGCTACCAAAGATTTTTGCATCCAAGATTCGCCGCCTCCGCCGTTGACCAGTTTTCTTGTCGCTCTCAGCCAAATCAAAGACCCTATATTTGCTGAGGGGACCATGCCATTACCGGGTACAGACATGCGGTTTCACCCCAATTTTTCGTCTCTCAGTACCACCATGCATCAATCCGACCTGGATTTTGTGACATACAACCGCGACAACGAGATCCACGATATTAGGGATGACCCGATCTTGACACGGGTAGTCAGCATGATAGATCCATATCAAGCTATCGTTGATGGAAACTTGAGTCTTTTTCGACACAGAAATCGAGATTCCCAGATGTCCAACGCTGGTGCTGTGGAAGAGAACTCAGAGACAGTTTTTCGTGATGGTGGACCAGGTCCACTGGCAGATAAAAGTGTAGAAAATGGGCCCACTACGTCTCTGGAAATGATGAATAAGATCCGAGAGGCAGCGGAGAGAGATCTGATCTTACAAGAGGATGGCACCTATCAATGCAGTTCCCGGGGGCGACTGGAGCGGCTGTCAGAGCATCAGAGAGGATACAACATCCAAATTCACAACTTTGTTCGATATTGGCCCCCTCCTGATGAGATGAAGAAGGAGAAAGAGGCCATCGAAGCTGTGATCCAAGATTTGAGGGACTATGAGAAGGCACTGGTGGTTGGTATGTCACATCTCATACTTCTGGGTGAGACATACACTGATCTTGAACAACAGCTATAAAACGCAAGAGAGCAATTGTTCCGAGGCTTTATGAACGCCGCAGGATGATAGATCGCTATCTGCAATCTCTGTCAGAGCTATCTCCGGAATCTGGAGTTGTGAATCCCCTTTTGAGATCGCGAGAAATCTCTCCGCCAAACTCCATAGAATATGATAGGAGAGGCGATATTGGCTATGCAATATCCAGTGAGGATTCTTCCACAGATCAGAGTTCAGATGAGGACAGGGCAATGCAGGATGTCGACCATGATGGACCTGAAGAACCCGGTACGGACATCTCACCAGATATCTTCCCAACTAGGCCACAGAGAGAGGAGACCCAAGAGACCGTTGTCACTCTGCCGAATGAGCCCGTACCCACCATGAGTCCCCAAAGAAGTGACCCGGTAGCGAGCGTTTCGCTGAATGGAACCGCTGCAATCTGTGGGAATGATGCCGACGCTATGAGCACAGGGAACCCGAGTCCCCCAAGGCGAATCCTGAAACTGCGAACACGGCCGACAGACGAGGAAAAAGAAAGCGGATACAAATTTATAAGAGAGCGGCGGGATTCCAATACCCCATGGGACCAGATGATCCTGGAATACAACGCAAGATATGGGGTAAGTCGCACTAAAGGGGGTTTAAAGGGATTGTTCCGTCGTTGGCAGGTGGAACGTGGAATTAAACAACCATCGGTATGGAAAGGCTCCCTTGCCTAAGGCTCGTTGGGTTATGATTTGACATAAATTGGCTCATACTTCTCGTAGTCTACATCTCAAACTCCCCGCCTCTCGAGAAAATCAACAACTAGGTTCGGCCAACACCAGTCTAGTGCCGATGCTTCGCCACGAAGAACCCTCGAAGCCCGAAAGAAACGTGGGTCTCATATTCCAGGACCGAGATCAACGAGCATAATTCAGATTGACTGAGGGTTATCGAGTCATGTTCTGAAAGGACATGTGTGAAGGTAGCCTGAAAATCTACTTGTAACCTTCTCGATTACCGGTGAGGAAGTTTGAAGGAAGGGGTATATCTACCTAGGTTCCTAGATGTCCAGTGAAGGGAGATATCATTGCGTTGCACCGTCATTGAATGAATGATCTTTCTGAAGTAGCATCCAATTAACAAAATTTTAACATGAAATAATTCCCCATGAACTATCTTGGTCTTCGTATATCTACAATGGTTTCTCGTATCGATTGATCAGCAAATGGACCAGTTCCCAATTGGGAATAGCGGGGATCGCCGCGGCGGCCACGGTTTTCCGAAAAGCCCCCAGAGTTTACGGGACCCCGGAGGACTTCATGATCACTTACTTCTCTTACCCTACCTTCTTGTCCTTTTTCTTGCTTGAGTTTGTGGTTTGCTGTCGATTTAATCAGAATCTCTGTGGTCTGTGCTTGATCCTGCCCCGCCGGTCGCGTTTTTCAGGCCCGACGTACGGATCGCGTGTCTTGTGAGTTTATCCCTGGCAGAGACCCAACACTACCCAGTCTGAACGCTCGGTGGTACTATAATCTGCACTTACTAACTATACTTACGACCGATAGTTGTCTATCCAATCTAGCTCTATACCGAGCACCATAACCCCTTCCAGACGGAGATCTACTCAACTAACCGTCGCGTTCGCCTGCGATACAAGCCGGGCTGTCCCACCTGCCCCTCGAAACCCCAAGTCTAGAAAACGGTGACCGAATTGTTGTCCCACGTTTGCCATTCTAGTGTCCGATTCTCGTTACTCGGTTACCCACGCGCTGCGTCAGTCCGTTAGATTCCCATTCATCTCGTCCGCCACTCGACATGGCTACTCCGGCCGCTCTACCCCCGCTGCCCTTCAATCCGGGTCGGGTTCGATCCTACCTCGTGCGGTTACCGCTGTTCACGCGACTGGTTCTTCTGGTGATACTTGCGTTCTGGTTGCTCGAGCTACAGACTATCTGGAGTGTGGTGGAATGGGGTGCTCTGATCCCGGATAAAATCAACCTTGGAACTAGTATGCGTTACCCTGCCGGATCCCTCGGCAATGAACAATATTTTAGGGAAAATTTGGGCTGATGTACTTTGAAGTGTACCGACTGAACACCTACCCCATCATCCATACCGGTTTCTTCCATGCGCTTTTGAACGCCCTGGCCTTGACACCCCTTTTGGAACGCTTCGAGGCGGAGCATGGCACGCTAACCTCAATTGCCTTGTTCGTTGGACGTGAGTAGTACCTTGGGCTCTTCGGCGATTCGATTTTATGGGCAATCTGCCCGAATTTGATTACTATGGAGGTAGATTTCTTTGTACTGACTGGATTCTGTTTCACAGCGCTCTCTACTGTGCCGGCTGGGCTTTACCTCTTGATCGAGAAGGTCATTCTGCACCACAACACCACCGTCCTTGGATCCAGGTGAGTTCTGGCTACCGCGTATTTCTCTCAGAACGTGTCTAATATGTTTCAAAGCGTTTGGGTGTTTCTTCTTTTGGGCTCCGAGGCGATCCGGACTTTCAAGTCTAACCCGTACTTCAGGTGAGTTGAAAGTCTAAAGATTAGTATCTAAATCAGACCTAACAGATAACAGCCTGGGTCCGTACAAAATCCCTACTTGGACATCGCCTCTCTTTGCCTGCGTTGTTCTTTCCATTCTGGTGTCAAACGTCAGCTTCCTTGGCCATCTCTGTGCCATTCTTGTTGGTTATCTCTGTAGGTCTCCTTTCGTGCTCGAATTGATCACATCCATTCGAATACATTTGCTAATTGACCCAGTCGGACTCGGTTACCTGAAGGTCTTTGTGCCCCCAGAGAAGGTCCTTCGCTGGATTGAGGGCAAGTTGAACCTCCTTGGAAGACTCCCACACTATGTGTCTGTCGACCAGAAGACTTACGGCCGATATGGTGTTCTGCCCTCAAGTGCCGCTGGCTCCAGCGGAAACCAGGTGCCCATGAGCTTTTTGGGCACTTCCCAGCGCCTCGGCGCATGAACGTCCTGCATTATGCCAACTGCTACCTAATATTACGTGTATATCTTGTCATAATTACTTTCATTGTCTTGGTCAGGTGCAAGGTTGGGGGAATTTCATGCATAGCGACTACATCTATAATTTTGCGCATTTGGTCTTTTCCGTCGGTCGTAAATTCCCCGTAAACACCGCCGAGCTCCGCGACTCCGCAACAAGCTGGCCTCTCACCGTCCACTCGACGGAACATTCATTTGACCTGCTCGTCGTGGTGGATTGGGAGTTTAATTACCCAATGGTTCTAATTCAATGGCGCTAAAATGTGAGTCTTCGAGAAAGATGCGATACTGAGCAACAACTCCCTTTCCCCTCATCAACCTACATGCAGCTAGAGGTCAAGATCCAGAAGCTAACGACGAGATTCCACCACCAGCTGCGATCCGCAACTTGCGGAATAACCCCCAGCTTCTCTTTGTTCGCGTGCCAAATATACTGTCCTTCCTCTGTATCGTTGTCGGCGTTGTCTGGCTACTTCTACTTCCCTTGAACGACTACTCCCGACACACCTACATCTCCGAGAATGCGTTGTTACCGGGTCAAGTGCATGCCTATTTCACCGGCAGTGAGCAAAACATCTTCCGAGGATACAAGAAGGAAATTCAAGCATTGATTCAAGAGGGGCGCGAGAATGGATCTCAAAATCCGGAGGTGGTGTCAACGCCAGCGTACGTGAAGTGACTAACTAGGAGAACAACTCGAATTGAACAGCGTGCTGACGAAAAGGAAAGGATCTCTAACAAGATCTCTTCTATCTTGCAAGCTGCAGGGTTAAAAGTCGCGACTCAGAAATACGAGTACACCTCTGCAGGGATTGGGTACCAAGGAGAGAACGTTTATGGTATCATTCATGCGCCGCGGGGTGATGCGACAGAGGCAATTGTCTTGGTCGCAGCGTGGAAGACCGCGGATGATGAGTTGAACTTGAACGGTGTGACGCTTGCCTTGACGCTGGCTAGATATTTCAAACGTGCGTTTCGTTCTACATCGTCTTGGGTCTGCATTCTTTCAAACAAGCACTGATGCGTTTCTACTAGGCTGGTCGCTTTGGTCCAAGGATATCATTTTCGTTTTCCCGCCTGACAGCAAAACCGGAACACAGGCATGGATTGATGCCTACCATGACCTGCACCCTGCGACTGTACAACCACTGCCCTTGAAGAGCGGTGCCTTGCAAGGGGCGCTGGTCATCGAATATCCATTCGAGAACCACTTCCACACACTCCACATTGTCTATGATGGTGTCAATGGTCAACTACCCAATCTGGATCTTTTCAACACGGCTGTGGCCATCGCCGGTGGACAGATGGGTATTGGTGCCAATCTCCAAGAGATGTGGAAGCACGACGACACATACCGGGACCGTCTGAAGACAATTCTGCGTGGCATGACCAAGCAAGGCCTCGGCTATGCCACCGGAGCGCACAGCAGTTTCATGCCATATCACATTGACGCTATCACTCTCCAGCCCAAGGGTGAGGGCTGGGAGGATGAAATGGCCCTGGGCCGGACAATTGAAAGTCTTTGCCGTAGCTTGAACAACTTGCTCGAGCACCTACACCAAAGTTTCTTCTTCTACCTGCTCATGCAGTCGAACCGTTTCGTCAGCATTGGAACATATTTGCCGAGTGCCATGCTGATTGCAGGCAATTTTACTATCATGGCGATCGCGTTGTGGATGCGGACCGGCTACTACTCGGACTCCAAGCCCAGTGTCTTCACGGGCTCTGATACCTCCAAGTCCAAGAGCGAGAAACCCTCGGGCCCGGTCACTGAGAAGGATGTTACCGAGACCAAGGTCAATGGAAGTGCCGTCGCCGAGCGTGTCTTGGCCTTGCCACTTACGCTGGTCAGCGGATTGCATTTGCTTGGCCTTGTGCCTCTGTGGATATTTAACACAATCTTCCACCAGGTAAGCCATTACCACCGTCCAAAAAGAAAGAAAGAGAAATCATATTCTAACTATGCTCACAGTACTTCACCGCGGCTACTTATATCTTCGTCGGTGTAGACGTTGTCCTCCCTTTGATACTGGCCGCACTACTTTCAAACGGTCTAGGGATCTCAAGACCAATCGTCCCCCAACAATACCTTCTGATCAAGTCTTTCGCGCTGCTCCTGCTTGGTCTTTCCCTCTCGACCCTCGCGACTCTCAACTTCTCCCTCTCTTTCATGATCGGCCTCCTATGCGCCCCTCTAAGCTTCGTTACCCGCATCCAAGGCTCCGCAACTGTTCGATACCCTGTCTCTCTTTTGGGGCTCATGCTGCTCAATCTTCTGTCCCCGCCTGCCGTTCTCATTGGCGTCTGCTGGTATACCGGTGTGCCTATCGAGACCGTATTGACCCAAGCTGCGTTCGGATGGGATGTCTGGGGGATGTGGACACAGGTGGTGGTCTGGTGTGTGTGGTGGCCGGCTTGGTTGATTGGATGCGTCCTGTTGGGATCCTCTATGTTTTAATCATGTTCTATATCTATCCCATACTCTAGATCCCAGCGACACAACTCTACAAATGAATGAGAATACAAGAACCATCAGCTTCATGCAAGCAGGAACCGCCCTATTCATTTATTATAGATCAAAGTGGCTAGAAAGGAATACGTGTATACCGTCTATGCAGCCCAGACATCCTTACCAACACCCTCGATCCAATGACCGAGCTGATTGACACCTGCATCCCAGTCCTTCAAACGGTTCCGCATACCATCGATCTGCTTCATATCCAACACCTTGGGCTGCACCCAGTGAATGTGCGCCACCTGTGCGACCTGGTCAATCGACCCTTTCAGCAAACCCAGCGACAGCGCCTTCATGACCAGATGCTCAATCTCATCCGGCTGCACCTTGGTCTCGGAGGCGATATCGGCGAACGAGAGGGAGCGGTCATGCGGCGGGCGACGGAACACCATCTCCGTCAGCGCGGAGAGCGAGATCTTCTGATACAGGAACATGCGGTGCGACTCGAGAAGCTTGTTCTTACTAATGTTGCCGGCCAGCACGTCGTATGCGGTCAGATCGCCCCGGTTGAATGCGAAGAGCAGGTCACGCAACCAGTTGTGTGGTGTCTCGGTTAGGGAATCCAGGATCGGGTGCAGGAGGAGCTCGCCGAAGTTGTAGATTGAGTCTGAGACTAGGGCAGCGACGCTGAGATTGTAGGCGCGGGAGACGCGCTCGGTCTCGGTGAGTTCTTCGAGGTCGATGCAGGCCAGGTAGAGGAGGGCGTTTTTGTAGAAGGAGGCGAATTCTTGCTTAGTCTGGGACATTGTTAGTTCTATTTTTCCCCCTCCAGCCCTGCATGCTGGCTTCAACACGTCCGGGCTTGTGTTTAAAGTGGTTTTACGTACGTGATAATAGTCGGCATTGACTTTGTAGAATGACGCATGTACGACGGTCTCGACCGAGTCGAACGAGTCCAGCACCTTCTGGCAAGCGGCGAGATCCTTCTGTGCTCCATCGAGATCCGGTAGCCGTAACTTGACGTTGGCAACGTCGGCGAGCGCATAGACGTACGCATCTTGTGATTCGGGCTTGTTGACCTTGTTGGAAAGGGCCGTGAGGAACGCGAGCCGTTCGTTGTCATCTATCATGCCGGGGCAACCGTCAGCAATATGCAACATATATGACAGAAGATCAAGGGCCGCATGACATCGGGACCCGGTATATAAACTCACCAGGACATTCTGTTGATGCCATCAATCCCAGTGCCACAAACTTGAGCTGATTGATCCGATCGGCGAAGCTCAACACAAATGCCTTGAAGATAGGCAAGCGCTGCGGCGCGCTCTCCTTCATACGGAAGAAATCAACCAGCGCATCGGTAAGCTGATGCCATAGTTTCCGCTCCCAGAAATCTTCAAAGGTGAGGAAGTACGTCTGCGTTTCGGGCGTGCCTTGTGCTTGCTGCTCGGCCAGGAAATCGGGGATCTTGGAGGCATCCATGGCGGAGAGCGGGAGGCGGGGGCTCAATGAAAGTGTATGATCGAATCACAAGCAGATGTAGATGGCGATTAGGACAAGGGATAGAGGATCAGGAAGGGGAGTCGTGTTCGGTGTGGGGATTGGAGGACGGCGTACGGAGCTGATGATGTCTTTTTGGCAGTTTGGAGCTCGGCGGGCGGTGAAGGAAGCTGAGCTGCTTGTTCCTGGTTCCCTAGGCAGGAATTGGGATAATACAATGCTCCGTATTCGAATTGAATATTTTCCCCTCCTGAATGTAGGTAGGATCGTGATCTAGTAATTTGTCATTTGGAACATTGCTCTACGTTCTACAAGTTGCTTTGCGCTCGAGAAATCTCGTCATCACATAGATCTCTCTTGCGCACTTCAGCTCTCCACATAGCCACCTTAGCCTGGCAGAGCTGTCAGACGTTTGAAGAACAATCGAAGGTAAGCGTGTGGCTTTGCAACAGAGCTCGGAGACTTTGATCTACCTTGCAGGTTAGGAATATCTCCGAGAGATTTAGTGGTGAGCAAATTCCGTGCTAGTGCTATAAAAGTTTCCGAAGATGTCTCCGAGTCAGCACATAAATAACCTCCTTCCACTCAACTCCGGCTCCCTCATGCCCACCACTTCGACTCGATCTAAGACTTTGGATAGCTCATTATAAAAATACGATACACCCGCTGCAACGTCTTGACTTTGACCTCGTTCCCAAAATGACTGATTTTACTGAGGCTAATCGAGCACACTTCGAGTCAGTGGCCCTTAATCGCACCTCGACAACATATACCCTCAGTCAACTAACTCAAGTTTTGTACAGTCAAACGGCGACTGCATATCAAAGCAAATTCGCTGATTCTCTGAAGATCATCGCTGCGCAGACACTCAAGCACCGACTTTGGGTCAGTGATCGATGGACAGACACTGAAGCGGGCAAGGGCCAAGAAGTTAAGCTGCTTGAATATGCCTGCGGACCTGGCGTCGTCTCGATGGTAAGTGTTCTTGTGCTTCTACTGCTTTTTCTGAAATACAAATTGATATAATTCAAAAGACCCTGGCCCCCTTTTCGTCGAAAGTGATCGGCATTGATGTTTCCGAGCAAATGGTTGCCGAGTTCAATCGTAATGCCCAAGCCATCGGGCTCAGTGACAAGATGATCGGCTACAAGGCCGACCTACTTACCGAATCTGCTCCAGAAGAATTCTCTGGTCCTGATTACACTGAATTTGACGTTCTGGTCATTAGTCTGGCCTTACATCACTTTGAATATCCGGACGTTGCACTGCAACGGCTAGCGAGGCGATTGAAGAAAGGAGGTTCAATTATGATCATCGATCTCATCCCTAGCTCTGAACAGGATCACGGAAACGGCCACAGTCAAGGACATCATGGCCATGGACATGGCCATGCGAAGGAAGGAAACGACTTCGGTGATGCGTCGCATTTGATCAAGACGCATGGCTTCTCACGGGAGGATTTGGAGAAGATATTCAAAGATGCTGGGTTGGGGGCTGGATTTGATTATGAGCTGATTCCCGATCAGTTGATTTTTGAGAAAGGAGGCAAGACTATCCACAAGACGATTTTTATTGCGCGTGCTCAGCGCATCTGAGGATGGTAGTGCTTTCCTCTGTCCACTCCTTCCATACAACTTTTATTGAGCGATAAATGAGAGAACGATTATTTATTTCGTGATAGTTTGCACCATGTCTTTACGTTCAACTCTCCTAACCTTCTGATTTGTATAGACGTCGTTGATCAGCTCCGAGTGACGCACTGTGGAAAGGCCCCGCGGCACCAAGGCACTAAGGCACTAAGGCACTCGATCTGAATCCCGATTTCCACACCAACTCTTTTTACTGTCATGTGGCTTGGAAAAATGAATAACCTCCATTAACTGAGTGAGCAACCCCACACGAAACGATCGCTGGCATCAAAGTTGTTCTGCAATGGATGCAATAGTCCCCATGGTTCGAGCCTCGCCCTATAAATAGCTCCCCAGATCGGAGGTTCGGCATCACCTTCTAGGGGGAGGCACAAAACCTCGTCTTCACGCTTGAAGAGCCACCAAATTACAATTTCGACCCGGCCAATAAAACATGCAGGTTGCCCCGAGTCATGATCAATAGCTGACTCCTAATAACAAGACCCTTGACCCCTTGAGGCTCACGAAATACCTATAACGGTTTAGCCCCCATCCACCAGGCTCGGTTCGAGCCTGGCAATCCAATCGCGTGTCGGAAATGCCCGCCACTCGCTCCTTGGCAGGGACCCCAAGTGCCCCATTTCGCGCATCTGGAAAGACTAGACTGGCCTAAAGCAAGATGTGTCCAGTGGCTTTGCGGGAGAGTTTGATGCTAGATCCAATCCAGATCCCATTGCCGGATGAACCAAGAATACTGACATATAAGACAACGCTCACGCGCCGTTTCAGCAAGGCTTGTTGTCGCGCAGTCTTTCACTTTTGTTGTCGCTCGTTGAACCCGCCTACCCGGGACCGCTCTTTACCTGCATATTGCACAATCCATTCGTTTCAAATTATTCGCGAAAATGAAGGCGTTTGCCCTGCCCGTCCTTCTCGGCCTTGTCGGTCTCGCGACTGCCCGCACCGATCTCGCCGGCTGCATCTCGTCGCAAACTACCAATCAATGGCACGAGGCCAGTATGATCTGGTATGTTCCCGACACCGGCGAGATCTGCGACTTCGTTGATTGCGGCGGCGGTCGTGCGCCTCCCAAGACCACCCAGCCGGGTTGCCCTCTCTACTCCGGCACTGCGACTGTGACGCCCAGCTACATGCCAGGCTGGGGTCCCAACGGAAAGTTGGCCGCTACTACCACTACCGTCTCGCAAACCACCGCCTCCACCAAGACTACTGCAACTGGCGAATCCTCGGAAATTTCCACCACTCAGACCCAGAGCGATGGTAGCATGGTCACCGCTGCGCCTACTAGCTCCCCCGTTGTTTCTCTGAGTACGATGACTTCGTCTGCCTCGAAGGTCGGAAATTCCACTGCCTCTGCAAACTCGACCACTTCTGCTGCGACTACCGTTCATACCGGTGGCGCCAGTGGATTCGCTGCTACCAACCTGGCTGGAGTTATGGCTATTGTTGCCGCAGCTTTGGGTGCTGTCGCCCTGTAATAAAATTACAAGGATATATTTAATGTTTTTGAAATCTTGGAGAATAAAATTTTAAAATACCCTTTGCCTCTGCCGGGAGATCAATTTCGACGCAAATATCACAAGCCTTTGAGAGTGTAGTCGCCGGAAACTTCATGGGTTCACCACCCGCTTGAATCTACTATAGCTGTTTAAGACTTCTCGTGCGCTAGAATGATGTTTTTTCTTTCAGCGGACTGGATCTTTGGAAATATATTTGGAAGCATGTTCTCATTCAGGTCTATATTGATTGTATCAGAGGTCAAGTTATCTGCAGAACCTCCAAGAGGGACTATGGATCGGGAGTTCTTCTCCGCAGGTACGGAATCTCCAAGTACCACCGCCTAGGTCACAGCACAGCCTCTCACATGATGTTGGATGCATCGAAAGCCCCCGCAAAATCATAGAAGTCAGAATCAGTAATGAAAAATTCTGCGGGTAAATTGAACATATAATTAAGATCACATGGCTCTTCAACGGCCTGTGACTGCGGCACCTTCTCTTGAGCTTCTTGCCTGCGTCGATGCATCTCCTTCATCATTCTCATTCGAGCAGGGAGTCTCTTGAAGATCTCGGGTGGGCCATTAGAGGATGTGGCATCCTGCTCGCCTGGTTTTGGGATGAGAGCTCGAGCTTCATCCAACTTCCGCCCCATTGTATCGACGGTCTGATCAAAGTCAATGGTGTTCCTGACATAGGCGCGATCCCAAGCGCCGTTCTCGCTTTGATAAAGGGTCAACTGCGATAATGTGACGATTGCTTGCCCAAATTGGCTGGATATTGTAAAGGGCAGGAAGCGGAAATATACAGCTGGAAGAGTATACAGGTGGTGAAAGAAAGATCTCGTGGCTTCCAAGCAGCGGTAGAGGAGATCAAGCCGTGTTACGGGATAGTTCCCGTACTCGTTCTCTGAGTTCTCGCTGTCGAGGGAGCTGCGATAGAGTAACATCTCCAGCGTATCGTAGTGAAATGATAGTATGGCTTTGACAGTACGAAGCAGAATTAGCATTCGGACACTAGTACACAGTTTATCAAACTGTACATACCTGCGTGGGGCTCCCTGCACGAGAAAGAATCTTTCAGCTTTTGAAGCTCAGCTTGATGCCATCGCAAACTCATACCAAGAGGCGCCGAGGGGACTGAGGAGACCTCACGCATAGCCATCGTATGATTGATATTCTCGGCAAGATGCATGACTCTCACGAGTTGAACCGCATATGTATCTGTCAATGTCCCGGGAGATTCTTTCAATAATTTACAGCACTCATTCGTGTACTCGGTAAAACGGAATGATTCCATGTCTTTGGCGCAGACCGATAACCTTCAACTGTCGTTAGTGTCCATGTAAAAAAAGACCCAGGAAAAGATTTAGTACGCACACCATCATTGCATAGTAGCACCCTAAAAAGGTTCGACGATCCTCTATCGTACGCGTTGAACTCTTATCCCGATGAGAGTCGGCCTGACTTAAGTAGGCGATGGGCTGATTCAATGTCTTTGGGCTGCGTGGATCCTGATTCAGACCCAGACTAATTGCCTGTGCCATGGTAAGATGTAGGAAAGCATCCAATTGCGCAGTTCCCTGAGACGGTAGCTTTGAGGGTATATTTGAATCACATATAGGGCCGTTAATTGGACCAGAGAAGTTCGGTCGAGGTATCCGAGAGACAGAAATGAACCAAACCAGATGGACCAGCAGACCTTGAAGAAGATCGAGACTCCGTTGTCCCTGCATGATGATGCGGTCGGCTATATATTCTTTGACGGCCTTTGATAGCTCTCGTTGGCGCTCAGGGTTCGGGCAGGCGATCATTGTGATATTCAGGTGAAGAAATGGTCTTTCACGACACAGATCTTCAACGGTCATGTGGGACGGTACTGGGACGAAGGGAAACATCGGAATCATCATTTTGGCATAGGTCTCCAACAAAGCCGGGCATTCTATATCTCCTGGTGTAGATACATCCACGCTCCTGGCTGTCGCAGAGTAGCACCCGGGCGATGGCGTGACGTCCGACGAGAGACTCCCGGGAGGTCGCTCAGAAGCAGCTAGTAAAGCTACCATTCTATCTAATTTGGCTTCCAAGGCAGCAACATCACTGTTCGATCAGCCAAGTCTAGACTGACCATGGTATGCTCGATGGAAACGTACGCTTTGGCAGGCTTGCTCTTTTGCCGTCGATGGACTCCGGGCGTTTGGCTACCACAATCCTTACTGAGACGACGACATCTAGAGACATTTAGCTCAGATCCCTGATGGAAAGTTCAAAGTTCATGATGCCGCAGATACTTGCCGCTTACAAGGACCTTCTCTCTGGGTCTCACAGCGAACTTTTGCCTTGGCGCATGTTCTGCAAGCCTTCGGCATGCGAACTCCGCTGGTCCCCTCCATGATATACAAGGACGGACCAGTGTTCCGTCCCACAGACAGGTAGCTGGAAATGTCACAGACCTAATCTGGAGCCTGGAGGACCCGCAAGTAGATGGAATGTTCCGAAAGTGCTTCGTGCTATGAATAAAATGATTGCAGACGGAGGTCCGCCTTGCGCTTTTGGCCCCCACGGATCATTTTATGTCATCAAATCAGCGCGAGACTAGTTAGTTAGTTAACTAACTTATTTACTTAATTACATTTCTTCCAACTCATTAAGCCTAGACGAATATTACAAAAGCTCAAAATGTACAATAGGATATACCGTGTGGGGGCTCCTGTAGCTATACCACCACAACGCGTAATTTTTACCCTGAGATTGGGCTCTGATTTCGCCAGAGAGAGCAGTGGCGATGGGCTGAATTAATCATTCATTTGCCAAGCACCAAGATTCGAATTTTTGAGTAGTCTGAGGCTTCGTCCTTTAAAGCGAAGCTTTGAATCCCCAAGAGTAGTCAGATACATTCTTTCCTCGACCGAACTTCAAGCACTTTACTTGCAAAGCCCGCATTGATCTTCTACAGCCACAATTCTCACGTTCTTCCCGTATCGAAGCATCGATATCGTTATTTGACGTATACTATACGAATGCTATGGAATGCTATGGAAGGCAATCTGACTCGAGAGCCCTATGTCCAGCCTCACCTTCCAACCCCGCCTTCACCTTTCAACACCACCCCACCTAATCGAACCATGGCCTCTTTCCCCCCACCTGCGCTCCATGGAACCGTCGTTTTGGTGAATTATCCAAGACTTTGTTCTTTTAGCGATTACTTGTCAAACATCAGATGATATATCAGCCCCAATGATGGCCACCAGGGCTCCACTTACCCATGGCGACTATACGGTCGGATGGATATGCGCCTTGCCTGTAGAGACGGCGGCTGCGAACCTGATGTTGGACAAATTACACCCTCCTTTGCCTCGCCTACCGACGGATCAAAATACATATATCCTTGGAAGCATCGGAGAACACAATATTGTGATTGCTAGCCTGCCGGGTGGCGCATATGGCAACACATCAGCTACATCGGTTGCGATACAGTTACTATCTTGTTTTCGCGCCATCCGCATCGGTCTCATGGTTGGTGTCGGCGGCGGAGTACCGAACAGTAATGCAGATATTCGGCTCGGGGATATTATCGTTAGCCAGCCAACAAACACATCTGGGGGCGTGATCCAATACGATCTTGGCAAAGCGTTGAGCGGTGGTCAATTTAAGCGGACAGGATCACTTAACCGGCCTCCGGAAGCTCTGTTAACCGCTCTTACTACCCTCAAAGCCTTTCACATCATAAAGGACAGCCGGGTGGCTGAGTTCGTTTCTGACATCCAAGTCAGAATCCCGCCTCACAAGGCTATAACGTTTGCGAGACCAACCCAAGAAGATTGTCTATTTCAAGCGGAGTATAATCACGTCGCATCTAATACATATACATGTCTCAATTGCGACCGATCCAAACTATCTCCACGGACTCACCGAGATCATTAGGAACCAGTTGTTCACTATGGCCTCATTGGATCTGGGAACCAGGTAGTGAAAGACGGCAGGTTGCGTGATAAGCTGGCTCGGGACTTAGGGGTGTACTGCCTAGATATGGAAGCCGCTGGTCTCCTGAATAACTTTCCATGTTCGGTCATTCGGGGCATTTGTGACTATGCCGACTCACACAAAAATAAAGAATGGCAGGGATATGCGGCGGCCGTGGCCGCAGCTTATGCAAAAGAGCTTCCTTTGGTGGTTCCAACTGATCAGATTGCCACAAACCCAACAGCACGAGACACTCTGGCAAACTCAGGTGAGAACCTCTCAACCTAACACATGGATCATTTTCCACGTCTCGAATCGATTGCTAAGTGGTCTTTTGTATGTAGCTCGCCGATTTGACATCCCACAGGATCTTACTACATCGCCAGTGATCCCCAGTTCCCAGGGACAACAGCGGAAGCAAAATGTGAAACGCAGGGTTGGGGATGAAAAAGGATATACCCAGGAAGATCAAATGCAGATACCACTGCCCAAAAGGCCTCAAATCAGCTATATCTGTCTCAACCTCCGCTTACTGCCTCGCTGGAGCCCAGGAGCAACATGGAGTTGAATCACCCGATCGAGACCTCTGAATCTTTTGGAGGGGCTGGGCTTGTTTCGGATTTCCAATCTAGGAACAAGGATAGCCCACGGCAGAAAGAGGCGGGCTTTTTGAATGATCAACCAAGAAGCCTTGAAAAAGTCCCTCTCAGCCAGAATTCAAAGAGTGGTTTAGACTCGTACGTCACTAATCTAAAGAACTATTCCGTTACTATAAATCAATTGATAGGCCTTCAGTCTCTATTGAGTATTTGCGAGTAAGAATAACTGAACAAACAACTGACACACTGAACGAAGATGTACTAAATGTTCGAATAGCGTGGCGAAAAGATTCATCGAATTACAAGGCCATGTCGCGCTAGCCAATGCATTCGACAAGATAAATCGTATCAATACGTGGTCGAATCCATCCAAATCTATGACGACTGGCGTCTTAAACCCCATAGACATGCGACGTGAAAGCGAAATTGCCCGTTGCCTGTTGACTCTCGTCCACCATCCAGAAGGCATCAATGAAGCGCTCAAACCCCTGGACCACCCTATGATATTTACACTTATCAATGGTCTCATCGCCCACGACATTTCCGCTCGCCAATACGCAACCCATGCACTTATCAGCATATTCCATCCCGGAATTCACGAGAATAACTCAAAAGAAAAGGCACATGTAATTCTCCTAGAAGCTATGCAGCAGATCGAACCTATTTCAAAAACTCGTCGATGCAATCTTTGGATCTCAAACGTGTCATTTGGTCTGAGCTTTCTACTTACGGAAGGAAAGATTTCTCCCCAGAACACGAGAGAAGAGTCCCTGGAATATCTTACCTGGACCATGAAGCTCATCAATCTACTGGTCGAGATACCAGGTGAGGATAAGGAGCTAAAGGAAAGTGCTATTGAGATGCTGAGGCAAGCCGGGGTTCGAGATGAGTGGGGTGGGTTTTTTGATAAGATGCTTACATTTACATCACGGAATCTTAAAGAACAAATGAGGCGCTCCTTTGGTAATGGGCTTTGTGCTATAAATTCTGATCGGTTGCACCTCTTAGGACAGCCTGATAGTACTTAGAAGAATTAAGAGAGTATTTCACAATATATTAATAGCCGAGTATAGCAACTAGCCCAAGTATATAGAGAGAAAACACTAGGCGGTAAGTTAGGGCTACCTAAAGCTCCTAACCTTTACTTATAACAGCCCGGGCCTCGGGCATCAGAGGGTTAGGCCTGGGTGAGTCTAGCAACAAAGACATAGCCCAGTTTACAAAAAGTTCAAGTACTACAAATTCTCAATTATTGTATGATGCGGCCACATTTTCCAGGTCGGGGACTCGTAATACATCAAAAAGTCCGTTCGACCCACTGCCTGGACCTAAGAGTACTCGTCGGGCATGTCCAATTTTTGAAGCGCTCAACCCAATTAGAAGTATTTGCTCTCTGAGGAGACAGAACCACAGACAGAACTCCTCACAGAGAGTGGTTCGTGGGTCACCTTCCCCGCACCGGCTGAAAAGGTGGGGCTATTTCCGACTCGGATGTACAGGGCCACCAGGCTGGGACGGTTGGCGTGTGGGACCTCCCAAGTGTGGATGTGTGGGATATGGGGAACAAGGACTGACGTAGCTTGTGAGAGCTCGTTTGCGGGACTTATCACATTGATAGGCTCGCAGGATGCATGATAAACGCTCTGAGCCTCCAAAATTTCAGACAGACCTTCGATTGAACATTGGTTTTGTATCTGCCTATCCTATAGCCATGGTGCAACCAAACCATGGAGCTTCGGTTCCCGACATTGTTGCCATGGGCAGCGAAGGTGAGAATGTGACGCAGTGGCAAGAACGGTGTGGAATCAAGAAAGAGAATCAGATCCGTTTGGTCAAGTTGGCGCACATGCGTTACCAGCACCCCGATCTCGATCAAATTACCACCTTTCTCGAAGGTATGAGCCCCTAGCATGTCTTGTGCTCTCCGATTGTGTATACTAAGAGTAGCACTTAGATTTTGGTATGACGATCGCAAAGAAGACGGAAGATCAAATCTGGTATCGAGGTTACGGCAATGATCAGTACGTCTACTACGCTCGGAAGGGGCCAAAAGAGTATCTCGGAGGAACATTCACCGTGGAGACCTACCAAGATCTGGAGAGGTGCGGATTCCTTGCAGATTTACAGCCAAAAAGCACGCTGACCATTTTGATAGGGCTACTCAGCTTCCAACTGCTAGTAAAATCAAGAAATTATCCGATGCTCCTGGTGGGGGCTCTATGGTCACACTGACGGACCCTGAAGGATTTCCCGTGAACTTAATATACGGACAGAAAACAGCTGAGAAGGGCAAATATCCGGAGAGGCTCGCTGTTAACTATGAAGATGAGAAACCTCGCATTCGAAGGTTTCTGCGCTTCCAACCTGGTCCTGCAGCTGTGCACAAGGTGCGTACCCATCATAAAGCCATCAGGAACCAAGTTAAACTAACGGTCATACGAAGCTCGGGCATTTTGGACTCTGTACGCAAAAGTTTGACGAGCTGGTCACGTTCTACACCACAAATTTCAACATAGTTCCGACTGACTTCCTCCATGTCGACAAGGATGGCCAGAAGAATAACGTCGCACTTTTCGCTCACATCGATCGTGGCAGCGATTATGTAGACCACCACAGCTTCTTCATCAGCACCAATGCGACGACACATGTCCATCATTGCTCGTTCGAGGTTCATGACCTCGACACTCAGAAGCTTGGACACCAATGGCTTGCCGACAAGAAGTATGAGTCTGTGTGGGGTGTGGGCAGGCACATCCTCGGATCGCAAATCTTTGACTACTGGTGGGATACGACTGGGAATATGATTGAGCATTATGCCGATGGTGATCTGGTCAATGACCAGACACCTATCGGGTATGGTCCAGCGGGAGATGAATCTCTGGCAGTTTGGGGGCCCGAAGTCCCATCTTGGTTTTTGAAGTAGTGCAATATGACTAAAATGATGCCTTCACATTCGAATCTAAAAGTTCTCCTTTTCCTCATTTCCAGTTGAGTAGCTCGGCAATATCTCCCTAACATGTTCGAGGGATTTGATTTTTTTTTGCGGTGAGACAAAGCGATCATCCCTTGTTTGTCACGGTGCGATCTAGAACCTCATGCCCATGACATAGCATGTAAGGATTTATAGTGACAACCGAAGTATTTCTAGATTCTGCTTAATTTGGGGCATTTTATTTCGCCCTGGGCTCGTAATCAGTAAAGCTCTAAACCAAGACTTGCTGTGGAAACGTTGATACTAAATTGGCTCTCTGGGAAATTCAGTCTATTTTCATTTTCTATTTTGAAACAACAGTTCGACAATTCTATATCAATTTAGAGCCTCTCCCGTTTCGCCTCTCTAGTAAAACCATTGAGATATTCATCTAGAATATCAACGGGTATCATAGCGAACTTTGTTGATAAGAGTTCCAATCTGGTCAATCTGGATCGAGATCTCATCACCGTCCTTGAGAACCACTCTTGGCTGACGGAAATAGCCAATACCGGCCGGTGTTCCCGTCAAAAACAAGGTCCCCGCCTCCAGAGTAGTACCTTGAGAGAGATATGAAATCTGCTTCTTGATTGAAAAGATCATATCTCTGGTATGGCCGTCCTGGACCGTTGCGCCATTGTGAATCGCCTTGATGGACAATGTCTGGGGGTCCTTGATTACAGATGGTGCAACCAGAACGGGTCCTATGAGATTATCATTAGTAAATGACGGCTTTGGAAAGGGAGATTGGTCTGGCTTACCAATTGGGCAACTGCCGTCGAGGCCTTTGGAGAAAGACCACTGCGTAGTAAGCATTTGCAGCTCCCTGGCAGACACGTCGTTCGACGCGGTATATCCAAGCACATAATCCAGTGCCTCGTCTTCCGGGATATCGCGGCCACTCTTGCCAATTATCAGACAAAGCTCGGCCTCGTAGTCACTGGTATCGTCTTGTGCACACTTGGGAACGTTAATAGCGGCGGGGTAGGGTCCGATCAGGGCGGTGCGGGGCTTGGTGAATAGAATTGGGGCCTTGGGGAGAGCCATGTTTGCTTCCTTTATGATGATTAGCCAATGCTATACCTGTTTTTATGGAGTCCTCTCGACTTACATTGGCATGATCTATATAATTGAGTCCCAAGCATCGAATGTAATTGCACTCTTCCCTTGAAACAGGAGACAGCAACTACAGAAATTAGCCTTCTTGTTAGAGTGACTTCTTGGGATATGCTTACCTGCTTGACATGCAAAATATCCTTTGTAACCTTGCCATCGAAAATGGTTCCTTCGATCACGTAGGCCGCAATTTCGACACCATCAACGCTGTCTCGACCGATATCACGGGTCACATCGACAAGTTGGCCCAGGTGGACAAGGCTATCCTCCGCCGCAATAAAGCGAATCAAATGGGTCCAGTCTGGCATTTTGAGCGCGATTCGTGAGAATATTATGAATCTCCTATTCCTGACAGAGCAGAAGAATAAGCTAGACTACTTAACTGAATCAGTAGACTACCACATTTGGCCCGGCTCCCCGTGTTCTTGCTTGCGGGACGTGGGGCCAATGTTCCCAACATCGGATCTTGTGGTCTGCTTTGGTTGATTTCCCCACAATAGCTAGCACGAGCCGGATATAAGTTCATAACCGCAAGGATACAGAAAGTCCATCAAAGAACGGAATTATGTATCTAACGACGTAGTCGGCCTTATTGAAAACATCTTGAATAGACTCCTGGTGGGACCNGGGGGGGGGGGGGGGGGGGGGGGGGGGGGGGGGGGGGGGCAATGCGGGACTTCCGCCACCCTGTGGAGACAGTTTGGTTCGATGTAATTCTGCCTCCAACTGAAATGCAAAGCTCTGTAAGACAAGTTGGAGCTTTTTAAGCTATAGAGGTTGCGATATCCTTAGACTTGCTTCAAGAGATTCAGCATGGAGTGCGGAACGACCGACGTGGGTTTGCGGCTGCGGCCCAACAGGAGCCATGCTTTCCGCGTATCTAGGCGCGAAGGGACATTTACTCTCTTCAACTCAGACCCTTAGCCATGAGATGACTCGAAGAGTCGATAGATGACACGGAAGTAAGCTCATCAATACTAGGTATGCACAAATCCAAGTTTATTGGAGGAAAGGATTCAGTTTTAGATAAGTGAACATTCATTGAGATGGACTGCGGAATTGTAGAATTATTTCCTACTCTTTCAGTGGAACGATTGAACTAAGTACCTGGTCGTCACCGGATAGACTGAAGGTGGCAACAGTCATGTGGGCTCCATATGTCACGAATAGCAAGCATTAGAAAGATGTTTGAGAGGTGCGATGGATCTTCGAAGTATTGCGACTTGTGGCCGGGGTGTGAAGTGATCAGTCTTCAAGAACATGGCCAGGGAACACTTCCGGCTTGCCTTTGGAGAAGAGTGTGCCTGGTCTCCGCTAAGTGCAAACAGGCCGAAGCCAAAGTTTTATGACTCGCTTTATTTAGGGACGGTCTTAAAGGGAAAGGAAATTGTCTATCATTCAGCCAGATACATTCATAATTGCTTCTTGTGATAGCAGAGAAGACTTGGTGAAGATAACCAGAGCTGCAGTCTCACAAATCCAAGCATAATGGATGTGGTGAAGATTTGGTCAAGTCATAATGAAACATCAATAAGAATGTTGTGCCAAAAGACAGTAAAAGCACAAGATGGATGCAAAATGCGCCAATCCCAGAGACAGACTTGCAATTTGTCTTGCAATCAGTCAGAACGACTCAGTCGCTAGTCGGATAACCACCATTTCGGAGAGCCCAAATGGGATTTTACCGCATCACGACAACCACTCGGTACATTTCGATATTCTCTTGAGATCACGCGACTTGAAATCATGTCGTAATGTGATTATCTGGTTTTCCTTTCGCACTCGGTTGTTTGGCTAAGCCAGCTCAGCTGCCGAACAAGTGAAAGGCCGTCCAACAATTCCAGTTTTAGATTCTTCTATCTGTTTCATTTAAGTCAGCTAACAGTCTATGATTAGAGCTCGTCCGCATTTACCAAGTTAAGGATGTTGGCGTACATTCCACAAACGAGAATGCCTATTCCAAGCAGAAAGACGACCCCGTTATAGAAGGCACTTCTGATATTCTTCAGTGAGAACCAATTTCCTTCTTTGAGAAGGACAAACCACATGACCGCGGGAACATAAAAGCAGAGCCCCGAGTTCAACAAGGCAGCTGTAATAGATAGCATGTCGGAAAACACCGGAATAGCTTCGGCAACGATCCACGAGAGGAAAGTGAGGACAGTCACGAGCATGATCCAGGTAATCCAACCGTTTTTGGTATTCACGTAACGCACCACGGAGTCCCGATAGACATGGCCATGAATATATCGAGCAACCACGGAGGTATTGATCGAACCGGAGATAAAGATAACTGGGAGGGCAACACCAAAGGCAATTCTCGACATTAGAGGCCCAGCTGATAGTAATGCAGGGGATTGCACATCCTGACCGACGAAGTAAAAAACAAGAGATCCAATCAATGTGTAAAGAACAATCTCTATCAGCCCGATTGCGTATACCGACTTGACATAATCCCGTGGTGTATGCATTTCGGCCATAAATGATGGTAAAGTCGGCGCAAAGGAATAGGCGAAGACGATATTGTTAAGAGCGACCATCACTTTCGGGAAATCTGCGTCCTCCCTAGGCCAGGCTGACCATGTTGAGCTCGATAGACCACCAGGGCTTTGAGAACTCTTGATTCCAGTGGCAGTCATAGTAATTCCGATGGCGATCATGATTGATGCAAAATCAATATAACCCAATATGGCGAGGTCTGCAAAAGAAGGCGGGATTGCTGCCAATAGTAGGATGATAGTTGATATCAACCCAAAAATCACTGTGCAAACATCACTTTCTGTGATTCTCACAAAGGCAATGATACCAGTCAGACAATGGGATCCCACACCTAGCATGATACCAATAACGAAAGCGCAGGTTATAATCCAGAAGCCGGTCTCTCCAAGGAGCAATGTCCCGATGTCGGGGTAGTTCTGAATCTCCGGATACTTTATCTTCACGGCTCCCACAATATAGCCAGCATAAGTGGCGATGAGACCGATGACAATGGACGAGAAGACCCCGGCAACCATCCCAAGCGTTGAAAAAGCCGCAGGGAGACTCAAGCTGCCTAGGGCGATGGCTTCCACGATGAGGCATATAGTCAGGCGTTTCCAGCCAAGTCGATTGAATTTTCTTTTTCCTTGTATTTCCCGATCTTGCTCAAATTCGGTCGGAGAATTGCGAGGGGAAAGGCTGCCATCCTCAAGGGAATTTGGTGACTGGAAGACTTTGGGGTCTTTCTCCTCAGCTAGAGCGAGGGCTTGTGGTTGGTACCGAGTACGACGATCGATACTCTTGTCTACCATATTTGGGTTGGCACGGGATAAAGAATTGCGAAATATGGACGAACATACAAACTACTAGGTGTCGCCCATGGCTGTTCTTAAATACCAAATGACCGTCGTCTATCATTGCCCGTATTTACTGCAGGGAGAACGCGGGACGACTACACAGCTGGCCCGCAGAGAATGTGCAGAAACATGCAGGACTATGCTGTGACAAGGAAGATGACTCGGGGAGCAAGTGCGACCCGAAGCCAATCATATTACTATGAGGAAGGCAATCCCATTGCGATCAGACCTTGAAGTAGTGAGGTGGGAAAGTAGCTATTCCTTCAGCTCAAATGTGTTGCGATGGAAATTATCGACACGTTCTACGTGCTAGCGTGCATAAATTCTACGAGGGGAACATCCCTTCAGCTAATGCATGGCAAACAGGATTGTGTAAACTCACCATCCGGGCGGTGTCTGGGACAAAGCAATTTTAGTCATATCTGGTAGACTGGTGGGCAATCCTTACGCCTCTTGGACACCCGATAAAGCAAGGGCTGTGCCATGTGCCCTTTTTGCCACTTTGAGTCGATGGTCATTCTGGCATGTTATTGTGGAGCTAAAAATTACTCGGAGATCAGAGCGTGGAGTTTGATTTTGGACTGTAAGTCTGCCTCTTTGTGTCTAACAAAAATTTCGCGTCTATCAACAGATGAGCTAGGATCATTATGATGATACAATACCAAGCATCTTCGATCCGAAGAGGTTGTGATTAAGCCAAGACGGACCGACCCCTGAATTAGCGTCAGATCATAGTTTAGCGCCTATAAGTGCTATATGTAGAGTACCATCGATAAGATTTCCAGCCAATCAGTCTCTGTGGCCCCTTCCACGTCACTAATAGAGTCAAGATTCATGGAAAAGGCGTTTAAGAGTTTGATTTCGTACAGTCTTAGCTAGGACCATCTTTCAACTCCCTCACATGCTCCGAGTCGAACAAATGGATCCGAGCGCACGCTTAGCCGCACGCGCGAAGGTAGAAAGGAAACTAAGAAAGATAATGACGTACCATTCCAAGGAAGACGAGATAGTCACAATAACCGGTGTAGGGGTAACAGCATGGCCTGCTTCCAGGGCAAAATAGATTGGGTTTATGTCGGACATGCGACAAAAATTCGGTGTAGACTGGCCAAGGGATTGATGAGATGATCTGGCGTTGCCCCACATGATATAAGGTTCGCCGCCACGCGTCAGATCATTGAAACTGATCTAGCAAGGTTTATCCCGGTCAGATCACATCATGAAGACCATATGGTACTACATGGAGGTAAACAAGGGCAGACGAAGAAGCAGTGAAGGCACAGAAGAAATTGGGTTTGATAGCAGGGTATTCCCTACAGCCCGCCGTAGCTGATGAGAAGTTTGCAGGAAACGTGTTGTGACTGCTCTGGGCTGAGATACTTGATAGCGTTATACATTGTGGTTAAGGAATGAAGCAATAGTCATTCGGTCTCTATCTTGTCAATGACCCTCTATCCTATAGAAATTCTATGTGAAGGGAATATCTCTAGTCCTTCACAGATAGTCCTGGAAGCTCGGGGGGTTGGAAGAACACTCGGATCTATGATCACTCCAAGCGTAGTGGGGGAGTGCCATGAATGTTCCAGACAGCCAATGCGCTCATTTGCCCATGGTAGACACAATTTCGATACCAAGCTATCACATTAATTCAATTCTACTACTCTGCCGTGCCCTAATATATTCTATGATGCCAGGAAGCACATTTGGTTTACTCGTCCTATGTGCTCGGTTTATTATGGGTGAACCACAGCTGTGGGAGTGACGTCATCACTCCAACTTCCTCCAGGGCAGCTCGTGGCTGGTTGGAATCGGCTCCGTCGGAGCCGAACTTCGCTAACTTCATAAAGCTTTCTGCCTTGGTTATTTTCTCTTCATTTCTTAATTACCTGTCCTAGCTGTATCATCATGTCTGAATCTTTTGCCCTTCTCCGCCGTCGCCGCAGCGACGAGCTTGCCAAACTTGCCGATGAGCATCTGCAACACGATCTCCAGGCCGACGATCGGGATGCACTCAAGTCGGCTGCTTCCACCGTTTCCTTCTGGGCTACGATTGGATCTGCGGCAGGCCTTGGGCTTGGGTTGTATGCTGCTATTCGGCTACGAAGCACTCGCAAGGCGTTCTTCGCAGCCGTTCGAGCGCAGGAAAGGCCTACCAAGGTCGTCTTTGCGGATGGACGTACCGGTATGTTCAAAGATCTCTACTTCATAAACCATACAAGACCCCAGGAATGAACACTTGATTGACGAACCACCAGAGCCTATTCCGGATTTGACGCCATTACTGAAGCCCACGACTCTCGGAGACGTTGCAACGTATTTCTTTGCTTCGCTCGGTGGTCTGTTCTTGGGTGGAGAGCTAGGTATGTGGATTTACTCGTGGACCTATCTTTGCGTTTCAACTAACTCCAATCATCAGGCTTTGCGGGAGGAGCAGCCAGTGGAAGCCGCCGCATTACAGCTGATCCGGAAAGGAAAAAGCGGATCGAGACTGCTTTTAGAAGGTTCAGAGCTGATGTCCTTCGAAGAGAAGCGGATTCCCTGGATAAGGGCGCCAACGTTTCAGATATCATGTTCTAGCTTCTCGGTGCATCGGCCGAATAATAAACAATGAAGATTTTTGTCTCAATTCCTCACTGGACCGTGCGGCAGTGGGCAGTAAATCTTGTCTCCGCAGGCTTCACTGTGCAATAAGCTCTAAACCTAAACCCATCGGCGCTTTCTCATTTTGCCATATTGGATGGATTCATGTGTAAATAGTAGGCCAGAGACTCGCCGGATACAATAGGTGATTGATCGTACTTGTTTAAGGCTGCCTAGTTCGAGGTCATCGGGACATTCTGAGAGCTGCTGGGAAAATGCTAAATAAGGTTTAAATGTGGTTATTATTTTTGACGTAGTTCTTTCTTTAGAGGAAGACAAGACGCCCTAGCTCTCTTTTTCTAATCGGTTCGCATTGACGGGGCTCGGGGCAGTGGGCCTGTACCTGTTGTCGTCTTCGGGCATATAGTGCTGCACCTCGAGAGGCTGCGAATGTTGGACTAATGATTTTGGACACAAGAGCAGAAGACGAGCTGGTGACTTAAGAGACCGAATGTTTAACACTCTGAAGAAGGCCCGTGCACGAAGGAAGTTGGAGAAAGGATATCAGTAGTTACTCCATCTACCCCAATGCGGGGGGCTGTATATATATCAGGACTATCGTCGGCGGACTTTGTCCCGCTCTCTTTCCCCGCTCCCTTATCAATAGCAGTTTCGACTGCCGAAATTGAACAATCCCTTGTCTATAAGAAGATCCGCGTTCCACCATGTATACAGTCAAAGCGCTTCGTACGATTTTGAGCCGAACACCCCTTGGAACGACAAGACAGCCGAAGTCATCACTCCATCCTCCCTACACTAGCCTCTTCTCCACATCAAGCTATCGGGCTATGTTGACCACGGAGCTGTCCGAAGCCGATGTATCGGCATTGAGAGTCAACAGGGAGCGACTAGCAAAGGACCTCCATCATTCTTGTCAATGGGGATCTGGGATTCGATGGGGCAAGTGAGTGGACTTGGAGCATGGATAACAGGGATAGAGGAGTAGTTGACCACATGCAGTGATCCAACAGATACAGGCATGCAACGCCTTGCGCTGTCCGAAGAAGATAAAAGTGTTCGAGACTGGTTTGTTCAGACTATGAAGGATCTCAAATGCGAGATCACCGTGGACGAAATGGGTAATATCTTCGCCGTGCGCCCGGGTCGACGCAAGGATGTCCCCGCTACGTTTATCGGCAGTCACCTTGATACACAACCCACAGGCGGCCGCTACGATGGCATCCTAGGCGTTTTGTCGGGTGTGGAAGCGCTGAAGAGAATGGATGAGTTGGGTCTAGAAACGGAAGGAGGAGTCGGGGTTGTGAATTGGACCAAGTACGAAATTACATTCACCATTCCTTCCGGCATGATATACTGACCGTTCTTTAGTGAAGAAGGCGCACGATTCCCAGTGAGTATGATCGCATCGGGAGTATGGGCGGAATGTATCCCATTATCAAAGGCCCACAACCTCAAGGAGGTACCGACCGTTGCATCGCTTCCGACAGCTGCGTCAGCCCCCGAGACGATGAAGTCTGCTTTGGAGAAGATAAACTACCTGGGTGATGTGCCATGCTCTTACAAGACCACGCCCATGGCGGCACATTTTGAGCTGCACATCGAGCAGGGCCCGCACCTAATTTCGGCTGCTCAGCAAGTCGGTGTTGTCACAGCAGTCCAGGCCTATCGCTGGTTCAGGTTGAAGATTATCGGACGAGACACCCATACCGGCACGACCGCTTTCGAGCATCGTGCCGATGCATTGTATGCCTTTGCACAGATGATGGTTCGAGCGCGGGAGGTGGCCGCCGCCCAAGGGTGTCTCGCCAGCGTTGGCATTATCGAAGTTGCCCCTGGAAGTGTCAACACGGTGCCCGGGCAGGTGAGCTTCAGCTTGGATATCCGCGGCCCAGAGACAGCACTAGTAGCAGAGGTTGAAAAGAAGCTACGCAGTGATTTCGATAAGATTGCTGCAGCAGAAGGTGCTGGGATTGGCAAGCCTTGCCGGGTTGAATGGACGCTCGACTTTGACTCGCCGGCTGTTAAGTTCCATGAGGATTGCATTGAATGTGTTCAACAGTCGGCCCAAGCTGTAGTTGCGGATGCGCCCGTTGCTGACACCAAATCGCTGATTCGGCCTATCATGAGTGGTGCTGGTCACGATAGCGTTTTCACGTCCAAGCGAGTGCCAACTAGCATGATCTTTGTGCCATGTAAAGATGGACTCAGTCACCATCCTGAGGAGTTCTGCTCTGCGGACGACTGTGCCACTGGAGCCTCCGTAATTCTGCAAGCGGTGGTGCGATATGATCGCAAGAGGTTCGCGTAGAATCAATCACCGGGGCGACAGTTGAATATATAGGCATTGAATACCAACCCATGTATCATGTGAGACCATGTCTACGCCATACTCGTTGGCTCCAAGTTCAATTGGTTTAGCGGTCCATGTGAACGAAGCATCTACGAGAAGAACAAGATTTGCAGTGAGTCATGAATGTGCCATTAAGACTAGCTACATCATAACATCGTTTCAACTTTTTTGATTTTTCCTCGTATTCCCCAAGTCTCAAGAGACTGGGGAACCGTCGGAAGATGTATCAACGACCAGCCCCTTTCAGCATCACTTGTTTCAGTTCGCCTACTCCGAACCGGAAGTCGAAAACATCAGCCCCTAAGGATGACCGAGCATTGAATGACAGGACACCAAGGCATCAAGGAAGAGTCCTTTACTGCTGCTGGGGAGCACCGCGGCCACGGCCGAAGCCACCACGGAAGGAAGGAGCGAACTCGCCGGGGGCACCGCCCTCCTTGCCACCCTCCTCACGGCGGCGGTAACCACCCTCGCGGCCCTCACGGGGAGCACGGGGACGACGCTCACGGTCCTCACCGCCCATCATGCCGCGGGGGGGAGCGTGGGAGCGCTGCTGCTTGATGTGGGTGGCGGGGACAACCTCAGCGGGGAGGTGGAGCCACTCGCGGAGGTAGTCCAGACCCTCGGGGGTGAGGGTGTAGTAGTAGTACTGCCACGAGAACTGGGTCTTGACGAAGCCACGGGAGTTCAGGGACTGCATAGCCTTGATGACCTGTTGGGAACCGGAACGTTAGTACATGTTGAAAGGAATCAATGGCGGGTAGTGGGGTTCATCGTACATAGAGGTTCTTGGTGTCAATGTCACCGTGCTTGGGAAGGTTGAAGTCCTTCTTGGCCACGAGCACACCCTCTGCGAATCCATGTCAGTCAATCATTTTCTTTCATTCGAGATGCTTTTCACCCGGCGCGACAAAGGTAGGCGGAACCTGGGCCGGTCGAGGCGTCGGCGAGATGTTGGATACATACCACGGAAGAGGTACTCGTGGATCTTCTTGCGGTCGTCCTTGGGGATAAGCCTGGGGCATTGTTAGTATCTTGACGGCATCAAAGAGTGTCTGAAGTAAAATCTTACATTGTCGCGAGTTCCTGGCGCAATTCGTGGAATCGCTTTGACAACGTCAGGAGGAGATGGGTGATTTAAAGATCCAAGAGTGGAGCTGCGCCGTGAGAAAAGTGCGATATTCCTTTTCGGGGGCTCGCTAGGGTTCCCGCCCTAATCACATTGATTGGGTCAGATCATGTGATTGATGATGGATGAATCCGCTGAGTCATCTATCGCATAGTCACATGACCTGCAGTTCCCGCTCGGCTTATCTCGATGGCGTTGATCGATAGCCTCTGATCGAACTACCCATCAACTCTACAACTCAGATCCACAGCTCAACAGCTCCTACAACATGGCGCAGTCAAATATTAACGTCCTACTCTCTTCTTTCCCGGGCCTTTCACTCCCATCCACCCTCTCATTTGCGCTTCCCTCCACAGCGACCTTGTCAGATCTGACAGACAAAGTCGCCTCATATCTGCCGACCTCGCTTTCTCTGGAACGTCTCATTCTCACAACTACCAATAACAAGCAAATCTTCGCGTCTCCTACTCCTCTTCATTCTTTGATCACTCGCGACAATGGTGCCGTCACTACTCTCCTTCCCATCCGCCTCTCGGCGCCGCTGTGCGGTGGTAAGGGTGGTTTCGGATCCCAACTTCGTGCCGCGGGTGGGCGCATGGCCAGCAAGCGCAAGCGCAACCAGGGCGACAACAACAGTTCGAGCCGTAATCTCGATGGCCGCCGTTTGCGGACCGTCAATGAGGCCAAAGCACTTGCCGAGTATCTCGCGGTCAAGCCTGAAATGGACAAGCAAGAGAAGGAAGAACGCCGCCGCCGGTGGCAGGCTGTGGTAGAGATGGCCGAGAAGCGCCAGGATGAGATTAAAAATGGTGGTGGAAAGCAAAAGATCGATGGTCAATGGATGGACGACAAGGAGGAGATGAATGAAAAGGCACGTGAAGCGGTTCTTCTTGCAATGAAGGACGGCGCATGGACGGACAACCTACGTGACGCAATTCTGGGTGGATCAAGCACCAGTGCTAGTGAGGGTAGCGAGTATGGATCCTCATCCGACTCTGAGGGCGAGGACGAGGAAGAAAACAATGGCGCATCTTCAAGTTCTGCGGCGGCTTCCACAACGGTACAAAAGCCGGCACCTCGCCGTTTCATCGGGTTTGATGACGATGATGACGAGTTTATGAGTGATTCCGAGGAGGAGGAGGCGAAGGAAAGCGACCCCAGGGGCAAGGGCAAAGCCCGCGCTTGAATTGATATCGACGGAATTCTGGCTTATGTTTAACGATGGCGTTTTTACTTCAAAAGGGTTACCGAGTGCATTGGTTTAAGCGAATATTTCTGTGTCAATAGTCTATCAATAATTTTTTCCTTTTAACGCCTGGTTATTTTAGGCCAGAACTGACTCCAAATTGTGTCGTTAAGATGTCTTTCTCCTGGCTAGACCGTTCATGGAAGAGACATTCAGTGACTTTCGCGAGCAAACGTCAATCAAACAACCTAGTCAACTTCCCAAGATAAAACAAGCTTGAGCCTTCGACTGTAAAATAAGTCAAGACTTGGCATTTCATACAAGCTGCTCCAATTTCTAGCGGTTGGGCTCTACAGTAGGTCAGCCTTGTTTAGGAAATGGGGCTTATCGATAAGACGGCCAGCAAAAAAAGCTCCGCTCAAACTCCGCAACTTACGGCTGTACACAACCATGTCGCTTTGTGGTCGGAGCGCATTATCGAGGGCCCTAAGGCTCGATGGCCTACGATTTACCTCGAACTTACATTCTCGGCGACTAAAGGCTTCCATAAATTCACGATGCCGCGCTGCGCCACCCGTGTTAAACCACGGCTCCGTCGTTGACCCGTTGCGCAACCAGTGTCGCAACTTCTCATCATCGCGTCTGCTGCAACAGCAAGTCATTATCGAGAACCTAACTGATGTCCTGCCAACATGTTGTCCTGGATGTGGCGCTTTCTCGCAAACCATCGAACCAAATGAACCAGGCTATTACAGTGCCAGCCGGAGGCAGACCCGGAAACTTTTGGCCTCCAAGAAAGAGGCCATCGAGCAAAGCAATACGGTGGAGGATGCGGCAAACACAATCACGGAACAGAGTGACCATGAGCAGGAGGCGCACTTTGAAGTCCCCATACCGAGCCCAGGTTGGTTTTCGAATACATGCCCTTTTTACACACGCCGGGTTACTTACTGACCAATATCCAAGACGGCGCACTTCCAGATGACGCCGTTGTACCCGACGACTACTCTTTACAATCCTCATCGCGCGGCTCTCACGTCTGCGATCGCTGCCACGATTTAATACACCATAACAAGGCTGTTGCCTCCCCAAAGCCTTCCGTCCATTCAATCCGAGCCTTCATGAACGAGTCGCCTTACAAGAATAATCGTGTCTATCATATCTTGGACGCCGCTGACTTCCCCATGTCCCTCATTCCACGAATTCATTGGGCATTGCTTGTTCAAGAACAACGTTCCAAGAACCGACGATCTGCCAATGAGAAATACCGCGGAGGCAAAAAGCTTCCTACTCTGAGCTTCGTCATCACGCGCTCGGATCTACTGGCAGCAACCAAGGACCAAGTGGATTCCAAGATGGAATATGTTCGTACCGTGCTTCGTGAGGCTCTGGGGAAGTCTGGAAGAGACGTGCGGCTAGGTAACGTGCACATGATTAGTGCCCACCGGGGCTGGTGGACGAAGCAAGTCAAAGAGGAGATCAGTGAACACGGAGGAGGTATCTGGGTGGTAGGCAAGGCAAATGTTGGCAAGAGCAGCTTCATCGAGGCTTGCTATCCCAAGGACTCACGACGTCTTGAGAATATGGCCGAATGGATCGAACGCCAACGAGAAGAGCACGAGATTCCTAATCAAAGGCAGGCCTCTCTGTTGGATCCCGATAGTCTGCTCCCTCCTGCTCCCCGCGAGGACGTGTATCCAATTCTCCCAGTTGTCTCATCCATGCCGGGAACAACAGTATCGCCTATTCGAATTCCATTCGGCCGCGGAAAGGGTGAAGTGATCGACTTGCCTGGCCTCGAACGTGGCGAGCTGGAGGATTACGTGCGTGATGAGCACAAGCGTGACTTGATCATGACCAAACGGATCAAGCCCAATCGATGCACCGTCAAACCCGGGCAATCTCTGCTATTAGGCGGTGGTCTCGTGCGCATTACCGCAGTAAACCCGGAAGATACAATCTTGGCTGCGTGCTTCGTACCCATCGAAACCCACGTCACAAAGACAGAGAAGGCGATCGAAGTGCAGACTGAACAGCGAGCCTACGCAGGAACCGTGCTCATGAAAGAAGGTACTGGCAGCACGATGGCACCGGCTGGAAAGTTCGACTTGAAATGGGACACTACTGCTTCGAACTTGCCCTCTACGATTGCCAAGGCTGTAAAGGATAAGGGAATTCCTATTCCCAAGCTTCCATATCGCGTGATGTCGGCCGACATACTCGTCGAAGGCTGCGGCTGGGTCGAAGCCAGTATCCAGGTCCGCACCAAGCGCAACTCAGAGGCCGAAACAGACACCTATCCTCAGATTGAAGTGTTCACCCCCAACGGCAAGCACGTTGACTCTCGGCCACCGATTGAATGTTGGAACTTCATTGCAGAGAAACTCAAGGCTGACAAACGCAAGAGGCCGCGCCTGAGACACCAGTACAGTTGAGCTGTGCATCTGCCTCTCAGTCTGGTTCTTCTGGAGGATTACTATGTATATTACCACTGTAGCATAGCGGCTGGCGTTCTGATAGATCCCCTTGTATAATACACTATTGGCTCTTCCATTTTACCTAGGCCCCTTTCCATTTCTGTTGCCAGAACTTGCGTTTCGTTCCTTTTCCCGGCGAGAGTCGGCAAGTCAACTCGAAGATATCAAGGGCTCTCTTGAGGTTGCATGGTATCGAGGCTATCATCAGCTCCATAAGATATATGCGAAAACTTTGTGAAGGCTCCAAATGTTTTTCGGGTTCCCAGAGGAAATTTTCCCGTCAGATATTACATGTCACGATACCAGGAACGTAATCACAAGAGGAATCGAAAGACAACTCGAAAAATGATAGAAGGAAAGGAATACAAGGTAGACTAGAGCCTTAATTTGAACTAGATGTGGGAAGTTCTTTAAGAATCTGAAAAGAAGAATCTTGAAATTCTGACAGAGTAAGCCAACAGGATCTACTCGCGGGGTATACCATGTAATCCAAAGGGCAAGTAGTCGTCTTGCGGGTGTCCGAAGGCCTCCACAGCACTCTAATAAAGAATACCTACTCATAAACGAAGCGCAAGAAAGATAGCGTATAATGTGAACCATGAAAATGCATTTATTCTTTTTTCGTAGCATAAGCTCATCAAACATGACTCTTGAACAGGTAAAAGATGCAGGATGAACCCCATTTATATCTTCAACAAACGGACTCCATTTAGTCAACGTTAGCAAAGGTAAAGGAAGGCTGGCCAGGCACGGCGTTCTCAGCATTCAGACCCTCGCGAACCTCACCAGTGCCAAGAACCTTGCCAGACTTACCGCCCTCATTGACGGCAATCAGCTCGATCTCCTTGTAACCGGAAGTACGCTTCAGACCGGGAATCATCGCGGACAGATACTTGAGCTCATCGAAGGGCAGCTTGCGGCCGAACACTTGCTTGGGAGACTCGCGGCTACCAACCAGGCGGCGCTTCAGGGTCTGGACAAAGGGCATGGCCTTCTTCATCTCACCAAGCTTGCCGACCTTGGCGTTGAGCTCCTTGTCGTTGATAGTGACGGTCAGAGCATCGAAGGCCTCGCGCACAAGGTCGATGTACTTGTCCTGCCAAGCGGGGAAGCTCTCGGCATAGTAGATAGTGAGCTTCTTGGGCTTGCGCGGGTCGAAGTTCGAGGCTTTTCCCTTAGACAAACGCTTGGTGAACTGGCCCTCGGAGGACAGGATGCTGGAGGCGGTGCTGCGGACGTAGTTCTGGGCAGCAGTGAGGTCCACCTTGGGCTCGGGAACGGTGGGGAACTTGGCAAAGTGGATGGACTCGGGCTACAGATCGATTAGACTCAGTGTTCCTTTCATGGTTGTTTGGAGATAGGGGGTAACTGACCTTGTTAAGAACCTCGAGCCACACGTACTCGGCCCAGTGAGGAGTAATTGGAGCCAGCATCAGAGCCTGCAGCTCAATGTAGCGCAGGATGGTATCGCGGTGCATGCCAACGCCAGCAGCGGTGGCAGCCTCACGGTAGGTATCACGAGCAGCGGTGAAGTCATACAGACCAGACTTCAGGGCAAGCTTGAAGTCAGTCCTATAAAAGGATATTAGCAACGCTCTGTCTCATTTTCAACGCGAGTCAAACACTTACTCTTGGTAGTGCTTCTGGGTCTCACGGACAAGGGCGTTCAGCTCATTGTCAAACAGCTCGTCGAACAGCTTCTCGGAAGCGTTATCGGAGGCACTGGTACGCAGAGAGGTGTCCTTAACAACCTCCTCAATCCATTCCTTCAGAGTGAACAGACGCAAAATGTTGCTGTTGGCGACAGCCTCCTCGAAGTTGGCGTCCTCAATGCCGTCACCAGCATCGGCAAAGGCGATACGGGTTGCATCGGCACCGAACTTGTCGACAGCATCCTTCAGGGTCAGGAAGTTACCAGTACTCTTACTCATCTTCTCGCCGTTCAGCAGCAGGTGACCGTTGGCACGAACACCACGGGGCCAATACTCGGGAGGGAAGAGCGCAATGTGGATGTACAGGAAGAAGGTCAGGTGGTTCTGGATCAGATCCTTGCCGGAAACACGGACATCAAGAGGGTACCAGTACTCAAACTCGCGGCGCATCTGGAGCAGGGCATCCTTGCTGATACCGGACTTGGAAATCAGCTCGTCGCTGATCTCACGACGGGTGAAGATGTAGTCCCAGACCTCATCGATCATCTGGTCAGCGGTGACGTTCAAAGGACCGGTGGTCTTGCCGTAGCGGTCACCGTGCAGGAGGTGGGCAATGGTGTAATAGGCCATGTAGACAGTACTGTCACTCAGGGACTCGACCAGGAACTGGGTGTCCCAGGGCAGCTTGGAGCCCAGACCGTAAGTACGGGCGCAGGCCCAGCGGTTCAGCCATGACAAGTTCTTCTCGAAACCGTGCTTGGTCTCAGCAGCGTAGGTGTTGAGCTTGTTGACAACGTGATTCAGGGTCTCCTGTTGCCACTCGGCGTCGTTCTCACCGTAGTTCAGGAACCATTGGCCGAGGTATGCAACAACACACTCGTCGCCAGAGCGAGAAACAACCTTACCCATAGGGTCGGCAAAGGGGAAGGCGTCGCCGGTCTGGTACAGGGACTGGCGAACCTTGTCCTTAGCAGCGCTGACGGGCTCGCCCTTGAACTCACCCACGATCATGGTACCCTTGTAGAAGCCCTCGGTGTAGGCAAGATCCTTGGCCTCGGCGAGCTGTGTGACGTCTTTAGGCGAGTTGATCTTGAGCTGCTTAATCAAAGCAGGAGCGGTCAGGTTGCCGTAGGTGGGGGTATCAATCAGAGGGAAGATTTCCTTCTCGGCCCACTCCTTCTTGATACCGTAGTAGTCGGCCTTCTTGATCAGATCCATCAGAGTAGCGTAGTCGTCAGGGCTGTCCGAGGGAACGGAAGTAACGACACCGGTACCCTTGGAAGCGGAGACGCTCTCCATGGGCAGAATATAGACACCCTCTTTGTGGAAGGACAGAGGAGCGTTAATAAGGGTACCAACGAAGGCGGAACCAGGAGCCTCAAGGACGAGCGGGAGCTCATCCTGGGTCTTGGGGAAGTAACCGCTCTCAAAGAAGTGACCCTGGAAAGCCATGTTCCAGGCAGCACGCTTGGTGACGATAACGTACTCCTTCTCCTTCAGCTTGAAGAGACCATACTTGATCTTGGGGCCAACGAAGCAGTTGGTCTGACCGTACATGGTCTCTGGACGCAGGGTAGCGGGAACGAAGAAGACCTGGGCATCATCCTCAATCTTACCCTTGACAATCTCAGCAATCTCGGGGGCCCACTCCTTGACCTGGAGCTTCAAGGCAGTGTATTCCTGGGGACCAATACCCTCACCCTCCGTGCGGTCGTGGTCCATGCAGGGCTGACCATCCTTGGGCGAGTAGATAGTGTAACGGCTACCGTACATGATCTTGCCGAGCTCATGAAGGCGGTTCATCTGCCAGCGGACGAAAGCGTCGTAGTAAGGGTTGGCGTCGGTGGTGACAAACTGTCTCCGCCAGTCGACACGGGCACCCATGCTGTCCAGATCACGGACGGCAAGAGGGGGGAAGTGGTGCAGCCAGTGATTGGCATCGGCGAACTTGTGAATATCCTCCAGAGGGACACCAATGGCCAGCATGATTTGGAACTGGTACTTCATCTTCACAGTCTTGGCTGCGGCCTTGCTCTTCTTGCCTGAGAACTTCTCGGCCTGGGCCTTGGCCTCGGGCTTAGATTCCTGGGTAGGCGCAACGGGGGCGCTGGGCTCCTCATCCTCTTTATATCCCTCAAAGTTCTGGCCGAACATTTTCACCTCGTCGCGCAGCTTATCGGCACAGGCCTTGATGGGCATACCGGTGCAGTGGAAACCGAGCGGGAACAGAGCACGCTTGCCCTCCATGCGGGCGAAACCGGTCATGAACTCGACCTTACTGGCAGTGAAACTGTGACCAGCGTGCAGGGTACCATTCATGTAAGGGTAAGCCATGGTACCGAAGAACTTGGGGTGCTTCTCACGCAGCTCGGCGGCGGTCATAGAGCCCTGGGGGACCTCCTCGAACGACGGAGCATCGACCTCGAAGACCTTGTTCTCCTTCCATTGTGCCTGATATTTCTTCTCAATTGCGATGAGCGAGTCACGCTTCTCGGTCTGGGCAGAGTATATTCTAGTCAGCAACTCGCGATCATAGATTCAAAAAAATTTGGGGGGAAGCGGCCTGATGGAGGGGGAGGGGCAAGTGGTCACATTTTCAAGCTTCAGGGTGTTTTTTGTGCTGTTGCTCGGATCGAGCGCAGCGGCGGACGCAGCGGCGGCTGCCATGATTTATTTCAGCCGGATTGAACCCTGTTTGCAAGACTGCGGAGGGACAGGGAAACAAAAGATCGCGGGGTGATATAAATTCAAATCGGATTGTGCCAGTGACTCAAAGGCGGTCGAGATGCGGTGGCTGTGACTGGCCGGGATTTCTGTATGGGCCTCTCGTCTACTTTAATCGCAACGGTGGTGGCTACGTAGAATGTGAGCCAAAACAATATGTTGGAAGAATATTTACTCTTTTATGTGTTCATAAATTTAATAAGATTCTGAGACCAACTTCCTGGGTTGGTTAGAAGGTATCCTCCATAGATTGTGTCTATCACGTGATTCAATATCACGGAGCAACTTTCGAGCGCAAGAGTTTCCGCAATCAAATTTCCCCAGATCCACGACAAGACACGCCAAGCTCAGAGTCAGGCCATTGAATACGGGCTCTCAATCTTCGATTCAATTCTCCTCTTTGCCTTCTCCAGTATTCCTCCGCAGCAGGGTCACCCCCTGTGCGACACACAACCATCATGGTGAACCTATTTAAGCGCATGCGGAAGCTGCAGACTGTAAGTGACTCGAAACAACATGGTCGTGAGACCTTATTGTTGCCAACTTGAACAAAGGAATGAAATCGGTGGCTAACTCGATCCTGTTCATCTCTTCTAGAGGGTAAATTATCCCAATCCTCCCCTGTGAACATTCGGCGAGCAAATGTTATTCATCATCGAAACTCGGACACCTCGTCACAAACCACGCCCTATCCCAAATGATTCCCACTAAATTCAAACCTGCCACTAATTCCAAACTGACAACACCTCCAACGCCCTAGATCCTCGACATCCGAACCGGCACCGGCGCCGCCATCTTCCCCAGCCCAACCTCCGCCACAAAAGAATTCCCCCCGGTAACCCGACTGCACCTCACATATGCCCGCAAGATCTACAACGGCCACCAAGGCGCCCGTCACTTCTGGCGCAACTGTCTCCCGCGCCTAAAGTACCACAACCCGGGCGTCCGAATGACCGTCCAACAAACAGACGACCAAAACGCCCCTCCCGCCCTGACAATCTACTTTGCCGAGCGCCTGAGCAGCACCGCCTCCGCGATCGTCGGCGCCAAAAAGATCGCCGACAAGCACGCGCCGGCCCCTGAAAGCGGTGAGAAGGCTGCCGTCGTGGACCTGAAGGATCTCAGCTACAAGGAGATTTGGAGTCGGGTGCAGGCTTCGACGGGGGCGGAGGAGGTCCCTGCTAGCGCGGAGGATGAGGCGGAGCGGAAGCGGTTGGAGGCTATTACGGCTAAGGCGGGTAAAGATCGTGAGCGTATACGGGGTATGCGGCAGGCGAAGAAGGACCAGGAGCGCATGTTGGCCGAGGCTCGTGGTGAGGTAGAGAAGTTGAGGGAGCTGTGAGGTGTTTCGATTGCCCTTTGAGGTTTGACTCTGATGTGGTGTGGATGGGCATGGGGATGTGTCCATCACACCTTTCTGGTCTCTTCCCGTCTGCCCTACCTACGTGATGGGTGGACTGGAGGGATCACCTGTAGCATAGTATACTAGCATCTTTGATCTTTTTTTGGTGGTCTCATTGCGACTACGTATTTCTTGACCATGTGTACCTTAGAAAAGTCTCATCAAATCCATTCGGATGGCACATTAACCAATCATTTCTTGAAATCACAAAATCTATCATTGCAATATGCTCGCTCTCGCTGTCGGTTGGTATAAAGCGAATGAGGAAAGTCCCTAATCTGAATAAGACAGGCAGCAATCGCCCTTGGTCGTCATAAAAGAATCATTGACTCTCACAAAGTCACACATGTGGCGAGGAATTTGGAATAATGGAAGATCAAGATTTAGGACAAGATATGAGGAAAAGAAATCGGTGCGCAATATACATCATCAGAAGGGCATATCAAAGCAACAAAGACAATTAAGGGGTAGTTCGTCAAAGCCGAGGGGCCCCCAATTTTTAAACATGCAAGTATGTCCAAACAGTCCAAATGCTGCGCCTTTTTCATGCATGATCAGGGTTATAGCTGGTCTCTCCCAGCATAGCTTGCCCAGTCGGCGCCGACGGCGTCGGTGTCGTGGGGCGGTGCTGTGAAGAGGGCTCTCCTAATGTCGACGGACCAGGGTGAGTTCGTCCGCCCGTCGCCGCCTGTAGTCGCTGGTCCAGAGCCTTGAGTGCCAGAGCACGTCTCCGCTCAGCCTCCTCACGCTTGCCAGAGCCCCGCGCTCCTCCACGCTGGTTGCTTAGGAGTGTGGGGAGTCCAGCTTCACCACGAGCCAGGACCTGCTGGTTTCCCGAGGCGATCTCATCCGCCGAGAAGGGTGTCAGGAGTTTCACTGCGACCAGCAGGGCGTAGATCTGATCCGCGACGAATGCAATAGGGGGCTGCATCACGTCAGGGAACAGGCATGCGAAGGCAAAGGTCTCGCTGGCATCACCCTTGACACCGAGGCCATTGGTGGAGGTGCCGGTGAGATCGGGCTGTCGCTTATAGAAGCGAAGGTAGGTCCAGCTAGACAGGAGGCCTAGCCAGGCCAGGACGGCGGCGGTATCGGTTCCGATGACGATGCCGCTGATGGTGTTTAGGAGTAGGAAAAGAGCAGGGAAATGCTTGACGCGCATCTTGACCAGACCCTTGAAAATGGCGACCGTGTGTTCGGGAACGAGTTGCTTGAAGGCGACAAGGAAAGAAGCTTGGATGGCGACGCCGCCGCAGATCTGGGTGAGACTGTGTATAGAGGGGGTTTCAACGGTCAGTTCGGTTTTCAAAGGAGACCCAGTACACTTGGATTGAGAAAAGAAACGTACCCTCTAGTTGAGGAACCACCGAGGGCACCCCAGATCAGATAAAAGGGAATGATCACGACATTAGGGATCAGCGCGACGGCAACGATGAACTTGCTGAATTCGCGAGACCCCCACGCGCGCTCGAGGTATTTCCCACCATAGAAAATGGTGGCAGCGTTCAGGGAGACGGTAAAGATATTCTGCTCCACGAAGGTAGCCGTGAGTAGAGTCCAGGGGTAGTAATAGAACAGAGAGGGAACGAGGGTGAGGTAGGGAATGATGGGGCTGGTTTGAACGCTGCCGGCGGAGGTGTCAAGTTGGCGCCATCTGGCGATGTTGTAGAGGAGGGAGAGGGCCAACAAGCTGATGAGAACGGCGCGAGTGGCCGGAGGGATGTTGACTCGAAGGGGCATTTTCGACTCGCGGCGGACGCGAGACCGCAGGGCTTGTCGACCAAAAGCCCGGAGGTTTTTCAGTTGTGAAGAGGATGTTCAACCTGGTAGGTAGATTGGGGGCTGAAGTTCCCGCCTGGGCTGGAAAAGGCGGCGGACCGATCTGTTAGTGGGCATGGAACCCGCTTTAGGAGGTATACAACGAAAGCCGAGGGTAGAACGTATTATACCAATTTTGTTGATCTATTGGTAGGATGCTAATGCATTTCTTGAATTCCAAAGAAGGACCTCAATCTTCGACGAAAGGTTCCGCTGAAGATCCATGGACTGGTCTCATTTGGAAGTAAAGTACAACGCAAATACCAGCAGCGTTTTACGTATTTATATCGCGAATCCATAGAAGATGCTGACATGTAGGTAGGCTCTAACTAACTATGCAGTTGTCTAGTCGGGTTTTCCAGGATATGTCTTTGTCGGAATAAGCTTCTGCGTAAGGGATGTGTGTTTAGTGCTGACATATCCATGACATTGATCGTGGGTGTTATATATCTCGAAGTTAAAGCCACATGACAGGGAACTCCCGATAGCTAAGGAGATTCGAGATAGTGATTTTTTCCAATAGAACTGCGATGGGCATTGTCCAGTTTCCGATGTAGGCCTCCTACCTGGTCGAGATCGAACCAAGAACTCCTGGATCATCTCACGTGATAGATGTTACCTTCAAGTCCATGCAGCAGTTTCCCGAGAGAAGAGGCGCGGGAGTTCTGAAGGGTGTAGTTCTGTTTCAAGATATCAAGAATTGGATGTAGATATATGCAGATCTGGATATGCATCTGATCACTATCAAGATATATTCATGCCGGTGTATACTAGAGTGTACATGTACACCTAAATGTCTTCGGGTCACGGGGTAAAAAAGCTCCGGGGTGGAGACCCGTTCCGATGATGTGCAGAGTCTCCCCCTTTCAGAAAATGCGATTTTGATGATCCACCGGTTGGCACCGAAAGGCGTTAGTCAGACGGGAGACGGTGCTAAGGCAATGGGCAAATCCACAGCGACAAGCCCTGGCGGCTGAAGGGCCGAGTTCACTCCTACCCGACGTACTGTATTACAGCAGGAGACGGAGCTTTACGACTGTAGTATATACCCCGTAGTGCACACCCTCTTGTAGATCCCGATTCCTGCCAGCTCCATCCTCATCCCACAGGCCATCGGTCCGTAGCCGAACTGACCGAGAATCCGTCGTTCTTGGGGGTGGAGGAACGCCACGCAGGACGCATTTCAAGATTGAGCCCGAGCCCACTTTTAGCCTTTGGGACCAGTGGTGGCTAGTGCGCTTAACCCTCTGAAGGGGGACTGCTTGTGTGTCGCTGTCACGGCTTTCTTCAGCTTCTCCATTCTCCATTCTGCATTCTTCCAATCCGCCGTGGTTCGTTGACCGAGTCGTCGGTCATTTGGTCATTGGGTCATTGGATCATTGGGTCTTTTGGTTCTCGGTCTCTCTACCACCAACCAACCAACCAACCAACTAACCACTCATTTGGTCCTTCATCTCATCTCTCTTCACTTCCATCTCTTCCCTTTCCTTCCTCCTCTTCCACGTTCCACGATCGATCTCGGACGTGAACCCTCCAATTCACCGGACCAATCTCGACGGCCACCTGCCACCTGCCATCTGCCGCTTCTCTGCTAGTCATCGGCGGCTGGAACCTCCCCCGTCCTGTGCTCTCGTTTTCCTGTTGTTCCTCCCCCCCCCATTATTCTGGCCCGGTCCATCTGCAACTCTTTCCCATATTTTCTCATCTTCAATTTCCACCTTCAACTTGCACTCTCTCCCTTGCACCCTCTCCTCGTCCCATCCCTCCCACCCCCGGAATTCCCAGCCGAAGCCGTCACCGCACTTCGGAAGACCCGTTCGCCCCCTTTCTACTTTCGGCGCTCTCTCGGTCTAACTAAACTTCCCACCCTCCGCACTTTTTCGAGGTCCGGCTTTTCGTGTTCACGTTCCTGGGAGCTCCATCTGGTCTCCGCCGCCCAGAGCCTCCACTTTTGATTTTCACCTTCCCTCGCGGAAGCCCGCCTCATTCCCACCCCCCATTTCTGGCATGTTCGCGGCACTTGACTGGTCGCACATGTAATCATGTCACAACCGGACTTGACATCGCATCATGTCAACTACCTAATATGGCGGTACGTACCCTCTCCCGCGTTGTCCCCAGATGCGCGCGCTGCAGCTCGCTAATTTCGCCCCCGTGCGCTTCCAGGTACCTTCAAGAATCAGGTGAGTAGCTGCCCCAAGCTCGGTTCCTTCACTGCTGTCGCATCTCAACGCCGCCAAGCGGTCAAAATTCGCGCCCGACTCTCTCCATTTCCCTCTGGCTAGTCTCATCCCTAACCGTGTCCCTCCCACAGGTCATGGCGATGCTGCCGTATCACTGCAGCGCGCATGGTATCCCGACCCCCAGGCGCTTCCCTTTGCGCGCCACATTAAAACCCATGCGCTAGTGTCGCTGGTCCAGAAAGGTCTGCAGTACCACGAGCTCGAGTCCTCTATTGACAAGGTACGTTCGCGCGACCCATTTTCTTTGGTTTTACAACCCTGAGCGGGGTGCATTCGTTTCTTTCTCTTCCGGCACCCCCTGCCGGCGCCTACTTTCCCTCGTACCGCGAATTCTAAAGACAAGTTACAGGACGGCAATCCAACTACTTTAACACCTGCCAACTACTTTTTTGGACCGGAGCCATTCGAAGTGAGCACTCTGAAAAGCCGCGATGAGGCGAGCGCAGATCAGGCGCCGGCCCCAGCACCAGCACCAGCACCAGCACCAGAGCCGGCGCACGACCGTGTGACGAATGGTCATCTAGTGGAGGAGCCCCCGAAAACCCGCACGAGCGAGACTAATGGCGACGAGGCAATGGAAGTCGATGAGGCCGAGAGCAAACCGGCTAGCCCACATCCACATGCGCCCGATGTGGATGGCGACGGGGATGTTAGCATGGGAGCCATGGAGCCCGAAGAGTTGCCTCAGGAACCCACTCTTAGCACGGGCAGCAGCGTGGGTATCCAGATCTCCCCCGCCAAGGCTGCCGATTTGACACCGGATACCGCCTTGCTGGATGAAGATCACGTGCTCTCCGCAAGCTGGCGCCCACGTGATCCCTCCTTGCTGGTGGCCGCGGGAGATACCTTCTGTAGCATTTGGAAGTTGTCTTCAACGTCGGCGCCTGTTCAAAATAAGTTTTTGAACCTCAAGGGCACGGGTGCATATGTATCCGCGGTGGCGTGGGATGGATTCGGTGCCAAACTGGCCGTGGCCTCCTTCCGAGACATGAAGGGAAATGTGACCATGTATAATGCAGAGGGTAACGTGGTAGATTTGTTACCGGACCTCCCTCGCGTGATCAGTGGGTTACACTGGGCGGAAGACAGCCCAAAATTGGTGATTGTGGCGTCTGATGAACGCACCTCCGAATTGGCTCTGTGGGATGACAACCGACGACCTGACGTATACCCGCCGCCTCAGGTTATCGACAACCAGATCTACGATCTTGCATGGTGTGGACGCAATAAGATACTCGCGTGTGGCAATGGCGCCGTTTACGAATGTGAGGTGGACAACAACATTCGCCTGACCAAGACGTATACCTCGCAGCAGGCGGACACGGAGTGGACGTTCCTCCGCTGCGCCCATACTGCAAACTATTCTGTGGCGGTCACGGCGAGCGCTGCAAAAGCGTCGATCTGGATTCCCACTCACGATATTCTGATTGAAAATGCTCACCAAGATGCCATCACCGCTATCGACATCCAGCCTCAGTCGGCGTTGCACACAAAACAAGGAAACGCCAACATCACCATCGCTTCATACTCTGCCGATAGTACAGTAAGAGTATGGCAGGTGGACCTGGAATCGAAACAATACACTTCCGTCCATCGTTTGCGTCTCGGCGCCTCAATACCCGCCCTTACCGGCAGTTTCTCTCCAGATGGATATGCTCTGGGGGCTGTCAGTAAAGATCAAGTTTTTATCTGGAATGTGGAGCGCGGTGGCGATCCCATGGCCACATGGAAAGCCCCAAGCGCGGCGCAGGTCAAGGAAGACCCTGACCGCGCAACGAATGGGCAGAATGGCCACGGACCAGCAACCCCAGATCGTGCTTTATCTTGGGACCCCGATGGCAAAAAGCTCGCTTGCGGCTTAGGAAATCAAGTACGTTGTTCTATTGAATTACATAGGAGTAATTACTGACTTTACTTCCAGATGGCTATCGTGAATCTCCAGCGGTGACAGTGCTAGCAGTGGCACCATAATTTTGACAGATGCTGGGTATTTTCTTGGGTGTTCTTCGCATTCGCCATAATTGCCGCTCAGTTGCCTGTTATTCCCGACCACATGACTCTATAGTCGGTCTATCTGATCATCTTACTTTGAACCCTGAACAGCGGGTCTTGATCTTGGGACTTTTGCCACGCCTTCCTTCAGTCCCATTCTCTCTGCGCCCATGCGACTGCCAACCTAGTCGCCTTGGGAATAATTCTCCACCCAGAGGCCTCGAAAGATAGTCCTGGACGACGCATACGGCACGAAGGGCAAACCCTTCGATTTCACCCGACCGAAAGGCGGATGCAGTCATGGCCTCTTGTCTTCCGCTCCTTTCTCTACATATTTTCTGTGAACATATAACGTTGTTGATTTAGAAGATGCATTAAGTCATACATTTGCTTTGGGAACTAGGTTGGGTACGGCGAACGATTCACGGATTTCTGGCGAGAGGGGCCTTGTCTTTTCTACATTTCTCGTTATATCTGCTTGGGGACGGTCGGTGGCCTGCGCTTTGAACATCACTATTCTATGTTCGTGTGATTCTCGAATGTCCAAAAATGTATGAATCAATTTCCAGTCAGCCCACGTATTAGACGGTAATGGGCATATACGCAAGGAATCTCTCTTCTCTTTTGCGTATGTATCTTCAAATGTATACAGATGCTCTCTCCGGGTTATGTAGCTACTGAACGGGTCATAGGCTCTACCGGAGACATCCCCTTCTGCTGCACAAGATTAACCTTCTCTCCCAATCGTAACAGCTGTCCTTGTCTCCGATCCCTTCGCATCTGTCGTGCCCGCGCTCGGACCTGAAAGCCCTCCTCGACATCTCTCCACCCACGCATCCAAGCACTCAACCCTTCCAACATCATCTCGCCATCCGTCTCAACACTCCAATCCTCCTTCCCCTTCCGACCTATCCATGACCGCCGCGACTTCTGGTAAGCAAGCGTCCGCGAAATCCGAACTAATTTCTGCTCTTCCCGTATCCGGTTTATCCAATCGTGTAGCCCCTGGATAGTGCCCTGTATGCCTTCCAAATCGACCGCGTCTTCCAAGAGATCGGTTTGTCTGGAAATGGAAATGTCAGCGCGGCCTGGCACTTGGTACTATTGATTGACCGAATCTGTTTTCCCGGACTTACAATTCCAACACTTCATCCTCCAATTCGGCAACTGTCCGCATGAATCCACGACATTTCTCCTCGAACAGATCGCGAATTTCCCGCGCTTCTCCGCGCCGTCGCTCAATTTCCCCGTTCAAGAGTGTGACCTCTCGCAAAAGCGCTGTCAACTGCGCCAAGACAGCATCTTGGTTCAGAGTTGGTTCGTCCGTGTCCTCGGTCATGGTGGCTTTCTCCGCAACCTCGACATCAGCTTTTGGTCCCGAATTTTGTTGCCGATGCCTCGTAATTTCTCTTGTAAGCTCCGGCCGCGGATCGCGCAGAACAGCTTCGACCGCATCGAGATGCGCGTGGATGGTCTCTTCGGTGTCGGCCTCGATGTAGACAGTGCCCGGTGATGTGGATGCTAGCTGCGATAGTTCGCGTAGCCTTTCAGGCCAGGGCATCCTCGTGGTTGTGTCGAGATCGAGATCGAGGCCGAGCCCATCTGTTGTGGAACTTGGGTCGCGCGGCTCCGTGGGTTGGCCGCGCTTGTTTGAGAGAGGGTCAACAGCCGCCATGGAAGTTGGAGGTGTTTGTATATAGGTGTGAGTTAGGGCTGCTAGGGATTGAGCATCGTCTGTGTTTGGAGAGTTGCGCAAGGATCGCTTGTCGCTGTCGCACGGCGGAATCATTAACAAACAACTTTGATGCCGAAGCGTATCGATAAGCGATGAGTCCCCCGATAACCGCTCCCCGCGCTAGTCCATTTTTGGTCGTCGATGGACTAGCTGGTTGGCATGATTTCTGCTATATTTGTGATTATTCTGAGGCCAGGTGTACATTACAAAGAATCAGAGTTTTTTTCTCAATATTTCTATGTTATTTTCCGAATCGAATACGAGCCAGACTGTTGGGTTGACCCTGGCTTTACGATATAGCGGAGGGCCAATCCAGAGCCCCACAGTTACTCATTTTCCCACCGCCAAATCCTCCATCATCGCGACAGACTTCCGACTATACCGCGCCCCGGATATCTAACAGGGTACTAAGCTGACAATGGCACCTCTTGTAAGAATGACAATCCCTCTGAAGCGTTGTCCGCACGACCGCTATCTTCAAGATCCCCTTATAGCTAACTTGAACCTCTACGATGACTCAGATCGCCACTGTCCCGTCGCTCGAGACGGCGCGAGAAGTCATCTCGAACTCGAGAAAGTCTCAATTTCCTCCCAACCTGATGCCCGTAACAGCCTCGATCCCGGCCGATCTGTTGACCCCGACATTGGCTTATCTTAAGCTTGCAGAGAAGTAGGTAGTCCCGTCCCTGCCTGATTGCGCCGGGTCTGCGGGGTGCTCTAGCGGAGGGGAGTTTTGGATGGGATCATTAACCCGGATATAGCTCGCGCATGTCATTTTTGTACGAGAGTGCAGCTACTACAGAGACTATCGGACGATACAGCTTCGTTGGTGCAGGTGGGTGATATAACATCTGGAATACCGATCTTAGCCCGGGCTTTCGTCGAGTCAAACCACTAAACTATTCGCTATTCACAGACCCCAACAAAGTCATCAAGACCGGACCCGGCCATGGCCCTGCTGCCGACCCCCTCCCCCTCCTCGAAACCGAACTTTCCCAGTTCCGTGTGGCCTCCGTGCCAGGGCTGGTCCTCCCGCCGCTCACCGGCGGAGCCATCGGCTACGTGGGCTACGATTGTGTCCGATACTTTGAGCCCAAGACGGCCCGGCCTATGAAGGATGTGCTGGGCGTCCCGGAATCTCTGTTCATGCTATTCAACACCATTGTCGCCTTTGACCACTTCTTCCAGGTTGTCAAGATTATCACCTACGTCCCTATTCCCGCCAACGATGCCGATATCGCGGCCGAGTACCTCAAGGGCCAGGAGGTGATCAAGACGACGATTGAGACTCTGCTGCAAGACCGCACGCCACTGCCTCAGCAGGCCCCGATTATTCCCGACCAGGAGTATACATCCAACATCGGACGGGAGGGTTATGAGAACCACGTCCACCGGTTGAAGGAGCACATCAAGAAGGGTGATATCTTCCAAACCGTGCCTTCACAACGGCTATCCCGCCCGACATCACTCCACCCTTTCAACCTCTTCCGCCATCTTCGCACCGTCAACCCTTCCCCTTACCTATTCTACATTGACTGTCAAGACTTCCAGCTCGTTGGCGCCAGCCCCGAGCTCCTTGTCAAGGAAGAGCGCGGCCGCATCATCACCCACCCCATCGCGGGAACCGTCAAGCGCGGCAAGACTCCGGAAGAAGACATCGCGCTGGCCGATGAGTTGCGCAGCAGCTTGAAGGACCGTGCCGAGCATGTCATGCTAGTCGATCTAGCCCGCAACGACGTCAACCGCGTTTGCGACCCGACCACCACTCAGGTGGACCGGCTGATGGTTGTCGAAAAGTTCTCGCACGTGCAGCATCTCGTATCGCAAGTATCCGGCATCCTTCGACCGGATAAGACCCGTTTCGATGCTTTCCGCTCCATCTTCCCTGCCGGCACGGTGTCCGGTGCGCCCAAAGTTCGCGCCATGCAACTCATTGCCGAGCTGGAAGGTGAGAAGCGCGGTGTCTATGCCGGCGCGGTGGGCTACTTTGGTTACAACTCTGCCAACGCCGACGGATCTAGCGAGGAGCCCGGTGCGATGGACACATGCATTGCGCTGCGGACGATGATGGTTAAGGATGGTGTGGCGTATCTCCAGGCTGGTGGAGGTATCGTGTTTGACTCGGATCCGTATGATGAGTATATGGAGACTATTAACAAGCTTGGGGCGAACATTGCCTGTATTCGTGGGGCAGAGGCAAAGTACCTCAGCATGGAGACGGATGCTCGTTCGGCTTGATGGAGGTTGGAGGAGTACTAAACTATGTCGGTGTCAAGCAATTTCTGGTTTGATGTGCTAGCATAAGGTTCTTTCTAGCGATATGACAGTCAAGACAATATCTATGATTGATGCATCAACTTTATTCCAATCTTGAGGTTTTGTCTAATAGTGTCCTTCTGTGTACCAGCTGTATAACCACTTACAATATCAACGCATCTAGAGCTGCCTTGATATCCCCCGAAATCCCTACTGCGAGTTTTTGCTCCTCCAATTCCCATGGCACACAACCAGCAGCATCCATACCCACACGAATAAGCCGAAATCGTTGACTCTCCGACTCCGAGACCAGATCCTCGTTCGGCCATCTCAGCACAGCAGGGGTATTCAACCCAACACCCAACTCCAAAATGACCACCGAACCAGACTCGACCATCCGAACTTCCTCACTCTCCAACTCTCTCAAAAACCGCTCCCACTTCCTCTCCATGCCCCGAAAAGGCGCTGCATCAAAATAACTCCCGCCTCTTACACAAAGCGTCATCTCTCCCCCACAAAACTCACACTTCGGCACCATCCTCTCATCCATCAGTAGCTGGGTAACCGGATCAACCGCCGGCATCGCCCTCTCAAGCAACGGCTTAGTCTCAAGCACAGCACCGTGCCTACACTTTCTCAAACACTGTAAAAACCTATACCCGCCCTGCGGAGTCGCAACCCTCCCAGCATCAAACCCATTTTTCACAAATAATCCGTCCGCATTACTCGTCCGGACAAACCATCGCTCTCCAAAACGCGATGTCAACTCACGGAGTGTCCTGTAGACATCTGACTGTTCCTCAGGCCACCGCCGCACCATATCCAGGTGCGTGAAGTAGTAACCCCATTTCTCGGCGGGGCTGTCCCAGCCGGTATACCCGAAGACGTCGTACAATTTGCGGAGACCTTTGGGAAGGAAAGCCGGGAAGTGTTTTGCGAAGAGGGTGGGGGATGTATAGTCTAATCCTGCTGCGGCGGAGAGGCCTGCGCCGGCGGAGATGATGAGGGTGTCTGCTTGCTTGAGCCAGGTGCGGGCTTTAAAGAGAGATGGTGAGAGGGTGGCCACTTGTGAGCGGAGTGTGGGTGGCTGATGCAGCGACGTGTGAGTGGCCGTATCTGTATTCACGGTGTTGATTTTAATGTTAATGTCCATATCAACATGGGACAAGTTGGTGTGGACGGTTGATAGAATATCCCGATACAAGTTCCAATCCTTTTCGAGAAAGGTATCAAATATGATATCCGTGATACTAGTATCCGGATGCGTTGCACACCAGGTTAACACGGTATCCACGGCGATTCTCGCCGCCATATCTGATGGAAACGCGAAGAGACCGGTCGATATACAGCAAAAGGCAATGACTTTACGGCCATCCTTGAGTGGGGATAGGTTCTCTGCTGCATCGAGACAGGCCTGATAGCATGAGGCGAGCTGGGCCTGTTGATGGGCCTGCGGTTTGACTTTTTGGTGTAGCTGCGGGCCGACGGTGTGTACAATATATTCCGCCGGCAAAAGGAACCCTGGCGTGACCTTCGCAGAGCCAACGGGCTCTACGTAACCCTGTGACTCGACGATATCGTGACATGCATCGCGGAGTCTTGGACCAGCCGCAGAATGAATCACACTGTCGATGCAGCGGTGCTCAGGACGAAAACATCCTTCCAGTTGGGAGTTTGCTGCATTGACGATTGCCGTGATGTCGGTCAAGGTGGTGATATCGCCCTTCCAGCAGGATATGCGAATCGAATGAGATCTTGGAGTCTTGGCTTGGATTGTGAGACTGGGTGAAATTGAGCTTGTCGATGTGAGAATGTTGTGGCTGTTTCGATAGGCAATGACTGCATCGATGTCTTCTAAGATATCTGCTGGAAGTCTGGGGAGTGTTGGTCGCTGGCATAGTAGTCGACGAAGAGATTCGAGTTGGGACCATGTGTCCGCGTCGAATATCCAGTCTTGATTGTGGTGATGGGTGCATTGACAATCGGTGTGTGTTGGTTGTGGATGGTGCTTGAAGAGGTATCGGAGGACTCTTTCCAGTCGGGTTGAATTAGGGATCTCAGCCATGAGTGTGGAAATATGAACGGAGTTCATAAACAGTCAAGATTTCAAGCAGACTTTAAACAAGAAAGAAGATTGACAAGCACTAGCATGAAGGACTCGTTCGATCTATATACGCTCACACTATGGAATGCCCTAAGACGGTGCAAACACCGGTTTAGTCCCGCCTCGTGGGAGATGATTGGACAAGGTTTTTGTTTGGACCCTTTGCAGTTGAAGCAAACTTGAAAGTCAGCCAATCAGAGTACAGCCCTAGCTCCGGAGTGGGGCAAGTTGCAGCGGACTGATTCCGGGCTGTATGATAATCAATTGTTAATCAAGGACCTCTATTTTCTTGGCTGCACTACATAAGTCTCACAAACAAGCTTGGAATTCCTTCAATAGATTAATCAAAATGACCTCCATCATCTCACGACCAGTTGTAGCGATTGCCGGAGCTACTGGGCACCTCGGACGCCATGTCGCCTCAGCCTTTCTCTCCCCGCCCTTCAACGACAAATTCTCTGATGTCATTCTCCTCTCGCGAAGCGAAACATCACTAGAACTGGCTTCAAAGTCTGTCGGAAAATACACTACGCGGACTTACGATGAGAATAACCTCGTCGATGCCCTCCGTGGAGTCCACATCCTCGTAAACACCGTCGGACCCTCGGGTCATTCATTCAAGGAGAAGCTATTACACGCCCTCCCACATACCGACGTCCAAGTTTACTTCCCCTCTGAGTTCGGTGTGGACCATTACGTTCATGACTTCTCGCATCTAGAGTGGGATACGAAGAAGAAGCATTTTGCTCTGGCGCGGTCATTAATTCCCGATAGGAAGATCTGCCGCGTCTTTTGTGGGCTCTTCATAGAGGACAGCATTGGGCCATGGTTTGGCTTCGATACGAAGGAGGGAAAATATGAGAGTATCGGCTCGGCCAATTCACCTATCTCATTTACTTCCCTAGACGATGTGGGCAAGGTGGTTGCTTCGCTGGCTACTTTACCAAGGGATGAGATCCCCGATACTGTTCATATTGGGGGTGATACTCGCAGTTTCCTCGAAATATCTGAGATCATGAGAGATGGTGGAGCAGGTCAGATCGAGATATCTGAGACTCCTCTCCCGAAGTACAAAGAAGAAGTCACGTCCACGTCTTCATGGGATCCGGCACAGTACTTGCGGTTTTTGATGGGGGAGGCTAAAATCAACCATAGTGTCGGGTCTCTTGGGGATGACAATGAGCTTGTCAATCCCAAGGAAGAGTTGTGGAAGTGGAAGAGCCTGACGGATTTAGCTCGTGAGACTGGTGGAAAGCCCTGGAAAGATTTCCCTTGGCCTTCGGAATCTAAATGAGATCCAATTGTGGAGTTGTGCAAATCTAGTTGAGTGGCAGCCACTGCACATGCCGCCTTGTTTCGTCAAGAGGTGTCAAAGCAATAAATGACTGTATAGCCTAAGACTGTAGCCCATGGAGCATATTTGGTCTAGCGGTAAATAGCCCCAAATTTGTTGCGACAAGAGGCTTATGCCAAGCCCGCCCATTCATCAACCCCGCCCTCTGGAGAGTCACCTTCGTTATCATAGACCTGCCACCGTCCATTACATTCTTGTCCTACAGTATTCTTTCTGAGTTTCATTCTATTTCAAGGATTAGACCGCCCTCACAGCCTACATGGCGCGAATTTCAGACCTGATTCTGGATTCTAAGTTGGAAACCTCCTTTCTCCCAGACTGTACAGTTCACACCTTCCAAGAGTCAGACCCAAAGTCCAGACAGCGCCTAGTCACCAGATCGGAGCACTGGCACCGGCAAAAGAAGATCGGCGGTGGGGGCTTCGGCACAGTCTGGCTAGAAACATGTACTCAAGGCGCGTCTTCCAGTACCTCAGCACCGGCTGTTACAGTGCGTGCAGTCAAGCAGATTGATTTGGACTCGCGACTTGGCAAGATTGACTACCATCGGGAGCTAGAGGCTATTGCTAAGTTCTCGCATGCTCGTGTTAGTATCTAAAGACAACTTTGATTATAAGAAGACATACTTACTGATTATTTGAACTAGTATGAACGATGTTTTGTCAAGTCATTCGGATGGTACGAGGGACCTAGGCAGCTCTTTATAACAATGGAATACCTTGAGATTGGCGACCTTTTCACGTACCTTTGTGAGAAACCCCCACTTCCAGAAGCCGAAGCGAAGCATATTACGTACCAGATCCTCGACGCTTTAACCATGATGCATCAACATGAATTTGCTCACCGAGACTTAAAACCTAATGTAAGTTTTAGCTCCCTAAGCCGAGACGTTGGCTCCTCTCCGATGGAGACGAGAGCCATTACTAAGACCCGACGTATTTAGAACATTCTTATCAAATCACATCCTCCAGACGAGTGGTGGATCAAACTCGCAGACTTTGGTATCACCAAACGCATCGACGAAGGCCGCGGGCAATCATCAACGATGAAGGGCACCCCAAGGTACTTTGCTCCCGAGATCTGGGAATTTGTCCCACGAGGCAGTGCTTATGCCACCGATATTTGGGCGCTCGGGGAAATCATCTTTGAGATGCTTACCAAGAGACCTGCGTTCGGCAAGCCTGCCTTACTCGCAAGCTACAAAAGTCAAAATCAATTTCCAACGAACATACTCACCAATGCAAATGTCAGCCAGTCAGGCATTGATTTTGTGATGTCACTTATGCATCCTGACCCTAATCAACGAATAACGACAACAATGGCTATGTCAGATGTGTGGATACGATCGCTCGTACCTTGTTCATCAGAGTCACCGGAGACAATAGGTCATGGCGAGCCGCAATTTCTTTCCCCCTCCGTTAACACCCTGGCTGAAGAATTTGCTTCGTGGAACACACGATCTCCTCCGCATACGCAGGGTCCTGCCTATGCCACTCCTCATTTGCCCAGACCAGATACAGCAAAAGGAACCCAAGAACCGGTCACGGTGGCAGAGCAAGAACGGATGACATCTTCTCCGGAGAATACAAGACCGAAAGTGGTTCAAGGCCAAGCCGAGACCATAGAAATTAGTGCTGTGGAGCTCAGCGATAGGTTTAAAAACGCCACCTCTCTTCTTAGAAGCAATCACCTCGAAGAAGCAGAGGCTCAGCTTCGTTGGGTCTGTCAGGCGCAAGAGAAAGTGCTACATCAAGATCGTTTACGTCAAGATCGTACCAAAGGAATTTCCCCATTATTTGCACTCGGCCAATGTGTCTACTTACGCGGACGCCATGCTGAGGCCGAGACTATACTCGATCAAGCTCTGCAGGCGCACGAGAAAGCGTTGGGCCCTGAACATAGATACACACTTTCCTGTACACAGTTGTTGGGTCTATCGATCGATCGCCAGGGCCGATTCGAAGAGGCGGAGACTATCTTCCGCCAAGCTCTACAAGGCCGAGAGAAAGTTCTCGGTCCTTTTCATAAAAACACCCTTAATTCCTTAAATTGTCTTGGCATTTGTCTCTATTGTCAAGGACGGTACAAGGAGGCGGAAATCGCATTCCGCCGGTCTTTTGGAGGCCGCCATAATCTGCTGGGCCTAAGCCATGGCGATACAGTCGATTCAGCATTCTATTTAGGCAAATCTCTCTCTTGCTTGGCACGATATAAAGAAGCAGAAACAGTGTTCCGTCAAATCATCACATATAACGAGTCCCATATCAACAGGCCTGGGCCAGCGTTTAAATCGATATACCGGGTTGGCCTGTGTCTTTTTAACCAGGAAAACTATGAAGAGTCGGAGAAATGGCTCCGCCGAGCTCTTGTGGCGCGAGACCTGCTCGGCCCGACTCATAAAGTGACCCTTGACAACGCATACAAGCTAGCTCAATCCGTGTACAATCAAAATCGATATATAGAAGCGGAAGCATTGATCTGTCAAGCTCTTCGACTCCTGGAGGAAGGACTCGGCCATAAAGACGTCCTAACACTCAAGTGTGCATACCGGCTTGGCCACTCTCTCTATCTTCAGTATCGGTACGAAGAGGCCGAGGCTGCGTACCGCCGAGCTCTCGAGGGGCTGGAGGAAACGCTAGGGGGCGGTCATGTATTGACACTTGACACTATATTCTTTCTTGGGCAGTCGGTTTATCGTCAAAATTCGTTCATGGAGGCAGAAAAATTGTTCCAGCGTGCTCTTGAGAGACAAGAGAAGATCCTGGGATATTCCCATGAAGATACACGGCTATCGAGGGATTGCGCCGAGAACGCCCATATAGCGGCTGTTGCTGCAGCACGGGATAAAATACAAAGATGGCTTTTTGTTGGAGAACCACCCAATAGTCGCCGGCTGCGCATGTGGACTGACTAATTGCTTTTTCTCCATTTCTTAGGTAGCATTAACTTGGTATTATGAAGGAAGCTAGTTCAAGATCTTAGGATGATGTCTTGCAGTCGGATGCTGGCTGGTGAATTCTTGACCTCTGTAGTTTTTACAATAATGGTAGATTATCCTTTCGATCATCTTAAAAAGTGCACCCATTTAATATCACTACTTTCAATATCCATAATGATGAACAGAGGGGGCACTGTACTGTATGGACAACGCTTCCATCTTTTCATCGTACCGAGAACATCCAGCGAATGTGCTTAGGTGCCGGTGTTAAGCTGAGATATCTCCCTTCTTATTCACCGGATTCGAAACTTATTGAGGAGTCCTTGTCTGAATTAAAGCGATTTGTCAAACGCAAGTGGAATGAGGATGAAATTAACATAAATCATCAGGTCAATCAAATTCAAACCCAATTGATCCCATCTTGCTGAAACGAGGTGACGAGAAGACTGGTGCTCTGTTTCAAAGAAGTCCGGAGCCACATTGAGCTTAGGACAAGGGTTTGATGCATTTCTCAAATGATCCGTTTTACTTATTTAATTCCAGGGTTTCGAGCGCGAAGGGTCATTTCCGAATTGTAGGTCTGATCATCGATGAGATATGATTTCCTTATCTAGCGGAAGGAACATATCCCAAATCAAATAGACACCTAAGAGAACCCAATAATCAATGCTCGCACTATATATCCACTTTACTTACTGCGCATGACAAAGAGGTGTATATTCGTCATATCCTAGTTTACTATACATTCAACTGGGTATACTCTCATATCTTCCCATTCTTATTTTGGGCACGCGAGTTGTCCTGACGGCCAACCTGATTGGCCCCACCACATCCCCGCCCAACCCAAAAAACGCTACTGCAAGGGCCTTGCTTATCTAACTAATTACAACACACCCAGACCAGATGCGACGTCTGACCAGCAATCGCAACCATGGCCAGAATCGATCCTGCGTTGCAAAAGTTTCTATTACCTCTGAAGATTGATCACGACAGGCTGTATCGCTTGTCTTACCGCCTCTCTCGAACATACCGTGAACTGGCCGCCAGCTCCTCAGAGCAGTTCTTCCCCACTGCCACCACGCGTCTGCCTACAGGTCAAGAAACGGGCCGCTATCTAGCAGTCTACCTTGGCTTGTACTATCTGCGAGTAGCCTTTATTGACCTATTGGGCGAAGAGCAAATAGGCAAACATTCCCATGTCCGACGCACGCTAGAGAAAGCGTGGCCGATCGAAGACCGGCTGCGCCGAGATCAGCCTGATTCACTATTTTCCTGGATTGGAGATTGTATCGCAGAAGTGATTCACGATGACCTGGCCAATTCCAAAGATGAGACGCCTTCAGAGCTGGCCATGGGTATTTCATTCTGTTTTCCTATTAAGTACACATCTTCGCCCCCACGAACTTGAATTAACACGCACCGAGTCCGAATTAACATCGTCTTCTAGACAAAACTCCGTCAACGAGGCTATCCTCATGCCAACTGGCAAGGGCTTTGCTCTGGGATCTTCTCTTAACCTCCATCAAGCCCTTCTCGATGGCTATGAATGCCATATCCGGCGCTCAGTGGAAGATGACCCCGCCGAGATGCCCGCGAAACGGCAAAAGAAATATTGTCTACCTAAGCTTAAAATCTCCGTCATGACTAACGATACTATCTCCACACTTGCATCACTGGCTTACTCCATTCGCGCCCTACCCAATACGCGCGTCGTGATGGGTCTGCTTGTAGGCGCGGGCTGCAACTCTGCCGTACCGATGAAGCTTACCGATCTGCAAGAATCGAAAATCCGACATATCCGAGAGAAGGACCCCGACGCAATGGAATCGGTTGTTTCCACTGAATGGACCCTTCGAGGTGCAACGGGGCCATTGCAGGAATTCGATGTTGTGACCAAATGGGACACCGAATTGGATACTCATTCAAATCTGCCCGGTTTCCAGCCCCTTGAGTATATGGTGGGCGGTCGCTATATTGGCGAGCTGGTGCGCATAATCAGCTATGACTGGTTTGTAAATATCAAGGCTGTGCCACGATCGTCAATGCCCGTGAAGTTGGTCACCGAATATGCTCTCACGACGAATTTCCTTTCCCTCTCGGTGGCATCAAGCTACTCAAATGAGAAGTTGGCCGAAGACCTGATGCGAGAAATGCCCCCTCCAGAGTCCAATGATTGGGTGTGGACGGCCGAGTATGCTGGTCATATTCGCGCCATTGCAGCTGCCGTACAGGACCGATCTGCTGCGCTGATTGCTGCCGCCACTGTTGGTCTTCTCGCGTGTATTCGTGAGATCGAATTGCAAGATAAAGACAATCCCGATGTGATAGCCAAAAATTCCAATGGAAGCCAGCAGAAATTGACCGAAGACCGAAAGATCCCGCATTTCGGATCTTCAACGCCTGGCTGGCTCAAGGGGCCGGAGGAATTGGTTGTCGCTGTCAATGGTGGTGTCATTCAGCATTATCCGCATTACAAGGAGACCGTTCAACGATACGTCGACCGGCTAGTCATCAGTGCAGGACCTCAGAGCGAAGGGAAGAGCATCTTCCTTCGGGAAGCAAGTGACGGCGGTATCATCGGCGTGGGTGTCCTTGCGGGTACCGTGGCTGGGGATATTGATGGAATCATTGGGTCAACATTTGAGCGAGAAACCGAGGCCGACATACATGCTAGGGTACCCGCAGGCTCTGAGAATTGACGGAAATATGCCTTGTGCATCCATAGATTTGTTTATAAATAGCATTCATAGCGGCAAGCATGCGAGAAAGTTAATTGATTCAGTTCTATCGTACAAACAAATTTTGACTGCAATTACATAGCGTGGTAAATGCTGATCCGGGAGTATCATTCAAGGTTTCATGTGAGATAATGTCGCTTGTTGGCCAGCCGCTACATCCGGTGTAGCCACCGATCATAGTTCAAGTGATAGGACGACGTTGGGTCAATCTTGACGTCTGGACATCATAGAAACATTCCACCTTTATCATTTTTCTGGTATCATGTCACATCCTAGTCTTCTCCTCTTACTCTCCGAGAGCCTCGTATTGCTCAGTGGTGTAGCACTTCGGGGTCCAAGCGTGGATCTTGGGGATCTCTTCCTTCAGGACAGCGTTGACGAGACGGTGACGGGCAAGCAGGGTCTTGCCAGCAAACTTGTCGGAGACAATAACAGCTTGGAAAGCCTGTCCACAGCCACCTATGCAAGAGAAGAACATATAGTTAGTACAAAACGGTCACATAACCAACATTTAAAGCACTAGGCCTCGGCAGAAGGGTAATTTACCAGAAAGATCCTCAATCTTGACAGTCTTAGCCTCCAGCTCATCCTCGAGCTTCTTCTGGAGCAATTCCGCCGTGACACCGGAAGTGTCTGCCATGGCTGCACCGACAGCGGAGAACGAGCGCGCGGTAAGGGAGAACGGAGACTGCGAGATATAGGCAGGCGTAGGGCGGAGAAGATAGCGACAGCCCCGGCTCAGCTTGGTGAGAGATGAGGCGCGGGAGAACATGAAGCACGATCGAAACGAGTCTTGAGAGCTGTTCGAGGAATCAAGTCCGCGGGATCGCAATGAGGTCCTATTACAAATTCGCCTGCTCCGATGGGTGTGGCTGGTGTGGCACGTGCACCACTGTGGCGCCCCGATAGCGATAGCGTCACCGTCCCGGTTGCTTCTGCTTGTTGCTGTTGCTGTGGATCTACTTGTCCCTCTTTCAAGAATTCATGAATTCTCTGCGGACTGCTGTGCGTCAGTTCTCTACAATGGCTTTAACAACCACCACATGCTCGCCTTTCACACAGGCTATTGTGAGCTCAATGCGAAGGCTGTACGTTATTTCTGATGTGGAGAGCTTCCTGTGAAATGAATGGACCTTGGAATTCTAACAAATATGCAGCTATCCCGAAGCATTGGCAGACAAGAGCTTCGACAATACCGGTTGTAAGTTGATAAATCTATTAGAATCTATTTCAGCGATTGTCCTCCTATGATATTGTGCTCACCAAACAAACAGTGCTCCTTGAAGCCCCCTTCGAGCCAACCCGCCGACAGAAGAACTCGGTGCTTCTAGCCATTGATCTTACTACAGCTGTTGCGGACGAGGCCATCAAGCGCCAAGATTCTGCTGTTGTTGCCTATCGTAAGATTGGCTCTCCTATGTGTATATACATGTCAATTGTTAACTCCCAACAGACCCTATTATTTTCCGTGGACTCAAGTCCATCACTCTTGATGACACCCAGCAGCGGTCTCTCCTCCGTCTGGCTCAGCATGGTATCAGTGTCTACTCACCACACACGGCAGTTGATACCGTTCCTGGGGGAATGGCCGACTGGCTGTGCGATGTCGTGACCGGCAGTCATCAGTCATCCACAGCCGAGCTGAAGCCTTCTATCAAAGAATGCTCATCGAAACTATACTCCGCACCTACCTACCCGCAGCCCCAGTCCATTCCAACTACGGGTTCATCAAGCACCTCTCAGCAACTGCCTCACACCCGATCCACCATTCACCCATCACCCCCAGCTTCCATCCCGGAAGGCTTTGAGTCTGCCGGCGCCGGCCGTCTAGTCACGTTTAACGAGGCCCAGCCTCTCACCACCTTGATCGACCACATCGGCCGTGGCGTCGGCCTGCAAGCAGGCATTCCCATTGCCATCCCACAAGGGCGGTCTATCGACGATATCCGGATTCGCACCGTTGGCATGTGCCCTGGCTCTGGTTCCGGTGTTCTTCTCCGCGGAAGTGATATCCCCGACCTTCTTTTCACTGGCGAGATGAGCCATCACGAAGCTCTTGCTGCCACCGAGCGTGGATCAGTGGTTATCTCTCTTTCTCACTCCAACTCTGAGCGTGGGTATATCCGCGCGGTTATGCAGCGCAAATTGCAGGATGAGTTGTCGCAGTGCTGGGAAAGTGATCGGCAAGCGGCTCTTCAGGCAATCAAGGACACTGCGAAACAGGGTGGAGCTACTCCTTCAGCGGTGGGCGAGGAGGTTTACGAGGATGCTAGCGTGGAGGTATCTGTCAGTGACGCTGATCGTGACCCCTATGGAATCATGATCTGGCGATCTTGATATGATATAGTCGATTGAGACATGATCTAGTCTATCAAAATATTAAAGGCGATTGTGCTGATTGTTGGAGATTGTGTACCAAGTGCATGTTATCCGGCACCTAGACTCCCCGAGATAAACTGGCAGCTTAGGCAGTTGCAGCGCTATATACTTCCGCTCTTCTAGCACTCGTCAAAAGAGCGAGACTCAAAACAAAGACAAATATATTGACACTGCTGAGTGATATAAAGACTGAAAATTGCGAGAATCAATAGACTGCCAGTCATCGAAACGATCTTAAATCTGTAGATATCTTCTTCCAGGTATCGCTATGGAAGTAATGTTGGGTTTTATCACCTGGTATTGGTTTATAGTCTCTTCTGTCTCCATTCAAATCATGTAATTTTTCGCAAGACGACCCATAGAAATCTGTGAACCTGGCTTTAGAACACCAATAGAGCCGTCAAAATCCCCCGTAGCCCCGGGGTTGGTCTGCCTGTTCACAATTCAAGGTCCGTGAGCACCGCCCGGATTTCCTGTTTGGAGCGATTCAAGAGCTCCCGAGTAGTTTCAAATGCTACCGATCTCTTGATCAGGCCGAGTATGTATGTCTTCGTGTTCCTCAACAGAGTGCTTGTGAGAAACGCAACGATTGGAATGCTTGAAAGCCAGTATTTTTACATTCATGTCGCCTGTTCAATTGACAATTTCCAATCTTCAAAGGCCTTTCCACAGTCCTCCAGCACATCCAAGCCAAGAGTTTGGCTCTGCCGGAATGAAGAGAGCCACGTCCAATCGTTTTTCCAAGTCACCCCGGCGTATCCTAGTACGAAATCTCGAATCTTTTGTAAAATTCCATCATGCATATGAAAGAGCTGTCGGTTCTTGATGGCCCCTTGAACATTTCGCGTTGTGCGTTCTTTACGGTTCTTTTCATAAAGAGCCAACACCTGGGCAGTGAGTTCCTGGGTCGCAGATCTCGTTGATAAAAATCGCTCATCAGAGCTGCTTGACTTAAAAATTTGAGTTTGCAAGGAGCCAAGAAGCTTGCCAATGACGGCTCCATCCTCGACTGCCATAGCAGCCCCTTGCGCTTGATAAGGCAGGGTGGGATGGCATGCATCACCAAGGAGCGCAACGGATCCCTGACTCAGTTAGATAGACTCCTTGAGAGATGAGGCACTGGCAGTACCAACCTTCGTCCATGATTGAAGTTCAGGAAGATGGGTCAGCTTCCATTTATAAACCAAAGACACACAAGAGATCATTTTCTGTAAGCTGTCGTAGAGGAAGAGTAGTTAGCAAGCCACCCTGTTTGATGAGAGCAATCTCTTCAAGTGCTCACGTTTTGTCCCATTCCGCATAGCTCTCCCGCATTTCATCAATATCGCCTTGTTCCTTGCGGACGTCCGTTGATAAATTATCCGGACGAAGAAGGACAAGGTTGAACTCCTTCCCGCCGCGGACAGGATAGAATATCGTGTGCTTGTCCGGACCTAACCAGCTGGTCACCGCAATTTTGCGGCAGAGTTCATCAACATCGTCATCCCCCAGGGCCTCCAACTGCTCCCTAGAAAACGTTGCTCGGTAAGCCATGTCTCCCGTGGGAGTCGGAGACACGGGAACTTCAAGAACGGCCGTTCTCACCGAAGACATTTGGCCTGCTGCTGTTAGCTCATATATTCACAGCCAAAGCCGAAAAAAACGTTTTTGATTACCATCAGCACCGATAATAACATCTGCTCGTATCATTGTCCCATCGGCGAGAAGAGCTGTTTGTTCCTCGACAGAGATACTGGTGACCTCCGCTCCCAGTCGAAGGACCGCACCAAGACGAATCGCTTCATCATAAAGAATACGATGGTAGTCGACGCGGTGAATAACACTAAACAAGGTTGAGAATACTGATAAATACGATAATCACTTAACAACATACATCCATGGTGCCCCGAATTGCTCCGTAATATCATCGCCAAATAGCATTGTTCGCAACAAGCGGCCATCCTTGTATCTTCGGAAGTGCACTTCTTGAACTTGCGTTCCTTTCTCGAGCATTTGGGGCAGAAGGCCAAAGTCGCGCATAATTCTGGTTCCATTGGGTGGTACTTGGATGCCTGCTCCGATTTCGCGGATCTCTGGTGACCGTTCAAGAATCTCCACGTCGATGCCTTCACGGCGGCAGGCAATTGCACAAGCCAGTCCCCCTAGACCAGCGCCGACAATGAGGACCTTCATAATCTTTTCTGCTGCTGTTGATGATGGGAGCGTCATTGACGAAACGTTCTACACGTAATGCATGATCGCCATTCACCGCTTTCACGCTAATACCAGTGAAATACGACGGCTGAACCCTGCACAGAATCTCCACTTCCCTATTCAAGAACTTGTCGGCTGTACAAACCATATGCTGGATACGAACGTGGCAAGTGGGACTCTACGATCTCTGCGAGGCAAGTCAAGATAAATATCTATTTTTTCTTACCTGATCTTCCCCGTAGGATAGTAGCCTGTGGGCTGTGGTATCAGCCATTCACACACAGCTTCATGGCGTAACAGGGGACTTGACACCAAACCCAGAATCTGTGAATTTGAGTGGGACGTTCAATGAAATGATTTTCATATCAAGAAAGGGCTCAAATGTATCCGCCGATCCTTGGTGGAAAGATTTTAAGACCACCTTTGGCTCGGCACATTGATCGAATTTCAAAGCTTTTTCATTACACCGGCACATCCAATATGTCGATTGATAAGGATGTCACGTCAAAACTTCTATCTCTTTTGAACTATACAGGTTTCCGTAGTTTCTTTGTCTCCTCGAGGGCTTGGTTAGTGAATGGCAACCAATCATTGTTAAGCAAAGAATCGTAATCACTTCTCAGATAGCTCAAATAGTCATTTTTACTTCCTCCTCTGGCGGTAAAAGTCAGCGCAGCCCACATACACGGGTGTATGGCGCTATCGCAACAATTTTCCAACTCTACAACCCAATGAGAACCGATAGGCATTTACTCGGGTCCAAGGCTCTACCCGCGATCATCCACGGTCACCAATCGAGATCTCAATCGAGATCTTATTGTGGATTCCACCCTGACAACGCTACTTTTCAACAGTAAAGTGGGGCATGCAATCCACAAGGAGAAAAACCTAAATCACCTTAAGCACGATAGCAGTTCGCACCGTCAGAGGACCCTTGTCAAGGCATGGAATATTCCTCCGGACATATCGTATATTCTGGGAGAATAAGCTAGTTGTTTTTGGTGATCATGATCATGGCTGTTACCGTCAATCTTTGTTGCTGTGATCTGTTGAAACTCTGCCAAATTCGGACTAGTTCAAATACAGTCAGCAATCGGTAATTTCCATTTCAACCCAACCACCTTCCTTGCTTGTTTGATTCATACTCTTTAATCTCAAGTTCACGTCAACACAACCAATATGTCTTGGCCTCGATCGCAACTTCTGGAGATTGGTGATCAAACGTGGTGCCCTTCTTGGCTTCACCAACATGAACAATTTTCTCTCACTCGATTGTGGAATCTTAAAGTACCCGGATGGAGTCGCGGAAGTCTGGCGACGCAGGCATGTGCAGTCGTCGAGGAGCATCTGCAAGATCTTTCTTCGTACACGATATTGGACATTTGCGCCGGTGCTGGTGGTCCTACCCCAGTGCTCGAATCCGAACTCAATGGCAAGCTTGAGTCTGAAGGCAAGAAACCCGTTCAGTTCATTCTGAGTGATCTCTATCCCCACCACGAAGAATGGAGTCGGATCTCGAAGAAGCAGCAAAATGTGACGTATATTGAGGAACCGGTCGATGCGCGAGCTGCCCCTCGATTTGCAGCGAAAGGCATGAAAGAGTGTCGCATCTTTAATATCTGCTTTCACCACTTCGGAGATGAAGATGCTGCGGGCATTCTGAAGAATAACATCGAGTCTGCCGACGCATTTATGTGAGTGATGACTGCCGTTATGTATTGGATCTTATGCTGATACGCGTCAGAATATTTGAAATTACAGCACGCGATGTTTGGACGTGCCTGTGTTCGCCGTTGGTCTTTTTCTGGGCTTTCCATGTAACCCTTTTCTGGTTTTGGAACTCGCCCGTCCATCTTCTCTTCACATTTATCTTCCCTATAGCGCCACTGACAATCTGGCTTGATGGGTTCATCTCCTGTCTGCGCACTCGCACCACGCAGGAAGTCCGGGCATTGCTGGATCAGCCGGAGCTTGACCTCTCCAAGTGGACCTTCCACAGCGGTCAGAAAACTGTTCAATTTCCGTTTATCACTTTGTATTACTATATTGGTGTGAAGTCTGAATAGTGTGAGTGTGAGCTCTTTCAAATATTTGAACAGCAAAAGGATAATCCTCCCAAAATTTGAGGCATTGTACTGAAGGTTTGGTGGTTTCTCAAAAGTACAAGGGCATCATGTATATACCAATGATCTTGGCTGTTATCGTGCTCTCGCTGCTCACCGGCGTGGTGATCACCGTCTGTGAACACTACGTGCTATTCTTATCTTTCTCTGCTATCTTTTCTGCAGTTGGTGCGGGCTTATTGACAACGTTACAAGTTCACTCCAAGCCAAACGAGTGGATCGGCTACCAGGTCGTCTAGAGTGTCGGCATCGGGGCTGGATTCCAACTTGCAGTAATCGCATGTCAAGTTGTACTCGATGAGGCCGATCCTCCACTGGGCATGGCATTGATCGTTTTCTTCCGGTCTTTTGGAGGCGCCATATTTACTTCCGTCAGCGAAAGCATCTTCCTTAACGGTCTTGTGAGTGGGCTTCACAGGATCGCTCCCACTTTCGATGCTTCTGTGCTTCTAAGCTCTGGAGTAACTGACATCACTCATGACGTTCCTCCAGAATTGCCATCGACCGTACAGGAGACTTATAACTCGACCTTGAGCCACGTGTGGTACGTGTCTGTTACATTGTCGGCGCTTTCAATTATCGCCGCCTTGGGTATAGAGTGGCGGAGGATTCAGCCTGGTACAGATCTTGGTACTATGCATGGTTAAATACAATGCAGATATGCTAGGCTTTTCAAGTACCTTTTCTTTATTCTCAGGCCTCATTAGTTGTAATCCAGTCGACACAACTTATAGACACCCTAACCACAGAACTGCGCACATCAAATTGTTCCTTCCCGTCACCTACAGCCAGTAATTAACCTTTGCTGCAATAAGATAGATATGACGGATGAGTCTTATTGTTTGTCCAATAGGAATGGATGGCCTTGGTGGTCACGCATGGTTCGTCCGAAATTGTGCAGTAAAGCGCTTGCATTCAATACCTCACAGGCCACTATATCTTAGAAGCCGCTCGCATAGTTAACGTTAGGAATTCAATGTAGTTTGCTCTATGAACCTTCATACTAAGATATTTCTTTCCAAGTTTCTTTCTTCAACCCTTAACTAATTCCTTTAATTCAATTTGCCAGCATAGAAGCGATGAACTTGAGATCCAGCCGCATGGGTGAACAGATTGCGATGTTACCGAGAGGGGGAAAGGGGGCCTAGTGCAGGGATTACCCTTCTTATCCTTCCCCACCTCGTTCATATTTATTTAGAATAACAATTCGATTAAATGACGTCTATTTCATTGATTCTCAGTAATCAAACAAGATCCCAGATTTTAGACGCTATGTCTTTCCCCGAGGGGTCAATATCACTCTGCACCTCTCAGTGCTTCCCAACTCCCGTGGTCCCCAGCGTCCAATTCCTGTCCATCAACTCATCCCTAGTCACCAATTTCTCCGGATCCGCCCCATCATCCCAAACATTCAACCACCCGACCATCAATTTCACAGACATAACAATATGCAACATCACCATCGAATACACCCACCCTTCATTCAACGATCTAATCACAGTCATGGCATGGCTGCCCATTGGATCCTGGAATGGCCGATTCCAAGCCGTCGGCGGCGCCAGCGCTTCCGCCGGCTTGAACAGTATCTCGCACTATGAGATGTACGCTGCAGTTGGACAGGGGTATGCTACCATCAGCACCAATGCAGGCCAAGTCAACAACACCCGCGACTTGAGTGGCTGGGCGCTGGACGAGAATGGGTCGCCGAATATCAACATTCTCCGAAACCTAGCATCTATCTCGCTCGGCGATGAAGCTGTTATTGGCAAGAGTCTCATCAATAGCTTTTATGGTCAGGAGCCGCTGTACTCGTATTTCAGCGGTTGCTCTCAAGGTGGGCGTCAGGGGCTGATGTTGGCACAGAGATATCCGGACATGTACGATGGTATCGTCGCTTCTGCGCCGGATATTAATTGGGGTCGACTCATTCCTTCTAGGGTGTGGCCACAGGTGGTAATGAACAATTTGAAGGAATACCCCGAGGGCTGCGAGCTGGATTACCTAGGCGAGACGGCGATCGCTGCCTGTGATGAATTGGATGGTGTCAAGGACGGGATTATCTCTGCCATGGACAAATGCGACTTCGATCCGTTCTCGCATGTTGGTCAAAGATTCAATTGCTCATCTACTGGAAATTTCAGAACTCTCAGCGGTGCAGCAGCTAGAGTTGCAAATGCGACATGGACCGGCCCACGGGATGACGATGGAAACTTCATTTGGTATGGCCTGAACTATGGCGCTGATATTTCGGGTGATATTACCGGCAGAGATGCCAATGCCGTGACAAAGTGTCTTGCGAATGGCACTTGTGTCGGAGAACCCCTTGCTCTAGGGGCTCAATGGCTTCAATATTTCGCAAGCGAGAATGATCCTTCATTTGACTTTGCAGCAATGACGATTCCCGAGTTCGTCAAGCTTGTTGATGTCTCGGTCACCAAATATGGGCCAATTATAGATACCGATGATCCAGATCTATCTGCGTTTAAGAAGGCTGGTGGTAGGATTATGGGGTACCACGGATTGGTAGGGAATCATTGCTCTATTTTGATATAGACACTCTTCTCTCCTTTTATACAAGACTAACGATGAGCTAGTCCGACCCAACCATTCCCACAGCAGGCTCAATAGACTACTACGAGAGAGTGACTGCACTCATACCCAAGATCCATGACTTTTACCGTCTCTACGAAGTCCCGGGCTTGGGACACTGTGGGGGACAGACCGCAAACCAACCCATGCGCATATTCGATGCGTTGCGAGAATGGGTCGAGAATGATATCAAACCAGATTCGCTTCCCATCTCCTTTTCGCTGAATGGAGAGTCATGGACAAGACCCGTTTGTCCGTACCCAAAAAGCGCCATCTACGACGGGGTGGGCAGTCCATCTCTGTCAACGAGCTATGCGTGCACATGAATGTTTTCGGAGCTTATTCTCGATCCCAAATTATTTTTCTCTGATTGAGTGAACTTCCACGTATCCCGTCGTAAGCATAAATCGATCCTACTATATCAGGAGTTAGGTACGACTACTCTGGCATTCAAGCTATGATGGTCACAGCTCCAAGGGTCAGGTACGGGTCTCAGCAGCAGCAGTGCTACAGCCTGGCACCATGCCCGGTACTCAGCACCTCAAGATCTACCAATTCCTACAGCATCTAGCACGGCGAATCAAGTGACAAGGCATAAAAAAACCTTAAGCCCAATTGAGAAATGAGAAGTGAGAAGGATATCCTAATGACAAAACGGAGGCAACAAAAGAGAGAAAAAAAAAGAAGCAGTAGGGTAAGATACGAGGAAAGCATGTAGAGACAAAGAGAAGACGACCGAGGGAATCCCCTGGCCCAGCGGGAAAGTGGGAAAAAAAGAGGGAGAAAAGCAAAATGTGATGATGGAAGTTCGGGATCCGGTACGTGCAGCTTCACAATGCAATTGCGGTGTGTTTTCCAAGTAGGTGGCGTGACATGGAAGAGGGAGATTGATAAGGGAGGAAGGAAAAAGACGAAGCAAGGGATCGAGACTTCGTGAAGAAAGGGAAAGGGAAATCGACGGTATCCAAGAATAATTGATTTAGAGGTCAATCAGACTACTGCCATGCTGCTGCGGTCTTTGCTGAGCACCCCATGGGTTATTGGTGGGCTGTTGTTGCATGAATCCGGTTTGCTGAGGCATACCGGTGTACTGCTGGCCGAAGAAGGGGTTGTTGCCGGTCTGGGCGGCATGCAGACGATCCAAACCCTGACCTGCGGAGTTGACGAAGGTACCCGGAGCTGTGTGCTGCGCGGGGATGCGCAAGTCGCCAACGTTGCCAAAGGTGTCCTGGCCCTCGCCCGATGCAAGAAGCGCATTGAGACGGGCGTGGTGAGGATCGGCAGGCTGGGGCGGAACGCTCTTTGATGGCTGGGGAGCTTGGAAGTTGGCAATGGGGTTGGGCTGGTTGGGCTGCTGAGCGAATTGGCTAGCATTATACTGGTTGTTGTTGAATTGGGAGGTGGCACGATCTTCGGCCAGAGTGTTAAGGGATGGTGGCCCCGGCTTTGCTGGTTGGTTGGTGAACTGGGGCTGGGTGCGTTGGGCGAAGGGATTGTTGGAGCCAGTTGGCATGGGCTTCAATGCGTCAGCGGGCTGATTCACAGCCCAAGGATTGTTGGTTCCCGCGGACAGGTAGTTCTCTTGGGGCTGTTGCTGTTGCTGCTGCTGCTGCTGCTGCTGCTGCTGTTGCTGGCCGAAAACATCGGTAGTTCCATAGGGATTATTGGCGTTGTATGAAGTTTGCTGAGGTTGGAGGGTAGCTTGTGGCTGCAAGAAATTGTTCTGGGGTTGGCCGTAGGGATTCTGGTCAAACACAGAAGGCTGCTGCTGCTGCTGATAGCCATTGGCGTATGGGTTGGCCATGCCGGTCGGCTGGCCTTGGAATCCTGTGGGCTGCGCATATTGGTTGTTCAAGAAGCCGGTCGTCATCGGTTGTTGGACATTAATTGGGTTGCCGAACCAGTCGACGGCACCTTGCTGCTGGTAACCCTGATTGAAGCCGGTGGGCTGAACCTGGGCCGGAGTTTCGTCGAAGAGCGAGTGTGCATTGCTTTCCTCCAGTTCACGCTTCCGCAGATCCTCTTCTTCCCGACTGAGCTTGATCGCCTTGGCCAGGTCCTCGTCGTCGTCATTGTTGGCTTCCTTTGCCCGCCGCTTGCGCTCCTCCTCGGCTTCAGCTTTGCTGGCTTCGATCGCCAATCGGTATTCAGTATCATCCTCGTCGTCACGGCGGGGTCGCCGGCGCTCCCGACGAGATGGCTCGCTGCCTCCTCCTCCTCCGTATCCATCGTCCAGTCCACTCACACGGGTCTTCCAAAGTTTGCGATCTGAACGTTCGCTGCGCAGTCGATCCTCGTCCAACACCAACGCAGTGAGTTCCTTTGCAGCCACACGTACTACCGACGATCATTAGCAAGGATTGTGCACGTGCTAGATTGAGCTAAATTCTCACCATTCTGGCCTACATCCCTGCCCTCCTCGTCAACATATTGGAATTCGCGCAGAGTCTTGATAATATAGACGTTCTTCCGGGCCCATGTCACCGCCAGCTCGGAACCCTCGTGCAGGCAGTAGTCCAGCACTTTCAATGACTTGAGCACATGGCGCCAGTTCTTTCCTTTGTCGTTGAGGCGCTTGTCGAGCATGTCCATGATTTCGTAGAACTCGTTTGGGCTATATGCAAGGTGACGTTAGACCCACTTCCGTCTCAATGGAGACCATCGGGTGAACACCTACCTCCCGAATGTCATGGCCGCGATCTCGGACATGTCAGTGCCCGTTGGGCCCCATGGATCATTGCTGGTAGCTTTAAGAATAGGCAAGTTAGCAGCTGAACATTACATCGCAGATTCATCGCTGTCGCATCTCTCAGTGCTCTGGCCATGACTGCCGTACGCAAGGAGGCAGTGGCAAGGAGATAGAAAGACTAAGCGCAGATGAAGTAATCGCGGGGTGTTGACTCCAAAAATCCAGACGAGGGAGAGGGGGTCACGCATACCATTCCGGACCTTCACCTGCACCGAGGAGTATCCCTTTGTAACGTTCTTGACACTGCGAACGACCTTCGACATGGTGGCAGGTATAGACGCGACGGTTGCGGTGGGATAGGGGCAATGAAGGATGCAGATAAGGAGTAATATCCGATAGGGCGATTCGTAAGGTTATAGCGGACAGTTTCTTGCCAAGCTCTCACAGCCCACTCGATGTCGTTGCTCCGGAAGGCGGCCCAAGGCGAGTAGGGAAGAGGACAGGCGTGCGGAGGTGTGACGCTCACCTGTGGCGTCTTCGGAATGGTAGGAGGGCGGACCGGCCACTGGGGGGGAATGCGACAAGGATTGGATGCTGATTTTGATCCGAGGAAGGAGGGGATCAGGGAGCGGACAGATGGAGAGGATGAGGGAGTGTCAAGAGAGACTGAGAGGGGACTGTGGCTGGAACGGGGGTGCACGAGCCTTGGCACTAGGCTATGACGAAGCGGGAGGCCGACCTTGAGCGTTGTGGGAATGTTGCTGGAGGGACTAGGATTTCTTGATCGTTAATAGACCGCTTTCAAGAAGAATAACGTAACTCTGGGGATGTCCAGCTTTTATGAATGTTCATCTGACATTTAACGTTGACGAGAACCGGTATAGACTAGGATTACATTGTTGCCGGTCATCCCGCCTTCGCTTGCGCAGCCATTCCTCCTTGATTTCATGATTCATGCCCGAGCGTATTAATTCGCAACTTGGAGATTTCAATAGTATCAGTCCAATCTCGAAGCGCTGATAATTCTAGTATAGTAGATAGGATCGGTAGACTCATCACCAGAACATATACCGCCCAATTCAACTTATCGAGCAGTAGATCTGCAGGGTTCACAGCCTTCTCGGATGCGGTTCCTTTGGCCAACACGTTGTAGCCAGCGCCACAACTGTGGCAAGAGGGCCGCGTCAGATTGGGGCTTGTTATTCGCACGGGGCACGGTGCATTTGGTAAGACCGCCAGCCGGATCAAGTTAGCGCGTATCTATCAGATAATATCGGGGGTTTGGTATCATTTAGCGAAACTTGCTCGACATTTGAATTAGAATCAATCCTTCGATAAGACAATTAGGCCCTGGAAGGTTAAGAAGATGCCGAAGGAGTGAAGATAAATTGTCAAACCCGGAACTGTATACATTAAATGAACGGCAAAGAGCCGACAAGTTTTGAATGTCACATTGAACGTAGACTAGACTAAACACGAAGACTCGAAATGAGCGAGAGACGGAGCTTCTCGCGGTACTTGGACACTGCATGGCTGTTAGTGTTGCATGTGACTGAGAGAAAAGAGCTTTCCTCGCACTCCGTGAGCTTAAGGTATCGAGTAGAAGGAAGGAAGCACACCAGAAGCTCAAATCAATCCTTATGTTCTGTCTGTAAAATACCAGAAAACACTTCTCCTGTAGCAGAGCCGCGCTAGCTTGATACAGCTAGCGGTCGTGCTATCAGAATGAGGCATCGTGCGAATAGGAAGACCTATTCGGCCTGGGTTTCGGGGCCAGGCAGCCGGCAACCTTGAATGCACACCAGGCAATGTATGGGGTTCTTGTACAGCACTTGTACACAAGCATGTCGGTTGGCGTACCATTACAATTGGATAGAGATATACCTATCGCTAACGCTACGCGATTCTTGCATATAGCTATTTAGCCAAGGGAGGTCGACGAAGATTGGGATAAGGACGACGGCTTTTGGTCATATATTCTTGCTATAGGCTCGGAGCCTTCTAAACATGTCAGGACCATCTTTCCAAATGTCATCCTTCAATGGTTTTTGAATTTTGAATACCTATCGAGTCATTCGGTTGCTATATGCAAATTCAATATCGAGTCATCTAATTGCCTTATTCCGTATTCCTACAGCAGCTCCATCAAGCAGGCTCTTAATCGAGAACCTTCTCAGCAGCCGAGACTATCCGTGTTTTGTTAGCCACTGTCATTCCCCCCACAATGTCATCGGCAATGAAACTGCGCAATCACTTACCGTCAACACCGGTGTTGTCAGGCTCAACAAAGGCCTCCTTGACCTTTCCATCCTCCACCAGCAGAGCATAGCGCTTGCTGCGGTTGTTACCAAAGATGGCAACGCTGTCGAAGCTCAGGTCAAGAGCCTCGGTGAACTTGCCGGTGGGGTCGCCGAGGAAGCGAACCTACATCGAGGGGGTCATGTTAGCACCAGTGTTAGGTCTGTAAGGGGATAATGGGATATAGACATACGCCGCTCTTGCCCTGGGGGTCCAGGGAAACGCCCCAAGCCTGGGTCCTATATCAATATTGCAGATTAGTGATTCGTCGATACATAGCGCCCAACGCTCATGTTCGCATCCCAATGACGCTTCCCCGCTCCACCGGATCACGAGCTCAGGCTTACACAAAGGGATCATTGACGGAAACGACGAAGACCTGGCCGGCCTCCTTCAGCTTAGGGTGGTTGATGTAGCCCGGGACGTGGGTACTAGAGCAGGCAGGGCCTAGAAAAGTAGAACAAAGTACATCGGTCAATGACGGAGGTCTTGCGAGGGGATTGTTCTTATTTGGGGATGTCCGAATTCACGCACTGAAGGCGGCTGGGGTGCCAATGATAACAGCCTTGCCCTTGATCTCCTTGGCGAGGTTGATTTTGTTGCCGGGAGAGTTCTCGACCAGGACGTCCAGGTTAGGAATGGCGTCGCCCTTCTGGACGAGGCTGCGCGATGTGCTGTGGAAGGGGGCGGCGCGGACGCGGGGAAGGTTGGTGGCAATGCGGCGGGCGAACATAATTGCGATTCAATTCAAAATTCCGAGAACAAGATTATAGAGGTGGTGATCGAGGAGATGCAGATTTGGGATGGGAGGGATGGAGGATGGGAGGCCGCGTTGTTGATGTTGTGCGAGGAGGAGCTCCGCAGAATTGATGATTTCGTCATCGGCCGTTGGGGGACGATCGTCGCCCGTTGAAACTCTGCATTAAAAGGACCCGGTGCCCCTGACTTGGGACCAGCACGGGACCAGCACTCGAGGAAGGATCATTATGCTCTGTTTTACTTTTTATTTTTGATGTTGAGAACCTACAACGTACCATGATCTTAGGTGGCCATGGTTATCCTCTCCTATGCAACCATGCTGAGCCTCCGAAGGGTACGAACCCGCTCGGTGAATTTGCCGACCAGCCAGGGCGCTTTGGCCCACCGATGGGGACGAAGACCACCATCTTGCGAATGCCTACGGACTCCGTGATCATCATCGTTGACGATGCCTCGTGACGACGTGAATTCGTTGGGCACCGTGTGCCACGGGGTGAACCACGGGCTTCATTGATTTTATGGAGATCTCCCGGTCGTTCCACATAATACCAAATCGTGTCCTCTCTCACCGTTCGTCTTGCCAACTCATCAGCGAACTACTCCGTCGGATTCACCAGCCAATGTGTGAAGACTACCGGAGAAGCCAGCCACCAGTCGTGAAGCTCGGCCGAACACATGTGGGAACCAGCAAAAAGCAAAGATCCACACTTTGTTTCCCTGGGCCCAAGGATTTGCTCCGACCGGTGGAGCTTTCCTCTTGCATTACTTAATCAAGTTCCCATTGATCTGACTGGGATCTGCTGGTCTTTCTAAAGCTAATGTCTCACGGGCTTTCTTGGTGATTGGGTCTGAATTTGGTCCAGTCATTCTCTCGTCGTCATGAATGGGGGACCATGGGACGATCCTATGCACTATGCACACGATGTTAAAGTCGAGCGCAATACCACGACAGTATACGACGTATACACGCAGTGCCTGGAGGGAGCTTCGAGGCCGCACTCTGCATGGTGGGCCCCCCCTCCAACTCGTGCGCACTGACAATCGCATGTCAACGGATGCGCCTCTCTGCCAATGAATAGCGTGGAATTTTTCTCATGCAGCAGTAGGGTCGAAGGAAGGTTTTGCCCCCGGAGGGATCGTACCGATTGTATCGTTCCGAGGAGGAGGGGGAAGTGGGAGGATAGTATGATGTTGTGGATGATGAAAGACTATGATTGTAGGGCTGGAAGGACCATGCAACCAAATAATTGAGACCGTCAATACATTCATTGTTGATAACACCCGACCTCCTTGCATCATTCCACAGGCCCGAGGAAAAGTCACAGAGTAGTCTAAAACTACCTCCAAATGCCTCAAAGACGCAAGAGGACTGTCAAGAGATCAAGGGCCTTGGAACCACGACCGACTCCACAACCAGGCAACTCGTTCCATTTTTTATTTTTTTTTCTATAATTATACTATTATACCATGTTAGACATGGCGATTGTCTCCTTTATGCCGGTGTCCCACCGTAACTTTGGTACTTGGCTCTACCCGTCCGTCTTGTTCTTTTCGTAGTAATCCGATCCAGGCGGTACCCCGTTCGCTTCTGATCAGAAATTATTCCCTTCTTTTTTTCCCTCCCCAACCTCGCGACTCTCCGGCTTTGCTTTTCGGCCTCCTTTTCTTTTTTGATTGAACCCCCCCCCAGCCAGCGACTGGTCTCCGTTATATCTCCTGATTCCCGGTTCCTCTTGGAATTTTGCATTGCTTATTACCTTCGATACCTGTATACCCGCCAGCCCGCCTCCGGGTCCAGCCTGCTGCTTGTTCGACCGGTCGCGACCCGTCTAGCCCAGCATGGAGGGTGGCCAGACCTCGTCGAATCCCGCCCCCGCTGGGAACTCCAGCGACTTTGTATGTCGTGATGATCTTCAAAGCCTCTCTTATGATTGTTCTGGCCCTCTTGCTAACCCTTCTCCATCATGGCTAGGTTCGCAAACTGTATAAGTGAGTTCTGCCCGAATCTTTGCCCCCTCTCTCCGCACCTCTTTGCTTCTAGATGCACCTGCAACCCGCCCGCCACCAAGAACCACACCCCTGTCACCCACCGTGCGGCAATATTTTCCACCATGTATTGACCGAGCTTATAGAATGCTGGAGGATCCCTCCTACGCGTCGATTGTACGCTGGGGAGATGAAGGGGATAGTTTCGTGGTCCTCGAGGTAAATGCGCCCATCCCCCCCCCCCTGTTGTCGTCCCTCCGGTCGCGATCGCTACGATACTAACTTGGAGCTGGGAAATCTAGTGCGAGAAATTCACTAAGACCATCCTGCCAAAACACTTCAAGCATAGCAACTTTGCCAGTTTCGTGCGCCAACTGAACAAGTACGACTTTCACAAGGTCCGCCAAAATAACGAGGAGAACGGCCAGTCGCCGTATGGTCAAAACGTAAGGCTGCAATCCATTTACCGCTACTCCTCCCACCCGGAGTCCCTCCCTCCGCCGATCGGGTCACACATATCGTCACTGTTGGCGTTGGCTAATACCACTATCGCAATAGGCATGGGAGTTTAAACACCCCGAGTTTCGTGCCAACAGCAAGGATTCTCTAGACAACATTCGTCGAAAGGCCCCTGCCCCCCGCAAGCCGACCCAGACCACTGATGAATCCGTACCTACCCAACAGATCGATCTGCTTAACCAGCAAATTGTCGCCCAGCAACAACAAATCCAGCATCTTTCCGATCGCTATGCTCAGCTCACGGTGGACCATCAGCTCATGTTGCAGGAGGTGATGCGGGTGCAAAAGACGGTGTTGAACCATGAGAATGTCATTCACCAGGTCATGACTTACTTGCTCTCGGTGGATGCGCGCCAAAGGAGGGACAGCAAGGCTCTTTCCTTCCAGGGACCGGGCGGTGCTGCCATGAGCCCGTCTCAGGTTGGAGCTGTGGACGACGAGCCATCCTCGCCCCTTCAGCAGGCATCGAAGCTGTTGAACGACATGAATTCAGAGATGCAGTTCAACCTGGCGGCCATGGACCCGAACGCAGCCAACGATCCCCAAAAGGCTGGCGCAGTCCCGGTCGCTACGCCCGCCATGGATCCCGCGGCACGCAACGGGGTTGCTGCAGTCGCCGCGGTCGCTCGTCCAGTGACTACCGCACCACCCAACCCGGCGGCGCTGGTCTACCCCAAGATGGGCGGCGACTTGGAACAAGTGGTCTACCCTGTGGGTGCCACCAATGGTATTGATCCGATGTATAGCGAGCACGTCAATAACGTGCCATATCCCATGCCCGCCAAGCCAGAGGTTGATCCTGCAGAGGCTCGGCGGTACCAAGACAACGGTAACCGCAAGAAGACCACCAACGTCGACCCTGGCTGGGTGCGCAGTCCACAAATTTTGCTGGTCGAGGATGACGCGACTTGTCGACAAATTGGCGGCAAATTCTTATACTCTTTCAACTGTGTGGTTGACACTGCGGTATGTTTGAATCGTAATACATGCACGGCGGCATTGATCGTACCGAGGATCTAATATTGACCGTCCTCTAGTTCGACGGTCTGGAGGCTGTAAACAAGATGCAAGGCGGTTCAAAGTACGATCTAATTCTTATGGATATCATCATGCCGAACCTCGACGGTGTATCTGCTTGTCATCTCATCCGCCAATTCGACCGCACGCCGATCATTGCCATGACCTCCAACATCCGTAGTGATGATATTCAGCTCTATTTCCAACATGGTAAGGCAACCGTACTCACTGTCAACATCCTACCAATCGGGAGAATATCAACTAACGTATGCCAATAGGTATGGACGACGTCCTCCCCAAGCCATTCACTCGCAAGAGTCTTCTCGGTATGCTGGAGAAGCATTTGGTGCACCTCAAGACTATGGCGCAGGGCATCGACGCCGCCCCGTCCGCCGCAGCAGTGACAATGGCGGCTCAAACATCGGCCACCCAATCAATCAAAGAGGACAATAGCTCCCCTGGTCAATCCCCGGCTGGATCAATGACCAACTGGCAATCACCCGGCCAGTTCCATGGCATGGCACCGGTGCCACAACCGATGCCTGCGGTTCCAGGACAATTTGTGGCCGCCCCCGGCGCACCACCGGGAGCATACACGGTGGACCAAAATGGCGTGCAGTTCCCTGCGCCACCCGCCGTGACCGTTCCCTCCAATGGTGCCCCTCCTCGACCACAACATCGTCGGCAAATGTCCGAAATGTCTAGTGCCACAGAAAACCCGAATGTCAAGCGACAGCGCATGTACCCTCAATCTCAGCCGATGATGGCGGTACAGGCTGGGCGACCTGGTTAAACCTCAACACGCGCTATTCTTCTTGCATGTCCCCCCTTCCTATTCATATTCTCCTTCTCTCTCTTTCCCTCTCTCTCTCTCGATTTTATCTCCCTGTCCATTGCCCTACGATTCCCACTGTCTATAATGAGGCCTTCACTCGTATATTACTCGCTTTGCTCGGTCGTCATTCCCAGCTCGTCTTTGTTGACTTGGTCACGGTTGTTGTATCCCTTACAGGTCATGGCGTTTTGTGTTGCTCTATTGTTCCAAGGTTCTTGGATTTTGGATGGCGAATTTGTACGGTTACGATTCACGCGTCAGCGTTGATCCACCCCTGGACTCTCATATACACATTTCTACCCTCCCCATGACTAGGGAGGTTGTTTAGCCTGGTACATACTATACACAATTACATACATTATTTCTCACTTGGTTCGTTCCCTGATTTCCTTGCATCTAGGGATAGATTTGGTAGCTTGACCCTTGGTCTCTTGGTCCACCGGGGTTCTTCAGCAGGCCGGATGAGGCAAGGCATGTAGGGATCAGTCCATTTCAAGCTTTATGCTTTCTCTGTCACCGTCGATACAAAATATCCCAAGATGACCAATAGAACATTTCGCGCCCCGTCCGCATACCATTTCCGACGAACCATCCTTCTCCACCAAACATTTGCACACCCGCATTCCCACACACGAGAGCCGGTCGGGCGAACCCGAGATCTGGAAGGGGCATCTTGTAGACGCGTCTAGACCCAATTCCGTGGTCGTAGGGCTATTGTGGGAGTCCACCAGGGCCCAGGCCTTGCAGGAAGTTCTGGACCATCTGGGCTTTTTGCGGCTGCCTGTGGCTGGTGTAAATGGCCCCTGCTGCGTGCGCCATGGACGTCACGTGGGTGATCTAAGCAAATCTATCAAACAGTGCAAACAAGGCAACACGGTGGGAGTCCGAGGCTTGGCGGGGTTTTTTGTGCCTTTGAATGACCGCGGAGTCACGTTGGAACTGAGAGCTATAACATCTTTCAGAGAGATTCTGGTGATCCAGCTCTGATTGCATTCCCTCTCTGTGATCCCAAACATTAGAGGTACGACTGCCCTTTGGTGGATTCGAATCCTGTGCCAGCTTGAGATTCAACCGCTACAGCTTTTGTGTGAATCATTGCGATTGACGCTGCTCTCTAGGATCTCCGAACGACATGGGCGCCAAGCAAAAGGGCGGCGCAAAGCCGAAGAATACGGCGGAGGAGGTCGAGGAGACTCTTCAGGCTGTCGTACTTGCCGATACTTTCGAGACAAGATTCGAGCCTTTCACTCGCGACAAGCCCAGGGTATGTGCTAGCGGTGTCCTATCCCCAGCGCATATATGCAGACACGACGCTTCACGCAAGATAGAGCTGACCAGTACCTGTGACCAAAAAAGTGTCTACTCCCTCTCGCCAATACCCCTCTCATCGAATACACCCTCGAGTTCCTTGCCAACGCGGGCGTGGAAGAGGTCTTCCTCTACGCGGGTGCTCATTCAGATCAACTAGAAAAATACATCAAGTACGGAGCCTGTGCTAGGCCATGCGCTATTCGGGGACATTGCTAATCCAATGACTGTAGCACCTCAAAATGGCGAGCCCCGTCCTCACCCTTCAAACAATTGACCTTCCTCAAGTCCACATCCACCTCGGTTGGCGATGTTATGCGCGATCTCGACGGCAAGCATCTCATCACTGGCGATTTCCTCGTTGTTAGCGGCGATGTCATCAGTAACCTCCCAATCGAGGGCGCTCTGTCCAAGCATCGCAAGCGCCGCGAGGCTGACAAGAACGCCATCATGACCATGGTCCTCCGCGAGGCGGGCCGTAACCACCGCGCCAAATCCTCCTCAATCTCTCCCGTCTTCGTTATTGACCCAACCAAGGATCGCTGTCTGCACTACGAGGAGATCGATCACCACTCCGACGAGCACCCGGCACGCTTGAACATTGATACCGATATCATCTTGTCCACGCCCGAATTGGACATTCGGCAGGACCTTATCGACTGCAGCATCGATATCTGCACTCCGGACGTGCTGAGCTTGTGGTCCGACAGCTTTGACTACCAGTCTCCCCGGAAACACTACTTGTACGGAGTTCTGAAGGACTACGAGCTGAATGGCAAGACCATCCACACATACATCATTAAAGAGGACTACGCCGCGCGGGTACGTAACCTCAAGGCCTACGATGCCGTCAGCAAAGACATCGTCTCGCGCTGGGCATATCCCTTGTGCCCGGATACCAACCTCCTCCCGGGCCATACTTACAGCCTGCGGAAGGGCAACTTGTACCAAGAGCAGGGAGTCACATTGGCTCGCTCGTGCGTGCTCGGTCGACGCACCGTAATCGGTCGGGGTACTCACATTGGCGACCGGTCAACGGTGCACAGCACGATTCTCGGACGGAACTGCAAGATTGGCAAGAATGTCCAGCTGGATGGTGCCTACCTCTGGGACAATGTTGTGATTGGGGACGGCTCGGATGTTCGCGGGGCTATTATTGCCGATGGCGTCGTGGTCGGCAAGAACTGCTCTATCGCACAAGGCGCTCTCCTCTCCTACGGCGTTAAGATTGCAGATGGAGTCAAGATTGAGAGTGGTATGCGCATTACCCGGTCCCGGCCCGATGGTAGCGTGGGCACGAGTGACCCCGCCGTAGTCGGCGAGGGCGGCGAGGGCTACGAATTCATCCACGGCGAGGACGACGACGAGGTTGATGATGATATCAGCGTTGCCTCGTCGGGATTGGTATACCGCATGCCCCGTCTTTCACTATCCAACGCCTCGATTTCCACCCTGTCTTCTGAAGTGTCCGAGGGATCATGGCCCCGTTCTGGACGGAGCAGTTTCTCCGACGGCGAAGAGCAAGATAATTTCCACCACGATGCGTCCGTCAGCGTCTTCGACAGTCTGCGCGAGGGTACCTCCGCCGACGTTGTGCAGTTGGAGCTAGTCAGTCTACGTATGACCGCCAACGCCTCCGACGTCCAAGTCCGCCGCGCCATTGTCTCCTCCTTCATGAAGTACATCCAACAATTGATGGAAGGTGGCAAGGGAGCCGGTGAGGCCGTGAAAGAAGTTTTTACCAAATACCGTGAAGTCGTGGACCGGACCTTGTTCGACCGAAACAAGGAAGCCAAGAAGGACCAGGTGGACTTTATGCTTCAATTGCAGCAGGATCTTGTTCACCGGAACAAAGGCTCAAGTATCCTTCTGTTTACGGCGAAGGAGCTCTATGATCTGGAGCTGGTGGATGAGGAGGCTTATGAGCAGTGGTGGGATGATGAGCGGTCTAGTAGTACCGAGGAGATGCGGACGGTTCGGGCTCAGACGCAGCAGTTTGTGGATTGGTTGGCGAATGCTGAGGAGGAGAGTAGCGAAGAGGACGATGAGGAGGAGGATGAGGAGGAGGACAGTGATGATGAGTAGATTCAAATACCACCACAATTTTGGTAGGGCGAAAGAAGAGCACATATACTATTCTTACACTGGATGATCTAGAATTCGTGCGGTGTATCTATAGGCTGCAGGCCGGTTGTAGTTGTATTCGTCGGAAGTCAGAGGAGATGGGGTTTATAGTTCCGATGGAAGCCCCCTTTGAGTGACTACGGACTGGTCAGTGGCAAACATTTTATTCTTTTATCAAGCCAGTTCCTGTGTATCATTGTACTCATATATCTACCGCGCCTTTGTCTTGCCTCTGCTCTTCCAGACTTAGCTTTGCCGTTATTCATAGAGAGGGTATCCATAAGGCGCCAGCCACGCCCTACGATCTGCAGGTCACTTTTCAGCCTCGCGAATCAAATTTCATGGACGTTTTCTCATTTCAGGTATGAATTGTAGAAGACGGGTCTCCAGAAAAAAAAACAACCTGTGGATCTATGACTGATTGCGTTATTATTCAGCAACCCTTGACTCATCAGGTGTCTAGCCTACTGCTTGGTCAAGTTGCAGCTTTGTTGGTCAGTCCTCAGTAAGTTTGCCTGTGAACGGTTCCGTCTGATCAGCCCCCCCTTCCCCACCCGAAATCAAAGTCGACTCCCGACCGTCTTGCCCAATTCTACTAGTGACGTTGTGGCTCAACTGGTTCACACGATCCCTTGGGTGGTTTGAACCCCTCCCTGACTGCCTCAACAAACCCTACCTAAACCCCTTTCCCTTCCCTTCCCCCCACCGTCGGCACTCTTGCCGTCCCCCCTGTTCACCACGCCTCGCCTCACGCGGAAGAGAAAGGCGGCTGAGGCGGCGATTGCGGACAACGACCAGTCTTCCCCCAAAGCCGCCACCCAGGCTACCAACACCGGAAACGCCACTGCCACTGCTGCTACCGCTGCTGCTACGTCTGACCCCAAGGCACTCTCCAAGCAGGTTTCTTCCGTGACGGTGACTTCTCAGGATACCGAGAGGGGTAGCTCAACTAGTTCTGCTAGCTTGAATCGCAAGAAGAGTCGTATTGCGACACCAGCGACAACGACGGGCAGTATGGACTCGGATGATGATTTTATGAGCGATGTGTCGAGCGCGGAGGATTTTCTCGATACGCAGGGGAGTGAGGATGAGAGTTTAGGTGAAGGTACGTGTTGCTAGAAGAAGGAACTCTTGATCTCGAAGATCTCGAGGGCCTTGAGGATCAGACGAAACGGACGTCATCGCGGTTGCTCATTTGGCTGACCTGAATTTTTTTTTTCCGCGTTTAGATTTCAGCGATTTAGACACTGGTTTCTCCGACGATAAAGATCTCCTCAAGCAAAAGCGCAAACCATATGAGGTCAAGTTTAAGGTCTTGGCCCCTCCCGATATCGAATATGAACAGCTTGTGCAAGTCAACGAGGTTTCCGCCATCCTCGGCTTGCCACCAGAGTCGGCGGCTATCCTGCTCCGGTTTGCCCGGTGGAAAAAGGAAAAGCTGATCGAGGGGTACATGGAGAATGAGGATAAGACGCTTGAAGATGCTGGCTTGGGAAAAAGTGCACAGGGCTCGGCCAAGACGGAGGTCATCCCTGGATTCATGTGTGACATCTGCTGTGATGATGGGGATAATTTAGAGAGCTATGCGATGCGTTGTGGGCATCGCTTCTGCGTGAATTGTTATCGGCACTACTTGGCTCAGAAGATCAAGGAAGAAGGCGAGGCCGCGAGGATTCAGTGCCCTGGTGAAAAGTGTCATCGCATTGTGGACTCGAAGTCTTTAGATCTGTTGGTTACCGAAGACTTGCGGGAACGGTGAGTCCGCCCTACATTCTCCGGGGGACGATGGAAAGATGCATGTTGAAACTAACCGACAAAACTTATAGGTACCGTACGCTTCTTACCAGGACCTACGTGGATGACAAGGATAACCTACGATGGTGCCCGGCCCCCGAATGCGTGTATGCGGTCGACTGCGCCGTCAAGGCTCGGGATCTTCGCCGCATCGTCCCAACGGTGCGATGCCGTTGTGGACACGAGTTCTGCTTCGGCTGTTCCCTCAACGATCATCAGCCCACCCCGTGCACACTGGTCAAGATGTGGTTACAAAAGTGTGAGGATGACTCGGAGACCGCCAACTGGATATCTGCCAATACCAAGGAATGCCCCAAGTGCCAGTCCACGATCGAAAAGAACGGCGGTTGTAACCACATGACATGCCGCAAGTGTAAGCACGAGTTCTGCTGGATGTGCATGGGTCTGTGGTCCGAGCACGGTACCAGCTGGTATAACTGCAACCGATATGAGGAGAAATCTGGATCGGAAGCCCGCGGTGCACAGGCCAAATCTCGTGCCTCGTTGGAACGCTACCTGCATTACTACAACCGGTATGCAAACCACGAGCAATCCGCCAAACTGGACAAGGATCTGTATCTCAAGACCGAGAAGAAGATGACCAGTCTGCAATCCGCGTCCGGTATGTCCTGGATTGAAGTGCAGTTCCTGGACACCGCCTCGCAGGCTCTTCAACAGTGCCGTCAGACGCTGAAGTGGACGTACGCATTCGCATTCTATCTGGCGCGGAACAACCTCACCGAGATTTTCGAGGATAATCAGAAGGACTTGGAGATGGCGGTTGAGAGTCTGAGTGAAATGTTTGAGAAGCCCGTGGCTGAACTGGCCGAGCTCAAGGTGGTTATTCTTGATAAGACCACCTACTGCAATAAGCGGCGGGTCATTTTGTTGAGTGATACGGCTGAGAACTTGAAAAACGGTGAGTAGTCATCTCGGGCTTTTGGCTTTTGGATTTCTCTTGAGGATCGGAGTAACTGACATATTCTACAGGAGAATGGTCGTTCAATATCGACTGGTGAGAAATCGCCAATCGATTTTTCAATGTACGGAACACAACGACATGACTGCATATGCAGATGACATTTCTTGACGACGTGAACGATCCAATCCACCTTTCTTCATCTCTCCCCATTTCCTTACCTCCTGCGCCGATGCCCATCTCCCAGGCTACCTCACCTTCCCTTATTGTCCCCGACTCCAAGGCCAACTATCTATTCCACAGTGCATCATGAAATACAGGTGGAAGAGGGGGACTGGGCCCACTTGTTTCTCTGTAACTTAGAATGATAGTCTCGACATCGCACTCCACCCCTCGGTTTTTATTTTCCTCCCCTTCTCTCATGGAAAAACCATGCGGCGGCGCAGTGGAGTTGGATTCCATTCTTGTTGGTTTTTTTCCCCATGGTCAGATTACTATCCTCGTTTCTCCATCTTTCTTCACTTCCATAGCCAGTTAGCGAATCTTGATGTAGGTCAGATCATCTGCATTGTAAAAGCTTTGCTTTCGTAGCTAGTCTACCTTCTCGGGCAAGATTCCCCCGGGTCCCGATTCCTTGCTGCTATTTCCTAGCCACTTGCATAGTATCCCCGTTATACAAAAACGAATCATTGATTGCAGTCACTCCTTACTGGGATCGGACCGTCATGTGGACCTCGTTTATTGGCCTTTTTAAATACTTGTACTATCCGAGGCCAAGCAGGGTTTAGTCGACACGGGTTGAAGCCCACTCGGGCCTCGGCAGCCCGCTCCGCGGAGTCGCGTGTTCGGGCTGTGTTATTTCGCCGTTGACCTGTCAAATCCATGGTCAAAGGGGATTTTTGGCCGAAAATAAAGAGAAGAAAGAGGGGGGAAATAGGAGGGCGGGTTAAATGGCATTTTTTACACATATCCCTATCATAATCTGTATCGTTCGGCTGGCTTTTTGGTAGCCAATGGCCACATGCCTGGTTCCCGCCGAACGTGACGAAGAGACAGACGGCCGATCTCCAAGAGAAAAGGGGACGGTTGCCACGGTGGATATTCTTCTCGAAGGATTCGACAGACGCCAAGCAGTTACTAGTTCCAGCCGGTTGGGAATTGGGAACAGTGTGGTCCACTCTAAGTCACACAGTGCCTGACTGTACCCCAGTACGGAGTACACTAGGGGTGGACGGGGTTCTTTGGGCGGTCGATTATCAGATTGATAATTCGGTACCTCGAGATATACCGAGTGGGTACGTCATGTTGCTGGTAGATTATGGTTAGAAGACAAGTATCTGGTAAGTTGCGGTCACGTACCTCGGCTTTTTTACATCAGCTGCGCCAAGTTACCCGAGCCCCGATTCGGTAAGTAGTTCCGGCTCCGGAGTGCCCCCTTAGGTAAGCTCCGTCATCGGATCTTCGGAGGGAAGAGATGGTCGGGAAATTCTGGACTCGGGCTTCTGAGTAATCGGAGATAGAGATGGTTGTTAAGCAGGTATGAGATAGAACATGATAGACCTAGATAAATTTTTTCATGTCTGAGTAGATTCAAGCAATTTGTTATTGAGTCAGGGTTAGAATAAAGTAGAGTATAGGCGGTGGCAGGAATGGGGTCGGCGCCTGTGGAATCCGGCGACGGTCGGCCGTGTATTTCTGGGAGCTTAGTGTTAATTATTGTCGTTGAACTCAAACTATCTCCCCTTCTTCTTTCTCCGGGCTCCCCGAAAAAAAAAATTATTGAATTTCAAAACAGAAGACACAAAGGGGTCTCTACACTTTGTTCATTTCTTCCCTTTTCTTCACTCTTCAAACACCCTCTCCCTCTCTCCAATTACCTGGTTCCCGCCGCTAGCCAGAGAAATCTTGTTACTCCGTACCTGTTTTGTGCTTCGCCTCCACGGAGAACCGCCGTTAACCTCATCCACGCCCGTTTCTTCTGCAACAACATCTCGGTCCCGGTAAAACCGCTTTGAATCGACGTTCTTCCACCTTCTTCCTCCTCTTTTACCAAAGTGCTCTCGCTGCGCCTTGAGCTAGCGGAGCTCCATGGCGGCCACCGATCAGATCCCCGGGCAGGAATATGAGTATGTCGACAACCCAGCTAGTATCTCCCAGCGGGCTCGGTGGACCGATCGTTCTCCAGCGCGCGGGATCCTATTCTGATCGAAAGATTGGTTTGGGTCGCTCCGCGGTGGCTGCATTGTCTTTGTGTGTCGTGGTGCGGGCGATCTGGCTCACCGGAGACCGTGGAAGATATTTGCCGCCGCAATTTTCTTTTTGGCGGGCGACTGGCCGGCCTCATGAAAGACAACGCGCTAATTCATCTTGTTACTTTCTAGCTATGAAGCCCTTCCGTCAAACTATGGCCTCGGCCACAATATGCTTGCCGGTGCTTTTGCAGGGATAGCGGTACGTTTGGGCGGGGAATTGCTCGGGGGCGTTTTGAGATGACGGAAAGGGTGTCGGGATCACGGGCTGATGAGCGGATTTACAGGAGCATTCGGTTATGTACCCCGTTGACTTGCTCAAGGTATGTACTTTTCTTTTTCGAGTTCTTGGGGCACTGGTCAGGTGAAAGCGCATATCACTGACTTTATTGGGACATGTCATTAGACCCGCATGCAAATCTTGAATCCCTCCACGGGTGGCCTCTACACCGGTTTGACCAACGCGGTTTCGACGATTTATCGGATTGAGGGCTGGCGGACACTATGGAAGGGTGTGTCGAGTGTGATCGTTGGTGCTGGTACGTTTTTTGATGAGGTCTAGGATTTTTAGGATTGGATGGGAGACTGATGGGGTGATTTCTAGGTCCTGCACACGCGGTGTACTTTGGCACATACGAAATTGTGAAGGAAATGGCCGGTGGAAATGTGGATGACGGGCATCATCCTCTGGCAGCTGGTAGGAAACTCATGACTCGCTTCTCTATTTTTTTGGTGTCGCGTGACTAATGGAGGAAATGCAGCTATGAGCGGAGCTTCTGCGACAATTGCCAGCGACGCGCTGATGAATCCCTTTGATGGTCAGTGGTCTCCCGGAAGATAAGCCCGATTGTCTTGCTAACAAGTCCAATAGTCATCAAGCAACGCATGCAAGTCCACGGATCCGTTCACAAGAGCCTGATGCAATGCGCCAAAACCGTCTACCGCACCGAGGGTCTCCAGGCCTTCTATCTCTCCTACCCTACCACCCTTTGCATGACCGTGCCTTTTACCGCCACCCAATTTGTCGCATATGAATCTATTTCCAAGGTCATGAACCCCACGGGCGATTACGACCCTTTCACCCACTGCATGGCCGGTGGTCTCGCTGGTGCCTTTGCCGCTGGTATCACTACTCCCCTCGATGTGGTGAAGACTCTCCTCCAGACCCGTGGTCTCGCAGAGAGTGAGGAGATCCGCTCCGTCCGAGGTCTCTTCAATGCCGCAGCCATCATCAAGCGCCAGTTTGGCTGGGCCGGTTTCCTGCGTGGTATGCGGCCGCGTATCATTTCGACCATGCCCAGCACAGCTATTTGCTGGTACGTATCTACCGTTTCGATAATCGTTCAAGTATTTTGTACTGACGTTGTTATTTCAGGACATCTTATGAGATGGCCAAGGCCTACTTCAAGAGCCTCTCCGAGTAAATATATCCCATCGGAGACTCCCCCACCCTCCTCGAACCCCTATTTGCCGACTTGAATCCCATCTATCGACCCGATCTCGCCCATTTTTTTCTCACCTTCGTGCAATATCTCCTGATGTGTGAACATCACATAATACTTTCTTCCCGATTTTCTGAAGGCGATATGGACTTCTTCTGCATCCTTTCTGTCTGAGTGTTGGAAGATACGGGCAGTGCCCAGTTAGTCCAACGCGATGCAGTTGTGCATCTGGAGCTGGAGCAAACGGACTAGGTCTCCTTGTTTCTGCCAATTTGGACCATTTTCTCTTTTTCACCAATACAAAAAAGCGATGCGGGTAATGTACAGTTTGGAGAACGGGATGGAATCGATGCAAACCGGCCGGAGATCGACCTTGTCATACCTTCTTCTCTTTCATCCTCTCCTTCTCGACGGTCTCCCTCCGTCCGATGTGTCCTATCTCGTTACCGGCGTTGGAACGTGGAAACCTCGGGATTTTTTTTATTATTTCATTATGCGCGGGCTGGGCTTTCACCCTTTTTGCATCGATATACGTTTTTATTGTCTTGATGGTTTTGTTTCATTTGCCTTCTGCACGTACCGATAGACGTCTGCCACGAGGAATCTAGATGTGATATCCGAAAGGGGTTTTTTTTCAATGAAGTAAGAAGATATCTTACCGGCTCTAAATGTGCAAATGTGTAGCTTGCGCTTTCGGTCTTATAACGGGGTTGAGAAAAGTCAGCTGAATCCACGGCTGTTTGGAGGGTTGAAGTGGTGGTGGTCGAGTTTGGTTTCTATTCGCTTTACGCCTTCGCGAAGCGATGCCCTTCCTGTGATGGGTAGGTAATATGGAGCGAACGTATATCCAAGTTTCCTGCATGACAGTGGACGAGCACTAGAAATCGCTATGTAATAATAGTATCGACCTCCTTCGCTATACATCACATTCTACCTCGTTAGGATGGAAGTTACTTGCATCTCTTAGTTAGTTATTTTATAAAGCCGGTTGGAAGCCTGTCCTCTTGTTCTCAATTTTGTCGATGTACCCCTAGTATATCGATCCGAAACTATTGACGTGGATGAGCCGCTGCGCTTGGTAGTGCTCTGGAAATCCCTCTAAGGCTCTCAGGCTTACAGCGAGATAGAGACGTTCAGAATAGGACGACCGAAACTCTACAGTAAAGAACTATTATTAATTAAGCCGTCGCAAAATAGGTAGCCCTCAAGATTTGCGCATAGAGGTAGTCTATCGTGGGGCTATGCGAAGCAGGGGTGTTTGTGGGCTAGACTACAGTTAAGGAAGCAGACCCTAGTCAATAAAATCAATAAGCACCCTAGGATCATTGGCTATTACCCATCTTACAAGGCTAATATCCTCACTGAGACATAGCTTGAGGCTATGCTAATGATATCTGCCTATGAAGCCAAAAGTAATGACGAGCACACGAAAATGGACAAAGCTTAGGCAGAAAAGCCGCGGCTCAGCAAACCATGACTTGTCTTACAGAATACAGCACTTGCCTTCGAAATCAAAACCTCTTACCCTAAACCATCGATGGTTCAAGACTCGTTTAAAACATCAAAATAATCATATAATAAGACTAAACCACGACTCAGTGGAGAAGAGCCAAGTTATCGTTCCCAGTCCGCATGCAGTAACCACCGAACCGACGACGTCACGCGAAAAATCCTCCCCCTCATCCACGGGAGATCATCATCCACACTCCTCCCAACCACCACCAACAACTCTGCAGTGAAATGGGTGCGGGTTTGCAGTTTCCCAATGATGCGCCCACGGCCCGCGTCTTCCCTGCAGAAGACATACGATGAATGCTATCTCGCTTGCTCCACCGCGGTCTATTTCGAGGGTCAGGTAGGTGTTCCGATCCAACAATCCAGGTCCCGATCGGATCGGGCAAGGTCACAAAAGGCAGTCGCTCATGACATTAGAACAACGAAGAGGAAGCATTGAGGTCCTGGAGATCCGCCCTCGAGACTATCTACCATCACAATGCCCGTCGGGTACCATCGAACTATTCCCCAAAGTCTGAAACGGAGAAGGCCCTGCAGGATTCTATCCGCGCGCTAGAGGTCCAATGCCGCGAACGAGTCGATCTACTCGAGGCCCTGCGCGACAGCCGGAAGGAGTCTGCCGAGGCCAACGGGGGTAAAGAGCCTGCCACCCTGGTCAAGGGCAAATTCCCCGCCATCTTGAAACGCTCCTCCTCCTCGTCCAATAACCACCCCGGCTGGATCGGAGACGGTACCATCCCCGCCGTCGGCTACACCGACCTCTCCAAACCGGCGGCTATCCCAGGCCGCCACTCCGCTCCATCCATGACCAAACACACCCCCGATTCACAAACCCTCCACGATGACGCTCCCGTGCTGGACTCGCCGGCTCTGCGTGTCAACTCGAACTCGTCGGAGATGACCAAGTCTCGAGGGTCCAGCCCGGAACGACGCAAAACGATGCTGACAACGCTACGAAACACGGATGGAAAGAAGAATGGAAAGAAGTCCAAGGTCAGCAGCAAGAAGAAGGAAAGGGAGATGCGGCCGGCCGCCTCCAAAGCAGCGGGATTGGCTTGGGGTAACATCTACCGCACTCCGTCGAGTGAGAAGACCGTGAGCGATGCGACGCTGGCTTCGTCTCGTCAGATGGCGGCCAGCGACCCTAGCTTTCGCCGCGAAATGGAGCCGAGAACGAGTTCTGGGGACGAACCTGCATCGTCGGGTGGACATTTACCTCGAAGCGACTCTGCAGGGGACCGGATCCCGACGACAAATTGGCGAGAGCCTAAGCCTCCAGCATCAACGAGCAGACCATCACCCAGACCTTCCGCGCAAGTGTCTCCACGTAAACCTCAGCCTTCTTCTGAAAGTCGGCGGCCTCTTCCACCTCCTCCTCCTCCTCATTCGGGTCCAGCTTCCATGCCGGATCCAAGGGACTTTACACCTACACCTACGTCTTCGCCCGCTCCCAAGCCATCAATAAAGCCAAAGCCTGTTGGGCTCAGGACCTCACTCCCACCTCCGCCACGAATCACATATATCAACAAACCAGAAGGCGATTCTCAACCAACGACACCCCGGCAGGATCGGGGCGGCAATGTATCGAGTAGTAAGCCACGGGCCACCAAGTCCACGCCGCGTGTTACTCCGGCCAGTCAGTCGGCCTATATGTCACCATCATCAGGCAGCGATGACATCCAGCGTGGAGTCGATCGAATGTCCGTCTCAGTGGCAAATGGCAATAGCGCCTTGCGACGCAAGCCTCCCCCCGTGAAAAGGCGAGAGACGCCCCCCTCAAGTGACCAGGAGTCTTGGGAGCAGCGATCATCAGAAGGGGAAGCGGAAGATGAGGATGAGGATGGTGACAGCCAAGATATCACCAAGATTCTCAGCAAGCTGCCCAAGGGGGTGGATTTGCAGTCTGCGCGGCAGATCCTCAACGACATCGTCGTCCGCGGCGACGAAGTACATTGGGATGACATTGCGGGTCTAGACGGAGCAAAGAAGGCTCTCAAAGAAGCAGTGGTATATCCATTCCTTCGCCCCGATCTTTTCTCGGGCCTTCGAGAACCTGCCCGCGGCATGCTTCTTTTCGGTCCCCCCGGCACCGGCAAGACCATGCTCGCCCGCGCCGTAGCCACGGAATCCAAATCAACCTTTTTCTCTATCTCTTCATCCAGTCTCACATCCAAATGGCACGGTGAGAGCGAAAAGCTCGTTCGCGCCCTGTTCGGTCTCGCAAAGGTCCTCGCGCCCTCGATTATCTTCGTTGACGAGATCGACTCTTTACTTTCCGCGCGGTCGTCCGGTTCTGAGCACGAGGCGTCCCGTCGATCAAAGACCGAGTTCTTGATTCAGTGGTCCGATCTGCAGCGTGCTGCGGCGGGCCGCGAGCAGAGTGCCCGAGACAAGAAGGAAGGTGATGCGAGTCGCGTCCTGGTCCTTGCTGCAACCAACATGCCCTGGGATATCGACGAAGCTGCACGGCGCCGTTTCGTGCGAAGGCAATATATTCCATTACCGGAACACCATGTCCGTGAGCAGCAGCTGCGAAAGCTATTGAGTCACCAACATCACGAGCTGACGGATGAGGATATCGAAGTCCTGGTCCATGTCACCGAAGGTAAATCTGTTCCCTCGCCAATACTGTCAATTCATTGCTAATATACTCTCGTTAGGCTTCTCTGGATCCGACATCACAGCACTCGCCAAGGATGCCGCCATGGGTCCTCTCCGCAACCTCGGCGAAGCACTTCTCCACACCCCCATGGATCAAATTCGGCCGATCAAATTCCAGGATTTCGAGGCAAGCTTGTACTCTATCAGACCTAGTGTCTCATCGGATGGCTTGCGCAAGTACGAGGATTGGGCACGGGACTTTGGTGAACGTGGTGGATAGATGGTGTTGACACCGTCTTAACCCCTTGTGAACACGCATTCTGTTTTGTGTTGCTCTTCAACAAATGAAAAGAAAAAGATAAATAAGACTCTTGTCTCTCTTGTATCAGTTTGAATTGATCCGACACTCGGCCGGTCCGGTTAAACCCTCGTTTGCCTTGTTCGTCTTTGGTGTTGGGGGCGGGTGTTCTGTTCGTCTTGGGGCGTCTACGCCTTCTGATTGATTCCGTGATGCATTGGATGGGATGGAGTTAGTTTGATATGAGGCTTTCTTATCACTTTGTTGGGACTTGCTTCTTCCTCCAGGCTTCGCAATGGCTCTGCATGTTTCGAGGCGTTGAACCCTTCACGGTGAAGAATAGGAAGGAGCATTAGATGAAATACACGACTCGTCTACGAATAACGTGTATCGTGAGGTGCACACCTCTTGGCTCTGTTTCACGGGTCCAGTAGAGTCGAGTACTTGATTAGTGTGCCTTGATTCTGGAGAGTACTAAATGTAAGGTGGAACTGCACGGGTGATGTCGATCGCGGGGGCCAAGGGCATATCCTTCCTGGTCGGGAAACTGGTGCTGACGGGCCGCTCAGCTCGTCTCCATCGACGAGCGACACCGATCTTAAGGAACACTCCTCGAGCGATGCTGAAATTGAAGCTTCCCTTCCTTCTGGGAATCCTCAATTCGTGTCTTCTCTCCGGAAAAAAAAACAACATACCATGTATCTCCCATCCCTTCTCTCCCTTGCCATGTTGGCTAGCGTGAGCGCCGGCACTCCCTCTGGCTGTGGCAAGGAGATTCCATCCAAGTTTCCCAGTCCCGGTGAAAGCGAGACCTTGCAATTGCCAGGTACCGATCGCGAATACCAGCTCTTCATCCCCGCCAACTATGACAAAAACAAGCCAACGGCCCTCTATTTCTCTTTCCATGGCGCGTCCCGGGATATGCATGAGGAAGAATCGCTGTCCCAATTCTCCAATCCGCTATTCAATCCGAACGGTATCGCCATCTATCCCAACAGCAAAAACGGCTACTGGCTGTCCAACCCCAGCGCCGATACCTCACGGCCGAATGATCTAGACTTTACCAATGATCTCCTGACCCATATGGAAGAGAAGCTCTGCATCGACACCCGCAGGGTCTACGCTGCCGGCAAGTCCAATGGCGGAGGCTTCACCGGCGTGATTGCATGCAATGCCTCTGTCGGTAGCCGCTTCGCTGCCTTTGCCGCCGTGAGTGGCGCCTGGTATAACACGGACGACATCCCCGGCGTGGGGCCCTGTGCGCCCGCGGAGCGTGCCGAAGGGTATCCATTCCTCGAATTCCACGGCACTATCGACACGACGGCCCCTATTGACGGCAACACCAAGGAACATCCTAAGCTTCCCGTTATCGATATACTCGAGGGCTGGGCGGAACGGAATGGATGTGGCGCGGATGCCAAGTGGGCCAGGAATGAGACAGTTTTCCAGCAACCTCTGGTTAAACATGCCAGTTGGGACTGTGACGGTAAGACCGGTATAGTGCAACATTATCGTGAGGGTGAGAACGGTCACTGCTGGCCCTCAACGGTGGGCAATGATGACTATGAGAGATTGGCTTCTCAGTGTCCGTTGGGCAAGTATGTCTTCAACGCCACCGAGTATATCTTTGATTTCTTTGGCCAGTATCAGTTGAACGAATGAGCCAATAAATCTGCAAAAGCCATGTGAAATTTATTCATGACCTGGTTTCCATTGCGGCTCTCTGTTAGGTTTCTATAGTAGTTCTCCATAGGCCCATCATAGCCTCGATAGATCATTTCCCGAGCTTACGGATCAAATAGTATCACTTTAGCCAAGCCGTGGATTTGTTTACTATTTCCTGATTTCTATCAAACTCTCTGTCAGAGTGTGTCTTTTCCCTCTTGAGGCTGTTGAACGCCCCTCGGGCACAACGTAACTATACCGTAAATATGACGCCCGGCGGCAAATCCGAGCCCATATAAATCAAAAGTCCGCAGAACAACTACAGTAGCCCACCTACGCAGATCAAACTCTCCATCTCTCATACCCGTCTTTTTAAAAAGCGCTTGGGTTATCAACTCGATTACCTACCATGTCTGTATCCGCCAAGAATCAAGCGAAAGCCCAAGGACAAGAGGACCGGCGCAACACGGACAAAGACGAAGACTTGGGAGCGTCTAAGCCCTGGAGCGGCATTCAGCCACGGTTTATGAACGTCGATCAGGAGAAACACTGTTCGTACCCGGAGGCTGCTCACCTTGTTCGATGACTCGCTGACGTTTGGGTTGTACCTGTTTAGCTTCGTTTAATCCCGAGGAGGTGGGCAAGCCCGGAACGATCAAGGGCAATCGCTTGATTCATTCCAAGCCAGAGGATGCGAATCAGTATAGTCAGGGGCATCTTGAAGGATGAGAACGTCCTGGGGAGCCATGATGGGTTATAAATGGTTATCGAAGTAGGGAAGATGGTGCAAGATACTGTGGACATAAAGCGTGCTCTTCTTCATGTTTGAAGTGATGGAAGAGAGTACGAAGGAAATATCATGTGCAAAACTCCAAGGAAAGAGTTTCCTTGATCATGAATTGAGCCTGTGACGTCTCATTTCCTATATATCTCATGACGATGCTTCATCTTCAATCCACGATGCTCACTCACCTCGATGCCGGAATAAAACATAGTACCACCATTGAACCCCCTTTTTAATGCTGTCAAAAGAAAGATCTCCTGAGCTCAGTGATTGAAATGATATAAACCAAGTAAAATAGAAAGATCTAAAAAAGGACAATCCCGAGGGGTCTGCCTTTACACTACCCAACCAAACCCACCGCCATCCACCCGTGCTCGACAGGACCGTGCAGAAAGCCCACCGTCAAGGTAGCTTCAGTAATCTCGGGTTAGACCACTGCATTACGGGCAGACTCGGTTGCTGATTGCAACTGGAAGTTAATGATAACACCTCATGCGGTTCCCATCTTGAGCTACACAGCGATATCGAATCGTATGATAGACTCGACCGCGAATTCTACTTCATCAACCCCGAGAGGAGCTCCAAACAAAGGTCATATTGGACAATTTTAGTATATACAAGTCTTCAATGTGCGTCAAATGTTTGCTCAAGGTATACTCCCGAACCCAAGTTTTAATTATCAACTCAACTCAGCAGCACCCGGATTTCACCAGTAGTCCGAGGGAACAACGCCCGCAAGCTCCATTGATCCTCTTTCTCATCCTCCTCCCCCTCGCGGTCCTCTGCCACCCCCGGCCTTCGCGAAGACCTTCCACTCCGACCACTGATGACGCTGCCTCCAGTTCCGAGGCTAACCCGCGTCATTCCCCGCGCTTCATCAGCAGCGATGATCATGCCTTCCACGAACTCAAAATCGCGACAGAATGCCTCAATGGCATCTTCAGTCACGCTTTGAACAAGGGAGGCGCTTTGCACACGCTTGAGGTTATCAGTTGCGTCCATAAGAGCGGATGGGAGGAAGTCATCCAACTGCTGACTCGACGCCAGCAGAGATTCGGGTTGGAAAGCAGCGAGGCTGGCAAGATCTGCAAGCTGGGGCTTCTGGTGATCTGGCTTCTCAGACTTTTCATCCGTGTCCTCGTCCTTGGCCGGGTTGGAGAATGGCTCCAGGGCTTCGAGAAGAGTCTGCAACCCGGAGGTCTCCAGAAGGAACTGGTGCTGGATGTCGAGAAGGTTTGTGCGAAGTGTGGACAGGGCAGTGGAGAGAGGTGCGATATGTGTTGCACTGGCGAAGGAGAATGGCTGGACAGTTGCACGCGCTGCAAGAAGGATATTGGTGCGGTAAATGGTCTGTGCAGTGGCATCCTTGAGCTCATCTGACGATGAACGAGCCAGGGTCAGGAACGGATCAAAGGCAGCGCGAAGCACGGGGGTGAATGAATTCTCGCTGTCGGCTTCAGGCGAGTCCTCCGCACCCACTGATACTTCATAAGATTTTATGAGAGATAGTAAGCTTTCGAGGGCGTCCAGCAGGAACTCTGGAGGCGACAGGTCATCTGGTGGAGCAAGGGCAACATGATCGGTTGACAGGGCACCAGCCTGATTGCCCATCAACGTCTCGAAATGACTAAAGGTAAATTTTTCCAAAGTTTGCATCAGATCGACCAGGTTCGACTGTGGGCCAACCAGTTTGGCAAAAGTCGTACGGTAAAAGGAGAGCAGATTGACCACTTTGTAGCAGGTCACAGGATCGTCATGTCCCTGAATCACGAGCTCGACTCTCTGTCGAAGTGACCGGGAGACTCCTGTCAGATCGCGATTGACAAGATCGCTGAGGGCCTTTCGACCATCAAAGGTAACCTCTTCCTCCTCGTCGATGCGTGACCAGGGTTCACTGCTCAGTCCGGCCTGGATGCCTCGCGCGAGCTCTTCTCCATCGGCGACGAAAAGAGCTTCCAACGCTTCTCTCTCCGAAACCGTTGTAGAATGTACCCAAGCAAGCATATCACCCACATATCGCAGCGGGTCATGCGCTGAGAATTCGATGGGTTTGACGCTGCGATCGCCCCCTGCTCCGGCTCCAGTAGAACCGGAGATGGCATCTGTCAGCGCGTAATGAAACGAATCAGAAAGAACGTAGTCGCGCGCTTCTGCGAAGAAGTCAAGGCAGCTGTGGAACAGGCTTGGCTTCTCTGCCAACACGCGCAATGCGCGGCGGATCGAGCTGCTAATCCGTGGATCCTCTAGGTTCAAGGACTGGAATTCTTTCTGGATCCATCTGTATAGTTTCTGATACGCGGTATTGAGGTGTCGAGAGCTCAGTTCCATCACCTCCAAGCCCAGTCGTTGATTCTCGCCGCCCAGGAGTAGCTCGCAATCGTGGTGCACTTGCTTGACGCGGGCAAGTACATCAAAGAAGCGATCATCAATATGCTCTTCAGCTGCCGTCAAAACCATGAGATCCTCTTCTGGCACCAGGAAGTGTTTCGAGAATGCATCGAGTAAGCGTTGTTTCGTTTCGGTGCCTTTCTTCTGGTCCATCAACGCCGTGGCCTCTTCCAACACTGGCGCCGTTTCCTGCTTGGCCTGGCCAATGTGCTTACGCATTTCGTCACATGTCTGATTAAGGGCCGATATCACGCTTCCAATTCGTTTCAATTGCTGTTATGCGGACGCATTAATTAACCTTTTCTAGACGGCTTCTCCACGAATATTGCACGGGGAGAATCTTACCTCCGCTACATTCCCAAAGTCTCTAACAATCTCCGCATTGCTATCCACAACCTCCTTTTGTACATCCAAGCGTAGCTGACGTCTCGTCTCGGCAGTATTATGGATTCCCCGCACACTCAATGTTTCCAGAGCATCGCGGATATCGGAGTCGGCATACGACGCGGAGAGCACGGAGGTCAGGCGATTGGACAATGCCGTAGAGCGTTGGGAGGGCGGCGGAGACAGTGGGGATGAGGCTGCCGACGTGCCATTGCTGGCACCGGCAGGGAAGTAACTTGTCATAGTTGTTGACAAACGATAGTCTCCCCTCTCTCTTGTTCGGGCGGGGAAAAAGGACAGCTTCACGGCCGAGGGTTGGGGTCAGACCGCCTTCCGCGTATCTTATCGGAACTGCACCAATTTATCCAAACAACAATCTACTTCCCCCTGATAATCCAATCGCAAGCATTGTTCAAGGGGTTGCCCGATGGACTCGTTTCATGATAGTTCTCATGCCTCTCCTACCAAAGCCCGTCAGGCTGCTATTCAAGCCAAGGACTGGGCATACGTGAACTCTTGGCTAAGCCGACAGTATGCGCCCAAGCCAGTGCCCCATTTTGAGCGTAACGAGGATACCCTCCGCGTGCTCCTGACATTAGCTGCGGCCAATGATGCCGCCGATGAGGAAACAAGTCTCCAACACCGCGCGCGTGAGGAAGCTGTCCAAACCTTCAAAGTACGTGAAAAGGCTGAAGCGACGGACGCCTATGAACGGCAGAAGAATGAAATTCTAGACGAAGTCGAAATGTGCCTTGACGAAAGAGGCAGAACCAATCTCGACGATCTTGCCGATGCAGGAGTTACCCTTGGTAACACTTTGAATCCTACACCTGAGGATCTAAGCCTGTCGATTGTCGAGCTCACAGCAGAGGAGTTTGACGCGCAAGATCAAATCGCAAAGGTGGACAATTTGCACCGATACCTCCAAAAGGAGCTTGTACGGCTGCAGGACGATCTGGAAGAGCTCAGGTCTGACAAGGCTTACGAGATGCTGGCAGATACTCAAAGCTCAACGTCTGAGTGGGTGCGCGGCACGAAGGTGCTCAGCACGAAAGTTGGGGAATATCAAGACCGGATTGCATCACTCGAACGGAATCAACCACACGGTCCTACTATTAGTGAGCTCATGGTGCAAGAGGATAATGTTATTCGGCTGCGAGAAACCGTCAAGTCTCTCGAAGGTCGTGTGAAAGCTTTCCACGATCTACCCAAGGATATATCAGGAGCTCGGGTACGATACAAGGAATTAGAGCGCGAGTTACTCCAGCTTACACGACAGCGTGATACGATGTTTGGTAAATTTGTTGAGCATCGGTAAACTCCAAATCCAACTACGGCTTGAAACATGTCTACATGCAAGATTCATGAAATGTAAACATATGGCAGTACGGATCTGCCTGCGTTGATATTCGTAACTAGGTCATGATACAACAGAAAAGCAAAAAAGGTATCGTTGACGACTCATTGTAGAGCCAGGAAAACAGCAAATTCGGGAAGCTAGGCTGGCTATCTCTCAACTCGAAGGGCGTTTATGAGAACACCTTAGTTGTTGAGGCCGAGGGTGTCCTTGACCTTGTCGCCACTGTGCAATAGATGTTAGCCTGCTATTGGTTGCTGGATGCTTTGTCTGACAGACAACAACAACTCTTCCTCTGTCGGACTTGGGGATGTCTTACATGGAGCCGGTGGCACCGCCGTGAGCCTCATTGTCATGGGAACGCTGAGTCTTGTCAAAGGCCTCCTGGGGGGCGCTCTTGCTGTCGTCGGTCTGGAAGCCTCGGGCGACGCGGTCGGTGGTGTCGGTGAAGGTCTCCTTGACCTTGTCCTGGGTGGACTTGGTGGAGTCAGGAGTGATCTCCTCCTTCGCCTCTGTTATAGAAGGTGGTTAGCATCAAGGGCGAGTAAAGAGAACACATAGTGCATCACATACTGGTGGAGAAATCCTTGCGGCCGGTGTCAGACATGTTGGTTGATGGAAGTTTTGATGGAAGTTTTGAAAGTTGATGGAAACTTGGAGTTTGTAGAAGTTGGAGAGTTGATGGATGAATGTAAATAAAGTAGAATACTACGAGGTTTATATATACAGCAGCAATTATTTCACATGTGACGCCAAACAATAACAAACAACATGACGTCGGTATTGTTTGCGGATGCGAACAAGTTTGCTTGATTTACTTTGTACAAAGTATACTTCAACCTTGGCTACCTTGGCTACCTCGACTGGCTATGGATAGCGTCGAAAGTAGGAACAAGCTTGAATCGTGGATCGCTGGACCACCGAATCAGAGAAGTGCTGGATATGACGTGCTGGCATCATGCCTGGATCCGACAACGGTCAATGTTGGCATGACGTGGGAATGACTGTGGTGCCAAGCCTTGAGGCCTGCAGGTGGCAACGCCATCAAGAATCAGGCATCTCATGTAGTCACGTGTTGGATGACTGAGGCATACAGCTGAGTCACCCTTCTCATCCCGATATGGACTAGTGCGATCTCCTGCGGGAATGGCAAGCGGTCACCTCCTGCAGTACTGTTCCCCATTCACCCCCAACGCCACAGCGTCTCCGAAGCCCCATCCGTTGCTGCCCAGATTCTACCTGACTCACACCATGTGTGTGCGAACTCTACTTCTTACATCTTTACGAAATGCGATTTAACTTGAATGTGGACCATTTACCGTGTGCCTTTTTGCAACCTTTGTGACCTGCGTTTATCATCTCCTCCGATCAATCTAATCTAAACCTCTCGCCGACTCGTCAATGCTCGCAACAGAACCCACCGATTTGGCCTCAAACTGGGACTTCTCCCAGGTGCTTGACCTTCTCAGGTCTCCCACTTATGAGGGCAGCCCAAATGTCTCTCAATATGTTGATATTCCCGTTGCTCCGGCCAGCAACGAACCGTCAAGTCAAATTCCCTCAAGCAGTGCCAGTAGCTATCCCAACGAAGTCAAACCCCAACAGCCTTCCGGGAAACTTGGAGACTTTAGCTTGATCTGGGATCTTTTTAGCAAAGATGCCGCCTCTTCAAAGAATGATTCGGCGCCCGGAGATACTTGGCAGCCTCCCCTCGACCGTCTCCCAGCTCTCCCAATTCTCAAGCGACCTCTCCATGATGAACCCGTCAAAGGAACAACGTCAACTCCTCCCAAATCTGTCCCAGTACCGAAGACCTCGAAGCCCCGAGTGACCAAGGAGACGATCACCAATCGATCTCACCTTTTACCAGCATCACCCGTTCAAGGACCTATCACTATTCTAAAGCACGCTGCAGGCAGCTATCCTACCAAGAGCGATGTTGCAGCTACATCGCCTCCCAAAGCTCCACCGAAGGCTACCGGCAATAATACTAAGCCAACAGAAATACCTCAAGCCAATACCAGGATCAAGCCTGCTGGAAAGTTTACCAAGTCGAATATCGACGCTGAGCCAATACTCTCAGAAAGCAGCACGGGTGCAGAGTCCGACTCTAGTACCATCGTGTTTGATCAACCCATCACCAAGAAGTCCGGAGTCCTCACATTCGTTCCCGCTCAAGTGGGCGGTCGTGATGCGCGAAGTAACCTTGATGATACTCCACCATCATCATATGACGAGGCTTGGACCCTCAATTCGGATGCTGTTCAAAATATCATCACCACCTCTGCGGGGATTCGAGTTCTCCCCGCTGCTTACAAGAGTGCGACGGAGCGTAGAATCGGTTTGATGACGAAGCTACTCCGGGATTTCCCTGAGTACGCTCAGCTTGTATTGCAAGTGGGCCGTTCGTCAACTTCAACCAAGAAATGTGTCGAACCACCCCCTATCCATGTCTTCGTCGACATGTCTAACGTATGTTTCTTGCCGACTCGTTCAATTTTATGGAATTTTGAGGCTAACACCCAACTTCAGATCATGGTGGGTTTCCACGATTCGGTAAAAGTTTCGCGGAACATCCCTGTCGCAACCCGCATCCGCCGTCTACACATGTCCTTCGCCAACTTCTCTTTAATCATGGAACGAGGCCGTCCAGCCGCCAAGAGAGTCTTGGTTGGCTCGGATCGACTTCCCTCCATCGCCGAAGCCGAACAACTCGGCTACGAGGCGAATATTTTAGATCGTGTGCATAAAGTGAAGCACACAACGCCGCGGCCATCCAAATTTCGCAAGGCCCCAGGGTCTGCAACTCACCCCACGTCCGGACCTGAAACGGTCTGCACAACTGGGGAGCGATGGGTTGAGCAAGGTGTGGACGAAATTCTGCACTTGAAGATGCTCGAAAGTATCGTGGACACGGACAAGCCGTCGACCATCGTCCTGGCGACCGGCGACGCCGCAGTCGCCGAATACTCTGGTGGATTCATGCGTATGGTTGAACGTGCTCTTCAGCGCGGATGGACTGTAGAACTGGTCAGCTTCTCGCAGGTGACAAGTTATGCGTACCGGAAGAAAGAGTTCCGTGCGAAATGGGGTCAGCAGTTTCGGATGATCGAGCTGGATTCTTATGTGGAGGAACTTTTTGATTGAATGAAGCGACGATTCGGGTTTGAGCTCATATGCTTATGACATTATGGTAGCATAGTATTTGACAGTCAAATCAATGGTAACCTATCATCATCCTATGTTTTTGTACCGTTTTCGTTGGTAAATAATCCGTATGCTCCATACTCCGTAGTTGGGGGCCACAAAAGTGAGGCTCAGAATTGAGTCAACTTCCGCCAGCCAACGTACAACGTCATTGGGCGGACGACTGCCTCCCGCAATTGCTGCCTCACACACCTCATCGACACAAAACAGAGTCCAAGTCCCTCTGAAGCTGGCTGTCTCTTGGTATTTCTATCAATTGAGATTGTGCTCTATTCAGATACTTCGACTCGGAACAGCCCAACTGGACAAATCCATAAAGAAACTTAAGCTCTGAAGGCTCGGCCGGACTCTTTGCATCAACTTCTAGATCGGAGAACTTTAGATTTCTCTCGGCTCATTGAGATCGGAGCAACATCCTGAACGCCGGGTTACCGAGTACAATCAATCAACTAGCAGCTTCAACTTGCTCCTGCTGGAAAGCTCGTTCCAATCATGCCTCAAGTCACCGAGCAGGACTTTTTCGGCGGGGCGATCCGCGGGGTTGTGCCACAAGGCTGGATTGATGGAAGGTCAGTATATATCATGCTCTACTGTTTGACCCGGCCCTCTATCCCCTTTGATACTCTTCTTGCGTATATGTATTATCATATACTCAAAGGCTGGACCTTTTCATCCATCCTCTTTGATCCGGCATCTTATTCCATATCACCCACCTCTACCAACCCATCCTTAAAAAATTCAAAGTCCAACCTAACTCCATGATAGCGATCTCCGCGAAATCCCCGATCACCAAGAACTCTTCTTGTCCCCCAATACACTCTCAAACTACATTATCGAAATCAACCAGCGCGTCTCCCAGCAAGACGCTCTCACCACCTTCACCACCTTCAGCCACCAGCACCTAACCCTGACCGCCGGCAGCGGCACCGCTGCCAGCGCCTCAACCGAAACGGTCGACCAAGCCGCCGCACTTCACCACCTAAACGACCTCTGCGACGAAGGCGACGTCATGCAAATCGTCGTCCCGCCCACACGCGTGGAACCGACTCGCCTGGGCGCATCCGCGCCGCCGGGTTCATCGGTTAGCGCCTACAGGGGCGTTGTTCAGTTTTTGAGTACCTCTCGACGACGGGGTGGACGGGTTCACGCTCCTGCTAATGGAGCTACTGAGTCCGTTACGGACGCGGCAGTTGCCGGGGCTGGGCTTGATGGGACGTCTGGTGCGCCGCCGGTTTCAAAGGTGACGTGCCACTATCTGATGGTGCGGTTGGAGGCGCAGGAGACGGATCTACTTGCCTTTTTCAATGTGCCCCATGAGGAGTTTGATAAGAATGGGGATGCGCGGGGTTTGTCGAGGGAGGAGGCTGTTGCAGAGGAGACTGTGGGTGCATTGGCGGGTCAATTGGAGATTCGTGATTGGGATTTGTTCGTTTAGGAGGTTTGTGCCTTGGGAAGGTGGAAAAGAAATGGAATGGGGGGGATGCGATGGATGGCTATTAAGGGTATCCCCGGCAGATATGGCAGTATACGATATGAGGAGGGTGGACTCTATGCCACAAGAGGTATTAGTTTAGACCAACATTAGTTAGGATCTCTAGATAGTCGACAAAATAATATAAACAAGCCAAAGCAAAAAGGTATCTCTAGACCGAATGAGAACTCTTAATCATCAATTCTGTGCAAAAGAAATCAAAGTCGCTCAGCCGATACATGCGCTAATTCACAATGCACGCGTGCTTGGGATCATGAGCTAATTCAGAATGCAAGTGTGCTGGTCGTGGAGATTGTCTCTAACAGAAAACAAACAGTCGTGGGAACGTTCATATGGTGGAGATCCAAGAGGTTTAGAAAACAAATTCATCCAGATTCTTTGTCACATCATCCAAGATCTTCCTCTGACCGGGTGTTGCTGTACTCTTCTTAGGCGACACATTGCGCGGCTTCGGCTTGGTCTGCTGCAAAGCGCCCCGGCAGGCACCGCAGCGAGAACGCTGCGTATCGATACTCTTTGAGTGACGGCAATATTCCTGACCACAGGTCATACAGTTCCACACATACTTGTAGTCAATCTGGTAAGTGTGCTTTGTCGTGACGGTGATCTGCCCGCCGTAAACAGGGTGGTTCTTCATGGCTTCGGTGCACTTTTTGCCCCAGCTCTTGAAGCTCGCACCGTGCGGGTTGTCGTGGACATTGGAAACCATGTAATTGGCCAGATGGCAGTATTCGTGAGCGAGGGTGTTGATGAGCCGATATTCATCATCAATAATCTTCTCGGCCAGCTCAATCGTTGCGTGGTGCAGGGTCTTGCTAAAGCCCCTTGTCTCGCCGTTTGGTCCGTGAGAAACCACTCGCTCTCCTCTCCAGTGAGCCCGTCCGGCGGTCCTATTCAGAGTCTTTGACCAAGTGATTTTCACCCCACCAGTGGGCTCTGCAAGTCGACTGACCTCTCCCCCGGATGCAGCTTGGTCCAGTGCATTAAAGAAGGTCTGTGCAAAATCAGCCTTCTTGTTGTTGAAAGACTGCCGACGAGCTTTGGCTGCTCGGTTCTTTTCTGCTTCTGCCTTTTTCATTGCTGTCTTGCTGAGCGGCTTTGGTGTCGTGGGCACGCTCGTGTTCATCTTCGGAATGATCTCGATATCACTGCTGGAACTAGATTCACGGCTTCTATCCTCCTCCAGCACCACCAGCTCCTCCTCCTCGGAATCGTCAAAGTCTTGAAGGAGTTCAATCACAGTGCGGCTTGAGGACTTTTCCTTGCGTGGAGAATACTGATCATTCCAGGTGTTGGTTTCTTCTTGGCTCCAAAACGCATCAACGTTCTCGCGATGAGGAGTGGCGGGAATTCGAATCTTGCTCTTGGTGGGAGATCGCAGCCGGGCTTGTTTGGGGCTTGATGGAGGTGTTTCCAGCTTCTTGCTTGTTGGTCGCAGTATTTTAGGTGAACAGTCTAGCTCTATTATGGAGCTTCATTATTTGCTTCGTCAGCAAGGAAACCATCTAATCTAGAGATACGAAGACATCTTGTAACCCATACCGTGCAGACTTTGTTTCCAGATGAGAAAGTGGTACATTGTCGCCATTGAGATCGAGCGATTTGAGCTTTGTAGAGAGGTTGAGGCCCTCCTGAGACACGGGCCTAGGGCTATCTTCAGTTGATGAAGATCGCCTCCGTATTCCGGGGATTTCAGCCTCCAGTCGAAAGGATGCTTTGAAAGACTCATCTTTCAGAGATATTTTGCCGACATCGGCATCAGGTCTTCTTCCCCTCATCAATCTCTTCCGGGTGGATTTTGGGGGTGGAGGCGGTGATAGAGCCTTTTCATCCTCTGTCTCGGAATTTGATGTCGCATGGAAACTGGGGTCTTCATTGTCACTGACAATAAAATCCTCTAGTGAGTTAAAGCTATTGTCACCACAGTCTTCTTCTGTCTCGGATTCTGGGCTCCGTGACCTCTGGGGGCTCAAAGGCGTGTTGTCGGGGCGGCTTATTCTTGGAATTCCCGCCATGTTTCGTCTTGTCGGAGACGCCTGTGGAGGGGCTTCTCTAGTTGCTGTATATCGCTCTGGTGTATTTTCCATGATATCATTTTCCTTCTCAAAGTCGTCCGTTTCCAACTTGACCATAGGCCTCTGGCGTGGGGTCTGACCGATCGGTAGCAGGAGGGAATTGACATTCGCAGCTTTGAGTGTTCTGGTCTTCTTTTGCTTCCTGGGTGAGCTGTTGCTGCTCTCAATAATAGGGCTGTCGTCGGAAAATATGTCGAAGATGGCGCTTGACCCCCGACTGTTCCGTTGTGATGAAGCTCCGGACATTTTACTCCTGCTGCTCCCGTTGGAGGACCTGATGTTGGTGCGCGGTTCGTCGGCAATAGATTTGTGGGCCGGCAGTCTCTCCGTTCGTTCTTTCAAACTCTTCTTCCGCTGGATTGCAGTAGTCAGGGGGTTCGTGGTGTTGAGTCGTGCCATCGTGGTCGGGCTTGCGGCTCCGGTGTTGATTGGGCTGGGTTTGCGAGCTCCGGATGAGAAAGCACGTCGCTCAAGCCAAAGAGAAAACACAACGTCTCTTTGGCGAGTGTGGGTTTTCTCTGCGTTGTGTTGATCCAGACTGGTGTCAATGTGATTCTGTAGCAGAGTTTCCTCAACAAGTTGAGCCATCAACGGCGGGCGGTTGACCCGGTAACCACGATTTAGGTAAACTGCTGCTCTTGCTTCAACATTGCTTCAACATCAGTAGTATTCTTGAGCCCTGTACAGTATGTAAAGCTCTCTGATACATGATAAGGCATGGCATGGAGATTTTTCTAGGGTTGAAGGACAACGAAATTATATAAAAGCTACAAGCGCCGGGACCATAAGTGGTCAAGCAACTCCTTATCAACTGGCTCCCTTCCTTTGAGGAGTGGGGTGACTTCGCATTGTGCAGGTCGCTTGACCGTAAGGTCTAGCAATATTTAATAAGCTATGGAAAACATTGAAATAATTTAACAGTATACTTCATGCATTGTAAATATAAAGTAGAAATTTGTGTTGTGAGTTCTTTCAGAGTGGGCGCGATATATATCTGGTCCCGCCGCCCAATTGTTTACATCGTAACACCTCAGTCCAGGTCTAGAGAATAATCTTTACCAACTATATCCATGGGGAGTATCCAACCTTTGTTTTTGTTCTCAACTAGGTTAATTAGAATCCTGAAAGGATTTCACTTAGGAACAACGTAATCCTTCAAGATGTGGTGCTACAGCTATACATTGGAACAATCCTGGTCCAAAACAGTACCACTACATGTTCAGAGGACTGACATCACATGATAATTTAATTTATCCATGATCCTTAAACTAATGCGAAAGGCACATTAGAGACTAGCAAACGGCCTCAGATACTCGGGCATGACTCAGGTATAAGGCCATCATCTAGATGGGAATTGACCTGAAACCCACAGAAACCCGCAGACCGCAGGAAGCTCTGCCGGACGCGAGGTTCAATTGACCTGCAGGAATAGCATCAGTAGCTTTGCCATCGACACTTTGTTTTACTGAAACGAGTACATCCGGGTAGAGTGCCATGCACCGTGGAGGAATGGATTGTCACTTCCGAAATATGCGGATCTCACTAAGATTTTCCGAGCAGTGAAGGAGCATTGATTGCAAGGTCTGCCGTCTATATTTGGTTTGTCATGGACTACACGTAACCGGGAGTCGATCACTTCATTCTTTTGCCATGCCTCGGCGAGGATCAACATCCCCTTGCCTGCCAGCGCTGCCATCGCGCCGCAGGAACAAGCCCCAACCCACCCAGTGGTGGCTGGGTCCATGTCAGCATCAAGGGGAAGGTGAGCCAGCCGAAGACCAGGCATATGGCATTCAGTTTTGATTGCTCTCGAAGATAATCTCTGTTCGTGAGTATACTGCTCAACACCTGCAATGGAAGATACGTATCAGATGACGCTACGAGCGGGCGGCCACGTTGAAAGATGCTCAAGCATGGTAAATGGTGCATGCATGACGAGTGGTCGAATCTTGGCCGATGGTCCGTGTAGAGCATAAACATAAATGCAAAATTGTCGTTGAATTTCTTCCATCGTTCGACTACGACCTTGTTGGTGACCCCGACGACTAAAATCGAAAGTGACAAGGACGATCGGGCAACTATGAGTATATGTGTAATACGGGGATGCTACAGTACTTTATGTAGTGTGCCAATTCAAATTTGAGGTCGTTCCCTGCGCTGCTAATTTCAAATGTCAATTCGATGTACAGTAGTGCAATATAAACAATTCTCCATACTCAACTCCGTGTACCCGAGGAAAGTCACCTTCCCCTGACCAGGGGGTTATGCATAACCTATCCGGAGACATCCGCGGTACAGATACACGTCTTGGGCGCCAATGATGTGGCAGGACTGTATTCTTGCGTACTGTACGAGAACCTAACAAACACTTCAAGATCGCTGCCATGAAACTTAGCCTCCAGCCACATTTAAGCCCCAAGCGGCCAAGAGGGATCCAAGAACCTCCGTACGGAGTTTCGGGTATTGAAAAGAAGCGGGTCAAATAATATACAATAAACCTGCAACATTAGGGCAAGCCCATGCCGCGAGCGATCGTTGAGCTAGACCCTTCGAACGGCCGCTCGAGACAGGTTATTTTTGGTGAGGGTTTTTGGCGATCGGCCCTGGAAAAGGGAGGAACCCTGGGGCTTGAAATGATGATGGAGGCTTTGAGCTACGGGATGTACTGAATGTTAAAACCGGGATTACAATGAACTAACTTTCCGAGGCAGCAGTCAAGAACGAGCAGATTGGCGAATTCAAGATGAAAATCGGAGATTGGTCCCCATGTTCATGCAGTGGACGTATCGTCCCTGCGGCAGGCTTGCATCAAAGCAAGCAACGAATCCTGTTATGGCGGGATTAGTAATGTATACTGAACGGGCTGGTTACAGATTGTACGGTCGCGCCCAACGCGCGACGTGTTCTGAAAGATAGCAATACTGCAGGCCAATCAATCCAAAGGTTGGAACAATTGACCTGGAATCGATTAGCAAGCATAATTCTTCTTTCTTTGGAGGCTTACACTAAGGAGTTCAATTTGTACAAATATAGTCAAATCGATCATTGACTCCGTTCTGTCGTCTTAAGCGAACATCACCATAAATATGTAAGCTATACATAGTACATGATATCATCAATTCATCAGTGCACTCCTAACTACGCAAAAGCCAGGTATTTCGTAGTCAGCGGCATAAAATTCATGCGATCAGAAATCTAGTGCTCGCTTGATGGATGATATTCGCAGTCCCGTTGCGTATGCTGGCTGCCGACCGACTTTTGGCTGGACCATGGTGGCCCCAAGACCCAAGTCGAGGCTTGAAATCAGAAAATAAAGCACCGGGGATCCACATAGACTGGTGGGACGGGCTGAAAAGGCTGGGCCACAGGTGGAGATGGCCTGCGACGCTGTTAGATTTTACGGTACCGGTCGCTGGGACTGCACAGTACTGTACGGACGACGGAGTACGGTACTATGTATGTAGATAAGGTGGACTGACTCGACTCGTCATCTAAGTCAAGTGCATGAAGATGGCAGGTCAGATTGAGTTTTCGGTAGATTGTACACTATCGCAGTTTGAAAGATTATGGAAGGACAAAATCAAGCCTGATAACATAGTCTCTTGACTGGAGAAGCGATCTGTTTACGCAAAATCCGGCATCCATCAAGTGGAATTTCCCTGTTCGAGTTGAATAAATTATTGAATCTGCGAAATGAGATTTTCAAGGTAACTCCCAATCAAGGAACGAAGATTGTGGCTTGGGGGGAACTGCTGGTTTTCCTTGGCCAACGCTGGGTAAGCAGTGGAGAGTCGTGTACGTGTGGAGTCTTATTATAGGACCGCGCTGGACTCATTTCGGGATAGCTCCAACGGTGGGCAAAAGTCAAAGGGGGTACTCCGTACAGTTTGAGACGATGTGCGGCGCCAAATGTACTCATTGTACCCGAAATGTATTGGAGGTAATTTTGTGGTGGCAAATTGATCGTGTTAGCGTGGAAATCTTCTTGTGTCTCTCCCTGTCCGAGCTGGGATGAACTCAGCAGAAGAAGCAAATTTCATGGACGATCATCCTCCAAAGATTGGCCAGTGCAATCCAGAAAGTAACCCAAGGAGGATTTGACGCCGTGGAGCGACAATTCGCAATTGAAGGAGAGCCATTGTGGTGGTTCCGTCGCTTGGGAACCACGGATCATGCCAGATGTACTGGAGTCTTTGTTTAATCCCCCATAGGAAAAGGATGACCATTGTTGAACGTCGAAATTGGACTTCTCGACCTTTTCCATTCTCCTACTCACTGTCGTCCTCACTTGCCACAGCGAAATACCGAGTTGCGAGTCCCCTGGTCGCCACATAGAAACGAGGAATGAAAGACGAGTACCCGCGCAACGCTTATCCCTGCATGCCGTAGTGGTAACGATAACAAGGCATGGGCAAACCAGAGCACGCCAAAGGCCCATCGTAAGTATCCTCGATGGAAATACCCGCTCCGACCACATAATTTGTTACCTGGAATACATGCTGGAAGGCGCTAGTGGGGCAGGTTTCAGGGGCCGTCGCAATTCCCTTGGAATCCAGCAGCAGCTGGACAGTCTGATTGGATGCGAGATGGGAGTGGAGAAGGAGCTCGACTGCTGCTTATTGGCCGATAATATTGGGATCTCGTTCGTGGGTGGGGTGGAGGTTTGGATATGTGTACAGCAGTATGCGTGTCCTGGTTGGAAAGTACCGAGTGCTGGGTTACTGTAGGACAACAACGGCGTATTGGCAAGAGGACCGCGCAGGGGGGTGGAACATGGAGAATAGAAGGCCGGGAGAGATGAAGATGTGGATGAACCGGGGGGTATGGTACTGGGTATCTCTCGTACGGTATTGATCTCCATCTGCTACATATACATACATACATACGTATCGGATACCACCACGTACGCAGTGGCTCCCACACTCCACTCAAGTACCGGGTACCTGCCTTGTCCTGCCTTCTCCTGCCAGGTGTACCGGTACTTCATACTCTCCATTACAACTTACACCGTGACCGTAAATTAGGTGGAAACAATCCCCCCCCGATTCCCAAAAATAACAGCACAGCCAATATTTTCCCTCCTTCCTCACAATCTTGTCTCTCACTCACTCTCGCGTCCCCCCCCAACTCCCTAACCCGCCCCTTCCCCATTCCATTCGCTTTCTTCCTCTCCCCATCCATCTTCCTTTGCTAAGGTGACACTCGTTTCCTTGAGGAAGGTCCGGAGAAGGGAAGTCTAGAACAACACGCCGCGATCGTTTGTCGACTGGTTTATTCACTTCGCTCTTTACACCTCCGATCGAGTTTGAGACTCGCGGATTCGGGATCTTCGTCTTAGCTCGGCATACCTTTTTTAACCTACGCCGTTACGAGGTTCAACGCCATTCGTTCCCTGTCGATGCTGTATTAATATCGCTTCACCCAACAAAAAAAACAACCCAGTACGCCTTTGTCGTCTTTCTCAATTGAACTTAATACTGTGAATGAGTCGCGGTTGAGGTAAGAGCCTCGCTCGGGATCCGCCAGCGCCTTCCCCCCCAGTTCGATACAAGGCGTAACGGAGACGGATATCACACTCTCTTCCAACAAGCAGTGGACTAATTGTCTTCGACAGAGCTCGAAATCAGCGATCGATTGCGACTCCTCCGTCATGTCGGGCTACCAACAACAAGCAGGCCATTATGACGAGGGCTACGGCCATCCGGCTGGTCAAGGTGACTCCTACTATCAGGATGAGCATGCCGGCCAGGGTTACTACGACCACCAAGATTACGGCGATGGCTACTATGACCGAGGGTATGGATATCTGCCTTCCATTACCGCAGGCTGATCGATTCAATGAGCTGCGAGGAACCCTGAATTCAAAGCTAACAATGCGATTGCAGAGCCTCGGGCGCCTACGCACAGGAAGGTGGTCACCCACAACAGCAACAACAACATCAGCAGGGATATGCTGAAGGAGGATACTACGAGTCCGGCGGTCAGCAGGATGAATACTACGCTGATCAGTACTACGATGCCGGTCAGGCTGGATATGGCCGTGGTCGACGTGGCCATGACTCCGAAGAGGATTCAGAGACCTTCAGTGATTTCACCATGAGATCGGAGACCGCTCGTGCTGCTGATATGGACTACTATGGTCGCGGGGACGAGCGATACAACAGCTATACAGACAGCCAGTACGGTCGTGGTGGTTACGGCTACCGCCCTCCATCATCGCAGATCTCCTATGGTGGAAATCGGTCATCAGGTGCCTCTACCCCCGTCTACGGCATGGAATATGGAAACGCACTGCCGGCTGGCCAGCGTTCGCGGGAACCCTACCCTGCCTGGACTTCGGATGCCCAAATTCCGTTGTCCAAGGAGGAGCTGGAGGACATCTTCTTGGACCTGGTCAACAAGTTCGGTTTCCAGCGCGACAGCATGCGTAACATGTACGACCACATGATGACGCTTCTTGACTCTCGTGCTTCTCGTATGACCCCCAACCAGGCTCTTCTCTCCCTGCACGCCGACTACATCGGCGGCCACAACGCCAATTACCGCCGTTGGTACTTTGCAGCCCATCTGGACTTGGACGATGCGGTTGGCTTTGCCAACATGAAGCTGGGCAAAGCTGACCGGAAGACTCGCAAAGCCCGCAAGGCTGCCCAGAAGGCTGCAAAGCAGAACCCCGAGAACGAGGAAGAGACGCTTGAGGCTTTGGAAGGTGACAACAGCCTGGAGGCTGCTGAATACCGCTGGAAGTCTCGCATGAATCGGATGTCCCAGCATGATCGCGCCCGCCAGATTGCCCTGTATCTGCTCATTTGGGGGGAGGCCAACCAGGTTCGTTTCTTGCCTGAGTGTCTTTGCTTCATCTTCAAGTGTGCGGACGACTACTATTCGTCGCCGGAGTGCCAGGCCCGTGTGGAACCCGTTGAGGAGTTCACCTACCTGAACGAGATCATCACCCCTCTGTACCAGTACTGCCGTGACCAGGGTTACGAGATTTTTGAAGGCAAGTACGTTCGTCGTGAGCATGATCACAATAAGATCATTGGTTACGATGATATGAACCAGCTTTTCTGGTATCCCGAGGGTATCGAGCGGATCGGGTTCGAGGACAAGACCCGCCTGGTCGATATTCCTCCTGCCCAGCGTTGGCCTAAGCTGAAGGACGTCCTTTGGAAGAAGGCCTTCTTCAAAACCTACAAGGAGACTCGATCCTGGTTCCACCTGATCACCAACTTCAACCGTATCTGGGTCATTCATCTGTGTTCTTTCTGGTTTTTCACTGCCTACAACGCCCCCACCCTGTACACCGTCGATTACCAACAGCAATGGGATAACAAGCCGTCGACTGCCAAGTACCTGGCTGCCGTTGGTTTCGGTGGTGCGCTCGCTGCTTTCATCCAGCTCTGCGCTACTATTTGCGAGTGGATGTATGTTCCTCGTCGTTGGGCTGGTGCTCAGCACTTGCGTAAGCGATTCTTCTTCATCCTCGGCATGCTCATCATCAATCTGGCTCCCGGTGTGGTTATCTTCGGCTTCCTCGACATGCTACCCACTGGCATCCAGAAGCCTGTCGGCCTTGCTCTGGGTATTGTCCACTTCGTCCTCGCCCTGTTGACTGCAATTTTCTTCGCTATCCAACCCCTTGGTGCGCTATTCGGCAGCTACTTGAAGAAGAATGGCCGGCAGTACGTTGCTAGCCAGACTTTTACCGCCAGCTTCCCCCGTCTCCACGGCAATGACATGTGGATGTCTTACGGCCTTTGGGTTTGCGTTTTTGGCGCTAAGCTTGCTGAGTCTTACTTCTTCCTGACTCTGTCGTTCAAGGATCCCATCCGTATTCTGTCACCCATGACCATTTATGAGTGCACTGGTGTCAAATATATCGGCAACGTTCTGTGCCACAAGCAGCCTCAAATTCTTCTGGGTCTGATGTTCTTCATGGATCTGACTCTGTTCTTCCTCGACAGTTACTTGTGGTACATTATTTGCAACACCATCTTCTCGGTAGCTCGCTCGTTCTACCTCGGTGTCTCTATCTGGTCCCCCTGGCGCAACATCTTCTCACGCCTGCCTAAGCGTATCTACTCGAAGGTTCTGGCCACTACCGATATGGAGATCAAGTACAAGCCCAAGGTTCTCATCTCCCAAGTGTGGAATGCCATCATCATCTCGATGTATCGTGAGCATTTGTTGGCTATCGACCACGTGCAGAAGCTCCTCTACCACCAGGTTCCCTCCGAGCAAGAGGGCAAACGTACTCTCCGTGCCCCCACTTTCTTCGTCTCCCAAGAAGATCAATCCTTCAAGACCGAGTTCTTCCCTGCTGGTAGCGAAGCTGAGCGTCGCATTTCCTTCTTTGCTCAGTCTCTGTCGACCCCTATGCCCGAGCCTCTGCCTGTGGACAACATGCCTACCTTCAGTGTTCTGATTCCTCACTACGGCGAGAAGATTCTTCTGTCTCTGCGTGAAATCATTCGTGAGGATGAGCCTTATTCTCGCGTTACCGTCCTGGAGTATCTCAAGCAGCTCCACCCTCATGAATGGGACTGCTTCGTCAAGGACACCAAGATTCTGGCCGATGAGACCTCCCAGTTTAATGGTGAATATGGTGAGAAGGGCGAAAAGGATGTTGCTAAGAGCAAGATTGACGACCTGCCTTTCTACTGCATTGGTTTCAAATCTGCCGCTCCCGAATACACCCTCCGAACCCGTATTTGGGCCTCGCTTCGCTCTCAGACCCTGTACAGAACTGTCTCCGGTTTCATGAACTACAGCCGCGCCATCAAGCTCCTGTATCGCGTCGAGAATCCCGAGGTTGTCCAGATGTTTGGTGGTAACTCCGAGAAGCTTGAGCGTGAGCTTGAGCGCATGGCTCGCCGCAAGTTCCGTATATGTGTTTCCATGCAGCGTTACGCCAAGTTCAACAAGGATGAGCGCGAGAACACCGAATTCCTCCTCCGTGCCTACCCCGATCTGCAAATCGCCTACCTTGATGAGGAGCCTCCTGTCAACGAGGGCGAGGATCCCCGCCTGTACTCTGCCCTGATCGACGGCCACTGTGAACTGCTCGAGAACGGCATGCGCAAGCCCAAGTTCCGCATCCAGCTCTCCGGCAACCCCATTCTTGGTGACGGAAAGTCCGACAATCAAAACCACGCCATTATCTTCTACCGCGGTGAATACATCCAACTGATCGATGCCAACCAAGACAACTACCTGGAAGAGTGCTTGAAAATTCGCTCCGTTCTTGCGGAGTTCGAGGAGCTGACCACCGACAACGTGTCACCCTACACCCCTGGGGTTGCATCTCCTGAGACCAGCCCCGTTGCCATTCTCGGTGCCCGTGAATACATTTTCTCCGAGAGCATCGGTGTTCTTGGTGACGTCGCTGCTTCCAAGGAACAAACGTTCGGTACCCTGTTTGCCCGTACTCTCGCCCAGATCGGTGGTAAGCTGCATTATGGTCACCCTGATTTCCTGAACGCAACCTTCATGTGTACCCGAGGTGGTGTCTCCAAGGCTCAAAAGGGTCTCCACCTGAACGAAGATATTTACGCCGGTATGAATGCCCTCCTTCGTGGTGGTCGTATCAAGCACTGCGAGTACTACCAGTGTGGTAAGGGTCGTGACTTGGGTTTCGGCTCCATTTTGAACTTCACAACCAAGATTGGTACTGGTATGGGTGAGCAGATGCTCTCGCGTGAATACTATTACCTCGGTACCCAACTTCCTCTCGACCGCTTCTTGTCATTCTACTACGCTCACCCTGGTTTCCACATCAACAACATGTTCATTATGCTGTCGGTGCAAATGTTCATGATTGTCCTGATCAACCTTGGTGCCCTGAAGCACGAGACCATCACCTGCCGTTACAACTCTGATCTGCCCATCACTGATCCCCTGGAGCCGACTTACTGCGCCGATCTAGCCCCCATCATCAACTGGGTCAACCGTTGCGTCATTTCTATCTTCATCGTGTTCTTCATCTCGTTCGTTCCCCTGGCCGTCCAGGAACTGACTGAGCGTGGTGTCTGGCGCATGGCTACTCGTCTGGCAAAGCACTTCGGTTCCTTCTCGTTCATGTTCGAGGTGTTCGTGTGTCAGATTTACGCGCAGGCAGTCCACCAGAACTTGTCATTCGGTGGTGCCCGTTACATCGGTACTGGTCGTGGTTTCGCAACTGCCCGTATTCCTTTCGGTGTTCTGTACTCTCGTTTCGCTGGCCCTTCAATCTACGCCGGTGCCCGTCTCCTGTTGATGCTGCTCTTTGCCACCACCACTGTTTGGACTCCGGCTTTGATCTGGTTCTGGGTCTCCCTGCTCGCACTCATCATCTCGCCCTTCCTGTTCAACCCCCACCAGTTCTCTTGGAACGACTTCTTCATTGACTACCGTGACTATCTCCGCTGGCTCTCGCGTGGTAACTCTCGTTCTCACGCGTCGTCTTGGATCGGGTTCTGCCGTCTGTCTCGTACCCGCATCACTGGTTACAAGAAGAAGCTCCTTGGAGTTCCCTCTGAGAAGGGCTCTGGCGACATTCCTCGTGCGCACATCACCAACATCTTCTTCAGTGAGATCGTCGCCCCCCTGGTCGTGGTCGCAGTCACTTTCGTCCCCTACCTGTACATCAACTCGCGCACAATGTTCAGTGATGACACCCAGTACGCTCCCGATGCCATTGCCCGAATTGCCATCGTTGCATTTGCCCCGATTGGTATCAACGCCGGCGTGGCTGGTATGTTCTTCGGCATGGCATGCTGCATGGGTCCCCTTTTCAGCATTTGTTGTAAGAAGTTCGGTGCTGTCCTCGCCGCGATTGCCCATGCCATCGCCGTCATCGTCTTGATTATCTTCTTCGAGGTCCTGTTTGTTCTTGAATCCTTCAACTGGCCCCGTACTGTCTCCGGCATGATTGCCATGATGGCCCTTCAGCGCTTTATTTACAAGCTGATCATCTCTCTGGCCCTCACCCGCGAGTTCAAGAACGACCAGTCCAATATTGCCTGGTGGACCGGCAAGTGGTACAACATGGGTTGGCACTCGCTGTCCCAGCCTGGCCGCGAGTTCCTCTGCAAGATCACCGAATTGGGTTACTTCGCCGCCGACTTTGTCCTCGGCCATATCATCCTCTTCTTCATGCTGCCGGCTCTTGCCATCCCTTACGCGGACAAGTTCCACTCTGTCATCCTGTTTTGGCTGCGTCCCAGGTATGTTTTCCAGTACCTCCTCCACTAATTCCAATCACACTAACATCACATCTACAGCCGCCAAATCCGTCCTCCTATCTACTCTCTCAAGCAGTCCAAGCTGCGCAAGAGACGTGTGATTCGGTTCGCCATCCTCTACTTCGTCATGTTGTTGCTCTTTATCGTTCTCATCGCCGCGCCCATCATTGTGCGCAACATGGACCTCGATGTGAGCCTGCGCAAAACCCTTTACGATGCCGTTGGTGTCAAGAGCGGAAACAGCATGTACCTCCTCCAGCCCCTTGACAAGGGTCTCAACGACACCCAGACCTACTATACCGGTAGCCATCTCCCCAAGGGTTTCTCGTCCCATGCTTCCGTTACCCCTACTGCGGGCAACGACAAATTCCAGCGCTTACTGTGAAATGGTCAATTTGACCTTGTATGAGAATGGCCTGTACAAAGTTCACCTGTCTTTTTTTTCACTCTTCTCTTTATTTTCTTGCGATTCGCTGCATTCTGTTGTGAAATCACTGGCGCACTTCTTGATCTTAATGGCTTGTGTGGAATGACACTTGTATCTCGACTGGTTTCGTCACCGCCCGGGGGGTTGTTTACCTTCGTTTACCGCTCTCATAGCTCATTTTCTCATTCTCTTAAAACACCCACGGAATACAAACTGCATTGCTTTAACTTATCATAGAGAACGTTGGTCATTCTGCCAATCAATCATCCTCAACCTACCTCTGTGTCAATCGCAAATCTAGGTTTCTTCATAAGTCTTCTGATCCAACGTCACAGCGGTGTTCCACATGTGTTCGTCCACCCTTGCTCCGCCGCCCAGTAGTCCGCTCTCAGTGTGCACTTTGCTAGGCTATACTTGATCACAAAGCGGCTTGGAGCCTCATGGGGTTAATCAAAGGCATGCATGCATCGGATACCCGCTGCTAGTTGTAAAGTACAATACTTGAGCCAGGGATTTGTAAAATCAGTTAGACAGTCAGATTGGATTATGGTCCGATGTAGCTTCCAGTGAACCGTTTGGCGCTGTACAGATTTGCTCAAGTTGGGCAGCCTAGGTAGCGAGACCATAACGGGTCACTTCTCACTTAGACTCCTAGGACTTATCCCTTCCGTCGAGGGATATACATCAAGGTGAACGATGGGAAGAGTTGTACCGGGTAGTCTCACTGGTCACGCGAACATCACGTGACAGCGGACGTTTCAGCTTCCCCGTGAGCCTCCGGAGGTGTGTCGGTCAACCATCTCGTCGAGTCAAGTCAATTCTGTTCTCTTTGAAGGTCTTCAGTCCCTGGATCACTCTTGTTTGACGATCTTGCGCCCCGAGCGCCCCGAATCACCCCGCGATGGACCTCCAGGAGACGCAACGTCTCCTGACAGAGTACCTTCATGAACTCGCGAACTTATTCCATCGTGTCCCCGGCTCGGCAATCTTCCTGCGCTACGTGAAATCCAGCTATCAGGACGACCCAATTCGCTCTGCCGTTGAACTTTTCCTGTTCCTCTTCGCTGTCCGCTATTTGCTCGCCCCTAAATACTCGACGAAGCCCGGTGTCGTGCCATTGACTGAGGATGAGATCGATGACCTTGTTGACGAGTGGACCCCCGAGCCGCTTGTGGCCAAGCCCACTGCTCTGGATGAGATGGAAATTGACAAGCGGATGGTAATTGTTGGGTAAGCTCTCTCCCAATGACATGTCGATGCATCGTAAATGCGGAGCGAGAATCTCCTCGGACATTGTGCTAACAGGCTATCGTGAACTCTGTAGTCCAGTCGGTCCCAAGTCCAAGCTCGCCAACGGCCGTACCGTTAACAACCTCTGCTCCTTTAATTTCTACAACTTCAACACAAACGAGTCTCTCAAGGAGCAGGCCATTCAGACCCTACGCAACTATGGTGTCGGTCCTTGCGGCCCCCGCGGCTTCTACGGTACTCAGGACGTGCACATGAAAACCGAGGCTGACATTGCTTCTTTCTTGGGCACTGCGGCCTGTATTATGTACTCGCAGGCATTCTCGACCATTTCTAGTGTCATTCCCGCGTTCTCCAAGCGTGGTGACATTATTGTTGCGGACAAAGGTGTTAGCTTTGCTATTCGGAAGGGTATTCAGATTTCCCGCAGTATCGTTCGGTGGTACGAGCACAATGACATGGAGGACCTGGAGCGTGTTCTCGCCAAGGTCACCAAGGAGCAGGCCCGGAAGCCGCTGACTCGGCGATTCATCATTACCGAGGGACTTTTCGAGTCATACGGTGATATGGTGGACCTACCCAAAATTGTGAGTTCACAGTTACTCGCAGTGCCGATCTTTTTCATTTACGTATTGCTAATCTCGAGTGCAATCTAGATCGAGTTGAGACTCAAGTACAAGTTCCGGCTCATTCTCGACGAGACCTGGTCCTTCGGAGTTTTGGGCCGCACCGGACGTGGTATCACCGAGCACCAGAATGTCGACGCTGCCGAGGTCGATATGATCGTGGGATCGCTGGCTGGCCCTCTTGTGGGAGGTGGAGGTTTCTGTGCAGGATCTGAGGAGATTGTTCATCATCAACGGATCTCAGCTGCGGCATACACCTTCTCCGCCGCGCTTCCTGCTTTCCTTTCGACCACCGCTAGTGCGACTATCAATCTTCTCCAAAATAGCCCTGAGACCGTCTCCCAGCTACGGGAGTTCACGAAGGCTATGCGCGCTCAGCTAGATCCTCGCAGTGATTGGGTCTACTGTACTAGCGCTCCAGAGAACCCAGTTCTTATCTTGGTCATCAAGCCGGAGGTCGTGACATCCAAGAGGCTCACCTACGAGGACCAGCAGTACCTACTCCAGGATGTTGTTGACGAGGTTCGTAACGATCTTATAAAGCACTTTCTTGTTTGCGAGTCCGATCAGTAGCTAACATGTGCCTATTAACAGTGCCTTGCCAACGGAGTCCTCATCACCCGCCTCAAGACACTCGAAGACAACTTCCAGCCCAAGCAGGTCGTGCCTGCCGGTCTCAAGGTCTGCATCACTATCGGCCTGACCAAGAAAGAGATCGAGAAAGCCGGCACCATCATCCGGCACGCTATCACCAAGGTGATGAGCAAGAAAAAGTGAACAGCCCCGTTCTGTGACGCCTCTCGTTCCTTACTCGAATGACCGCTCATGTCCCAACGACCTACGGCACCCTCCCAATGTACATCCGCTGGTGTTTCTTGGCGATCCCACTGTACGCCCTAATGTTTCTCCCCGTCTCCCGTCCCCTGTCTTGTTACAGCTGACCGTTGATATGCATCACTTTCGCTATTCAACTTTGTACAGCGCTGTCCCTTTCTCTATTATCCTTTTGTATTCTTCGGGGGCGGTCGCATTCTTCATCGGTGCTTGGTTTCTAGATTGTTTAATATTACTATTTCTACCTTGGCTGTGGCTTTTTGCCGGGCCAAAATTGCATATTTGAATACTTTGCAAAACATCGCCTTCTCTCTGTATTGTTACCCGTGATTGGAATTTGCTGATCTATTTAGGGGGGTTTGATTTGCTACTATGCCCAACAGCGAAGCGTCGCCAAGTGCAACTATACTTTTCTCAAGCGGTGGAGGCTGGGATCATGACTCAAGATATGAGATCCTTTTTATCCCTCCACCCTGCAAAATGTGACACTGAGCCCCCCCTAGATGCTACAGGCGGTGGAAAACAAGAATACAAGGTCCGAACCCCTTCAATCTCGGCGCATCGGACCTGGAATGAGTTCAACATTCCACAAGCCTTGATCTTACTGGGAACATTCTCCGTCATGTTCCTAGAAAGATCTGGCCCTCTAGACAACCGACAACGATTCGACACTGGGTCATACTCTCAAACTGATCTAAGTGAGCCATGGCGGCCCTCTGATGCACTGGGTGCCCATGTCAAGGGGCTGGGGCCGCTCCTGACCTGGACCCTAATGCCATTCTCCATGTCTCCCCACGCTGAGTAGCTATGTTTTGATGCCCCTTTGTTTGTTCGCTATGCAGCCAAGTCTACAAATGAGTCCTGGGCGTCTCGGTCCCAGGGCGAATATAATCTGCCTGATCTGCATGGGGTGATGATCCCCTTGTGTGCAGGGAGGATTTCGAGGTTGCTCCTGGTCTGATCGTGATCGATACTACTAACCCTAGGTTCCGTATTGAGGGCTCGGCCGAATCCGACCGACGGATTCAACGGTGCGATGAAGCGTCTCAACCAAGCTCTGCTGGCGCTTTTTCTTGCATGTGGTGTTTATGCCGAAGGCGAGGGTATGGCAGAGACCAGTCAATTCATATCGTATGGGCCAGTCGTGGCTAATATTTCCATAGGTCTCCATAGTCTTGGTGAGCTTGATGGCGCTCCTCGGGCCCAACCCACTATCGAGGCAGTTGTTTCGGTCAATGAGGATGGAGACACGATCCGCACAAAGACGAACCCCGTTGCTGCCACGCCTACATTGCAAGAAACTGTCAGTAGATAAATTCATCATCCACGGGAGGATCCTATATCCTGGACAGGCTGTTGATATTGCTGGTATAGTCTCGCACAACCCTTGTTGAAATACCGATATCGACGACTATCCCCGACGTGACACAGGATACCAAGCCTGTGTCACCAACAGTACCTCAGGAGCAACCAACAGATGCAGAGGGGCCAAGCTACGCCGACAGATTACAGCAGAAACCGCAACCTCCTCCCCAAAATCCCCATCCGGCCCAAAACCCTCACCCCGACCACCGTCAAGATCATCAACGCAAGTGGGGAATTTCCTACTCACCATACAACGCGGATAGAAGCTGCAAAACCCAAGACCAAGTTAACAAGGACCTTGATAAGTTAACGGAGTACGCCTTTGTCCGCATATATGGTACCGATTGTGGCCAAACAACCACCGTCGCCAGAGCAGCACGACAACACCATATGCAGGTCTTCGCCGGCGTCTATGACTTGGACAAATTCCCCGAAAGCCTCAAGGCATTCAACGATGCAGCCACTATGCCCGGAGGAAAGAAAGATTGGTCCGTGTTCCACACCATCTCCATCGGCAATGAACTCGTCAACAGCGGGATGGCAGCACCTGCAGACGTGACCAAAGTCGTGAACCAAGCTCGAACCATACTCCGCAAGCAGGGATATCAAGGACCAGTCGTGACTGTCGACACCTTCTCCGTCCTTCTTAAACACCCAGAGCTATGCATTGTATCGGACTATTGTGCCGCCAACTGCCATGCCTTCTTCGACGCAACCCAGCAGGCATATAACGCGGGACCATATGTTCTCGAACAGGCCCACGCTGTCTCCGCTGCAGCTGGCGGTAAACGCACAATGATCACTGAGTCTGGCTGGCCACATGCTGGTCAGTCGAATGGCGCGGCTGTACCGTCGCCTGAGAATCAACGCGTCGCGATTGAGAGCATTCGTCGTAGCTTTGCACACCGCGAGGATGATCTTGTGATGTTCGCTGCCTATGATGACCTCTGGAAGGAGGACAACCGATACACATTCAATGCCGAGCGGTTCTGGGGCATCTATAAGGGGTAGTCGGGATGATCAGCTAGGATGCTATGGTTCATTCTAGCCAACGGTACTGTAGATAGGCTCTGGTTCCTTGAGATCAATGAATATGATGAGAGATGTGCAAATTAAGCCAACGCTAATGCTATGATGTCTTCAATCGTAGAGGAAAATAGAGACTATTATACAGGTTATAGGATAGATAACATACAGAAATGGAGAGGACCACTAGAGGACGTCAGGACTAGTCCACATACACACTTAGGCATGTCGGACTCTGCGCTGCTTGTGGGACTCTCGTGCGCGAGCTTTCAGCTTCTCTAGCCATCCATTACGCCCAGCAAGCTCCTCGAATGCTTTCTTGTTCGGAGGGAAATCCCAGATTGATTCTTGACCATGGAGAGACTGTCCCCGGGTATCCTGATCCCGTTGTCGCTGACGCACGATATCTTTCAGCAGTTTACGGGTTCTGAAACTAGGTTCCAGCCCAGTCACATCCATGTCATGGAGGAACGATACCACTGCTGGGAGATCATTGCAGCCATGCCAGTAGAAGAGAATCATTTCATCGTAGAGAGCAACGGATGATCCAAGGAGTGCAGAAGCGCGGCCCTGCTCCTTGATAGTCGACCGGAACTGGCTGATGAGTGGCGAGTCCGGGAAATGCGTGTTCAGCAAGCGGAAGGCGATCAAAAGCGTCTTCGGGTAGAGCTCTGTAATGACTGGGCCAATTGGCACGACGGCCGGGATTCTCAAAGGTCCAGCCGACGGTGTTGCTTGCGTGGTGTTTGCACCAGATGAGTTGTCAGAGCCAGGCATTGTGATCTCAGCTGCCTCATCCAAATGTTGCAATACCGAGAAAATGCGGTCTTTGCAGACTTCCCACAGGCCCATATCGCCTTTGCCTTCCTCAATTGCTTGGAACAGCGCAAACTCAATCTTCTCTGATTCCTTTTTGACGACAAACTCGATCGCTTCTTTCATGGTGATCTCAGGTTCTACGCTGGTAGCCGAAGCTGGCTCGGTGTATCCGAGGTCGCTTATTCGGAGCTTAGTACCGCCAATGTCCTCTGCCGAGCCATCTGCCATGCTGGAGTCGTCCGAGAGCTCGCTGGAGAAAGGTACGCCTTCGGCATCGGTTGCCCTCCGCAACTCTCTCTTAGATTTGGCAGTAGACTTATTCTTCTCTTGCACCTCCTTCAGGATCGAGCCAAACTTGACCATGAGCTCTTTTATACGCTCCTGTCCTTCGCTGGACGAGTCCTCCGTCTGTGCAGCGTCTCCGGCGTGCGCGTCATCATCTTCGCGTCCAATGCCAAGCTGCCCAAGTAGCTCTCCAAAAGCCTTTCTTTCCTGACCCGTAACTGTACTCGAGCCTTTCTTCGACTTTGAGGAAGGGATATCTGCCTTGACACGAACTTTCGGCGATAGTGAAGCAGAACGCCGGCGCAGGTAACTTCTCCGAGGTCGGTGGCCTCCTGATACTGAGCCGGAGCCGGACCTTTGAGATGAAGAGTCCTGGCTCAATTCATCCTGGTCAGATGCAAAGCTGCTCTCCGACCTCTCGTAATCGTGGGCGGCTCTGTTTTGGGCCGAGTATTGACGCACGCGAGCATCAAACGTTCGGCGCAATGACAGTGAAATCGGCGCAAGAGTACGAGTTTGATATAAAAATGGAGTCGGCGAGCTTGTTGTTGCCGACAAAAAGAATGCGCGAGAAATATTCGTCGCCATTGCCTCGTCTGGTGTTGTTCGTTGCATCGGTCCGTGGGCGAAAATTGAATCTGAACTAGCTGGAGCTTTTCCAATCTCAGTCACATGACTTCGCGTTCTCGCCCACGCGTTTTCCGCGCTGAGCGCTTTTGGCGGCACTCAACAACTGCGCTTTGCTGAATTTCAAGCATTACATAGTTCGCCATGACGACTGATAGTACACAAGGGCTCTCCGAGTTCGAGAAGCAACGTCTGGCGAATATTGCCGAGCGCGATGCCCTTTTGAAGAAGTTGAGCTTGGAGGCGCAATCTGCGGGCATCTTCACCACCCCCAAAACCCCCGGTAGCAGTGCGCCGAAATCGAAGAAAAAGGCGCCCCCAAAACGTATCAAGGAAGAAGAGTCACCGCTGCCCCGGCGCCAGTCGTCGCGTTTGAGGGGACTGACCGCTGACAGTGAGGTCGTGAAGCGCAAGGCCGAAGAGCAGTATGAGGCAGCCAGAGAGGCCGAGCGTGCCAAGAAGGTCCGAAAGACCGACTCATACTCTGCGAATGATATGTTCATTGCAGGGCAGAAGCTTGATGGAGATAGTTTGATTGGAGTTGACGTTGTGAACAAGGGCGTGGCAGAGCCTTACGTGCGGACTTTCAGTGATGAAGACATCAAGAAAACCACAGACAGGGATTTGAAGGCATTGCGGGAGGAACTGAATGGATTGAGCTTATGGAGCCAATGGGATCCTCAAAGTATGAATTGAAACCCAATTTTGCGCGTAAGCAACAGCCGACTGACATACGAGATTCCTATAGGGATCAAAATCACGCCTGAGCGAGTCTATGCTATGGCATTCCATCCTTCCGAGACCAAGCCCTTGATATTTGCCGGTGATAAAATGGGCCATCTCGGTGTCTTGGACGCATCGCAAGAGAAGCCAGAAACGGGAGATGACGACGATGACGACGATCCGGACCCGGTTCTGACCACTCTCAAGCCGCATACTCGAACGATCAGTGCTATGATGGTTCACCCATCAAAGCCCACCTGCCTGTATACCGCGAGTTATGATAGTTCTATCCGAGAGCTGGACCTCGAAAAGACTACGTCAGTGGAGAAATACGGCCCCGAGTCTACAAATATCGACGAAGCACTTTCTGGGATCGATATGGCTCCCGAGGATCCCAACACATTGTACTGGACAACGCTGAATGGCACATTTGGTCGTTATGATATGCGCAGCAAGCTATCAGCGAAGACGGTGACTCACTGGCAACTCTCCGAGAAGAAAATTGGAGGCTTTTCGTTGAACGCCTTGCAGCCGCACTACTTTGCGACGGCAAGCTTGGACCGGACAATGAAGCTGTGGGATCTCCGTAAGCTGTCGACCGATGAGCCAGTACCAGTCGCAGAACACGAGAGCCGTCTCTCAGTCTCACATGCTGCATTCAATGCGGCTGGTCAGATTGCCACTACATCCTACGATGACACGATCAAGCTTTATGACCTTGGGACAAAGGGCATCTCATCGTGGAAGCCAGGTCATACTCTTTCAGACAAGGAGTTCCGCCCCGACACTGTTGTGAGACACAACTGTCAAACTGGTCGTTGGGTGACTATGTAAGTTTCCAGATTGAGCCTGCTACAGAAAAGCCCATGCTGACCTGCTTTTCCTAGCCTCCGCCCTCAATGGCAGATGAACCCCCAATCTCACATCCAGCGATTCTGTGTTGGTAACATGAACCGCTTCGTTGATGTCTACAGCAGCTCCGGGGATCAGCTGGCCCAGCTTGGGGGTGATGGAATCACTGCTGTTCCTGCAGTAGCCGTATTCCACCGTAGTAAGAACTGGGTAGCAGGTGGTACAGCTAGTGGCAAGGTCTGTCTGTGGATGTAAGAGTTCTTGGAGTTGGCGAGGTTGTCGGTGTCGTTCGGGTATCGTTAGCTTTAATGTACAGTGAAGTAAACATGTGAGATTATCTTCCAGGCATGTCTCCAAACGAGATTTAAATGACCTAGCACACTCTTCTAATTGGCTACAGGCAGGCTTCAAGGTAGGATACATCATATGTGAAAATTGATAAAAAGAATCATAAGCTGCGCACAATATCTCCACCTGGTCTGCTGGAATTTTCCCTTTCGGTTTGTCATTCATACTTTCGTGACCTAAAGAACGTCTCTATTAGTCCAAAATCGGGTTCAAAAGGCCTACTATCATCAACCGACCTTGAACGACTTGAAGGCCTCCGATGGATAGGCAAAAAGCTCTCCAGTCGTCTCGCATTGTTTGGTTGCAGGCTCATTGTAATAACCGGAGGTGGTGCAATCTTCCTTAGAATAAACCAAAATTTTAAATTTGTCATCGTTGAAGACAGCCTTGACGGACTTGATAGAGGCGTCCCCAAGGTTTTGGCAACTCATGGCCTTACTATCGCCATAGGCAGCGACGTTCTTGGCAGTCTTGCAGGCTGTCCCTTCATAGAAGTAGATGTCCCAGGCTTGGACAGAAGAGGCAATGGCGAGAAGGGGCAAGAAGCTGAAGGCCTTCATGGTAACGACTGGTGGGAGGAAAGGGGTGATTTGGAATCGAGTAGAAAGTAGAATGTCTGAAGATTTTGAATAATGTTCGAATTGGCAGGATCCCATGAGAGGCATTTATAATTTTCGAGTCTGCTCTCAAGACTGTTAGCAAAGAGAATGGCTGACATTTCTTCACTGGGCACCTTGAATTATGCTAAGGAAACCGTCAAAATGAGACACGCACCGTGTATACAGAATCTCAATGTCTCCAAACTCTGCTACAAAACACTACTAGTAACTGAACAGGCGCTAATAAGCTCCGCAGCGTGACGCAAGCCGCAAGCCACCGATAGCTTAGTTAGCCTAGCCGCTTGATCCTAATCTCAATAGTCGATCACGCTAAGCTAAATGCTAAGCTTTTCCAAGACTTGAATTCAACTCTAGTGCGGTCAAGTTTGATCGAATGGGCCAGGAAGGGTGTAGTTGAAAGTTGGGAGCTTTGAACAGTACGCAATCGCAATGCATCCTCGGCATCCCCGAGGCCATATTAGCGAGGTCTGCGCTAAGCTTGCATAATCTGTACCTGGGCCTAGGTTGGCAACTGTTTCTCGACAACCTAGAAGTCCTGCTAATTTGGTTTATCGGCGCACAAACATGCTAGTTGCCTATGCTAAGCTATAAGCCATGCAGAATTCGCGAGCCACCATTACGGTGCAAAGACTAACAAAACTACGGCTTATGACGGCAAGGCCTAAGGTAGGGTCATGTTTGGATTTGACTATACAGCAATACATACCTAGCTTCTTAGGACTCGCAGCCTACACTACGATTTGGTGGGACTGCGGCAGATATGTTAGGATCGGGACGATCGAGGTGGGGTGAGAACTTAGAAAAAGCTGCTTTCTCACAGACGCCGTTGTGGATTAAGTGGAGTAACGCGGAGGGAGGCCGCTGTAAGAGACATACTACAGTAAGCCCCCATACTACAGCATGCGCGCTAATCTGCAACAGGTAGTTACTTGAACGCCTGGAGAGTTGTGTTTTCGAACTAAAAATTTGTGCGCAAGGCAACAAGAAATGGGTATTACAGATATCGCTAGGCCAAAATGCGCCACAAGCTATCTTCGCATGTTTAAGCGTAATTCACTGCTCTGGTGCTATGTACGCTACATACTAGGCGGAGTTGACCGCTGAACCAAAGCCATTGACATGAAGATAAGTCAACGCCACATAAATGAGAAAGATGAAAGCACGTGGGGTTAACAGCAATTTTGTCCCGGGCAGGACTAACCTACAAAGGACAGGATCATTGGTTCTCTTCTTTTCCTTGCTATCATGTCTCCCCAACCTCCGGGAAGCTCCGTTTCTATCGATATCAAAGAGGCTAGCCAAGGGGCTCGATGACACCTAAAATACGGCATTTATCACTCCGTACAAGATACTGTTCCAATTCACGGCCAATTCATTAGGACAGAATGTAGATCTGTGGACGAGCATAGGGCAGAGGGCTACTGATAGTCGCAAATACCTATAAATTGAAGATTGGATGTGAGGCGCCAACTAAATACGAGTTAAAACGCCATTCAGAAACGAAATAAGCTATCTCTTACTCAAGAATCAAATACACCCTACGCAACAAGCTCAAAATACTTCACAAACTCTGCATCCTGCTTCAACAACGCATGCTCCTCCGCTGTTACCTGTAGATGAACGTCAAACACCCTCACGGATCCACGCGAGAAATTCGGCAAAATCACGGCACAAGCTCCCGGCATCGGCGCGTGCAGTCGCAAAGCAACCGGGACTACACCAGCCCCGAGGCCATACTTCTCCGTACTCCCCGAGTGCCAGGTATTCATGAACACGTCCATGTCCGTGAAATCAGCATGAGAGCCCAGAGTCTCCGTCGGTGCGAGTGATGATATGAGGGAAGTCATATGGCTGATTGAAGTCAGGTCAACGGAGTTGATGGATTGGCGAATTGACGAGGCGGCAGTTGCAAGGCCTCGGCTTCCATCTGATACCAGGGCTTGGGCCTCTAGGGGACCAGCTTGCGCTCCAATGACGGCGTTGCCGAAGTACTGTGCAGACGTTTTGTGCTCGGGGTCTCGAGTTCGAACGTCGATGGGGTGAATGAAGCGCGATGGAGAGGCCTTCTTTTCTGGGTGAAGATGCAATCGGGCACGAGTGATTGACGTCCAGACAAGCGCGGAGATACAGTCGTATGATGAGATGAACTTCACGTCGGTGAGGTAGGGAGAACATTGGTCTTTTATCTCTTTGATAGCGTCGTCTGAGATTCGGTAGATCTTCGGCTGGGACGGTGTTGACGAGGGTGCCTTGAGTTGACTCTTTTCCATGACGTAGAAGATCCGAAGACTCTCTAGGGAAACCTGTCTTGAGTATTTTGAGAGATCCACAGGCTTATTGTATGGAGCTCTATTCAGATCCGGCGTGTAGGTGGGTGTCTCAAGGCCATTCTGGTTTGCTTTGCAGCTTTGGCAAACCAGAGACAGGAATCTGTCAATTGAAGTCCAATCCCCAGCGGCATGGTTGACTCGGAGTCCCAAAACCAAGCCACCCTCGATGAGATTCAATTTCAAAGCACAGACTGGCTTCTTATGCTCCGGGGCTGGTGGCAGGAATTGAGCGAGATCTACTGCATCAGGAGCGAACGAGGTTTGCGCCAGAGCGGAAAGAGACTTGTGTTGTGCGGAGTTGGATCGGTCAACTTCGAGTTTGAGCTGGTTTTCGGGCGACTTGGTGATACAAAGTTTGCCGGTCTTTTCGAATTGCAATTCTCCAGCCATGAAAGGTAACTGGTCGATTGCGTTCTTCAGTCCTTCTTCCATAGACGAGATGACCTTCTCGGAGTTGACCGTGGGAGGGATTTCATAGAAGACGACAATCGTCACCTCCTTGAGAAATCCTCCTTTGTCCAAATCGGACAGCTCATATTTGATGATTTCTGCCATGGTTTCATTCAATACATGAATAAACTATCCTAATACTTCTACAAAGTTGGCGCAAACTTGAATAATTTATATACTAGAATCGGGTCAGCTTCGGGCACTCTTTTAAGTAACTCGCGCGAATCAGCCCCGCTTAGTCTGTAATAATCGAGGCGACCAACTAAAAGGTAGATCCACAACTCAATTTAACCAAAGGTCTTGAATGGTAAAATAGTATCTTGACACTACTATGTCTGTTGAGGAGTCCACATCATAAATCCTCCCCTTGGTGGCCCGACAGCCATAGAATATGGGCCTCGCATCTCAAATCCCAGCGATCGGTAGAGCTTCTCGCCATCCGCACTAGCCTCCAACCCAACCACAACACCCTCTTGCTGAGCCCTTTGCATAGCCTCCGCCATAAGCCTCTGGCCAATTCCCCGACGTTGATGCGACGAGGCGACAACAAGACTCTTGACGTGCCAGCGATTCCCAACTTTGGCCTTCATCTCATCAGACTCCCAATACTTCTCGCTATCGCGCTGGGCCGACTCGTCGAATTGGCGCGCTGCTTCGCGATCGGTAGATCGATCAGGCCAGAGATAGTTTACGATTGAAATTTGAGTCTGAAGCAACCAGTGACACAGCCGGCGCCAGAGGGTGTCCCGAGTCGCAATCAATCGTTTGGCAGGCTCGTCGTCTCCCAAACGGGTTATTTGAATGTAGCCTACGGGCTTGTTGGGGCTGGAAGACTCCACAGCTACAAAGCCAATCGAGCGAGGGTCAAAATGGCGGGCTTGGAAGAAATGTAGGAAGCGCCTGTTGAAGTGGTTGGGATACTGATGACGATACGGGCAGAGGAAGTTGCTGAGAACCGAGTCTCGATATTCGGCTGCCGCGATGTTTGCCATAAAGCGAATATCCGAGTAGTGTGTAGGGCGAATCAGGATGTTGCTGCCTTTTTGCTGAAAGGATGGCATCGTTAAGCCTTTTTGAGATGAGTCCATCGTTACGGTTTGATACACTGTGAAACGGGGTGTTCTCCCTGCTCTGGAAGTGGTATTTAGGACCAAGCGAAAGGTTTGAAATGACAAGGTTTGGAATAATCCGGAGTAGAACTTTTCAAAGTGATATCTTGGGTGTCATGAGATGCGACCTAGATACGAAGGTTTTCTTCCCTTTGTCTTCGGTGTTGCCTTGCGAGTCCAAGGGAATAGAAGTGAACGGATTTAGGTTGGTTAGGCCCCCATCGGACTACTCGGACTACTCGGACTACTCCACGGAATGAACTTTACCAAATCGGGTGTCCGATCATTTCAATGCGTCGTCTTTCTGATCTCGTCATGACGAACTATTAAATTCATGATCAGTGGCTTTATCCATCTACAGGAATGCGAAAAAAGATCGCCTTCAAAGACACCTCCGCTTCCGGCGCTGAGTCCACGGTTCTATCCTTGATATTTCACGTTCGAGAAAGTTGAAGATAGTTGTACCTAGAAACGGCAAGCATCGATCATCAGTCATGCTATTGTTGTATTTGAGGGGCCAGTTCCTTAGCGGTAGCTGTGGGAAGTACAGAGCCCCATCGGAGAACTAAGCGGACATCGTATTGCACTGGCGACTGTAGTAGTACGGTACGAGATATCTATTGCACAGCTGTAATGCTACGCTTCTACTGAAAGCTATATCTTCAACAGCATATCTTGCGTTTTGACATAAAATATGAAGCTGAAATGAATGATATTGAGTGGAGTGTAAGGCTCAAATCAAATTATACATCAGTAATTCACGGTGGGGTCCAAGGAAAGGACATCCGACTCGCACCATTGAAGCGAAGGCTGACTATTGAATAGGTTCCACATTAACTCGTCGGCAACAGGTTGCAATCCAATATTAGTGTCCGACTGTGGATGTTGGGGGTACGGCTGGGCGGCAGAGTCCAGATATGCGGCTGCTAAAGCAGGAGACCCATCAGGAATAGCCATGGCCGCTTGCTGCTCGGCATTTGTAGTCGGATACCAAGGGGCAACTTTGGCTCGCGGCCCGAGATGCTGCTTGGTCAGGATTAGAGGCTCGCAGAGGTGTTGCAAAGTATCCAAAAGTTTGAGCAACCTCGCTATGTATGGGCTGGCGTTGAATGGGGTGAGGCTCTGGGTAATATCTTGGATGAGGCGATAGTCATCCATGTCTAATTCGCCAATGATGTTACAGAAAAGGACAAAGAATGGGCTGAGTGGGTATAGGAAGATAGTCCTGAGCGAAGTAGACACGGATCGTCAGTACGTTTTACTATGAGGCGCTCACATTGAGGTAACTCACCAAGTCAGAAACGTTGGGTATGGGTCGACGAAACCTGGGCATTTGGCGAGGTGTTTTTGAAGATACTGTAGTGCTTTCAAAGCCTTTCGGGAATATGAGACACATTCTCTATGCGTTAATGGAGAAAATGCGTATTTCAGCCTCGATCGGAGAATGTCCACCAGGATGGCATAGTAAGAAAATTCGGTTGCAACCCATTCACTGTTGATCAGCTCCGGTGCTGAGTTTCGGTTCTGAAAATAGTACCGGAGTCAGAAGACCCCCGTGAGATTGTTCAGCTTTGCAAAAACTCACCGACTGTATAGTGGCGTATATTGCAGTCATTCTTTCTTGAAGATTGGAATGGTAATCCAGGATTTGCCGGGTATCAGCCGCCTTGCAACCGCATGAAAGATCCCCTTGGACCTGAGCCAGATCCACAAGGATACGGATCATTGGCATGTGCGGAAGAGAATTATTCCTGCAAACAAGATCGCTGGCCAAACTGTGAAGTTCTGGTAATGATGACGGCCGATGAAGAAGGGAACTCAAAGTCCGATCAAGATAAAAACACCAGTAGACAGCACTATTGATTTCCTCTTCCTCAAAATTGGGATCGCCCTTCCGAAATTGAGCATCATGATAATTCAGAGCGGCAATCGAGCGGGCAGCATAGGAACTAAGCACCCAAGCTTGACTCATGTTGCCAAGAAATTGCATTAAGAATGCCTATGTCGAAATGAAACCGTCAGACAGGCTCTCTGATTGATATTGAGCACGAGACTTACCGCGGAAATCAATGATTGAATGAAAGGTAGACTCGGGGCATTCAGGAAATTAAGCTTTTGTAATGCATAAAGGGCAGAGGCAGCGTATAACCTCTTGGACTTGAGAAATTGTTCGCTCATAACCAGATCGTTATAGAGCCTTGGCATACCGTAGGTGTGAAAGATGGCTCTCACGTAGATACATATGCAATACTGATAAAACTTTTGGCCCTTGAGATCGCCACTGAAGAACATCGAGACCATTTTCTGTAAAGTTTTGTCAGAGATGTGATCGGGCCAGTGCAAATTGTGCGACATTTCGCCCGTGACGGTAGAGTCTGCCTCAGAGTTAGCATAGACCCTTGAGACGTCGATATCCCGAGAGACAGTGTCAGTACCTCGGAGAAGCATGTACAGCAGCTCTGGTGTTGGTTCAATGGATTCAGGAATATCTGGGCAAACACCGCGTGGTTCATCAAATGTCGAAGCCTCATCGGACGCTGAATCCGCTCCACGCGCCATAGAGTTCACAAAGTCCAAAGCAGACCTGAGAATTGCTTGCCGCTCACGGTTCATACGTTCATTGCCATCGAGTTCGCTCTGGATGATGACTCGGGCATGTTCCGCATGGTGAGCTGACTCGTCCGGGGTGACCACAGGGCAATTGCTGAGGGGAGAGTTGGGTGATTCCTTTGCAGAAATGGCATGATCAAGCTTCCTTTTCTTCGAATGAACATCTACCTCAGGTTGGTATACTCCATTAGATGGACTGCAGTTTTCAGTGCTGTCCCGCAATGTCAGCCATGCCGCTCTCACGACAGGATGATAGGTTGAAACATACTCTTCTGGTCTCGAGACTGCTTTCTCGAGCCTCAGTAATCTCTCTCCCAGCGAAGAAATACTAGGGCCATCAGTAGCCATCGCAAAAAGGGGGCCATTAAATATATGTGACCTACACAGTTGGCTTTTGAGGTCGAGCTGGCCGCTCAGGGCGTTCGCGCCTACAATCTGCTCCCGCATCGGCGCAGTTTGAACATTGTAGCCGCCTATCACATCGTACCTGTAGTAACACCGTCAGCTAATGACCCAAATATAAGGTCTAACCAGGACAAAAAGCTGCACCTTTCTTGCATAGCACAGATCACACTGAATAGCCTATTCGTCAGCTTCCTCTCGATCCCTATAGATCCGTTGGAGATCATGTGATCCACGGGTCCACTCACAGCGCGCAAAATGTTGGCATTCATTCCGAACACAAGCCGCACTGAAGACGACTAGTCAGTAAATAGACTAACAGAGGGTCCGAGGGGCTGAATTACAAGTTTCATACCAGTGAAAGGTTTTGGTAGCTCTACAACATCGTCCGGTTTGTCCGAGGCGGTGCTGAGTCAGCCCATTTCCGTTTTGGGTCGGGATTCCGAACGAATGGGGAAATGAAGACTTGGTGATCTCGAACATGATCAAATGGTTTGTAATGAATTCATTGGCAATAGCCACTCGATTAATGAAGCCCAACGCGCGCGTATTTTTGCGTCAGATACTGAGCTTCAAGCTTAGTATCAGAAAATCTTGCCATCCTGGCATAGCACTGGAGGCATCGGGCTAAACATAGACTACGCCCAAGGAACGACAATACAAAGGACACGAAGCTTTGAATCGCGCTGAGAACAAGAGTCCATTCCGTCTATTGGAAAAATCCATCAAATATATACACGCTGACAACAACCATTGACCACACGCACGCGCACACCAAAAGTGCACTGCATTGCCACGCAAAACACCCACAGAACACAAGCTCAAGGTCTTTCTCATAAAAACCGAGCATCCATTGAATCGTATAAGTGTATGGTCTTTTTTAACCTTTCCTCACTCTCATCAAAGAGCTGAGTGGATGACCGGCAGACTGACTGACCTGGCTGGCTGGCGAAGGTTGGAAGGCATGTATATGACATGGAAGGGGATAGATGAATGGATAGAAGGTTGGGGAGGAGCAGGGGTTTCAGAGACAAGAACAGAATCAAGAGAGGGGGGAAGAATGAAGAGGGGTATCAACACCGTGACACATGCTGGGGAGAAGATCGGAAAGAGTAGTCGATGTTCAAACCGACAGGGAATTTGAATTTGGAAGGATATTGGCAATGATAGTGAAAGAAAGAAGAATGGGGAAATGAGGGGAGCAAAGGAAATGGAGCGTGGACTTCATGAGCACATAGACATAGAGGAGAAAGCCACGACGACCAATGCAACAAGTCACCTAGGAAGTGCTTCTCACTTAGAACTCGTTCCGGAGATCCTCGTGCGAGTGATGCTGAGACTGGTCTCGGTCCTTCTTCCGACGTGACGGCGCAGGGACAAAGTCGAAGAAGCGGTATTTGCTCGAAGATTCCTTGGTGACACTGGACCGGCGGGCCTTGGCGGTCTCAGAAAATTCAAGAGAGTAGGTAGACGAGTTTTTAGAACTGCCGGTGCTATCACGAGGATCGGACCACCGAGGAATGCTGAATGGCACGCGAGACTGGTCCCAAGTTGCCGAGGATGAGCTGGGTGGCGTGTCATCCGCGGTATCGGGTGCATTGTCGGTCGAACGACGGGGCATGGCCGGACGAGTGGCGAAGAAGCCAATTGAACCGCGATGGCCCGGGGTGTTCGATGCAGAGGATGAGGAGACCGGCAAATTGCTGGTTGCAATAGATGAGTCCGGAGCTGGAGTGGCAGGTTTACTTGATGTCTCGTCATAAAAGGTGATTGCTCGCTCCATAGAGTCCACCAATTCCTCCCATTTGACCTCCAGGTTCCCACTCGGCCGTTCCGCCTGCTCGGCCTCGTCAAGGCATTCCTCCGTGCGTTCCTGCAGTTGCATGGCTAATTGATGGAATTTGGACAGGAAAGGGTCCACTTCTTCCAGCTCAGACAACCGCTGTGGCACCACTTCCAACCAGATACGAATCAAGTTTGCAAAGCAACGGGCAATATCGACCAGGAACGGTAGACTGGGGAAGCCCTCGCGGGAGGTAGCTGGCAGGCGCCCAAGAATCTGGAGAGGGGTGGTATAAGAAGGCGTGATCATAGCAGCGGGTCGCTCCGCTGAGATATTGCAGATTTGGTCCACGAATGTCTTGAAATCCGCACGGTTGCCGACTAGGAACTTGTTCATCGGCTCCATCCAAGGCTCTTTGTTGCCGAATGTTGTCATGTTGGCCAATCCTTGAAGAGCCTTAGCAATGAGCGTTAGAGTGCGTTGAGCCCGAGGACGAGGATGTTCTGCCATGTAAATTAGCGCGCTTGACTCAAAAAAGTTGGCTCCTCCGTGAAGTTACGCCTTACCTTTCAACAACCCGAACAGCTTCGGGTTAAGGATAGCCGGACAAAAGAACCGCAGGAACAAGAATCCAGAAACACTACTGTAGGTCACAGAGCGAAGGAAATCACCGTAACGATCCTCTGCGCAAGCTCTAACGTGCCGGAAAATGCGTCGCAGCTCGGGCGGACACCGCGAAACGGACATTGCGATTGACTTCCACACACCGGTAGTCAGCGAGATCAAATTGCGCCAGTTGCGATCCAAGTCCTCCGTACGTGGCACACGAGCTGGGTCCACCTCGCACTCTGGATCACTCTCATCAATTTCCCGGATTCGTTCTCCGATAGTCTCTTCCAGGTACTCCTTGCCAAGTCGACGCATGTGCAGATCAAGGGCCTTGGTGAGGAGTGAATTTCCACGGAATAACAAATTCGCTTCAACGGTGGCCGTCCGTCCCATATCTCTCACGAGAATCTCCCGGTCCTGACCGGACTCGCGAGAGTCATTGGAATGGATCCTTGTCGTATAGCGCAGCCGGTTGGCGGTCGATTCCTTGTGTACACCGTCAATTTCGTCTTCAACCAGCGCCGAAATCCAATCCACCGTTGCCCCAGAGACCTGGAAGATGTTCAAAAGCATTTCGGCCAGTTGAGTCAATTCGGATGACATGACCTGAGCCATGTTGATTGTCAGACCGTTGGTGAAGGCGTGGAGTAGGTCGTGCATCGGCGCATATTCTTCGGACATCAAGACAACCGTCTCTTCCATTCGGGCTTTCATGAACATCTCTCCCACAGCCTGATCCTGGTCGTCCAGAATGGGCCACCACTTCTCCGTATCTACGCCAGGATCTAGTTCCTCCAGGCGCAGGTCAACCCTCCCAAAGATTGCATCGTTGGTGGAGATTTCGATCTCATCCAGCATATTGGCTGCATTGCCATCTTGACTGGAGTATGTTCCATGCGCAATTAGGGTCCAATCTCTGTGCGTGGGGTTGAGGGTTTTCACTAGGATAGAGGCTTGAGAGAGGACAGGCGGCAGGTCGTTGAATGTGAAATCCTCACGCCAGAACGGATTTGTGGTACGATATTTGACAGCCGTCTTGGCGCGAATTTCTCCATCCAGAAGCACCTCTGTGTAGTAATCGCTGACTTTGTGGGACGATGGGGCGGAGTGCCCATGCGACCTGGACATTTTTCGACTGCGAGGAGTTTCTTCTTCTTTGGCTCGGAAAAGCTTCGCTTCTGTAACTCTGAGGTTAAGTATACGCTCGATTCGGAACATGTCATGAGTGTGATGTGTAGGGGACTGGGCCTCTGGCGTCTTATTGGGATCTTCTTCGCTGTCGGGAGCCTCGGGGCCGTAGAGCTCTGGAATGGTGAATGCACGCAATAGAACGAACCAGACCTCAAAAATAACGCGGCTCTCGAGAGCAAGGTATATAGGGCGCATCCCAGGGTCGGGAACGGGGTGTGCCGTATACTGCGGGTAAATCGCAATACAAAACTCATCATCCAATACTGACGAGTCCAATTGCTGAATTGAACACCTCGACAGTTGAGAGAGCTGGACTGTTGCCACAAGTGTAACATCCGACTCGGTATAAAGCTTAAAGAAACCGTTCTCCTGCAATGTACAGCTTACCCGCTGCCATGAAGAGTTTAGGGCCCTGGATTGCCGATATGTAGATACTCGGCGCACTGAAGCCGGACGGGCTCCAGATGCCGACGGCTTATCCCACAAAAGCATCTTTCCAACCTTGATAATAGCTGCATCCTTCTGTGCAGCACTCTCCGAATTTCGTCGACGCTCGGGGATGCGGCGATCACCAATGACAACGGCTTGGGGCTTGGTCATCTTATTTTGAACACCCTTTGGTCGGATGGGCTGCCAACAAAGCAGTGCCGCTAGCCAAGAGTCAAATGTCTCGTTCACGTGGGGTCGTAGTTGAATACCGAGACCGGAGGTAAAGGTATTGACGCTCAAGTAAGTGGTTTGCAGCTCTGCGTCAAACAACGTCCGAACACGACATCCACGTAAATCGGGGATCAATGTCTTTGCGAGCGCTGGCTCGCCCTTAGCTTGATATATCAGACTACCCGTAGCAACGTTGATGGCGCAATAGCCCGATGTCCATGAACTCGACGACCATGAGTTATTTGTCGCCGTTCGAAAGGAGAGGATTCCGTGCATTCGGCCGCAGGTCGTTTTCATCAATTGTAGGATTTTGGCGGCATCGGTGTTCGACAGGGGCGAGGCAAAGGCGGCTTGGTTGCGTGCGACAGCGCTCGTCAAGCCGGACCCCTGAGATCTGCTAAGTCGCTGACGTGTGACGGCCTGCCCAACGTAATTAGGCGAGTGTATTGAAGGGAAACCAATTGAACTTGCGGATTCCTCTGCGACCTTGGTATCCACCATCTTGGGCTGAGACGAGCTGGCCGCATTCACCGATCCTATCCGCGTTCGTGCCTTGAAGGTATTCGGCGCCAAGTCCCCCCGTTGCTCCTCCAGAGTTGTTGTTCGTGATCGTGTACGTTGATTCCTGACTTCTGTGAGCGTCCCTTCTTCGCTTCGGTCAATTGTCCTCGATCGCATGGTGGTCCGTGGTGACGGCGCGCTCGCACTGTTGCCAGTGAGATACTCCGCATCGGACAAGGGGGATTGGGACTCTGGGGTCACAGTGCGAATACTCGTGTCACGGAAATTGTCAGGGTAGACCATGCCATGGCGATCCCGAGAAGATGACTTCTTGCTGGGTCGTCGTTCCACGGGGCGGCTGTAGAAGGCCTGGTGCATCGAGCTCCGCTTGTACCCATTCTGATTTTCAGACTCCATTCTGCGCGGTCGCAGCTCGGCGTGAGTTGACGAGCGCGAGAAATCAAGGAGTGCTGGATAGGAAAACAGAAATCGCTCCGCGCACCCGACACAACCTCACCCTCCGAACCGGTCGATATCGTATATATATGTACTCTCCCTTAGTTCCAAGTGATTTGAGTTCGGTCGCTCAGTCGCGCGTGAGCAATTGAGAGTCGCTTGTATCCACGAGATTGCTAGGAGAACACATGGAGTCTAGCAGAAGGAAGGGGTTCGGAATCGTACATTCGGTCGAGGTTTGGAGCGGGATCGACGAGATAGGGACAAAGGTAGGCGCAGGTCACCGTCGTTTGTCCGAGTGATGCAGTGCCTAAAGATGGGGGCAAATAAGCATCCACTTCGTCAATAAGTCACTTGCGACCGTGTCGCTACCGGGAGAATATTGAATCCCGGGATCAAGATGTCCAGAAAGCCGGTCGTTCAGGGCGCTGTGCTATCGTTCTTATTGGAAGAGGAGGGGTGGGCGAGGAGAGGTTACAGTTGGGCAAGGGAAGAGTATTGAAGTACTGGGAAGGGGTCGCAGATGAGGGAAAACGCACACACACCTTCATCAGTCCCTTTTCGAATTGGAGGTCTCGCGTCGGTTTTGCTGGGGTTCCCGGACGGGTTGTAGTTGGTGTTTGAGAGAGGGGGGGGCGGGTTGTGTGCGCTGCTTTGCAGATCCCCCAGCTCAGATGGTCCGAATCGGACAGACCAGAAGTAGCAGAAAGGGAATGGCAAGCGATTATGCGACGACAGATGGGATGGCGGGTGGTCAGTGTGGTTACCCTTGGAGGTGGTGGTGGTGGAAGGTGAAGAGGAAGGGAGGGAGAGGGGGTGGAGAGGGAGGAGGGGAGTGTGGATAATGAACGAGCTGAGTTGTATAGGGGACACCTGCTGCGACTCCGGGAACGAACTAACCCACTAATCTAACCTAACTTCCTACATCCCGTCCCTTTAGGCCTGAGGGATGATCTGCTTAGCTTGTTGGATGATGAAATAAACAATGCTTTGGGCATTGCTATCTTACAGTCCTACTCTCCTGCCGTGACAGGCCGTGTAATATGGATAAGATAACCTTCCAGCTAATCGATCGTGCTACATTTCCATCCAGGTCGCTTTTCATTATGGGGGCTCTCAATCAATATGCTGCACTAACTTCTCTTGGCCTATCATGCCTCTGGATACTCCGTAGATCGTTTTCCTTTGGGAAATGACTTGGATGCTGATTTCTCTTCGTATGCTTGACCGCAATGTGTGTCTAACGGCCATCCTCGCCCATCTCGCGAAATAAGCCCTAGGAAGATGACTAGCAAATGGATTTCCAATAGCCTGGCCTAAGCCGCTAAGCAAATCCATTCAATTTTCGAGTCCCTCTACACTTTTGCGCTTTTCCACCTGCATACTATAGCCGACACTCGGCAGTTCTACTTGCGATGGACCCGATTAGCGTCGACGGCGAGGCCGTCGCGGGGCGCTTCTGTTCTCGTGTCCCCCGAATCTTCGTCCATGCGAACCAAGAATACCGAGAAATAGTACCAATGGGACGGGGCGAACTGCAGAATCCTATCGCGCTAAATGGCTCGAATGTGAGTGTCAGTATGCCGCACCCCCACTTGCCTCCAGAGTCCCGGGGGGCGCACGCTTTCCCTAAAGACCACGAACTGATTAGCCGGGAAGAAAGAAGCTGGAATGACCCCCAACCTGCGCGGTCCTGTTAGGCTGGGCTAGCGGGAAACAATCTTCTTGATTCCTGAATCATGAGCCGGTGCCTAAAGGCCAAGGACGTGATCTGGTCGATCAGAGTCAGACCCTCCACACCGTCCTTAATCCCCTCCCCCCAGTCAGCGGTCTGCCGTTAATCCTCATCCCTGTCCCCCCCAGCGTTTGTCCTGCTCCACGCGAGCCAATGTCAAAAGTACGAATAGAGGCATGGTCATTGCAGGTACTATTCGTGCTTCGAATCCCACTGCCTCATAATAATAATCATGGGAGGACAGGGGGTGTCGGACAGCGTAAATGAGTTTAATTACCACACGGAATAATCCTCCTCTTGCACGAGGCAAACGGGCTAAACCAAGGACAGAGAAGGTATCTGGTACAAACTTTGGAGTGGAGGCCACTATCAGGGGCCCGGTCAATGCTACCTGGGTCGATGGGCCAGTCAACTTTCGCTGATCTGGTTGTTGAAGAGTGAACGACATCCGGTCGACCGCGAGTATCCTCACTGCAAAAGGTTGAAGGAAATCCCCGAGAGTGGAGCCGCTCGGGGCGCCGTGGGTTCCCGGATGTTGAGCAAGAATATATCCTATCAGGATGAAAGGCGGACCTGGAACTGCCCATATCTCCGCTGCGTCGGCCGAAGGAGGCAGATTCAGACCGTCAAATCCAGTCGAAGTCAGTGCGAGGAGAACGGTCGGAAGGCCTGGTCGGGCCCAAAGGATCCAACAAGGCCCAGAATCAAACGACACCGCCAAATAGTGGCGGCGGTGATGGTGCCTCGCAGTTGTTCTAGAAGTCAGCGCGTCAGCAGCACATCAGCCAGCCTGTGAGGGTTCCATTTTCGCAGTTTGACAACTTGGCAGGCCACGGAATTGCTGGGAATTTCGTAATCATATTTGGTCCCCATAATTGCCGTAGAATCTTCGGTGGAAGGCCCCCAAGCAGAAGCAGGTGCAGGCGTCCTTACCTCTTTGGGCATCGTTCGACCCCGCACTACCACATGACTCGTGCCGCCACAGAGAGGATAATTATCTGCCTCAGGCTGAAACATGTGTCGGCCACTTTTATCAGGCTCACAGGCTCCAAGGCTTCCAGGCTCCCAGGCCTTGCTAGGCAGATGGAAGCTTATTATGTCATAACGGGGCGGGCTCTGGAGATCACGCAGAGCTCCGGTGGTTCTCACGAGACACGATCAGATGCGCGGGATCACAGTATTCCGTCGCACCCGATAAAGACCTCCGTGCTCCTCTCTGATATACACGCCAAGGATCCCTCGACTCTCGAGCGGCTTGGATGCGACTGGCGGTGCGGCATTCCAAAGCTTGAGCGGGTCTTTTCTTTCTCCGCACTCCATCCCGGTGTTGACCATTAGGTATAGATACGACAGACACGTACGGCTGCGGCGATGAGCCCCTAGCGCCACATATATTAGCTTTAATCAGCTGGCAAGATGATGTCCTCCAATATTTTGTCTCGCTTCTTACCCCCTACGGACTCACCCTCGGTGTACGAGGCCATCCGAGAACACGATGCCGGGTCCGATTCCTCTGATGTCGAAGAGCGCGCAGGGTTGGCCCACGAGGGAGACTACAGGGAACACTTTAGTGATGGAGATTTGGCGGATGAACTGGCTGATGCAGCTCGAAGTGAAGCCTCCAGCCCGAGTGCCGGCTTGTTGGGTCCCAGGTCGTCTGGGAAGGCAGCAGCTCGTCGGGGTTCACCGTCCCATAGTCGACGACGCAAGCCTTCAAGACCACGGTGGATGACCCAGCCATCACCACCCGGATATGAACTTGATGATCGGGATGAGGATGTACCGCCATCGCTTTTAGTTGAGGGGCCTGATGACGAAGAGTTAAAGTCGCGTCTCCCTCCTCCGCCTCATAGCATGCCCAGCCGATCGAGAACCCCTAGTCCTCCACCTCCACCTCAAGCCCAACCTGATCGGCTACGCCGTCAAAAACTTCAAGCGGGGAATATGGCGGGCGCTGCGAGTACTCACCCCGTGGCCCGTTGGTTCATCGCACAACAACACCCGAGCTTAAGCAACACTGACCCCAAGAAGAAAGCAATGTGGCGGTGGGCCAACGTGGAGAACTTGGATAACTTCCTAAAAGACGTGTATACCTACTTCCTCGGAAATGGGTTTTGGTCGATCTTACTGAGTCGGTCCTTAAATCTTCTGTATGCTGAATTTCTTGCACTGTTTCCCTCTGCTCTCCGATGCGGTAAAACCCCAAAGGCTAACAAGGTATTTCAGGACCTTTGCTTTCGTGGTCGGATTCACGACTTTCTTGACCAACTGTGTGGACTACCACAAAGTTCGAGGCAGCAAGTCCCTGGACGAAATTCTCGTCCCAAAATGCACATCCAAGATGTCTGGCTCGGCCACGTTTTTACTTTGGCTGCTAAGCTTTTTCTGGATTAGCAAGCTCTTCCAGTTTCTACTGGATATACGTAGACTCAAGCATATGCATGACTTTTATCATTGTCTGCTTGGAGTATCCGATGCCGAGGTTCAGACGATCTCTTGGCAAGAGGTCGTCAGTCGCTTGATGACGCTACGAGATGCCAATCCAGCCACTGCGGCCGCAGTCTCTGCCAGGCACCGAAAATACCTTCGCAGCCAATCCAAGCAGCGTATGGATGCCCACGATATTGCCAACCGCTTGATGCGCAAGGAGAATTACATGATTGCGCTAGTCAACAAGAATATTCTGGACTTGACCTTGCCGATCCCATTCCTCCGCAACAGACAGCTCTTCTCGCGGACACTGGAGTGGAATCTCAACCTTTGCATTATGGACTATGTCTTCAACGAACAAGGCCAATTACGAACCATTTTCCTTAAAGATACCCACCGAAGAGCTCTGATCGATGGCTTACGCCGACGCTTTATTTTTGCCGGCATCATGAACATCTTCGTCGCACCTTTCATCGTGGTTTACTTCTTGATGCATTACTTTTTCCGCTATTTCAACGAATTCAAGAAGAACCCATCTCAAATTGGCTCCCGTCAATACACCCCGCTGGCGGAGTGGAAATTCCGTGAATTTAACGAGCTCTGGCATCTCTTTGAGCGTCGTATTAACATGTCATACCCCTTCGCTAGTCGCTACATCGATCAGTTCCCCAAGGACAAGACCGTCCAGCTGGCTCGCTTCGTCGCCTTTATCTCTGGTGCACTGGCTTCAGTGCTCGCACTAGCCTCGGTGATCGATCCGGAACTGTTCCTCGGATTTGAAATCACACATGATCGAACAGTGCTTTTCTATCTCGGTATTTTCGGTACTGTGTGGGCTTTTGCCCAGGGAATGGCACCGGAGGAGACCGACGTCTTTGATCCTGAGTTTGCTCTTCTGGAATTGATTGACTTTACCCATTATTTCCCCTCGACATGGAAAGGCCGCTTGCACAGCGATGATGTGCGAAAGGAATTTGCCGTTTCCTACCAGCTGAAGATTGTGATCTTCTTAGAGGAGATCTTGAGCATGATCTTTACTCCTTTCGTCCTCTGGTTCAGCCTACCAAAGTGTAGCGACCGCTTGATCGATTTCTTCCGCGAGTTTACGGTTCACGTCGACGGTGTGGGCTACCTATGCTCCTTCGCAGTTTTTGACTTCAAAAAGGGCACAAATGTCATGTCCCAAGGTCGACGGGAAAATGGCCGCCAAGACCTGCGTGCCGATTACTTCTCTACCAAGGATGGCAAGATGCTTGCATCCTACTATGGCTTCTTGGATCACTACGGGACCAATCCTCAGACTCATACTCGACGCCCATTTCATCCACCCCCGGGCTTGCCTACCCTTGGGTCTCCCGAACTGGGTGCTCTCCCCGAACGATTTGACTATCCAATGCGGCTCGGCCCAGCAGGCGGCCCATGGGGCCCACAGTCCATCGTTGCGGCCTCCAGATTCCGGACAGCACCAACGGGGGATCCCCGCTCACCAGGTCCTTCCATTCTGCTGGATCCACATCACCAACCCTCTAGCTCTGGCTTCCGCTCTGCAGCTCGTCATGCGCCACATCAGCGCTCGCGACTGGCAAGGTCACAGCTGCCCATCGCCAGCACCATTGATGACGAAGACCTGGCGTCTCAAGACCCCCGCGATTCTACATCGCGCCAGCGAGGTGTTGCTTCCAGTGGAGGTGCCGGTACTGGTGAGAGCAGTCTCGGTGATTCATGGCGCATGAATCTCCCTGGCCAAGAGGAGGACGTGGACGAAGGTGATGAGGAAGACAACATTGACACGATTGCTGGGGGTGCAGGCGTCCTGGGTCTCATTCAGCAGTTCCAGAAAGCAAACGCTGAGGGCAGACGGGCCCCCGTGGGGATCTAGTTGATGTCTTGCTGCTAGATACCTGGCCAGCCCTGTAGTCCAACGCATATGCACATGCCATGACACGAACTTTCCTTTTACATGTTATTTAGCGATAGGCTCGATGGAATCATGATTGTGCTTGATTTTTATTTGTTCGTTCTGTCTTATTGGAGTGTACCTAGTAGATCTACCCTCTTCTACCTAGACATAGAGATTCGATATAGAATGGTCTCTCTTCGTCCATGCTTGAGGGGTCGAGTCGAGCGAACACTACAGGGTGTCCTGCGTATTCCAATAATACCGACTCTTCGTGTTATATCAGTGGCGTTTACCATACGTATATATTATAGAGATTCAGTAAAATTTCCGATCATACGTACGATCAATTAGATTCCCAAGACCCGAACTCTTATGGGCCTCGCCGAGATACAGTACAGGTGGCCATCATGTTGTTCCGGCCATGCCGGGGAGCGGATACCAAGCCCGATGGGGGCTACAGATTTATGTATGTAATACTAAGGCCGCGGTATTTGATTAGCTTGCTTACAGCGCATGGACAAACCAATCCTCTTTACCGTCTCCTCCCCGTCTAGGTGCCACTCCATGATGATAGGCCGATTCGTCAGACCCTTGCCGATTGCCCCATCGACTTCCTGCTTTGAATTAGGTTAGTCAAATACACTCTGTCACCGTGAGTCGATCCGAATGGCCCTAGATTAGAAAGTCAGGATAGTCCTGTAACACGTCGGGAACTTGTCGGGCTAACATCGACGACCCATTTAAATGCAAGACATCTCAATAATGAGGGAGGGTCTACGGGGCTGAATTGGCATCCTCCAAGCGTGTCCACCAGTGAGCGGCCCGAGAGCCGCGGGTTTGGCGACTCTCGGCGTCCCTGGCTCGGTCGAGAACCCTGATGGGCTGAGAGGATCAAGTTAGGAGGTGGTAGGGGTAGACTAGAAATCTTGGATGCTAGATAAAATGGGGACCATTGGATATCTATGTTCCAATAAATATATACCGATACAGTAGTAGTACATGCGGTCTGCACTTGTGTACTATTCATAGCTCCGGACCCTTTTGTACAGACCCCAAATGAAACACCTCGTTAATTAGCAAACAACTGGTCCCTGAAATCGACCCATCACATGTGGATCTCTGCTCCGCATTATTTTCCTTCCTCTGGCCCATACGTCTCGTGACATTAAACTCTCCCTCCTCCGCGTCGCGGGAACCTCTTCGTCTCCCTATTCTCTCCTTCTCATTCCTATTCTCCTCTTCCTGCCTTCCTCTCCCCCGGCCCCAATCCACCCTCCTCTCAAGTACCAACTACTATCCTCTCCTTTAATTGACCCGACGGGTGCGACGGCCCGCCATGTTTCGCGCCCGCCGCTACCGCGTCCTGCTCGTTTTCGCCGCGGTCTTCCTCCTCACCACTCTCCATTTCGCCCGGTCGCGCGATTGGAGTCAGACTGCTGTGATCGAGACCCCAGGTGGTGATCATCCATCACAAGCGGCTGTTCCAAACGAAAATCTACCTAAACCGCAATCCCCAGCAGAGGATAGCAGCAAATCTCCGCCCTCAACGGTACCGAATAGCAACTCTCCACCGTATCCGCCGCAGAATGAGTTCAAGTCACCCGTTGGACCGGGTAGTGCGAAGGGTGATAAGAATAAAGAGCTTGGATCTACACACGGGTCTGAATCTACGTCTGGATCGACTGCCTCCGATAATGCCCCATTGAAGTCTCCAGGTACCGGAAGCTCAGGCAGCTCGGATGAGAAGAAGCCTGGAAGCAGCAGCAGCAAGCAGTCGCCCACAATAATAGGTGAATCGATTGATAACTTCCCGGAGGAAATCGATCACGGTGGTACTGGTAGGTTGTCTGTTCAGGAGCATCCTAATGGTCCCGCCGCGCACTGGGTCAAGACACCCGAGCGATTCCCGGTTGCACCGGGTGAATTGATCACTCTTCCCAAGGAGGCATCGAAGGCCATGCCTAAGCTCCAGGCCAAAGCAAAGGATGAGTCCAGCGACGACAGGCAGGAGCGGCTGCAGCGACTAAGCACTATTAAGGCCGAATTTAAGCACGCTTGGGCCGGATATAAGAAAATTGCAATGGGGCACGACGAGATCAAACCTCTTACGGAGAGTTTCGATGATCCGTTCAATGGCTGGGGTGCGACGTTGATTGATTCGATAGATACTCTGTGGATCATGGATTTAAAGGACGAGTTTTCGGAGGCTATTGATGCGGTCAAGAAGATTGACTTCACCACCTCTCCTCGGGAAGATATTCCCGTGTTTGAGACTGTGATCCGCTACCTGGGAGGTCTGCTCGGTGCCTATGATATTTCGGGCCAGAAATACGAGGTTCTGCTGGAGAAGGCCGAGCAGTTGGCCGAGGTTCTGATTGGCGCCTTTGACACGCCGAACCGAATGCCTGTTCTATACTATCGCTGGACTCCGTAAGTCTGCACAGCAGATAGCCCTTGTGGTCTTGGATGTAAAAGAGCTGACTTTCTCCTCCAGTGCCCACACTAAGCGCCCTCACCGGGCTTCTGCCAAGGCCACCTTGGCTGAAATCGGATCTTTGTCTTTGGAGTTCACCCGTTTGGCTCAATTGACCAAGCAGGATAAGTACTACGATGCAATTGCGCGTATCACCAACCGTCTGGAGGAATTCCAGGATTCGACCAACATCCCGGGCCTCTGGCCTTTACGTGTGAATGCACAGGGCTGTGCCAAGTACAGACCTAGTCGAGACGCTGCCATGCCTATGGAGGACGACTTTGAAGAGCTAGTCGTGACGAATACTACATCCTCGATCGTAGCCACGTCTACACCTTCGTCGACGCGCACCCGCAAGCCGTACGCTGCTCCGACTGATCTCGAGAGTTATATTCGCTTGATCCAGCGTGATACCGAGATCGATCTCTCGGAAGCAGAGCTTGCGCCGTATAACCGTGGTGGTAGCAGTGCTAGCAGTGCTAGCAGTGCCAGCAGTGAAAGCACGATCAGGTTCACCTCTGGAGACTCGACCTCTACTGAGAAGTGTGACGGTGGCCTAGAGCTCCCACTCTCACTACGTGATAACAAGTATGGTCTTGGTGGATTGGCTGACTCTACCTATGAATATCTGCCCAAGGAGTACCTTATTCTCGGTGGTGCAAATGACCAGTACAAGAAGATGTACAAGAAAGCGATAGATGCAGCTCGGAAGAATCTCCTCTTCAAGCCCATGGTCAAGAGCGAGCGGGACCTGCGATTCATGGCGACTACCGGCTCGCTCGACCCCACGAAGCCGGGCGTCCTTGCTCCTGGGGATCTTGAATACGAAAGCACCCACCTCAGCTGTTTCCTTGGTGGCATGGTTGCCTTGGGCGCAAAGGCATTCAGCATCGAGGGTGACCTCGATCTGGCCGCCAAGCTTACCGACGGTTGTGTTTGGGCATATGAGTCAACTAATACCGGGATCATGCCCGAGCGATTCCGCCTGTTGCCCTGCAGCAAGGACAAGTCTTGTGAGTGGGACGAGAAGCTCTACCAGGCCGATGTCAAGCGGTACTCGCACGTCATCGACTCCGAGGCTGAAGCGCGATTCCGTACTGGCGAGAGTACCTACGGCCAGCGAGTCAAGTTGAATACCGATTACAAGCCCCAAGAGGCCGGCGAGAGCGGCGTCGCCGTGCCATTGCCCATGCCCGGTTCCATGAACCCGCATGACAGCGACCCCGCCTACAACAAGCGGGATGCTGTCACGGCTGGACGGGGCGCAGCACCTCCAGCCTCCAACCGCGAGGCGCCCCGCCCAGCATTCGTCTCGCAGTCCGAGGGCAATGAGATCAATGATCGTCTGCCATCTGGTATGACCAGTATCCCGGCACCAGAGTACTTCCTCCGTCCCGAGGCCATCGAGTCCGTGTTCATCATGTTCCGATTGACTGGCGATGATGCCTGGCGACGGAAGGGATGGAAGATGTTCGAGGCCATCACCAAGTATACACGGACGAACGTGGCGCACGCCGGCATTAAGGATGTCACGGCGCCAAAGCCTGCGCAGAAAGATGCGATGGAGTCCTTCTGGACGGCGGAAACGCTGAAGTATTTCTACCTTCTCTTCAGCGACCCCAGTGTAGTGGATTTGGATAAATATGTGCTGTAAGTCGATGTCCCGCTCTGCGTCTTACGAGATCACGAAGCTAACCCTTTTTTGGGCAGAAATACCGAGGCGCATCCCTTCCAACGCCCGGTTTCATGATATATGTTCCCTCTCTTCATCATGTTGTGTCCTTTTTGTTTTATTTTGTGGAAATCGTCCTGCATAGTGATACCAGCGAAGAACATGCATATATCCTTGTTTGCCCGTATACCTGCCTATTCCCATATACTTTACCTAGTAATCGACAAGAATAAAGCACACACGACTCAAATAATGCTCGTATGGTCCATAGTTCTGCCCCTTGTAGTCTTGTAGTGTGGCCCGCAAAGTGGACACCAGAGCTAACGACCTCCCCCGCCTCCAACACCAACCACATTCCGCATCTCCAACCTCCCTCTTCCCCGAAACAACAAGACGGGATGAGTGCCCTGACTCACCACCCCCGAAGACCCAGATCGAGCTCGGTGGGAAATGGAGCCCGAGGTCTCGGAGCCCCAGCAGTTCTGGAATGGTGAGCCTTTACTCCCTGCCCCGCCAATCCTGCGGACCAACATCGGCCCTTCCAGGGCGCAGGCCCGAGGTGACGACGGGAGCGGTAATTGCTTCCTTGCGAATAATCCTCAATTAACACCCTGATAGAACTCCAAGAGATTGTCTCCAAGTCTTGTGAATCCGAGGATTCGATCGATGATGCGCTCAGAGCGTATCTAAAATTGACGACGCAGTACAAAGGTGACAACATCGTTCCCTACCTCACCCTCCTCCGCTGGTCTCGTGTCTCTCCGCAAGATCCCTTTCACAACGCTGGTCGCTAACACTTCAAGCTTTGGTGTATATAGATGACTTCCTCTCTACCGAATATGACATCTCGCGCTGCTCGTACAAGCTCTTTGCATCAACTATCTTCGAGAGTCATGCGGACTACGTCCGCCGACAGATCATCTACTGTCTATTGCAGGTATCTAACCCCGTTTCCTTCTTTCCCTCAGCGCGACTTGAACACGCAAAACGGCCGCTAACAAATACTGGTCCCTATCTAGGAAGATGATCTGAATACACTACACTTTATCGCGTCGTTCCTACTCTTCGACGGTCGGCAGAATGAAGCGGCTTTGCAGATGATGAATGAGGAGGGTGTTTTTGCGCGCCTCCTTGAGCTGATTCAGTCACTGCGCAGGGATGATACGGATGACGGGGCGGGTCTCCACCGGTTGCTTATGGATTTGTTATATGAGATGTCGCGAATTCAGCGCATCAAGATTGAGGATTTGGGTATGTGGATTGCGTGAGGGTATACCTGCTTGGGGGTAGGTTGCTGATATGGTGTTGTCTCTGGACAGTTCTTGTGGATGATGATTTCATACGATGTCTTTTCGACATTATTGAGGATCTGTCCTACGACGTGACGGATCCGTACCATTATCCCGTTATTCGAGTGCTGGTAAGTGGTGTCCGTTGTTTAAAGGTATTGGAGGTCGAGCTAATTCATTACCCGCAGCTGGTCCTCAACGAGCAGTTTATGATCTCGGCACACGATCCTGTCGATGAGCAGTCGTCTTCTAGTCAATTGACCAACAAAGTCATCAAGGTTCTCTCTGTCTATGGAAGCTTGTACAAGACCTTTGGCGAGAACATCATTCTGCTTATCAACCGCGAAGGTAAGTTGAGCACCTCCTTCGGGCAAGCTTGATAACTGACCTCTGACATATTCATAGCCGAGACATCTCTGCAGCTGCTGACCTTGAAGCTGCTTTATCTGATTTTCACAACTCCCAGCACCTATGAATATTTCTTCACTAATGACTTGCACGTCTTGGTGGATATCTTGATTCGAAACCTCCTAGACTTACCCGAGGAGGCATCCGCACTGCGACATACTTATCTTCGTGTCTTGTATCCCCTGCTAGCACATACCCAACTACGACTCCCACCACACTATAAACGGCATGAGCTGAGGAGATTGCTTAGCATACTCGGCCGAGGACAAGTCTCGTATGGAAGCGAGACTGAACAGGAGAAGATTCTCCACTTTGAAGAGGTTGATGAGACCACACGGCGACTTGTAAGCAGGTGTGCAACGGTGGATTGGCTGCGCAATGTCGAGCATCCCGAAACCACTACTCCGGTCCAGGAGACCCCTACGCAGATCGTCACAGCTACGATCGACACCGTCCTCGATGACGGGTTACAGCAAGACTCGCCCGTTGATATGGACCCGATTCATGTCACGCGCACACTTTCCCATACCAGCACGAACCCCGATTCACCCGGCACGGCATCGCCCACAAGAATGGACTCTCTAGACTCGCGTGGCTCGTCCGAGGCACCCGATTCTCGACGAAAACTCAGCACCATTCACCGACTCGGCATGCAGCTGGAGCCCGCATCAGCATCCGCACTCAGTGTACAAGCCGTCGCGGCGCAGCACGAGAAGCCGGGCGTCATCACACCCAGCCGCAACGGTGGCCGCACCATTGACCTCGCTGCGGAAGCTCCCACCATCCGCCCTCCAAAGATAAAGCCCGAGCCACCCAAATCCCGACGGTGGCGAGGGCGTCGTCTCGCTGGTGATGAAGATGATCAGCACTCCGCCGGCACGAGTAGTGAACGCAACACCATCCCCGAAGGTGTCGAGGTCAGCCCGACATCACCGCACCCGGCGCCCACCACGCTAACCCCGACAAATCCTTCCGCTATTGTTAATGCTACTACGGCCGGCGCGTCCACAGACCGGCGTAACTCTGCAACCACCTCCCATCTCGTACCGCCAATTCCAGGGCACGCGCGACGCTCGGCTTCGAATCCACCCCCAGCTCTCCCTCCACCCCGTCGCTCGACGGGAACAACTCCATCGACGGGAACAACTCCAGCAACGGGAACAACTCCAGCAACGGGAACGACTCCAGCAACGGGGACAACTCCAACAACAGGAAACACTCCGTCAACAAGCCACCACCGGCCCGTACCAGTCTCGATAGCATCTAGCCCCAGTCCAGTTTCTGGGTCTAGTACCGGCATCACCGTCAACAAGCACGGTCAGAAACCTGCACCCCCCAAAACACGCCGCTGGGGCCGCGGCAAGGCGCAGGCGCATGCACACACAGACTCCGTCGAGAGTGGAGTCAGTACGGGGTCACAAGCGAAAGAGAGCGATTCGGAGGCCGTGGCTTTGGCTGTGAGTAGCACCATAGATGTGCAGGCTGCCAACGAGGATGGCGGAACATTGTCTGATCCGTTCTCGCCGACGAGTCCCACCAGCCCGACGTTACTTGTCTCAGCGCCGGATGGAAAGGGCGCGGCGCAGCCGGTGAGTGTTGAAGAGGCAGTGCAGAATGTTTCCTTGCATTAAGTGTGAAAGGTATCAGCTGGACGTGAGAAGGTGGGATTGGAGGAATGAAGATATGCATACGTGAATATCCATGTATCTTGCATTCAATATGACTTTATTGGGTTACAGTATTATCACAGTACTATGCGCATGAATCTGTGAGAAAGTAGAGGATCGATCACTCAGCATTGGAGTATCGAAGATATATAAATGATAGTATACAAGTAGCACGGGGTCCATAGTCCAGTCTGACTCGAGTCCACTGCAGTACGCAAAGCGCGACTCGAGGCAGACAGGAAATGTCTAACAGGCATGCCCTGCACCATACTCTCCCAATCAACAAAAAGATTAAAAATACAAAACGCCCTCCATCAAAGAGTCACGTCAACAATACAGTACAACCCTCCAAGAATCCATCTCAAATCTTCAACCCCCAACTCCTCCCAACCCCAACGGCCGTATTTCCCCAAAACCCAACCCAAGAACTCACCCCCTCGACCTTCTCCCTCAACACCTCCTTATCCGCAAACCTCCTCTCCACAAACGCCTCCGTCTCGACCAGATCCGGACTCGGGTCACGCGTCATAACGACCTCGGCACTGGCATAGATAGCTCCCAGCGCCATACGGCGCGCATACCATGTTGCATCGACGGCGGCGTCACCGGCCAAAGTGAGGATATCGTTCGACAGGGCGTGGAGCTCGAGGAGGGAGAGGGGGATATTTCCGAGCAGGGACATTTGGGCGAGGGCCTGGTGGAAGTAACGGTTAGAATGATTAGTATGCGGGTGCAAGACGACGAGATTCCAACGGAGAAAAGAAGGGAGGGGGAGGGGGGGATATAACGTACATCCTGCCAAACTTCCCTGATTTCTCCATTCATCCTCAGTCTTTCCAAAACTAGGAGCTTGACCTTCTCGTCCACGCTTAAACCCTCTCCGGCCCCGAAGATACTACCGTCTTCAACCCTGCCTCTCAGCAGACCCCTCCGACTCGCCAGCCAGAACAGGATAAGGTCGAATTCACCCCTCGGGAGCAGTTGCACCGAGACATCCAGGAAACCCGCGTCCTGGGCACCGCGGGTTAATGCCGCAGTCGTGAAGCCGTGGGTTGGGATGTGTGGGAGGGAGGCGGTCAGGATGGCGGTTTGGCTGTTTGTGTATTCGTGGGGTGGGAGGCGGGGGTGTAAGGGGGAGTGGTAGGCGCGAATGTGGATTGAAGGGGTTGTTGTTGGTGGTGGTGGTGGTGGTGTGGTCTTGAAGGGTTGGTTGGTGAGTGATGGAGATGTCGATGGTCGGTGGTGGACTGTGTGGAAGGGGCGCATTGGGCGGATGGATTGGATGGTGGAGAGGGCCCGTCGAGGAGCTGGGAGGCGAGGGAGTGATGCCATTGCGACAGTTATTTTAGGCGTAGCAGTCGAATGTAATTGTCAGTGGTGAGGTTAAGGAAAGAAGTTACGGAAGATCAAAGTGGAGAAAAGTAAAGTTGCGGTTACTCGGATCTCCCGCACGTGCAGGACTTCAACAAAGCACAGACATTTTTCCATTCTAAAAACCGCAGATCGATATACCCTTGTGGCAAGGGACATGACATGAGAATAAGGGAATCATGGCCAAAAAGGCGACAAAAAGAAGAATGGAAGAAAAGTAATCTCAACGCGGAATTAAAAACGTCCCAAAGGCCAAAGGGCCCAGAAAGAGAAAAGACAACAGATTACATGATCTGATCCTGGGTGATGTGGTGGTCCGTTGGCTCGGCTCCCTCCATCATGTCCGCAGGTGCGCCGCCGACATTCAGATACTTGACAAAGGTAATGCCCAGAGGACGACCTCCGTACTGGTAGCCAGTGAACTTGGCTGGAAGACAGAAGATAGTTAGTACACGATGATCATGACAAATTAAAAATCACCACCCAAGAGGGCAATAAACTCACCAATCGCAGTCTCTGCAGTGTCGGGGCTGTCGAATTCAACAACGCCAGTGCCACGGGAGCGGCCATTAGGCTCGTACTGAATCTCGGCACGATCGACCTTACCGATCGTCGAGAACAGATCGATCAAGTCCTCGTTGCAAGTAGACCAGGGCAGCTATCATCCGAGTCAACATCCCAAATACGCAGATAGACATGCAAACATAGCACACTAGGGAATACTTACGTTACGAACGTAGATGACAGCGCTCTTGTCACCCCCAGAGGTCGCAAAGTCGGTGAAAGGGTTCGGGGGAACCGAGGCAACGGGGTTATCAAAACCACCGCCGCCAAAGCCACCACCAGGAGCACCACCGGGAGGACCCCCAGCGAATCCACCGCGACCGCCAAAGCCGCCGCCGAATCCGCCGCGACCACCAAAGCCACCGCGGCCACCTCCAGGGAAGCCACCGCGGCCGCCAAAGCCGCCGCCGAATCCACCACGGCCACCGAAACCGGGGCCACCGCCAGCGAAGCGGTCCTCACGAACCTCCAGAGGACGACCCTGCCATTCGTAGCCGTTGAACTGCGCAATGGCGTTGCGCGCATCGTCCGGAGACTCAAAGGCCACGATACCGGAACCCTTGGGACGACCGGTTGGGTCGGTGTGCACATCGGCACGGATAACGGCACCCTGCTGGGCTGTAAAGGGAAGTTCGAGTCAATTGGCCAAACACTTACAAAGGGGAAAAATGAAAGAAGACAAGACAATGACTCGGAGAGCAGGTCATTGTCAATTGACTTCCGAACACATGCTGCACTTACCAGCTTGGCGGAACAGATCCTTCAAGTCTTGCCAGCCAACATTGAATGGTAGCTAATAGGATTCTGTCAATACGGTCCTGGCTCACAACGATATCTTAGCACCACAAGGGGAACATTGGGGACTACAAACGTTCGACACATAGAGTTGACGGCCACCACCACCACCCCCACCACCGGGGGCGCCGCCAAATCCACCTCCGAAGCCACCGCGGCCACCACCGCCAAAGTCGCCGCGGGGAGGACCACCGATAAAACGAGGTTCGGCCTCACGATCCTGCGATTGAAACGAATCAGTGCGTGCCCCCCTGGAACCAGTCCCTTCTCCAGAAATGATATCGACATACTTCGCGGACGTAAACGAGGCGGCCCATCAAATTTTGGTTGCTAAGCGTGTTGACTGCGTTTTGTGCTTGCTCCCTCGTAGCGTATTCCACAATCCTGTCACGGTGTTAGTCGTCGTCTTTCCGGTTTGAAATCGCCATGCGCAAAACTTACCCGCATCCCTACAATGTCGGACAACCAGGCCCAGCCCGTCAACCCAACAGTCCATGCAAAGAAACCAGAAGAAAAAAAAACCACGAAAAATCAGGGAGTAGAAAAGGAACCAGCCACTCTACGCATTGGCGCCCACCTTCGACATTCCATTCGGAAGAAGTAAAACATCGGCAAAGAGAACTTCTCCAGCTGTAAGATGAGAGAAAACCACCAGGATCATCGGTCAGCCATTTATCCTGCTTTCACACGGCGCATAAAACACCGCTATGATCGGCACCACCAGCACCATCACGTCCATCATTGCTTACCCTGTCGCATAAAATCTTTCAAGTGGTGCCATTTCACATCGTATGAAAGGTTGCCGACATAGACCCGGCGGTCTTGTTGAGACGAGTCGCGGACGGATTGCATCATATTTTCTTTGGCGGCAGAACGATCCTCAGTGTGTCGGCCCGGCGCGTAACTACTGCGTCCACCGTAGGGAGAGCCCGACGGTCCAGCAGCACCAGAAGCACTCAGCGGAGAACGAGAACGACGATCGCGATCACTGCGACGGTAATCGTCACGGCTACGAGAGCGACTGCGCGGTGAGTACGAGCGACGGGTTCGTCGGGGACTGCGAGAAGGACGGCGACGGGGCGAACGAGATCTCTCGCGCTGCTGCATACGGTCAGAGTCGGGATAACCGTAGTCAGGGTATTGAGAAGACATCGAGGCGACGGAGAGGGAGAAGGCCGAGAAGGGCGGAGCAAAGATTGCACGAGTGAGGTGACGAATGACGAAACAGGGAAGAAGAAGATGATCAATGACCAGGGTGAGTGGGGACAAAAGCAGAGAGGTATGTGTTGGATGGAATTGAGGCGCAGCCGAGACAAGGCAGGAGAGGGACCCGGGGAGAAGAGCGCGTGAGATCGGGGCGGAGGAGTCAGGTCAGGTGACCGTGACTGTATAAGCTGAGGGCCCATTCGAGGACCCTCAGAGAGGAATGGGGGCTTGGGGGCACTGCCGTTCGGGTTTGTGCACGCAGTACACGGAAGGCGGTTTGCAACATCCAGAAGGAGCAAACCAAACGCAATTGCTCTTGCCGGGCTCTGACGTTCTCCCCGATGATGCGGCGCAACTGAATCATGATGATAGACTTGGGATATCGAGGTGTCCGCCCCCGCACTGACCACGATAGTGGACGACGGGTCGCGGCCCAGGAGCGGCGCATCGCGCATTCCGCGATAGAACTTGTGATTGCAACGGAAAAGTAGGCAAGGGAAGAGAGAAGCCGTGGTACTTACTTGATAGGGTCGATAGACGTCCGCTGTTTAAAGAATCAAACGGAAACAGGATTAGCAGGAAAGACAAGGACGATCAGGGGAAAGGAAGAAGAGAGAAGAAGGAGGAGGGGGGGAGGAAGGGAAGACAAAAGGACCAATTCGTTGGGAGGGGGACGAGCGGTGATTGGAGGGAGTGTTTCAATGGGAAGGAAAAAGGGAAGGGGGGGAAAGCAAAGCTGAGAATGTACCAGCCAGAAACCCAAGGGACTGCGAGAGAGGGACGGGTAAACAGGCCGGGGGGGTGACTGGGCACTGGGCACTGGGTAGACTGGGACTGGAACTGGAACACGAGTAATTCCAGTATTACGCCGCATATACTGCTGACTGGCAGTGAGACCTACCCATAATTTCAAGCTCGGAGCTGGTGGTACAGCGCTGCTGATCGATCGTTGCGAAGGGGGAAGGAGGAGAGGTGGAAGAAAAAGGAAAGAGAAGAAGATGCCAAGGAGGAGGAGAAGAAGGAGGAGAAGGAGAAGAAGGCGGAGGAAGGAAAAGACGAGGTGGACGGAGAGGCGGGTTGAGGTCGTTTGGAGGGTGAGTGTTTGGAGATGTGGCAGGCAGATTGACAGGTTATCCCCGTTGGTTTCTGATACTCGTGGATTTGGCCCCCACCGCCCGCTGCTCCGGGAGCTTGGCCGAGGATATTCTAACAATTCGAGTGAAACCAATAAACTACGAACCAGTAATACTAGAGCGGGAGAGAAAGAGAGCGCAACGTGAGAGTACGAGCAGCGTATCAGATATTGAGATAGCCTCGTAACTCTTGAACTAGCAGCATTTCACTCGGTTGTGTTGACCCCTAAGACAAGATAGCATAGTATGTATATGCGGAGATCGACTATCGTAGTATAAGTTATTACTACACGATGACACCCACCCCCCGCCCACAGGTCACCAGTAGATACTGTCAGGTATCTATACGGTATAAATATACTCCGTACGAAATAAATACCCATGGATGTACTACTGTATGCTTGGAATGTACGGCAATCCAGTCCTGCACGGTCTAGCCCGTATCACCGATCCTGCAGCCAACCACCGGTCCAGGCCTCGGGAAAGTACAGAACTACACGTACTCCTCTACCCACAGCCACACATGCACGTCTACCTACTGATGATAAAAGTCAACTTTACTATCATCGAAGAACCAATTCGAGGCACGGATGGTATACTAAACTCTACTCCACAGCTCTTACACGCATCAACAGCCCAAAAACATCTATGAGATCAGACTAAACCGTTTTCATTTCCTCACTCGAAAATAGACAGGGGAACAAAAAGTCAAACGATGCCAAAAAAAAAAAAAGATCACAGATCGAGAGAGAAGAAACGAATGCCTGGATGCTCTGCATCCCCGGGGAATCACGAATCGAACGAGCCCCGGTTAACCGCGCGCCTGTAACACCCGAACCGAACGCCTACGGCGGAAAGGGGAATCGGATCTAAAACCGGGGCCTGGGGCGCCGGGGTGTTCTCAAAAAATAAACCCCCACCAGAACGAATGAGACCCAAAACGCCCAAAGAAAGTCTAGGACGCATTGTGGTGTATGAGAGAGAGAGGGAAGGGGGAATGTGGACAGGTAGTGCTGGGGGAAAGGGAATTGATACATGTACAAGTGGACACTCGGGCCCGGAAACTGGAAAAGCATGGGGAAAGAGCATACTTGGAGAGTGACGATAGGAACAAAAGAAAAGAAAAGGAAATGTAAAAGGAAAGTGAGATAATTAAACAGGACGGAGATCATGCGGCCACGTTGGTTGGTGGATAGCGGCCGGGAATCTTCATGTCGATGGCCATGACGCTGTCTCGCTTGGGCAGGCTCAAGTCGGGAACTGCTTTGGCCGAGCCAGCGGCACCGTAGCCATCCTCATGATTTGGGGCAGGCAAGGAACCGCTGGCAACGGCTGCGCCATTCTTGAAAAACTGGGGCGTCTCATCGACCGAGGTGGCCATCGTATTGTTGGTGTAGTCGGTGCCGTTGGTATTGGTCGGCACCGTAGACACGCTCTCCCGACGAGCAACTTGCGGCGGCGCAGAAGATTCACGGCGGTCCGCACCCTCTAAGACACCAGACATGGCCGCCACGGAGTTGTGGTCTCCGTCCGAGCGGATTTCGCGGGCGTCCGTGTTCGCAGCTTCGGGCAATTGGCTCTTCTTCTGCTGGGCCACGATGGCAGTCGGGCCGATCCAATCCCCGTAGTAACTGTCATGGCGATTCAGCCGGGACCGTGACCGGTCCATCTTGATCGAACCGTCATCATTGGTAGGCTGTGGGGATGCCGTGGCGGAATCGCGACCACCGTAAAATCGGGAAGGACCTGCAGCCCCGTCGCCTTCCGGAAGGACGCTGGCAGCAACAATCATGTCTCTGCCCACAGAGCTGTCACCGCTGGATGGGGATAGTGGCGCCTGGAGATGCCGGTCGATCTGGACGTCACTCGGAAAGGCCCCGCCGGGCTGGCGGGTGGCTGAGGTGGGCCGTTCCTGGCCCAGAACCACGGACTCGGCGGAATACGGGGTCTGATCGGCCTCGTCATCCTCCAACACCTCGCTGTTGGTCGAGCGACCACTCACGCTCCGCACGTGTCGACGCACAAAAGCATTGCGCGCTTCACCAGTCTTGTTGCTCAGACTCTCGATGTCCTCATACCAAGACATCATAGTTTCGTGGGACTCGGCACGGAACACCCACGAATGGCCGCGATGCATCGCACCAGTCTGGCGGCCTTTCAACATGAACTTGTGGGAGCTGGAATCCCCTTGCGAATGAGAGCCCAGTTTTTGCTCCGGCAGATACAACGACATGACCGGAGTCTGCCACTCCACGCGGTCGGCCGACTTGAACTCGTGCAGATGCGTCGGCGATAGCACGTACCAACCGGGAGTATAGCTTTTCAGGTACTTGCTCTTGCGCTCCAGCATACCAGCGCGCACCTCGGCTGCTGCCGGATGATCCTTGCCGTCGTAGGTGATGTTCTCCACGTTTCGCAGCGGGATACGGGGGTCGACCAGTTCATCGGTGCTGGCGACAAAGGCATTCCACTCATGATCTTGTGGCATCGAAATCGGACCCGCACGAAGCTTCTCCACCGTGTCGTAAGCTTCGTCAGCTTCCCTCTTAAGGATGCTGGCGTAGGCGTTGTAGGCCTTCTGGATCTCACTGACGACGATCGATTCGAGCTCGCGGCCGGAGTTTTCCAGATTCAAATAAGCCTGTAGAAGAAAGAGACAAGATTAATTATTCCGAGTCCAACCGGCGCAGTTAAATAATGTGATGGTACAACGAACCCGATGGAGATAATTTTCTTCCTCAATCTGTTTTTCGACTTGTCGCTCAACATTCAGGCGCATCAAGAACGGATCGCCTTTACCAGAGGTGGCGGAGGGATCGGTATCCACCAGGCCTAGCGACTCATGCAGATTGTGTACGGCCTTGCGAGTGCCGTCAATTTCCTTCTCCACGGTGTTCTTAAAATCACCCGAGAGATTTTTGATCTCCTTGGTCTTCTTCTGGAGATCGCTTCGGAGACCAGTCAACTGGCTGATTACCTCAATCTCCACCTCCACGGCCTTATTAGCCTCGGTATATCCCTGGCGGTGGAAATGTTGGAGAATCTCGGTCGCATCGGCGAGGCCGCCAGATTGTAGGAAGGAGGGAAGAGCAACCTGGTTGTTCATCACATGGGAGGCGGATAAGAAGAGCTTCGATCTGGTTTCGTAGGACTTTTGTACCTCCTTAAAGAAGATGATAAGATCCTTGAGGATCTTGCGCCAGGCTACGGAAAGAGAAGAGGTAAATCAGTAAGCTTCACATAGCACAAAGAGATTGCAGATATGTCCGGGTGTGAGAACCTACCTTGAAAGCGGTTCGCCAACACCTCCGTCGGGTTGCCCGTGGTCGGGATGGGAACCATGAATGCACTATTCGCACCCTCTATTCCATCGGAGTGGTATTTTTCGCGATCACCCAAGCTGAGGCTTCGCACACTGCCCGCGCGCATGGAGCGGCGACTTCCATTACGCCGCAAACTACCTTTCTTGCTCAGGGAAGCCTTCTTACGGAGTGTGCCTGAACGCGACGACGGACCGGGGGACATGAGCGAGGCTGAGCGCTGCACCCCAGTACCGCCTCCGGAGGGACCGTCGAGCAAGACCGAGCTGCGGCGACTGGCAGTCTCAAAGTCCTCCTTGAAGCGTGGGTTATGGGCAGGTTGGGACGACTGGTCGAGATTATTGTAGTGGAAGGCCGAGCCGGGGCCGGCATAGGAGCTGGGGCGCGATGAGGAGGAGCGAACGGTGCTGTATCCGCGGATCAGGGCCCCTGTCTCGTTTGGATGCGGAATCGAGTATGCATCCTGCACGGGGGTCTGTGGCCGCGCGGCCATCGCCATGACGGGAACGTGGTGAATTGAGGCGGAGGCAAAGAGGTCGGAGAGTTCGCAGATGCAGACGTTCGCGGGGAATCAAAAAGCAGTGAAAGGGGGGGGATGGGAATACGGAAGAGAAAAGGAGATAAGGGGAATTCAGGAATCGGAGATTTCAAGTAAGGGAATTAATGAGTCTTGCGCGTAGCCTGTTCGGGAGATCTTTTTAAGGCCCTTGGATTGCCTTCGAGGAAGAGGGGGGTGGGAACTGGTTACCCAGCGACCGGCGAGGCTAAGGCTTAGGCCGTTTTGCGGGGAGTTTGTCGAACAGGCTTGACGACGGGAGATCGATTTCACTCGCCCCACACAACTATCGAGGTCGTCCAAGTCGTGCAGAATAAGGAGGGGGAGAAGATCAAGATGAAAGTGAGAAATGATGCGAGATTTGAAATGCTCGAATTGGATAGCAAAAAGAAGTCCCGGGCGTGCCGATCGATCGCCAGAGCATGGAAAAAGATGGTGTGGAAATGACGTCTACGAGGAGAGGGGATGCGATCGAGTGATGACGACCGGGAAACCCCTACCCACCCCCCCTTGTGGCCAAGGCCGCCGTATCAACGAGTACCCAGTTTTGCAGTCACCGTGGCAGCCAGTTACAACTCGACTAGATTTGTTGTACTATCGCACGACTCGGTCACTACTTGGTCCTGCATTTTCGGGAGGCCCGGCTACCGATTGGGAGGGAAAAAGTGATACCTGAAAGCTAATTCGCATGAACCACGATAGTTGACGTCGAGGACCTGCGCTGACGGAAATCATGACCGATTAGGTGAAGATGCTCGTCCTCGCGTCTGATCTCCTCCGGTTCGGACTGTATCCTGCATCTGCATTTCTGCATGACTCCGATGACAAGGGGAGAAAGTGGATACTCTCATCTACCGCCACGAACTATGTCATGTTACTGAACAACTCCACTACTCCCCAGTACATATTTCGTATGTGATTCGTTTTGCTGCTGGAATTCTGTCTCGATGAACCTCTCCCCAGAGTCTGCAAATGTTGGAATTGGAATGTCAGTGAGATCGGTTTGTGTAAATTGAGCCAGACAAACTTTGATATAAGCTAAGATGCCCTCAATGCGTCTGATCGTTTAGCGGGATGGACTTGATAGAGATCAGTTAACGTTACCCCGGTCATGCATGGCATTACCCCTTGCCGATCTGTCATCTGCATGAATTTCGATGGTCAAGGTACTAAGAATGACATAGATGAAGAACGAGACGACATCTATATACCTTCAGGTTAAGTCCCCGACGAGAAACAAGCAGTACATATGTTTATATGCCTTCAGCTGCTCCATATGTATCTGTGTAAATGAGTCCATCTCTGCACGTATTTTGTCGTCAAGCAACTCGACCCCCCTACCCTCATTGTGTAAGGCAGCTCAATAGATGGTATCCATATCGGAGCTCTTCCTAGCTGCATCGTCGAACCAGAATCGCCCAGTCCTCCATGGATTGCGCCCATGGAGCGCGCATTCGAGCAGACAGAGACGGTTCACCGGGTTGCCCTCCCTTCAATGGCGTTTCGCTACGACTCGTTCCGACGCTCGCAAAAGTTGCTCCCTTCGAGGCTCATACAGGATCAAGACTTCTTCCATCGGGCATCGCTCAAGCTGGTACACTTCCGGACTCGAGAGCAACAACCGCCAGGGCGGGTCATATATGTACTCGGCCGGCATGGTACTCGTAAATTCTAAATCGAGTACGGCAGTGATCTGGAGTATCTCCGGATCGATAAATATATTCGAGTGCAGAAAGTCGACGCGGAAAGGTATAAATGGCTCGTCGTCCTTAGCACAGTCCTTTGAAATCAACTGCGCAAACCAATGACGGGCACCAATCCTTGGTAACTTTTGGTCGAGAAAGATGGAACATGTAATGTGCGATTTGATTACAGACTTTATCTAGTTTTGGGTTAAGGACCAGATCTTTTTAATCTGATTGCTTTAAGATTGTCGATGAAAGCGTGACGTTGACATAATCTATGATGATGAATGGACCGAGTTGCGGACTGTGGACTTTCAGCCATCAAGCCCGAGCAAAGGACAACGAGGAGTAGGAATAGCAGTGTCGTGACGGAGTTTCCCGTTGAGGCATCAGAGAAACTGGAGAGGGATACAAAGGTGGTGGTGAGAAGGTACCGGCTTGGCAGGGTAAAGATAAGCGGTTACATAGTACTCCGCACCTTTGATTGGTTTCTCTACTTTCAGCGTGGTCAAACTTGGGCACTATAGGACTTTCTGTCTATGATTGTCTATGATAAAGAACACAGCTAACTATGGAATTAAAAGTGAGGATTGAGGAACTCCAGGCCGCGAGCATCTTTCCAATTAGCTCATGCTCCGAAGCTCTTGGCATTGATACTCTCCGTAACTCCACAGATACTGTATACTTACTTCACCCACAGAAGGCTGACGAACCATTCAATGTTATTCTTCAGCCTGGATGGTCAACGTGGCTGAGTCAGCTGACGAAGGTGGCTCCGCCATGCTGAGGCGCTTAAGTAAATGTTGTAGCTTACAGGCCCTGGAAGGATAGAAAAGCTAAATGAACTTAAGTTCAGACGAGCACGATCCGCGCGATCTGTGGCTCAGCGGCGTCAGTGGCCCATCATTTCTGTAGAAGAGAATAGTGTAGAAAAGGGGGGAGATACTCGATTGGTTACTCCCTCCTGATCTGCCATGGCATGACGTCCGGGTCTAATCACAGAGGAGAGCGGAATTAAAGCTTGCTGGACGACGTATTTGCCCCTTGCTGAGGACTTGATCTCCGTACCGAGTTTGACCCCCTGGTGCAGGCTAACCTTTGCAACGAAGGCCACGCTGCCATCGTGATCGATCTTGATCGCTGGAGACTGATACTTGGGAGACACTCGGCAGTTGCGGGAAGATAAATTAGCCACAGTAGACAGTAACCGGTTGAGCTTCACGCTAATCTCGAGTCCGAGCCAAACGGACGTCTCTTTACGGTCTTAACCGGCTGGTTGACAGCCCAATGACTGGTCAGTAAGAAGTCTGTAATATCAAGATCGACATAGTCTACAGGAAGAGACCAAGTTGGATAAGATCCTGGTTTGAAACTCCTGGTTTCGAATGTCATACAGAGCTCGAGAGTTTTAAGATCGTTGATCATGCCCAAAGCTAACTTGCTGCAGGCATGCTGAGAAAATGATGCATCTGGACGCATTGCGTGAGTAGCATGTCGACCGTCGAGGGTGGGTTTGATATGGCTCCGTCGTCATTGGCCGCCTTGTCCATCTTCCCCTCCACCACTCCACGACCACCAAGCTCGATCGCATAGCCGCCCACGCGAGCTTATTCAAGACTGCCGGAAGAATCGGACGTGCGAGACGTGCGAGATGTACAAAGGCTCTACTTTGGATTTCTCCAATGGGTCTTATCTCTCTAGAATGGCTGGCCAATCACCGTTCCGGGGAAATTGCACAGTCGGCCAACCCCTCTTTCTACCCACACAGATATATGAACAGCTCTACGTCACTCAGTCTCACGAATAAGAAATTGGTTTCGGATTGCTGTATCCTGCATGCTAAGGCAACATGACGAAAAGTGGGTAATTTACACAACGAGACTGGGGTAAAAGGAGGAAGATATTGGAGGAAAGAACGGATAGGCTTTTATGATGCGGGGACTGGGGATCTGGGGACCTCAATGCCGTATGCCTCCTTGATGCGCTCTGCGCGGCGCTCCTCGTAGTTGGGACCGTAGATGCCTGTAATACGAAATTAGCATTGTTCAATTCCGGTACTCCCACAGAACGATGGTGTCAGATGGGTATTGATGAAAACGTACCGCGGCCTTCACCCAATTCAGCAAAGGTCTGCTCGGCCGGGGTCTGGAAAGCCTTGCGCAGCTTCGTCCGGCGGTCGAACTCATCCTCAGTCTTGTTCTTGCTGTATCCGAAGAGGGAGCCACCGGTGTAATCGAACGCGTACAGGCCGGTCGAGAGGGCCACGCCGTATCCCAGAACGGCGGGAAGGGAGCGGGCTAGGAACTGGTCAGTATTCCACACGGTCGACCCAATTGCGATTCTATATTCATGCGTGTTCGTGACTGACCTCGAAGACCCAGGATCGCACCGGAGAAGAAACCACCAATGGCAGTGTTCAAAGGGTCCTGCTTCTCACGGAGGTTGGCTGAGGCGGTCTTGGCGAACTCATAGGTACCACCCATTGCGGCTAAAAGAGCGATTGTATTAGCATTGGCAACCTGAGGAATCCATTCGACAAGGACTTTGTACCGAGGATAGTGATGGTGCCGCCGCTGCGCATGAAGATACCCAGAGGGCCGACGTTCTGCCTGACCAGGGTGTTCTGCACAGCCGAGGCAAACAGACCAATACCACCAGTCATCATGGTGGTTTTGATGGCTGCTGAGACAGCATCCTGGGGGTGATAGTGGTGGTCCTCTTCGTGGTTCGCCATGGTATCGCGGGGAGGGATGAGCTGCGAATGGACTTGGAGGCGGACGGAGGTGTGGTCGAGTTGGGATTTCGGGAATGCATTTTGCTACAACAGACCGCCTAATACACCGCCTTGGTGATATGGCAATCAACCCATGGAGCTGTAGCTGTATTGGCTCTTCTGCTTCAGAGTCACAGCAAAGCAACCTTCTTTTTTTTTTTTTTCCAAATCTCATTGCATTGCTGGCCTATAGACTTGTTGTCCTCGATTCGGACGTTCATATAGATATATTCTGTCAGGCTGCCGCTGCCTCGTCTCCAACATCCGTTGCAAGCTTACCGCCCGCTGCTGCCCAGTGCGGTGGGCTCCCCGCTGTCTCTCCGCTAGCCACTCCCCATCGACGAGACACCGTTCCATCGCGGGGAGCCAAAGTTATTTGCTGGATCCGTATGGGTGACTTGATTCTGGGAGTTCCCGAGTCTCTTCCATCTGTGAAAGAGCAACTTTTGCGTTGCGCGGTGCTGCGTCGATAAATCAATCATCATGGTGCCTCCACAGCGGCCAGGTTGGTATATAAAGGGGAAGCAAAGCTTCCTATGATTGTGTTCTTGTAGGATAAGCTGCTGACATGTCTTCTTATTGCAATGAATAGGCAAGACCGCTCCCCGGTTGGCGGAGGACATTCGGCTATACGATCCTGTGCATCTTCCAGGTACTGGCCTCAACCTATTGTCACAGGTACCACCGGTACACCCAGAGGATAGCGACAAGACCTCTGACTTTGTCTCGCCTCATGCTTGTCGACACACATATGTAACCAAGGAGAACCAAACATACCTGGCAAAGGCCGAGCAAAAACGAAGGCCGGGAACATCGTCAAAGCTATCGGCTATCTGCTCGAAATGTCGCTACCACTTGCAGGTGGTAGTGAATTACACCACCGGTGGCAATGCATTCGCTCTGGCTAAGCCGACAGATCACTTGCACCACCTTGTGTACAAATCGGGTAGACAGCAGGGTAGTCAAATGGCGGAAGAGGTGACTGAGAAAGGGCAGGTGGTAGAGACCTACCATTACCAGTGCTCACATCTCTCTTGCTCAGCAATGGTCTCACTCCGAATTATGTCGCCTCTTATCACTCTGCATCGTTTGGAGCTACTGAGTAATCCGGGTTTGATTCGTGAACGAGCAGAAGAAGCAATTGCGGCTCAACCAGAGCGACTCGAGGGCATGGCCATTCCGGCGCCTGTCACCGTCTTGGATAACCTGCGCCTTTACCTCCACAACGCTCTTCACACCCATGAGCGTAGTAAGGCAATTTCGTCCGCTAATAAGAGGTTCATGCTATCGTTCGGACTTGAGGGAACCGCATGTAAAGACGTCTTGGAATTCTTGGGGTTTTCGTATGACGCTGTTGGTACCTCTCTTATATCCTTCACGTTGCCCATTTCACTAAGTGTTTCCATAGGAAGCTGGGAGCTGGCAGCCACCGTGCCCCAACCCTTGGACAGCAAAGCCCTACCAGGACGCAGAGCGGGTCTTCCTCGACGACATCATCCACGAACTACTTTGCTTGTTACATCAGAGACCCGCTTCAGAAAAAAGAGGTGTCAACTTCCCCGTACTTCCCCCCTTGTCAACAAATGACCTCTCTTATGCACTGGAGGCCGACGATTGTACGTTCCCCCCGTCAACCCTAAGGCATCCCGAAACTCACGCCTGGTTTAGATCCGAAAGCTGCACGTGCCCACGAATTTGCGATGCCGCCTGCTCCGTAAGTATCCCTCATTTACGTTTCCATGCTTTGTTTGTGAGCAGTGAGGATTACTTATTCCCTGCTTTTCATCTAGGTTCTATGAGGATCTCGGTGTCACCGAGGACATGGCAGCCTCGGCGATTATTGAAGCATACAATCGACAAGTTTCGCTTGACCCGGGACGAGCGCCGCTGTATTTGCAATGTCTGAAAGCGATTGCCACACTGCGAGGTGGAGAAGACTATGAGATTATCGAGCCGGCTGTAGCACTCGCTTACTCCGAAGGCAAATACACGGATGATGATCTTGTTGACTCGTACAGATACTTTGGGCTGTGGTATAATGATTACAGTCTAGATGCGGATGCCATCATTGGAAAATTCTACGCTTATCTCAGTTCGACTTCGCCAGAGAGAGAGAACGAGACCCGCCGGCACCTGTGGCGAATTGGTGCTAGCAGAAGCAGTGAGCGCATCAAGGCCGTTTCTGAAGCCCGAGTCTCCACTGTTGAGCAGGCCCAAGTGTTCTTGGGTGTCGAGGATAACACTCCGGATGATTTCATCATCACCATGTACACTACAAAAATCAACGATAATCCGTCATGCAAAGAACTCGCCAATCGCGCTCTCAAGCTTATCGCCGAAAGCCGCAATTCCAATATGCTGAATCACTACCGGGCCACCGGGGAGACTCTTGCAGCAGAAATGGATATCGGCGACGCCTACCGCTTGCTGCAGATTCCAGATCGCACTGCCGATGACGGCGCCATCATGGCAGCCTACACGATCTGCGTCGACGAGAACCCAGACCAAGCCGAGGTCTACAACCGCGCTTTGACGATTATTGCGAAAAATATGGATAGTCCGATGTTGCGTAACATGGCTGGTATCTCGAGCGAGCCAGATCGCAACCTGTTGGAATGGCCGGTCGGTCTGCAGAATATCGGCAACACATGCTATCTGAACAGTCTTCTCCAGTTCTATTTCTCAGTTCGTCCATTTCGCGACATGGTCATGCATTTTGAGAAATATCAAATGGATGTGAATGACGAATCGAGTATGGCTCGAAAGCAGGTCGGCTCACGCAAAGTGGCCAAGAAGGAAGTAGAGCGGTCACTCAAATGTAAGTTCGCTGGTTGTCATTTCTCAACCCTTTGAAAATGTAAAGCTAAATATTTGCAGTTCTTGGTGAGCTCCGCGGTTTATTTGACAGTATGATCACGTCGACACAGTCTTCGGTCACTCCCGGCCAAGAGCTGGCTCGTCTGACTTTGATCAGCCCGGGAGGCGAAGCTGCAATCCGTCGAAGGTCAACCTTTTCGAAATCTCAGACGCTCGGCGACGTCGACGGAAGACCTATTTTGGGGCCTCTTGGACCTCCTCGCCCGATTGCTGAAGAGCAAAGCGAAGAGCAAATCGTTCCACAAAACGGAACACCGGTCTCAAAGGCCTCTAATCCCAGTGATATCGGCAGCGATGCTACACTCGTTTCGGAGGCAATTCCCATCGCAGCATCTGCGCAGGAGGATAGAACGGGTGGCCCACTTTCTCCGCCAGCATCAGATACCGATGGGGATGCATTCGAGAAAGCCCCCACCCCACTGTCTCCCGAACCTCCTGGCAACCCGCCACCGGTACCTCCACGTCCGATCCCGGAAGTCGATCGCCAGAAGCAGTTGATTGAAGAGGTGGAGATTGGTGCTCAGCAAGACGTCACGGAAGTGATCAACAATGTTCTCTTCCAGAGCCAGTGTGCTATTAAGCCGCTGAGAATTGACAGTGATGGGGAACAGGTCGATCAAATCAAAGAGTGAGTAAATTCAGACCCTTAATTGCACAATTTCGTGGAATTCGCTGACAATTATCAGCCTCTTCTATGGTCGAACCCGATCTTATATCACCACTGCTGGAGGTACCCGATCCAAAGAGGAACGGTGGTGCGATATCAAGGTCGATGTAGCGGGCGGGTCGCGTGATATCTACGCAGCCATTGATGGCGCGTTCGATGTGCAAAAGATCAGCGTTGAAAACGGAGAGGCTGAACAGTACGGAGCTATCACCACTATTCCTCCGATCCTGCAAATTCAGGTGCAGCGTGTTCAATTCGATCCGGTGAAGAAGAGCTCTTTCAAATCCACCCACCACCTGGACTTGCTGCAGAACATCTACCTTGACCGGTACATGGATACCACTAAGCCGGAGATTATGAATCGTCGCTATCAGTGTTGGGAATGGAAGAGCAAGCTCAAGTTGCTCGAAGCTCGTCGAGCGGAGCTGTTACGAAAGCAGGTATGGACCAGATTCGCTGACTAGCATTTGATCCCATAAACTCACGCTCTACGTAGGAGGATGATCATCTTGAGATGACTGAGCTTTTCCGTCACACTAAAACTGTACTTGAGGATGTTGCAGCTATTGAGGGCGATAGCAGTCTGGACATCAAAGCGGAGCTTCTCAATGAGCTTGACCAGCTCTGCCAAACCGTGCAAAGCGAGCTCCAATGTAAGAGCCATTCCCTTGGTGAGACTGACTTCTTGCAACATGCTAACCTCTCTTCCGCAGCCGTCGATCAAGACATCCAGAACATTCACGACATGCTTTCCAAGCAATTCTCCGAGTTCACCAAGCTTCCATACCGATTGTACGCCGTCTTCGTGCACCACGGTTCCGTCTCGTTTGGGCACTACTGGATCTACATCCACGACTTCCGCAAGGACGTCTGGCGCAAGTACAATGATGAATATGTGACCGAGGTCCAGAACCTGGACGAAATCTTCAAGAATACCGACACCAAAAACCCACCTACTCCCTACTTCCTCGTCTACATCAATGACACGATGAAAGATCGCCTCGTTGATCCTGTCTGTCGCGACATTCCCGAATGGCAGACTGACGCGGTGACTGAGGACACCGAGGAAATCACTGCTATGGAGGACATTCAGTCGCCAGGCATTACTGAAGATGTTGACATGGAACCACCATCCTATCAAGAAGCATCGACAGATCAGGCCACGTTGACCACCGAATCACCTTGGCCTACAGCCACGGAGGAGAAGCAGGCCTACCAACATTGACACTCTGAAGAAAGACGAATCGCAATGCTGGAAACTCGTACTGTTTGTTCCACGAAGACAGGAGGCTGCATTCCCCAAGGCGAGTATGTACGGCCTTTCCCGAACTTTCCACGCTGATACCCGTCGGCGATTTCACGGCGCTTCACTCCACCGTTCTATTCTTCCTTCCGTCTCATCCTGCCACACCCGTGCTATGTCTTTTGATATTCTTGCATGAGCGAGAGGAACAATTTCTGTCAGTGTACATAAGCAGAAGATACCATGAATGACCGATCATGTTGATGATATTTGTCGGGATCAATTCCGTAAGACCAGTAATCATAGTCTGAAGGGATTTTTTCCCCAACGTAATCGGATCCAACAGAGTAGAGCCCTAATCTCACATATGGTGATGTATACTTCGAAGGCGAATTCCAATCTTCAAGCTACGCCCTTCTGCGTTGGACTATCGGAAGGTTATCAAGGGATCGACTATTCTGGCTAAATCCCCGAGACTTGGCATGACTGATTGCCTTAGGCTACAACCTGAGTCAGCCCCCGGGCGGCCCGCGGATCGGAATCGGATCGGCTGTCACTTCGGCTGCTGTTTTCATCCAGGTCTGATTAGACCTTTGAGTCAAAATGATTGAAAAATGTAGAGCCGCAGTGTGCTCATCGTAGCTATGATAGTTTCCGATAGGTCAATTGCTTTTAAGTGCCCAATTGTATCGTTGTTGAGGCACACAGGGAAATTGGAGAGGCAAGGAAGGCTCCTGCGGGGAAATGTGGGCATGTCCGGGGAAGAGCGCAACACGAAGAACATCCGGCTGCCATTCCGCACTCACTGCCGCCGCCCGGGACTATAAGAGTAACCACCTGCCGGTGTCTCTTTCGACTCTGTATTGCTGCTGCCCTCCTTGCTGGTCTTAAATATTCCTCTCCCCTCCTCCCTCCACCTACACAGCATCTGTCATTCTCCAGTCATCCCGATCACAGCAATTCGCTATGCCTTCTCAAGTCGCAACATGCCTGCGCATGGCGCGGCAGTTCTCTGCTGATCCGGCCAAGGTACGTTTGAATAATTCAGTCAAAACTCCCACACAGATTCTGACGCCCTTTTGTTCTCTCTATATAGCACCAGCGCTTCCTAGCTCGCACCTTTTCCAGCAGCGTCCGCCGCGCTGCGATCAACAAGGTCTTTGCTTCCGCGGAGGAGGCCACCAAGGACCTGAAGTCCAACTCTACACTCCTGGCTGGTGGATTCGGACTCTGTGGTGTGCCGGATACTCTGATCAATGCGGTTCGGGCAAACTCTTCTATCCAAGGCTTGACCGTCGTCAGCAACAACGCCGGTGTCGACGGCTCCGGTCTCGGCCTGCTCCTGCAGTCCAAGCAGATTAAGAAAATGGTTGCCAGTTATGTCGGCGAGAACAAGACTTTTGAGCGCATGTATCTGACCGGCGAAATCGAGCTTGAGCTTACTCCCCAGGGTACTCTCGCTGAGCGCTGCCGCGCTGGTGGTGCTGGTATCCCTGCATTCTACACTCCGGCCGCCTTCGGCACCGTCGTTCAGACCGGTGACCTGCCTCTGCGCCACAACAGCGACGGCACTGTCGCCTTGTACAGCCAGCCTCGCGACACCAAGGTGTTCGATGGCAAGAGCTATATCATGGAGGAGGCGATCAAGGGTGACTATGCTTTTGTCAAGGCCTGGAAGGCCGATAAGCTGGGCAACTGCCAGTTCCGCAATGCTGCGGCCAACTTCAACGGTGCCATGGGTCGCAACGCCAAGGTGACCATCGTCGAGGCTGAGCACATTGTCGAGCCCGGCGAGATTGAGCCCGCCGCGATCCACCTGCCCGGTATCTATGTCAAGCGTGTGATCCAGAGCACTACGGAGAAGAAGATCGAGAAATACACCTTCGCCAAGGAGGAGGGTGCCGACACCTCGGCGCTGGGCAAGGGTGACACCGCCAGCAAGCGTGAGCGCATTGTCCGCCGCGCTGCGAAGGAATTCAAGAACGGCATGTATGCCAACCTGGGTATTGGTATGCCCATGCTCGCCCCCAACTTTGTCGACCCATCCGTCGAGGTGACCCTGCAATCTGAGAACGGTATCCTGGGCCTGGGACCCTACCCCAAGCAGGGCGAGGAGGACCCCGATCTCATCAATGCCGGCAAAGAGACCGTCACTCTCAACCCCGGCGCCTCCGTCTTCGGCAGCGACGAGTCCTTCGGCATGATTCGCTCTGGTCGTATTGATCTGACCATCCTGGGTGCCATGCAAGTTAGTGCCCATGGTGACTTGGCCAACTGGATGCTCCCCGGCAAGATCAAGGGCTTCGGTGGTGCCATGGATCTCGTGTCCAACCCGTCCGCTACTAAGGTCGTGGTCACCATGGAGCACACTGACAAGAAGGGTAACCCCAAGATCGTCAAGCAGTGCGAGTTCCCTCTTACTGGACCCTCCTGTGTCAGCCGTATTATCACCGATCTCTGCGTCTTTGACGTTGATTTCACCGAGGGTCTGACCCTGATTGAGATCGCTGACGGTGTGACCGTTGAGGAGGTTAAGGCCAAGACTGAGGCTCCCTTCAAGGTGGCCGAGGACCTTAAGCCTATGCTGTAAAATTCCGTTTCTCTGTCTCCGATATTCTTGCGTTTGTTGTCTTTTGACAGTTTGATTCTCCCGGAGCGTGCATTTTGGTTTCATTTGGGGTCATTGTATATATGAGATATGTTGTTATGGAGTTGGTCTACTATATAAATGTAAAAGCGAATTGACTCAACGCTTATTCTCCACAAACTCGATTCCTTGGAACCTCATGGATTCTCCAACTTCCCTAATGTAGACCTCAAAATTCTCAATTCTAAAAATTCATGTATTGGAGTAGTGATACAGTAAATGTCGCCCAAAACAGCACTTCAAGGATATTGATACATGCCATGCAAATCCGCCAGAAGAATTCCTCGAGTCCCTAAATACCACAGAGTCCCAAGAGAGGAGAGATAATATCCCCATTTTTGTACAAATAAAACCACCAACACCAAGCGATCGCAAGGCAATCACTGCAACCGCAACAATCCACCCAATCTCTTGCGCAAGCGCCCAAACCAATCCCGATTCGGCGCCTCCGCGAACTCCCGAATCAAATTATCATAGTGCTCGGGATCACTCGCCGGGTAGCGAATCTTTTGCGACAGGGGGTATTTGTTCGCGAAACGGTTTTCGAGGAGTGCGGATAGCGCGTTGACGGAGGACTCGGAGATCTTGGGGATGGCTTTGGGGGCCGGCGTGGAGGGAGACTTCGATGAGGTATTTGTGCTCTGATTCTGTCCTAGTTGGTGTTGAAGGAAGGTTTGGACTGAGACCGAGGCTGGACGAACGGCGTCTGAGGGCCAGTGTTGGAGGATGTGGGTGAGGCGACTTTGGAGAGAGCGCGGGTTGAGGGTCTGTAGCGTGGTATTTGTGAGATAGGGAGGCTTTCACGTTTGGGGTAATATGATTGTAATGGTCGCGTTAGAGATTGGAAGTATGATATGCATACCTGTGGCTTAGACATGGTGGATGGTAGAAGATTAGTTCAGAGTGATCAAACAGGTTATAACATGAAGCATCTCGAATCTCGAATTCCGGCGATCAGATCCAATGCCAAGCCCCGGTTGGTCAGCGAGGTTTCGCCTTCCCGGCCTGAGGCAACCACTCGACTTCTCCTGCCTGGGCCATTGAACCTTGGGATTCCCGGCGTTTCCACATCACCTCACGTCTCTCTGCTCTCTGTTCGTCCTTCTCTTCGTCCTGGTCCGTTTTCTCTTTTGTCATTTTCACATTCTCAGTCTTTCCTCTCCCCTCCCCCTATACTGCTCTCTCGCCCACTCCTTCCGCTCAGCTCGTCATGAGCTCGCAGCGCTATCAACGGGTTCGTCATTTCCAATCTCCCCCCTCCCGCTGATCCCGTCACCCCGGCCGGAACACCGTCGCCTGCTTCCCCCGGATATGACTCCCATCAGAACTGACCACCCTTTAGGTGAATGCCCACGATGAGGAAGACAACTCACATTCATACCCGTTGAATCCTACTCGATCTGATCTTACTCCAACTTCTCCACCTCCGTCGTTCCGTTCCGGCTCCCGGTCATCCTCACCGTCCTCACGGCGGCTACTTCATGGCGACCCACTCCGCAATGATGATGACCAGACCCTGGCCGATGCTTTTGGGGATGAAGATGAATCCGACGATGACGAGGAGCCCGACGATAGGCAGCGGTTGATGCGTGCCAATCCGGATACTGGATCACCTGCCAGCTACGGGCAAGTGGCGTCGTCAGCCTCTTCGTCGGATGCCAGAAATGATAGACAAGAGGAGCCTCGTGCTTCACCACTCCCGCGCCGACCAACTATACTGCCTACATTTACGACTCCCGCGCCCGGGGGAAGTCGATCGGTCGCCCCATCGAATGATGGAGTGTTTGCCAATCTGGCCGCCAAGCCAGAACGAGGCGAGAAGAACGAGGATCTGCCTCCTGTAAGTTGGTACCCGATACAGGGTTGTGACGCCGTGATCTGTGGGCGGTTTGGGCTAATATGATTGCTTTTTTTTTCTAGTCTTACGAAGAAGCAGCGGCCGATGCGACACCCCCATACTGGGAGACCACGATCGTAGCGCCCGGCATCTCGTCCGATGAAGTGTATGTCGATGGATTGCCCGTCGGATCCGTGTTCTCCTTTGTGTGGAACGCCATGATATCCATGTCGTTCCAGCTCGTTGGTTTCTTGTTGACGTACCTCCTGCATACCACCCACGCCGCAAAGAACGGCAGTCGAGCGGGTCTCGGCCTTACCCTTGTTCAATACGGTTTCTACATGAAAGGCGGCAGCGATACCTCGGGTGGCGATAGTGGCAGCGATCAATACGTCCCGCCTCCAGATCCCAACAGTCACAGCTTTGATCCAAACTCCGTCGGCGAGGGTTCCGGCGGCGATGGTGGCAATGCTTTGTCGGGCATCACTACGAGCGAGTGGATATCATACGTTCTTATGATTGTCGGATGGTTCATCTTGATTCGCGCCGTCAGCGACTTCCTCCGCGCACGGCGTCACGAGCAGCTCGTGTTGCAGAGTCCCGATCGAGGATTGGGCGTGCCGGTCATCGCGGAGGGAGAACGGTCCGAGACCGTGGTTTAATGTTACATGGGAATTGGATATTTTGGAAAGAGTCTTCCATCATGGCGTTTTTCTGGAGGGTTCTTCATTGGAGTTTTTATTTCTTGTCTCTTTTTGGACACTTCTCTTTATACTTCGCTTGGACACCCCATCTTGCGGGAGATTATTCCCTCCTCTCTTGTCTCTCTTTTATTTTGTTGGCCTTTCTTTCTTTTTGCATTCCCCCACACCTCCATGCTCATATTCCATAGCCTTGTAGCTATATTGGAGATACCAACTGTTGAATACGCCACAGCCAAGAATTTCTTTTTTTCCTCCTCTTGCCGCAAGCCCTCCTACTGTAATCTGGAGCTGTAGATCCTTGACATAATTAGATCCTCCTGTTTCTGCTTTTCATCGGTGCCTGCGCAAGCCCACCAAGCCAACCCCCAAACGATGGGCTGCGCCACACCCCGGGTTTCGATCAGGCAGCCTTCTTGGTCTTGGGAGTACTTCCCTTGCGTCGATTAGGTTAAATTGCACACCAGCTCGTTTAGTGCCGACGTACTCTATCCTCGTCATCCAAAAGTTTATATTCCCTACACCAGGAGAAAAGACTGAAATACCGGCCTGAACCCTGTGTGGCCCACTTCCGAAGAGACCCGCCGTTGTTTACTCTTTACACTCCTCCGCTCCGCAAGGAATCCATCCTGTGCTTTTGTATATTCTCAACCTCTTGGCCCATTGAAGATTGACTCTTTTTTAATCCTGGGGCCGGCATACCTTCGCCGCGCCCGTCATGTCAGCTATCCCTGCGACCACCCAACAGGCACCCGTCGAGGCTCGCTCGCTCTCGTCCATCACTGCAATCGCCTCGAATCCCCCCGCTTATCCGCGCAATCCCACTCATGAGAAGCACGATCCGCTGCAACTCTACATTGTTCGAGTCCCAGGCAGTCAAGGTTCGTCATTATCAGTCCAATTACTTCCACCTCAAGTCGACTCCCCGCAGTCCCCATCTCTTGCTGCGTTATCGGGTTCTTCGTGCTTCGAAGATAAGATGTAGCTAACTGCGGGATGCAATGCGCGCATGACAGACATATTCCTTTCTCCCGTCAAGCCACCCACGAAGTCCAGCGTCTCCGCCGAAGCGATCAATGCATCCCTATACTATCTCCATGTTGCAACACCCGAGGACGAGGCGCTGCTCCAGGAAGTCGAACAGGAGCGCGAGAAACAGCTCCATCGCCGCACCGAGGAACTTCAGGCTGCCGGTATAGACGACCCCGCGCACCGAGAGTTTGCTCGTTTGAACAATGTCCGTCGGAAACCTGTCGGTGGAGAACGAGAGCCTTCTGGTCAGGAGAATGTCCTTGCGTCCGCAGCTATACATGCGCCCACGCTTGGGCCGGAAAATGCTGCCCCTCCATCAGTACCCCGCGGGCCAGTGCAAGTGCCGCAAGTCTCGGCGGAGAACCTGTCCTTTGCCGGGACGCCGGTTGCAAGTCTGCCCACAGATGGGAAGGATAAATCGAGGCAGGGCTCGGTGGACTCGATTGGTAATGCAGTTGCGCGGCGGCCACTGCCCCCTCTGCCTCCGAACGAGGTGCCACTCATTCAAGACCCCTCCAGCGGCGACGATCGTCCCAGAAAGACCAATCGCTGGAGTGCGTTTGTGGATAATGTCCAGACACGAGGAAAGGAGGTTTTGAGAGAAAAGTACGAGACCATGTCCGCTGGTCGGCATAGTCTAGACGCTAATAGACCGCAATTACCACCTCGCCCATCGCATGATGGCTTTCGCTCACCGAATCGAAGCCCGGGACAATCTCCGTCTCGCCAGGCCAGATCACATCAACCTTCTCGTGGCAATGCTGGATTTCATATCACGCTCATCAGACGTGATCCTGGGTCGGGCACGCAATGGAATGTCGCGACGATATCTACACCCCGGATGGACCGTAATTCCGTTGATATCGAGATCTCGACCCCGGGATATAACCGATTTGCCGGCTCTCACGAACCGCTTTCTCTGGCGAGCCTGGCTGCCAATCTTCCTCCGGAAATGTTACGATCGGCAGGGCCACCCTTGACAGCTTCGTTGGGGCTTGAGAAGCCCACTGAGAAGCAGACGCAACCGCAACCGCAGCCATCGGGTCCACGCAAATTCCACCGCCAACTATGCGTCTCAAGGCAATTCGAGGATCCGAATGGGAATATCCGCAGTGCTGTTGACTCTGGTAATGGACAAGTCCCGGAGGGATCCAAGCTGAAGAGTGGCTACTACGTCTTTAACTCTCCGTGGAACGGCATCTGTACCTTCTCCTCTAGCGTCAACGGCCGCAGTCTCAAATGCAAACACATGATATCTGCTCCAGGCAATGTCCCAACTAGCGACAGCGAATCCAACCCGGCCGTGACCGTTGCCGAAATACGCTTTAACACGCCCTTCCAAGCCGCCAACCTACACTATCACACCTCGCATGCCTCGCATCGTCAACACCACCACCAACAGCCCCATCCCCATCATCAAGCCCACACATCCAACCCAAGTGCAGTCCCATTTCCACCACGCCATGACATCCCCGATCCATCAGCTCCAGACTCGACATTGAAACGAAACTCCCTCTCCCAGTTCCTTAACCCAAACAACTTCGCCCGGCCTCGCGCCCACTCCGGGCCCAACTCCCCCTACACACCCGTCACCCCCAGCGCTGCACCACGCACCCCCTTCAGCCCGACAAATATCATCCGTCGCACCTCCCTCCGATCCCCGCGCTTCTCCCGCGGTGACTTCCGCCATCAATACCCGGCCCCTCCACGCCCGCGCCGTAGTACAAGCACGAGCAGTGGAGGGCCGGACTCGGACGAGGATCGGTTGGACTTTTCACTTGCGAGGGAGTTGGCGGGTGGTGGGATGAGGGGGAAGAGTGCCAAGTTGGGGAAATTGGTGATTGAGGATGAGGGGATTAAGATGTTGGATTTGGTGGTTGCGGCTTGTATGGCTGTTTGGTGGCGGGGGTATTATCATTGATCGTTGATCATGGGTCATTATTGTCTATTGAACTTGATGGTTTGATGAACTGGTTTACATAGCTTGGTGTTTGTTAGGTATTCTATAGATATCTTACTTTTGTATGTTCATTGAGCTGTTGGCTTAAGCGGAATTATATATTTTTTCCCTCCTTCACTCTTCATGTCCAATGAGCGCTGCTTTTGGCAATCTAAACCTTCCAGTAAATTGCAAAACTACACAAAATATCCACTTTAAACACACGGATCTGACTACAATAATCTATCTATGCATACCAATTCAAGCAGAGAGTATACCCGACTCGAGAGCGGTCACCTGGCTGCAATCCAAGTGGTACCATGTATGGGCAGTCACGAAACAACGAAACTTCAACAAAGAAGCAAGTCGAGCAAAGAGGGGAAATGGCAGAAGAAAGAAAGTAGCAGTAGCAACTAATATAAAGAAAGAAAACAAAACAGATCATGCAGTTCGTCCGGTCTTTCTCTCGGAAGGTATCTCTTTGCTAATTCATTATGTCAACATGCAGAAAGGGGTAAATCAACACATGATTATTGGCAGATCCAGTCGAGCCAGAAAGAGAGGGAGGGCAAAAATCGCATTGCACGCATGAAAAGGAGGATGGAAGTGGAAGAGAGACACAAGGCAAAAAGAGGCTAATTTTTTCCTCGGGATTCCATGTCCAATGCCAATGAGAAAGAAGATCAAAATCAATGGTGCACAGAGTCCATGCCGCGCTGCAGCGAGGCCTCCAAGTCATTCATGTGCCCGCCGCCAGCGGCCGCCTCCTGAGGCTTAGGCTCCTCGGTCTTCCAACCACCCTGCTGGTTCTCGGGGATGGGGACGTTGGTCTGCTGGGCCATCTGCTGCTGCTGGGCAGCGTGGGCCTGGGACTGTTGGCGGACGGTAGCGCGGAAGCGGATGACCTCATCGAGAATCATCTTGCGCATCTCCGGGACGTCGTCGACGACTTCGAAAGTGAAGTCGAAGGTGGTTGGGCAAGTGGGCTCGTCCGAGGCATCGTGCCAGATGTGCAGGTACGGGTGCTCGAGGGCCTCCTCGACGGAGATACGCGAAGATGGGTCGAAGGCAAGCATGCGGTCCAGCAGGTCCAGTGCATCCGGGTTGGCGTTGGGGAATAGTCGCTGGAATGGGATCTTGGGCATGAAGGGCAGGTTGCGCACGTATTCCTGGGCACGGGGCGATCCAATACGTGCCAGGGTCTCCTCGTTGGGGGTACCCAGGTAGTGCAGGATCTGGTTCAGCTGATCGACGTAGTCACGGCCCTTGAAGAAGGGACGTCCACCAAGAAGCTCGGCAAGGATACAACCGACAGACCAGACATCAACTATCGTACAATTGTTAGCTTCTTGTTCCCTTCCGGGCGTTGGGAACGAGCCATAGAGGGTGGTAAGAGAGGCACGTACTTGCTTTGGTGTAGCTTTGGAAGCTTAACATGATCTCGGGTGCACGATACCATCTTGTTGCAACATACTCGGTCATATAGCCAGCATTCTCCTCCGGATCAATCGAGAAACCACGAGCCAGACCAAAGTCACAGATCTTGAGCTCGCAGTCCGCATTGACGAGCAGGTTACCGGGCTTTAGATCACGGTGCAGTACGTTCGCCGAGTGGATATACTTCAGACCGCACAGGATTTGATAAATGAAAGATTGGAAGTGTGCATCGGTCAAAGGCTGGCCCGAACGGATGATAGCCGCCAGGTCACACTCCATCAATTCTGCAATATTATTAGATGGGGACCTTTTTAAATGCAGACAGGATGATCTTTTCGTACCCTCGTAAAGATATGTCTCGTTAAATTGGTCCGGGCGGGGAATATCCATATCGTATAGGCAGGTAATCTAGCAGACTGGAGGTCAGCGGGCGCAGGAGGAGGGGTGTGGTATGAGCGCGAGGGGATGGAGAGGGGAGAGGCACGTACATTGCGATGACCGCGGAAGTGCTGGAGGAGCTTGATCTCACGCAGGGCTCGCTTGGCAAGGATCTTTTTGCTGAATACGTTGGTGACTTTCTTGATGGCAACTCCTTCGCCAGTCTGAGTGTTTGTTGCGGCACTGCACGAGGTGGGACGTCAGTTTCATCACACGACCCTGGGAAAGCATTTCCACCACGGCTCCAAAGTGGCTGACCTACCAGACGATACCGTAGGCACCCTGGCCTAGCTCCTTGGTGACATTGTACTGCTCGTTCACGACGAAGTCCTGGTTGAAGACCTTGAAGACCTTGCGGCCCTGTAGATCAGCCATGGCGGGCGGGAATGTTGTGAAGCGAAGAGGAGGGAAGAGAAGAAGAGAGAGAGAGAGAGGGAAAAAAGACGATGATCAAGATTCCAGCGCAAGCGAGAAACGAAAATGAATAAAAAAACGAACGCGCCGGGAGAAACGGTGACCTCCCAGAAGTAAAGGGGAAGCTGGCCTGGAGGTGTGATGAGAAAGAAGCTGAGCCCCGCAGTCCCCGCGGGTGATCGGGAGCGTCACTTTTGGGAAGTTTGAATGAAACCCACTATGCTTGTGAGAACATACTCAAAGAGAATGAAATTTTCCTTTATGACTCGTAGTTTTACATCCATTCATACAGTTCATACTAATGGTCCGCTATCTTTAGATTACTCTAGCTTTGTGTTCTCAAATATTCTTGTGTAGCCATCCAACCTGCCAAGACTTCCAGGTTCCAGCCTTCTTAGGTAAGCGTCGATCCAGCCCTAACTAACTACTTTATCTAGGATCGAGGACGGTTACCTAACAACCTTACTGATTTGAGGATCGAGTCATGATATCTTTTACGAGCCCAGAGTAGACGGAGTGCAGCCACTTTGATTCTCTTCTATTGAAGAAACGGAATACATGTCAAGCAAGAAAGTCCACAGAAATGGTAGAAAGCACAACTTGAGGATTTCTCTTTGTAGAAAGTAAGGAAGAACTCAACTTAGTCAGAGAGAGCCTTCATTCGCATTTTCATGATCGTTCACCTGCTTAAAGCTTTCAAATGAGCTCATTTCTCGCTCAGGATAGCTTTTGCCTCTTGGCTGACGTAGAAGAATCGTAGAAGACGTCCACCTTCAACTGCCTCTTGTGCGAGGACCCCGGGACCCGGGCTTCTGAGCCCTTCCGAATAACTCGCTCCTCGAGGGGCTTGCACAGGTCGAGGAACAGATTGGTCAATAGGGCCAGCTGTCGGGCGTCCACAAGAGCAATGTGATTATGACCCGTCAGAGGATGTTCGTCTCCGAATAAGAGGGGGAACAGGAAAGGCAATTTGAGCGAGAAGCGGCGGCCGTTAAAGCATTTTCTGCCGAGTATCCGTTCCAAGTTGCCTCGGAAATCCATCAAGAGTAACCAGAGGTCTTCGTTGTTGGGAAGCACATCATGATGCCCCTCTATTTTGAGCCATTCTCTGAGAAGTGAGAGGTCAAAATGCCAACTGGCCCACGAGACGAACGTTGTGGTTGGTGTGATACCGTGTTCATCAAGTTGTGCCAAGACGCCCTTCGAATCCAGGGTGCCGTGGATGCTTGGCATTAATTTGAACTTTTTTCCGAACATCCTTTGCTGGAAAGATAATGGCACTGGGCTTGACGAGGATCGCGCAGCTGGAGGTTTGCTGTACTTGGGCAGACAATCAAGTACGCATTCCCCGTCCATATCGGCGAGGCCAATCTGGAGCACTTCACGGTCAGTGAACGACAACTCCAGGTCAATGTTGACAAGGCGCGCAGGGGGCAGTGCTTTCTGCTCAGAGGTCTCCTTCTTCATGACCTTTGCTATTTTGCTCAAGGGGAACCACTGCTCGGATGCGGCCAGTGAGAACAAGCGTTTGAGCTCAACAATCGATTGCTGATCAAGGGCAAGGTCCTCTGGCTTCCACTGGAGGAACTGCACTCTGCAGAATTTGGTGCCTTCCCACAATGGCTTGACGCAAATGTTAGCGGCGCACACTCCCTGACTGTCCTCTGCGTTCAAGAAGTGGTTCCAGATAAACTGTTTGAACCGGTATCTCGAGTGGCATGTTATGCATCGAAATTGAACGCTGACGATTTCAAGTCTTTCCCTCAACGCGCCGTTTTCCAAAGAGATCGTCGCTCCGTTTGGGCACACCTCTGCACCAATCACGAGCCCTTTTTCCACACTCCGTGGGCCTATACACTTTAGGCCAATTTTTCGCTGGCCTACACGCACAGCCACTGGGTCATAAGGTTAGCAATGAAGCAAAGGGAGGTAAATATTAGTATATCTTACATTTACGAAGCCTCTCTTGGCTTTCCGAAGGCTTGTTGTCGAGCCAGGAGGCTACCATGGCAGCTGAAGCATAATCAAAATCTTCTGACACCAGGGCTTCATCATCGTTGGACTCGGCCTCAAGGTCTCTTTGATGCACGTCTCTTTTGTCAGGTGCACGTCCATGGTCGCCTTGTTTCTGAGCTTCTTCGTCTCCCAAACTCTCGCTTCCGCTATTCCCGGCTTCGCGGGCCTCGCATTCGCCGTCCTCCCATGCGCCGTCCTCGCCTTCATCACCGCCATCTTCAGGATTTGCTGCGAGCTGATTCTTTACTTCAACATTAGAAGCAGATGAGGCAATCGGGACCTGTTGGCATCGTCAAATCATGCTCAATCACCCCTTGAACTGTCACTTACCTGCAGCGGCGGGAATTCTCCCTTCTTGAAGTGACCTCTTTGTACATGCATGCGTTGGTGGTTCCGCATACTGCAAGCTGAAATCTGTTTCTCTTGAACGTGTAGCAGACAATCGCTGTACTGACAAATATATTCGTCAGAATGTTGCTCCCTCGCGTGATACATCGCCTTGGGTTTGGTTGGGAAAGTCTCCAGACAGCCAAGTTCCTCAGCAAATTCGCAAGGCCAAGAATCCTTCGTTGGGTGTGCCCTTTCCATATGCTCCTTGAGATAAGCTTCTTTGGCATAGGTCTCATCACAGTCGGGAATCAGGCACGGATATCAAACCCCCTCGTGCTGTGATCCTGCGTGGGTTGTAGCATGGCCGACCGAATCAAAGGTTCGGTCGCAGTTGGCTTCCTTTGCGTAGAGGCATGGGACTCTGTCTTTGTTGTGTGCCTGCCTTGAATGCCTCTTGGCCTCCTCTGTCGACCAAAAACGCTCATCGCAATCAAACTCCTTTGCATGAGGGCAGAGTACCTTTTTATCTTCGGGGTTTTTGTTATGCACCCTTTTGATATGTTCCTCGATGTAACGTTTGTCGGTAAAAACGCTCTCACATAATGGGCACGGATATCGCTCTCCCTCGTGCACTGCCTGTGCGTGCTTCTTTGCTGCATTTGTCGAAGAGAAGTCCGCCGTGCATTTATGTTCCTCTGCATAAAGACAGGGAATTCTGTCCTTTTTGTGCACGCTCCTGGCATGTACATCTGCCTCGCCGGCCGTATAGAAACGCTCGAGACAATTTTCGTCTTCTTGTAAAGGACAGGGGAATCGACGATGTTCAGGGTCTTCACTTTCGTGCACTCTCTTGAAGTGCTCGGTGGCATAACGCTTGTTTGTAAATACCCCCTCGCACTTCGGATCGCGGCACGGGAATCGCACGTTTTCGTGCGCCGCTTTGGCATGCGCGTCCGCATTACCTTTGGAAGTGAACATACCCGGACAACCAAGTTCCTCTCTATATCGGCATGGATACTGAATATGTTGGTGGCAGGCTTCGGAGTGGGCTTTTGCATGGGTCACCGAAGTAAAGGTTTTTGGGCAACCCTCTTTCTCTGCGTCGGGGCAGGGAAATCTGCCCTTGCCATGTTCACGTCTGCCATGGGCTGTGGCCTGCTTCTCAGTGCCGAACAGCTCATGGCAGTCGAATTCCGCTGCATAATGACAAGGGACAGTTGGCTCTTCATGCACCTCTTTGGCATGTGTAGCCGCCTCCCCCGGGCTTCGAAAGATTCTAGGACACTTGGCGCTCTCACTATATGAGCATGGATGCTGGGGGGCCATCGCGATTGTAGAGTCTGGAGATAATAGAGAGGAAGTGAAGAATGCCTGAGATTTTGGTAAGAACAAGCAGATTTCAAATGTAAAGAAGTAATCGTAACGAAAGGCGACGAGGAGGATGAGACAGAGAGGCAGAACAGAAGGGTGAGATAGACAAGGGAGCCTAGAAGAGGAAGAGGCAGAAGAGGAAGAGGCAGAAGAGGAAGAGGCAGAAGAGGAAGAGGCAGAAGAGGAAGAGGCATAAAAGGGAAAGAAATTTGAGGAAGAGGAAGTTTCCATGAATATCTCCTAATCGGGATACTTCTGAGCTTGATAGACGGACAAACAGGGACATACCGTATACAAGGTCTTTGGCCTGCGCAATCGCGCGGGCCTCGTAGCAATGTCCATAAGTCTAATTCAGAAATAGGGGCGATGCTTTCAAAATTTCCATTTCCTATCTTTAACGAACAGCTCCCTTAATTGATAGTCCTTCAGCCTATCCTTCAGCTTCAAGGGGGGGACGAATCAACAGGAACAGGTAGGCTCTAGGCTACATATACCTTCTATGTTAACTAAATCTATGTAGTAATGTTACTTTTCTGTCTTTACTACTATTCTTCCCTAGTTTAATTAGGCGATAACTAACGAATATCGCTCTTCTAGCTTTTATGCTTTCCCTTAGCCTTAAACCTAGCTAGCGTATACCCCTCGGAATACCTATGGAAGGTCGCAATATATAAGAAATATAATCGAGGACGGACGGCGGGCGGACGGACATTCGAAAAGACCTTTAAAAGACGTGAAAAGGTAGAGCAATGGATAGATAAGCTTAAGGGGAAAATTCAATAGGGGGCGTAGTTAGTCTCTTAGTACGGTAGCCGCCCGACTTCCTATAGGGTCTAACTAATCAAGGACGGTCTGAGACGGAAAATCGTGAGGAAACTGACCTTTTTCCTCATATATTGTAATGTACACCTTCACGAATTACCTTTACTGAATGAACCCTGTGGCTCGTCCAAGCTTAAGATAGGCAATACACTATCTAAGTCAATACGCCAATAGTCAAGTTTGAATCAGTCGACTATCCGAATGCTTTGCATTTTCACTTTTTCATGAATCAATAACGCATATCACGCCTACAGCTTGTTCTCCAACCGACGCTCCTTACGCAGCGCCGTCAGCTTCGCCCGAACCTCGTCAAGGGGCACCATCACACCGAGCTTCTGGGTAGCCGGGTCGTCGCGATTGCGGATGTTGACTGAACGAGACTCCATCTCCTGTTGTCCCACCACAAAGATGAAATTGATCTGAGCCAATTGGGCAGTACGAATCTTCTTCTGGAGAGTGTTGCCGCTAATATCAATCTCCACATTGAACTTGTCCGCGCGAAGGATCTCTTGCAGCTCTTCGCAATAGGCATTCAAAGCCGGCATGACTGGAATGATCATAATCTGGCGAGGGCTGATCCAGAATGGCCACTTTCCAGCAAAGTGCTCCGTGATAATGCCAAGGAAGCGCTCGAAGCTACCAATGATGGCACGGTGGATAACCACAGGACGGGATCGGCCAGGTGCGGGTTGGTTGGAGGTCTCACCCTCCTTCTTCTCGCTGTCCTCCTGCTTGGGCTTCTCCTTATCGACGTACTCAAGCTTGAAGTTGATGGCAGCCTGGTAATCCAGCTGAATGGTGGCGCACTGGAACTCACGCTTGAGAGCGTCCGCAATGGTGATGTCAATCTTTGGGCCGTAGAAGGCTCCATCACCCTCATCGATGACCCAGTCGTTGCCCTTGAATTTGGTCATGGCCTGCTTGAGCTGCTCCTCGGCGCGGTTCCAGAGCTCCAAGTCGCCCATGTACTTCTCAGGGCGAGTAGACAGCTTCAACTTGAAGGTGAAACCGAACAACCCATAGATGGATTCCAAAAAGTCGAACAAGCCTGCGACTTCAGACTCAATCTGCTCGTTTGTGCAGAAGATATGGCTATCGTCCTAATGCAGGTAACCGTTAGTAATCGGCAGCACATTTCACAACGGAACTTCTCCGCAGTGAATTCGGGAATCTTGCAAGGACAATTGCACTTACCTGTTGGAACTTTCTCACACGGGTCAGGCCGCTCAGAGCACCAGATGCTTCATTACGATGGAGACACCCAAAATCTGAGATTTTTAGCGGGAGCTCGCGGTAGCTACGATCACGGTGGCCGAACAGGACAAAGTGACCGGGGCAGTTCATGGGCTTCAGGGCCCAGTCGCGCTTATCGACGTCCAGTTTGAACATATCATCGGCATAGTGCTGCCAGTGACCGGATTGTTTCCAGATGCTGACATCGTACATGTTCGGGGTCTGAACCTCCTGGTAGCCGCGCTTGCGGTACTCGGATCGGAGCAGCTTCTGTATGGCATTGAAAATCAATGTACCACGGGGTAGCAAGAAAGGACTTCCAGGGGAGACGTCGTCGAAGAAGAACAGCTCTTGTGCCTTGCCGATTTTCAAGTGGTTGCGCTTTTCGGCCTCCTCAAGGAACTTCAAGTGCTCCTTCATGGAGTTCTTATCGGGGAAAGCGACACCACGGATACGTTGCAAGGAATCATTGCTCTGGTCACCGAGGAAGTATGCTGCGGAGTTCTATCGGAAAAGGAATGGGGTTAATTAGTTGACTAAATCGGTATGGGTCATGCGACGGATGAGACACTAACCTGCAGGATTTTGAAAGTCTTGATCTTGCCTAGATATTGAGGTCAATAGAGAGGTTTTTTTGATTGGAGAATTTCCTGGGACCTACCTGTGTTCTGGATATGAGGTCCACGGCAAAGATCAACCAGAGTACCACAGCGGTAAACGGTGCTCTTCTCCCCAGTCACCAGCTTATCAATGTAGTGTAGCTTGTACTTATTGGCCGCAAACATCTTCTTAAGATTCTCCTTGGAAACCTCCAATCGATCGAAGCTTTGCTTCTCCTTGAAAATGCGCGAGGCCCTGTTCTCGAGTGCGGGCCAGTCGGAGGGGAGCACGACACGACTGTTGGCGTTGTTAGTACACACTGCGCCTTCACAAAGCAGGTTCGGCGAGTACTTACTCCCCAGGCAATTTTTCGTCGTAGAAGAACCCGCTGGGTCCGGGGGGTCCATGGGAAAGGAAACACCCGAATTCACACTCACAGGCTTCGCCGAGAACGTGCGCAGAGCTGTGCCAGAAAACCATGCGTCCTTCCTCGGAAGAGAATTTGACTAGTAAGACCGTGCAGTCACCCTCCAAAGGACGGTTCAGATCCCACAATTCTCCATTAACCTTTGCAACAACAACGTCGGCGCTCGCTTCCTTGGGTACGTCACGCAGGAAAGACCCGGGGGTGGTCTCGAAGGCCTTTGCGGGGACAGAGTAAGGGTTGCCGTCACCGATATCGAGGGTGACTTTGATCTCAGGGCGCGGGCGGGACTTGGCCTCCTCCAGATGTTGTTGCCAAAGTTCCTCGAAGAAATTATTCCTCTCCACGAGCCAGTCAGGGAGAACGTCGGCGGCGGGGGCTTGGTTTTTGGCGTCTTTTGGCGGGGCAGCAGCGTTTTGAGCGTTGTCCTCTGCCTGTGCGGCAGGGCGCACAGGCAAATCGTTGGGGGCTTCAGAAACCATTGTAGAATCTCTCTGGGTAGTTGCAGAGAAATTGTCCGTCGAGAGACTGAGGGGGAAGGAGGTGTCTGACCTGACTCACTTGTTCAGTATGGAGGGGAAAATGACTCTTTCGGGGGAAAGGCGGTGAGTCATGTGACTTCGAACTGCCCTGGCTAGCGACGCCTTACCGTATGAAGTTTCCACCACTCGAAAACTTCGTCGCCCAAGAACCCCCAACGACAATAATCTTCAACATGTCTTTCCGTGGGCGTGGATCCGCTACCGGTGCGAACCGGGGTGGCTTTGGTAGCCGTGGTGGTGGTATGTGAAATTATTTTGGTGCTACGAGGTCATGATTGTTCGCAGAAGCTAACGAAATTTTTTTTGGGATGCAGGCCGCGGAGGTTTCCAGCAGTCCTTCGGTCCCCCCGCGCAGGTCCTTGGTATGTAATGCTCAAATTGACATATTCTGGAATGCGATACTGATAATCTAAAATAGAGATGGGAACTGTCATGCACGCTTGCGAGGGTGAGATGGTTTGCGAGTCAATCAACCCCAAGATCCCCTACTTCAACGCCCCGATCTACCTCGAGAACAAGGTACACCGCTCCGGACAATCCCTATCAAATGCTACTCGCTGGATATGGACCTAACTCTTTTGCGATAGACTCCCATTGGCAAGGTCGACGAGGTTCTCGGTCCCATCAACCAGGTGTACTTCACCATCAAGCCCCAGGAGGGCATTGTCGCGACCTCATTCAAGCCCGGCGACAAGGTCTTCATCGGCGGCGACAAGCTGCTTCCCCTCGAGAAGTACGTTTTCAAGATATCCTGTCCTCTATCCCATCGTCTTGCGTATCGAAACTGATTTATTGTCCCCATCTAGGTTCCTTCCCAAGCCCAAGCCCCCACCAGGTGCTGCTAAGCCCAAGCGTGCTGGTGGTGCCCGCGGTGGTCGCGGCGGTGCTCCCCGTGGCCGTGGTGGATTTGGCGCTCGTGGTGGTGCTCCTCGCGGTCGTGGTGGATTCGGTGGCCGCGGTGGTGGCTTCTCCCGTGGCGGCGGTGGCAGCTTCGGTGGTCGCGGTGGAGGCTTCTCCCGTGGTGGTAGCCGGGGCGGCTCTCGCGGTGGCTTCCGTGGTCGTGGTTAAAGGACCTTGTCTAGCCGAAAACTTATCTTCTTCTGGCGTTTGGGGGATTCAGGAGCTTTCTGCAGGATCATTTCCTTTCTTCTTGTGCATCCTGACACAATTATTACTTTCCTGGCTGCAGGGACTGTAGAATATATCCAGTCACACAAAAACATCTGATTTCTGTTGTTACACTTGTCATTCAACTTTTTCCCATGATAAAAAGCTCCCATTGAACAACATAGCCAAACCCATTCAAGCCACCTGCTGGAGCTTTGTAACTTTTTTTCAATGTGGCTAGTAAAGTGTGGCGCAGGCCCGGGGTGCACCGCCCGGTCACAGTACTGCCAAGGTGCCCTCGGAAATGACGTTGACCGCTCTGCAACTGTCACTGTGCGTCTTGTCAACACTCGTTCGAAGCAGGATTATTGACTGCAATTTTGAGTCCCGCAACCTCCCTTTTCCACCTTTCACGGCAGCCATATCCATATTTCAGCATTCATACCCTGTGTTATCGCTCTTCATCTGAGCATGTCTCGCAGAAAGTCCACCATGGCGTCGAGCAGTTCTAACAGCGGTGTCTCGTCCGCCGGTGACGGAGGTTAGTTTGCGATCAGCCCTGGACCCCTCGTGCGCGTGCTAATCGGGTCTCTATCAGGCCAAGAAAAGCAGAAGATGCTTCTTTCCTCCGAACATGGCCACTTTAGCTTGGTGAAGTCAGTATCTAGGATATTCTTTGCTGCTACCTAACCGTCAGAGCACGTTCTAATAATGATGTAGGGCTCTTCATCTTGCCGATTTGGTGACTGAACTCAACGGTAAGATTATTGCTCCGCCGAGTCAACTTATTGGGTGGTTTCAATGGCTAATAAGACTTGTAACAGGTTTCTGCGGAGGCAAGTCGATATGTCTCAATGGCTCGTTCTACTACTAACCGCAGGGAAATAGTCATGTCTGTCTTCTCCTCCATGCGTTACTGTCTCGGCGATCCCTCCGATTACAGTGCTCTGTGGGCCGCCCTCGCATTCATGCCATTCGGTCTGTTCTTCGACTTTATGGACGGCAAGATCGCTCGGTGGCGCAAGAAGTCCTCGCTGATGGGACAGGAGCTTGACTCGCTTGCGGACCTGGTACGAAACTTTCACAATGCGGTATTGGATGTGGAAACTATATACTGATCTTTTGACGCGCATGCGTAGATCTCCTTCGGCCTCTCTCCCGCCGCCGCCGCGTTCGCCATGGGTATTCGCACCTCGCTCGACCACTTCTTCCTGGCCTTCTTCGTCCTCTGCGGCCTGACCCGCTTGGCTCGCTTCAACGTTACCGTGGCTGTTTTGCCCAAGGACAAGACTGGAAAGTCGAAATACTTTGAGGGTACTCCTATCCCCACCACTCTGTCTATTGCCTCTCTTATGGCCTACTGGGTGTCCCAGGGCTGGACTCACGCAAACATTCCCTTTGGCATCATTGGCGAGGGTACTATTCTCGAGTTCCACCCCATTGTTCTCCTGTTTGTCTTGCACGGATGTTTAATGGTCAGCAAGACGATACACATTCCCAAGCCTTAGATGGGATATCAAGAAAGAGAACCTGTGGGGGTAATCTGCCCCAGCAGTAATTGCCCGTGCTTCTTCCCCTTCACTTGGATGATGACTGTGAAAATAAAGAATGAGAGATACGAGACTGTTGTCTATAAGTGAGCCTGGACACAATCTCAATGTACTTAATAGAGAATGATTCTTCTTTCCTATGGGTTTCGGCAGCATCAACGGGAAGATGTTGTGAGGTACTCCGTTGCATGCATATAATGCATGGGAATGACGCAATGTCTTCAACAGGTATTCTGGATTGACGTCGTGGGGTACTGTGAGATAGTCCATGGAGTTGAGAAAATGAACGATATTCTTTTAAATTACATTACAAATCAATGAACCATACGTAGTGAAGCAATAATGTTCTTGGTTGGTACAAATACGCTGCAACTCTGGGAACTTTGATGATATTATGGCGCACACGTGATAGTCCAGTTCCCCAGAAACAACACCGACCTATCCTCATGTGATGAAGAGGGTAGCTTCATGCAGGTCCGTGATGAAAACCTAAGCAGCAACGCCGGCTGACTGTACTATAATTGTGTTTCATGCAATCGATTTCTCGCATTCTGTGCCGTGGTCTGTGCCCTCGAATCCCGCGTGTCTTTGCGGCGAGGAAGACCCCGAAGCCAGAGGTGGCTTTTGGAGTTGAAAGTGAACCCGGCGTCGAGATGCCTTTGCCCCGTTAGACCCAGCTGACTAGATCCCGACGAAATAAGTGTAGAAATTTGTGAGCACGCTAAAGGACGTCATCCGTCAACAAATAGTGACCATCTCAGCCACCCAATTGAGCTTCAGGGAATCAAGCACAAGCAGAATGTCCTCCAGGCATAGGACGAGAAGCTCTACAAGGAGATAAAGGCTTTAAAATGTAAGGGTTGACAGTACCTCGGTAGTGACTCCGACGAGGTGTCAAGCCGTAGTCGAAGCTCACCGTAGTAATAGTAAGCACGCCTGCCCCCTCGCTCAGCCCCACTGCAGCCGTAGTGAGAGGGTAACATTGAGCTGCAAGCTAATCACAACGTGGGAGTATCTATCAATGAGTGTTCGTGGAGGCTGTTGCTAAAAGTGTCTATCAATGGGTTGTTGGTCTACCAGCGAATCCTGACTGTTATATGGTTCTGTGTTCGTTCTTTGCTTCTCGATCCCCGGGATTTGACACACGAGAATAGTCAATGGGCAGTCTTGGCTTTCTTACAGATGAAAATATTAGATATTGATTCGCGCTTGGCCCGCTCTTGGCCCGGTTGAGCGGACTTGAGCTGAAATGCAGTTTGAAATGCTGACTGTAAGCTGCATAATAATTATAAGCGAGCGGTTTTTGAGGACGCCTTTAAGCTAGATGGGGTTGCTGGTGAAAATATTATAAATATAAGCTTAGATACTCTAAAGCATTCTTCTCCTCAACTTCATCTCGCTTTTATCCCAATCTCAACAGACCAATATCGATCACAATGCTATTCAAGTCAACTGCTGCCTTAGCAGTCCTGGGCGTCTTTGCAGTACAGTCCGCAGAGGCATGGTCGATCCAGTTTCAGGATACGAGCGCGTCTACCCCAGAATACAGTGAAAAACTGACAAACTTAAATGGAAATACTTGTTGTACGTTCAAACCTCCTTGGAGAATGAATATGGCATCTGACTTACTTTCAATAGACAACATGAATGATCTACCTACGGCAAATCCCTGGAATGATAGGGTGGACAACGCTTGGATCGATGGTGCTATTTGTGTTTTTTGGGCGTAAGTTGTTTCCTCTCTAAGCTTGTTTTAAGTGTAATAATTTATAATTGAAACTCGACATAGTGATTATGGTTGTTCTGGACATCACACAAAAACAGAAACGGGCGCTGCTGGAACTCATTTTGTTGACTTCCATGGAGTATGCAATTCCCTCACATCAACGTGGTATAACAGAATTTCTTCATTCAAGTGTTGTTCAGGAACTACTTGGTGTGGTGGGGGAAATCCAGTCTGTACATAGAATGGATTAAAGATTTGTTGTCGTTCTTAATGACAAGGCTCTATTTTCTTTTGGTGATAACGAAGTCTTTTGAGAAATGATTATTTGTTGCTGGTCCTCGGATGATAATTAAGCAATGTACTTGTTCATCGACTGAGACTAAAGAACGAAGATCGTTACTCGACATAAATGTGTCTTGGTAATTACTTGGTCGGAGCCTTCAAAGTGTCCTACTGTTAGGCTAATCTAAGCAGCATCTGGATAGTTCTTTCATTTCAACTTTTTATTATAAAATAGCCAATGCGTGAGACTAGAACCAGCATCGCTGAGTACTTACAGTATTACCAAACATTTTGGTCCGGCCTACAGCTGTAGTCAAGCCCTGAAAGTCATTATTGACGAGGTAGCATGTTAAAAACATAGAAAACCTCACATCGTGAGGGCCGAAAGCGAGATTCAAATGTAGCGGAGCTCCTCCTGTTCTTCTCTCGTTTCAACCATCTGAAAACCCAGAATAGATTGATACAAAGCAGCCACCATGGCTCAAACATTCCTTCCTGGCTCAAAACGACTACATCAAGCAGACTCGCGTTCGGGATTCGTATCAAGAATCTCATCGGCTTCTCTTTGCTTGGAACTAAGGAAGAATAGGGACGCTCTACGATACATCCAGTCGTGTAAGATTTATGCATCCAACTTTCTAGCACAGCCAAAAGTGTAAACTCGACCCGGCTTCACGAACTGGCACTGATATCTATCGGATACACTGCCCTAAGTTCAAGTGATAGAAATTCTTCTAAGCTTAAGGAACGGCTTATTCCACAAACGAATTGTATAAATCTTAGGGATTAGCGGGATGACAAGTTTGACACTGCGGTATAGGAAGTATTGGATGGTTTCGGGAATCTCTACTTTGATCAGAAGGCTGAAGGAGGCAGAGGTGATATACGAGCGAGTGCGCGGGTAGGAAGAACGCCCTCGGTCCAAATCATACGTCCACTCTCGATGCAGTCAATAACCTTGGGATTCTTTATAGATGCCAGGAGAAGCTGAAAGAGGTAGTAGAGCTGTATGAACGAACACTGGTAGTCTACGAAAAGGCCCTAGGTCCCGATCACAGCAGGATGCAGCAGGTTATGGAGAGATTAAAGACGATAAGGAGGGCTGATTAAAGATAATTGCTTAACTACTGTGCTATACCTTTACAGCAGATAGCACGCATTCACTTTGGTCCGGTGGATACTTCCAGTAGTAATTAGTTCTGTTCTTAATCTCTCTTCGTTTGAGGCGAAACCCCCTTGACCACGTAGACAGCGTCCGAAAGAGACTCATACTCTAATCTATCCGATCTCTGACTACCAAATTTGATTGGCTGACGGGAGGTGAAGGAGCGGCCTGACATTGCTGGTCGCAGTTGTGAGTAAAAGCGGCGTGAGTTTGAGAATAATATTGGAATGGGAAAGCAAAGACCTAGCACAGGAAACCCGGTACCTAGGAGGTGAATTCCGTATACACAGAACCCGATAGGCGTGTAGAAATGTCAGATGAACACCTCGGAAATTTGACCCATACACCACTTTCTGGATGCGTTCTGGATTATCCTGGGCCTGCTTGCAGAGATGGCCTTTACATAGTGGCCGTTCATTAGTATCTGGAACACGATACTTCTGCCCACTAGCAAAAAGATAGGTGGTGCAGGCACTGTCCCATGTTTCAAATACCAATGAACGCTTGACTGTACTTTGTTCTCGGGACTGTAATTTTGATTTAGCGGCGTAAGGGATGGCAGGCTCCTCAGTCATTTCTTTTGGTAGGTGGGGAATATTTACAAGCTAGTGGGCGCCACTATGCCATAAATAGCAGTATGGTGAGTCAAGAGGGTGCCCTCAGATAGGCCTGGCCTGAGTCTTATTGTACAGCCTGTATGAACGATGTTATGGCGCTTTTGTACGTCGACACTCTCAAGGTGGAATAAATGTATTGATTTTATGGATGTAGGATTGAGTTTAGAATGTATGTTGGGATCACCTTCATAACACATCAGATAGATGGACTGTCGCAAGGGTAGCTCTTGATATATTATAGCTACCTAGTCTAACGGCTGGACCATTGGAGATGATCGACCTCTCGTTGCTTTGGAGTCTTTCAGTCATTAGAAGCTACCATATAATATTGTTTCAATGACTCTTAAGAACCAAATAAGTCCTCGGTCTCGCATCTTCTCTGCACACGGCATTCTTGGAATCTCAAGAAGCTGCTACCTATCAGAGCAGCTGATATATATGTCAAGAGGTCTCATGGATGATATGCATGGAAGCGTATCCTTGCTACCCTGTACCCTTGGGTACCTTGAATTGTCTACAGGCCGAGGTGTTGATGTTGATTACAAGCAGCAGAGGGTCTGTGATATATATGTTTCCCGTGTAATGCTACAATTGCCTGGGTAAACTCCGCCACAGAATACCTATGATGCCTCCAGTATTCAGCCTCAGTATAACTTGCCATAGCCAGGGTAGTATTTTCTGAAACGGTAGCCAAAATTTGTTGACTCGATGTCAACAAGCCTTGCATTGGAAGGTGATGGTGGCAGTGCACTTGGCCTATTCGGATCCGGGTGAAACACATTAATACGCGGGGTACCCAGGACTGCTTGATGGTATAGATTTGACCCCCCTTCAAACATGGGGTTCTTTTTGTCACTTTACTTTGATCTTGGAAATTTTGGAGTTGCTTTTTGTACTGGAAATACTAAAAAACCTAGCCAAGTGGACTCGTCTCGCACGCGAGCATCCTGAGATTGCGTCGGTTGTCTCCGGAGTGGGCCTGCTGCAGGGTGCTGGTGATCTAGATTTTCCATTACTATGTATCATCCTCAGTATCGATGTAATGATATTACGGATGTATCGTACAGATGACGTCTCAATATTTGGGTACAGATATCGGTCCACTCCGGGAGTGGCCGCTTAGGACCCGTGGTAATAATGCTGACAAAAAAAAGGGGCTGTACGGAGCTTTCAGAGGAGAGCGATAAATGCAGGAACACTGGATGACGGAGGGAAGATAGTAGGCTAATGGAAGTCCTATAAACATCAACTTTGTATAGCCGGACCAATATGGATTGGCTTGTGACAAGAGGCCATTTCGGCGAGCATCGACATATCGGGAGTGTTCGTTACATCCATACCAGACCACGGGAGGCAAATGAGCTCCATGCGCCAGCAATTTTTCATTTCCTTTTGAATCCACACTAGAGGACGATAGGCACGAAGAGAGATAGCATTCAAAGACCCTGAAAGATCATCATGATTTTAGCATATGATGCAGGGACAGTACTGTAGCGGTATTCCCGCTCCATACATCTGATAGAACGACTTGTGCGCCCGGAAGAACGGGTAATCGAGTAACTCCTCGAACGGTGTCTACAGTAGCAGTAAACGCAGGACTGAACGCTTGTCTCTACGGTGAGTACCGAAGACTCTATACATACATACTGTAATCGGTTATGGACTGTACTGAGTATGTAAGTTATCTCGGTCGCAAGAGGCACCGATAAAGGCCCGTGATGCAAAGAAGCAGCCACAATTACAGGGCGCTGTCTGAACAGTATTGTCCGGCTGACCCATATGTTCCTATGCTAATAACCTATGCTAACAATATTGCAGACTAGTCATGCCCTACTGTACACCAAGACAATCCAGTATGATGTCTTGGACCGAGGTCAGCGGATCATAGCGTACAAAAGGTGGGAGAAGAGGGGTTGATGTGGCGAGAAAGGACGATCGTGGGCGTGCAAATTGAGCAGCAGAGTAACCACCAACGTCAAGCCGGCACCGTTTGGAGCGCCATCTCCAGCCGTGTGGCAGCCAAAATGGAAGGAGATCGGCTGTGTGGCCCTTGGTTGACGCTGATTGAAGGTGAGGGTGATGGAGCGGGTGCCTGATTATGTCAGATGATCAGGGGATGATGATTGGACCAAGCGGAAATGGTTTTATTCATCCAAGTGGAGACGAGAAATTGGTTCGTTTGGGTTCTGGTATTGTAATTTGGTATTGGCCATACACGGGACATCGACTCGTCTCGACAAAGCAACAACGGAAACCAGCAAGTACTTTGAGAAGGTACTTGCAGCAGTACCTGAGCGGTATTTGAAGACAAGGAGATAAGAAGGAAAGATGCCGACTACATTTTCAAGCACTGCAATAGACGGGTGTATTACAAAGTACCCAATACTTTTTGTTTACCTCGGATTACATCCTTGTACGGTACCCCAGGCACCCCAAACTCGCCGGACCCCTTCGTCCCTGAATCCACTCTTGACAACACACTAGAGCCGATGGAGAGAAAGGCCCCCCCCCATACTAACTCCCGTTTCACTGCGCACTGTCACCTTCTTTGTCCCTGAAGATTCTCACTCTCCTTCCTCACACACCACACACACTCGTTTTCTCTCGACTCGCCGAGACCAGATTCAATCTTCGACATCACTTTCCACCAGTTGCCAACTCGACTGGTCTGTGATCTAACCTTTCGGCCGTTCGAAAATCCTGACCCCATAAACAAAGCACGACTAAGGGGGTTAATCTCTTCGACCTTGAGATTCCATCGCCTACTCGGGGCTTGCGTACTCATCCTCTCGCTATCAACTCTCGATTCACGATTCTCGATCCCTTCACCCTTTCATATCCCTCTTCGTTTACCTTTGTTTGGCTCGTTACACGGCGTCGACATACCCTTCTCATCAGATCCCCCGCTGAACCCGGTCCACTCTGACTGTGCCCCCCCCCGACCGCTAAATCTACGCGCTAGACAACAAGCACAGTTTTTGATGCGACTTGCATTCTCGACCTGACGACTGTCATCGACACTCTTTTCCTTTTTTGCAGAAGATCTCAAGGGTGACGCGGGTCGTTTCCTGGTTCTTCGATCTCCATAACCGCTTCGACTGTGTCTGACGCGATACTTCGTCCCCTGCACTCATTTCCATACAACCGCTTCTCAAAATCCATCCTCTTCTCTCTCGAATCAATATGCACTTCAATATCCGAACATCCTTGACGGCCTCGAGCATTCTGCTCGCGGCTGGCTCAGCCACGGCCAAGTCTATCGAGGTGTTGGCTGCTCGCTCCGCCATGACCCTCGTGGGTTGCTACAGTAGCAGCGAGGGCCTTACAAATCAGACATCATACACATTCCAAAGTTCTGGATGGTGCTACGACCGTTGCACTGGCTATAACGCTGCCGTATTCGCTTTGACGGCAGGCTCCGACTGCCTCTGTGGCGACGAACTGCCTCCCTCATCAGCAAAGGTGGCCAAGGGAAAGTGCAGCACAGCCTGTGATGGCTGGCCTCAAGATATGTGTATGTTGCCCCCTTGGATTCTGTCCTCTGATCGCGCGAAAAATATGATCAGTGATGGCTGACTCTGTAATTTTAGGTGGTGGTGATGGTTTCTACTCACTTTACACAACCGGCCTGGAGAGTTCCGTATCTGAGGTCTCAGCATCGGCCTCCAGTGGTAGTAGCACCAATGAATCCACGGCTTCCAAGACCGATACTAGCGTCGCTTCCGCCTCTACCGACTCTGGTGGTCAAACGGTCATTGTTACCGCCGCAAGCTCGCAGAAAACCACCGACGAGGCATCCCAGGTCAAAAGTAGTCACAACACTGCAGCCATTGCGGCCGGTGTGGTGGTTGGTGTTGTCGGGGTGGCCGCTTTAATCGGTGCTGCATTCTTCTTCTACCGTTCGAAGAAGCAGAAAGCCGAGGGCGGCTTCCGCGGTACGACCGGTGGCTATGGCCGTGATTCGCAGCCACCGTCCATGTCGGACTCCCGTGTCGACGGAGACTACATGGCCCAGCGCCGTCAGAGCAATGGTAGCATCGATGATGACCATGACTTCTCTCGCCGAATTCTGCAGGTAAGTCGCTGAAAGTGTCTTGAACTATCACTTTGAAAGGATGTCCTGACGTTATTCCAGGTCACCAACCCTGACCGTCGCTAAGCGACTCGGGGGTTTCTTCTCATCTGTTCTACCACCTCTCTCAATTGACCTATTCAAACTCACCTTCGCCGACTGTCCCATCCCTCCATCGATCCTTCCTCCCTGCTCTGTGAGAGCCTCTTGTTCTCTTGTCTATCATATTTCCCTCGGGTTATTTCAGCGGAGTTATGATATCCGAAAGGCATATGGCTCGACTCTATTCGTGTCCATATTCTGATCAATTAGTGTTCTCTTCTCTTCTTCACTGGCCTTCTGGACGTACGTTGCTAGGCGACTGCCTCGGGGCGAGAACAAAGCGCTTGTCTCGTAACCCGCTGCAGAACATGTCCACCGTATGAAAGACCAACGATTCACCACCCACCACCGAGAACACTGGCCGTTCCTGCTCGTTCAGATAACGCGTCTCCGTGGTCTGTGCAAGTCTGCCAGTGTATCCCCCATCCGAAAAGGCGTTTATTGATTTCGGCACTCTCTACTTGATCGATGCTCTCGCGCCTACGCATCATTCATGAGTTGATCGGTCTCGCCTGTCCATCACACGAAATTGCTTTCTCGAACGTTTCTTTGGTTCCCGTCTTTTCATCTAAAGCAGCCTCTCCTTGCTCTTGAAACTCTCGGTTGGTCCGAAGGAGAGACATAGTTTGGTGTTCAATAATGTTCCTTGTGGACTTCGAGGGTTGTGAGTAAAAGAAGGGCGAATTAGCTTGTACTTAATGCGAGAATGGATGTATTTGTCAATATGGACTATTCATAGATCGGTTGCAGCCAGACGAGATAATTGATGGAACTCGCATAGGCTATTAGTATGGACCCCTGCCGTTCACACGTATACTTGGCACTGGCTTGTCGTTTCATTTCTTGGTTTGTCTCAGCGGCCTACTTGCGCAAAGGCTTGAAGTCTTTAGGCTTGTATCGTGCTAGGTCCTGGGTCCAGTCGGTAGGCTCATGGACAGCAAGAGTCCCAGATTTGAGAACTCACCACTGACGAAGAATAAGCATACTGCTACCTCGTGACGGTGTCTCGAAATAGCTGCACACCTATCGAAGGTTCTAAGTTATTCTGTACCCGACCTTTAATTATAAACTCAAGAGCAATGGATCTTTAATAGAGAACTCCCAACATGTAGGCTGAGCTTGAACGCCATGGCTGGGAGTGATCTGCAGAGTTCCTCTACTTGCCTTGATCAGCTACAATCATTTATGGTCTGCTATACAATTTACTGGCGGAAGGATATCAAGAAGGACATCATAAAGAATGATGGCAAGAGCCTCAATTTTCATGAGGATGTATTCATCCCTAGGAGATATGATAGATGTTAATATCAGAATACTCGCTATCGACCCCAGATCCCACTAACTTTACAATTTCCCATCAACATGTTTCCCATCCTGCGCCGGCAAAAGACTTTTCATACACATACACCCAACGATTCCAACTAACGAACCAACCCCGGCACCCCCCAAAACCGCCCTCCAGCTTCCAGGCGCCGGACCAGCCCACCCCCTCGCCGCAACAACGACTGCTCCAAGCGCCGCACCGGGTTCCCCCCAGTTATCAACAGCAACCTGACCCGTATTATATCGTAGACGCCAACTGCGATCTTTCCACTCGATCTCGTCACGACCCCACATCCGCGCAACGAGTCCCACCCCCGCGAGTCCAGTGCCGATGACGGCGCCGGTACCCGCCGAGCGAAGGAGGATGGGCGCGGTGAGAGAGCGACGCTTGATGAGGTAGGCGGCACCGCCGTTTAAGAGGCCGATTGTACTGCCGAGTTGGAAGCCGCGGATGAGAACGTGGGTTGTGAGGATGGAGCGCGCGAGCGGTTGGTCCTCGGCGTACTCGGCTGTTGGGAAGAAGGACGACATGATGTCCTGGATATGTGCAGGTAGTAAGACTGGGAGTAGAAAGGCTGGAGATAGGCTAGATGGAATGTTGGTCCTGGTAGGTACTGGTAAGTGGCATCCTAGGGGTGTGCTGCGCGTCTTGCGCAGAGGTGAGACTGCTTATGGCTTGATCAAGAGTATGCGGGGGTAACCCGACGGATCATCGAGTCACGGGTGGGAGCCTCGTAAGGGGAATTGTGGCTTTCGTTGTCCAAGGGTTGAGGTATCCAATGAGCTGTTCGCGGGGTGCTTGCTGACGGGTGCTTACGGTGCATTCCTAAGGTGACGATTGGCTGCGGGATGCTTTTGGAGGATAACGATGTCTGGCTACATCATACGTTCTGAAGCTTGGAGACTATAACAATCATGGTATTCCTCAATTTAGAGAGTCTGTTATCTTTGACATGTCAGGTACGAATAAAGGGTTCAACGTGGAGGTGGAGATACAGCCTCCCAGATCCACTTCTCTTCACCCGTCTTGTCTCCCCGCAATAGAGACCAACCTTCCATATCCCTTGCTACAAATCGGGTCGGTCGTCCTGTGAGATTTCTTTTTTTCCTCTTTGGTTGTGAACCTGGCCTTGTAAGTTTTCACCTCTCCACTTCCCGACAGCCCGTTTAGTGATCGCCTTCTTCGTTTGCACACTCCATGGTTGGCAACTGGATCAGGTCCCCCTTTCTGCGTCGGCACTCACCTCTTCCCCCTTTGGATGCCGTCTCAAACCAAGGAATGCGTCAATTTTGCAGAGAATTTCTGGAAAGTGCTGACAAAATCACGTGTTGAATCCGACCCGGCACAAAAACTACTTGATGAGTGGAGACGTTGTGAATGAACTGAGGCATTAGTTCGGGAGGGTATGCTGATGATATACCCTGACAGGTGACCCATCGCGGAAGTGTTGTGCAAGCTCCCCCCCCCAATTTCACGTTGATTCCATTCAAGGAAAGTCCGACAGTAAGCCAGAATGACCGCCAGAGTCCAGTCCCTTTTTAGTCTGAAGACTTCAAGCTCAACTTTGAGTGCCTCACATGGACTGTGAACAATCCCAGGAATTGTCGACGACCTCCACATCATGATCTAGGGGATGATGAAAAGATTGTTATTGAGGAGAGGTTTAGGAAAGTCATGCAGTTTGATACTAGACCACCGGTCAAGCCAGCAGAGAAACTCCCCATATCCCCCAGCGCGCCTTGAAATATTCGGTACCAATCAGTTGATGAAGAGATTCGTTCTTCGGGCAAGTCTCATGAGATATCTTGCCCGCGATTGCCTACTATGTGATAGTCTACACTATGGCCTTCTCTCTCTTGGACATGGGAATTGAGTCTGGTAGGCGACAACGAATGTTACTACCACCAAGCGGCCATGGAGATCTCGGGCCTGCCTACGTCGAGCACAAGCAGGTTGCCAGTAGCCCAGAATCTGGATACGGTTCAAATTAACGTTCCATCAAACGAGTTTAATTTTTAAAGTCAAAACCCATGACCGAGAAGCCTCTCAGGAATGGAGTCATGTTTAGATTTCAAATGCCGCAGGAAACACTCATGCGTGGGACACAACAGCTGGCTTCTGCGACAAAATTATTTGTGCACGAATGACTTTCCTTTGCTGACAGGACTCCCAAGACGATGAATACACTCTCTGGCAAAAAGAGCCATATTACCAATCGACATGAAGCATACTCTACTGATCTTGACACACGAGCTTTCCCTCAACCAAATCCTCAGTCCATATGGCTTCTCCGAATCGGACGCCGGAATTGCCGGCGCAATCCTCATCCTCAATACCAGCAGTTGGGGGTGTAGACAACGATTTGCAGAAATCAGAGATATGAAAACTTCTATAACGCAGGCTCGAACAAAACTTGGATTACTTCTAATAAGATGCTCGTATTCTAGCATTCTCTGTAGATACAACGCTAGTGTTATTTCATAAGTCGTGAGGAGACAAGGGGTCCGCATCATACGACATCCTAGTCCAACGACATGTAGGAATAGGAAAAGCTGAAAAGAAGAGCCAAACAGATAGTGATTAGAGGCAGACTATGGTCTGTCTATATTGAGTTGGCGATAGACACAAGAGTATGGATAGAGTGTGACATCGTTGAGCCACCTTATTTTAGCTATTAACGACGAATTGAACATGCCAAACATGCTGGATCGATTGGAATCTGCAAACTATGAGAAATAAAGCGAGAAGAAGGACATTTGACTTAGAGAGTAAACCCCAACTACTTGAACAAGTGAGCAAGGTTATCGCCTAAAACTCCGAATGAGAGATTTAAGGCATTTCAATAATCTGAATAGTCCTCGGTCACACACTTACATGGCAAACATACAGCTCCGGGTGTATATGCGTTCACTCTATTCGAATCATTCCTTCTATCATTGAAACCAAACCTCCAAGGTATGTCTTCTTAGCCATCGTTTCCGGGCTGAGGATGGGCCATCTACCCCCGAATTCTAACCTTCAAATTCCACGAGCACTGGTCCTAGTTTGCATGACATCACTGTTTAAATTTGTACCAGCTGATACCGACGAAAAGCATGTCGAGCGTTACGTCTGAAAGCCTCCGAGGTCATCGTGGGGGGTGAACTAACCATCCTAATTCGGCAGATGCCAGCTGCAATCGACACGTCAACCAACGGAAGTAAATTAGACAAACAATACCCGCGGAACATGTCCGTATCACCAATTTATGAACAAACAGATCTAGACTGGAGGAGCCCTTGACATCAAATCCGACATATCATGTCAAGGACCCCAACCACGTGAATCGCCTGCATCGAAGTGTCATGCTCGAGAGGATCTGAATTTCGCCATGCCGCAACTGATCAGATTTTCGCAAGACTGGTGCCTAGATAGGAGGGTATGAATTTCGTTTAGGGGTGAGAGGAGGTTGCAGGAAGACCAACGAATTGAGTCAAAGGATCGAGCTACTGGAGCTACAGCAAGCCACGACCAGCGTCCCCTTAACACTCTGCCCCAATCCATTACATTTGAGTCAACTGCTTCCAGTGACTTGGTTTTACCTATAGTAGTACTATTTGAGGGGGCTGCTTCTCAGCCAAGTCCCAACTAGGGACTTCCACCGCAACTTTGTGGTAGATAATCCCGGCCTTCAACAAACAGACGGCGACGGATGAGCGAGCTCAAAGTTTCCTGAAAAAGGACATTCGGAACTCCTTTGCCACTCAGCTCACCTTATCAGCTTCCCACCTTTAGCCTCGATGTTCAGCTTTTGGTGATCTTTTTGGTTTAGTTCAGGCGGCCGTTTTTAACCTTTTTGGCGACGGAAAAAAGGTCCAGGCAAATGCCAATACCGCATGCTCTATGATAGGGACAGAATCAGCTTCTCCAAATGCCACTGAACTTGAGACAAAATCGAAGGAAAAAGTGCGACTCGGCGAATAGCAGTCGTGTTGGTATCCAACAGCGGCAACGTTGGCGCCGGGGAAATGATGTCATCGTGCGTATGGCGGTCATGTCGGTGGTAGGTGAGAATCAATTCGATAGGTCTGGTGCTGGAATCATATCAAGAACGTCGGATTTGAAGTGCATGGTGATTCGTGGGCTCGTAGCGGCTGTTGGTTGCTTGTTGGTTTATGTTGGCTGCACGCATGAACCGTTGGACAGTACGGATAATGCAATTGACGTGGAAGAAGAAGAAGCTCGGGGCTTACTTTCTTGCGGTGAGTATTATCTAACACATCCTATCCGCTGGGAATTCAGAGATTGCTGATTTCTTTGCCCTTATTTTGCCACCAAGGACGAACGCTAACTGCCTTGACGGAAGTGCAATGGCTTTAAGTCACGAATGTACCTATTCGCTTATCCTTGCACGGAGTCGATTACGCACTATGTCACATATCAAGAACCAAGAAGCCGAACGTGGCAGCAGTCCATTGACAAGCCCGCCATTGCAAACCTTGACATCTCGACGACTCACGTTAGCCAGGCATCCCAACCGAGGCATATACATGATAACAGTCATAGTTCCTCAAAAGAGCTCTGCGAGCCCATTAGCGGAGGAGGGGTCTGTTACAAATGATTTGCAACGGGGCAATATACGTGTGGGCGACGCTTCTCCCGGAAAAAGCTCTGATTGGTATGACTGGGGAAGTACATATGCAAACCCATCAATGGCAAGAAGTACTGCAGACAACACGCCTTGGCCACGGATGTACCCTAAAAGGTGTACAAGATTTCAAGGTGATTATCGAAATATGAATGGTACCATTTGTTGGAGGTATATTCAACTTCGAAGAGTACCCACACACTCATCAAGTGCGGCAGTAGTCCATCACTAGGTCGCTTTTCTAGATTTGACCGGTCTGTATATGATCCTCTATAGATCGTGACTTCATTAAAGAGGGTCAGAGTTATATGAGGCAGACAGAACTCGAATGATTTAAATTTCACTGCTCATCAAGCACAGATGGGACGTGTGAAATGAAGTGTAAGCACTCAGAGTCTACTCCGAGGTTTGTGAATATTACATGCATTCGTTAGAACCGGGGAAGAAGTCGTCAGGTGGCTGCAGACTTTCTATGACTTATCAGTAAGCAGCTGCACAGTGTGAATCCCCAGTGAGTAGCTAATGAGCGTTTAGCCTGCATGATATGGTGAATCCCCAAACTAGCATTCGATATCCAGGTTCTCGCAACTACTTTCTCTCCCACTACCCAAAAAAGGAAGACTCGGACATAAAAACATGAAGCTAATGATCAGCGAGAGGCTGGAAGGGCGTTCGATCGGGGCGTGCACTCCTCGCGTGGTCTGTACTCGCAGAGTTAGCCCAAGTTGGTAAAGATAGCGTCCACACATGGCAAAACCGATGATGTAGATGTACGATGCAGGCTTAAATGCAGCTAGCAACCAACCCGCATACCAACAGCGCCGCAATAACAGAAAAAAAGGGGGTTATAAAAAGAAATACTCCATGATCGGCATGCCTAAGCCCGCAGAAGCCGTAGGAAGTCCACGTGTAAGCAATTTGAAACAGGCGGTCCGGGATCATTAACCCTGTCGTCCGTCGCAGGTTCTGTTACATTTACCTAGAGGGTGTTAGCCCCGCATGAAGCTTGCAGCACCTAGCATGGAAGCTGCAGTAGTGGCCTCCCCCCGTGGCCCCCCTAGCCTACCAGCTATTTCCCTATTAAGGCTTCCCGCGGCCGAATTGGGTAAATTAGCGGCTAACTACACT